AAATAACGTTTATTACCCTGGCGGAGGTGTAGTTATCCAACAAGCCAACGTACCTAGGTAGCTAGCACGGAAAAGGGAGACCAGGCCCTTCCCCTGCGACCTTGCTACGAAATGTTCCCGCGAACCTACAGGGCTTACCTATCGCACCTCAAACGTAGGCCCCTATGCAATACACTAGTTATATATCCCTCCGATGATATCAAGCGAATGGGCAATTGTAAATAGAGCAATAACGATTATGGACAAGAAGGCATCTTTATACAGTTCATGTGTTTGTTCATGTTGAGCTTGAGCTTGGTGAACTGGAAATGCTTTCGTATGAGCGTGTCCGTTTCGGCGACGCTGCACGGAACGATCGCTGGACACCTGGTCGTCTGACGTGAAGGGGGACGGGCTGCAACCTGTTGTTTCAAGGTCAAACCGAACGTCCATCCTCGCTTGGCGAGAGAGACAGGGGGCCCGCCCGAAAATAAGCCAACAACGGCTATAATTCTGTAGATATCGGAGCTCCAATCCGCCGCCGAACCACCGACAACAGGCTCTTCAGGTTTAATCTGGCACTGGGAGCCCTGAAGAGTTTAGCATTGCGCGAAGTAGTCGCCCAGAGGCATGGTCGGACAGTGCATCGTTCAGGAATGGTGTCCTAGGGAGTGCACCTGGTGGCGTAGCCGAGCAGCCATGGGGGGACTTGGCATCAAATGGCATCAAAACGGCGCCAGCGGGAATGGGCCGGAACTTCCATACAAGAGCCAATAATCTGGGAATGGGAAGACATTTGACTGGTGATGAGAAAACGCGGTAGTGTTACGGAGTCTGGAGTGACGTGATCGAGGGCAACTATTTGGCCGATCAATTGTGACTTTCAGGGCCTGCGGGGCCAGGAACAACAAAAGGCATGCACAAGATGCCGACCGAGCCAGGTCAGACATGTAAGGTGAATAAATGGCAAGTAGTTGACCCAGGCTTTTCCATGTCTAGTAGAAGGACCATGGGTCGAGTCATTCCGTCGCCTAACATTTGATGCAGTCAGTGCAATTGACGCACAGTCGAGGGGGAGCCCTCAGCTCGCCCCCATCAGAGAGGTAAGTAAGGTAAGTACCTCAAGTAGGTAGATACCTAGGTAGGTGCCTTGCGCCTTGCATACCCCATGTCGTAGACTCACCGAGGGCGTTTGGGCGATGCAACCAATGATGGACAGCGGAAAACCGGCGAAATTTGTCGATGAGCCAGAAGTCAGTCACTTTCTCCTTCGTGCCATCTTTTTACTGTGCGCTCGGCATCAAATTTGGTTGAAGCCGGCGTGGTCGGCTGGAACGTGAATGCTATGAAGTCGGAGATTTGGGACTACGGTAGGGCCGGGTCCTGGATCTGGAGACGGCGTGTCATATATTGCCTGCCTGTCGGGACCTTAGTGCGTGCAGCCAGCCAACACCAAGGCCAACACCACCTGCACCACCACGCAACTGCGCCCACGCACGCACCTGGTCCTTGGTCCAGCCGCCAGGCGGAAACGTCCGTCATCGACCGTCAACTGTCACCTGTTGATATCTGCTTCGATCTGAGCTCATCTCCTGTCATCCATATCTGTCATCTTGATAGATACGGGGCATGCTGCATGCGCATCACGCCTTTGTCGCTTGACCCTTTCCACTTTTTTCTTCTTTGTAAGCCCTGGCCCCTTCGCAGAGAAGGGCAGGGAGGTAGGCTTGGTAGAGGTGAGTCCACAGTAAGTAGTCAAAGAGACGTACTGTACGTTTGTTGTGTGTGGAGGGGCAGATGCACGGGCGATTCCTTTCAGAGACGTGCAAAATAAAGCCACGGGCGGGCAGGGATTGGGGGCAAACCAAAATTAGTTAGTGCGCCCATCCCGTTGGGCGAGGAGAAAAAATGGCTGCCAATTCGCTCCGCACTTCCCTCCCCCTCCCGCGTGCGTGCGTGGGCTGGCCACCCGCATATCTCGCCCAGTATCACTTTTTTGACGTCGTCGCATCCATGGGCAGGACTTGCCATTCCCCATTTGCCAACCTCAACCAAGGCAATTAGATTATACTGTAGGATAGTGCGTCTTTGTTGTCTTCAATCAACAGATATACACGTTCTACCAGGTATTTCCGCAATTGGGGACCATTTGCGACCGGGCGTGACAACTTAGTGTGCCTTGGAAACCTAGGCTGGTGGTGCAGAGAATCATCCAACCAACCAGGACACTGCTATGTCAGTTGACCTGGGCGGGACCCGTCGGCAAAGCTTCATAAAGTCACGGAATGAATGGCTACGAGAGTAACGCGAATTAAAGTGAGCTAACTTTTCATGAGTATATGCCATCCATGTACATGGCCAAGGTGAGTCTGGGACGAAATATGCGAGCGGTGGATAGGCGCCGTGCCGTCATTCACCCAAGGGTACGGACGTCAAACATTGGTATCATTCTTTGGTGTAAGGTAGGTGGTGGTCAGGGAAATGGATGGTTTGGTTGTGTGTGCTGGTTGCAGAAGCGTACGGGGGAGACAGAGTGGCGACTGCTGGGCGTCGTGTGGGCAGCCTGGCTTGTGGATGGAGTGAGTAAGGCATGGAAGACCGAGAAGTGTGGCAGGGTGAGGTACATATAATCAACTTGGCTGGTGGGAAGTTGTGCGGTGAAGTCGGCTTCGTGTGGAGCTGGGTAAAGAGAGGGTTTTTTGGGGGGGTTTGAATTAAGGCCAGAGGGATTCATCTCAAGAAAGAGGGGGGTTTTTCCTCCCTTCCTTTCGGCAAAGGTAAGAGAAACTAAAACCTGCTCCAGCTGGGGTGGGCTGGGCCATCTGTATGCGTGTATGCATTTGGCTGTCCTGTGGTAGGTATAATTATCGTCCAAGTCGGAGTCTTGGCCAGACGGCTGCTCCTGCATTTAATGAGTCGCGTACAAAAGAAGGGCATATCAGCATAGCGGCGTGATGGCCGGATACCCTGAGAACAAAACCAAGTCATTTCACTGCATTCAACGGTGGTGGGTTGGTGCCGCCTGGGAAGGGAGAGCAGGCGAAGACAAGAGGTGAGGTGCAAGCAACTCGAGGGAAAATAAGATGGGAGGTTAAGAATAAGTGGGCTTGCTGCAGGCTTGCTCTGCTCTGCTCTGCCTGCTCTGCAGGCCAAGAGGGATCGCGGAGGCATACCACGACTGCCCAGTGCCCGCTTCTCCCTCTGCCCATCCCATCCCATCCCATCCCATCCCGTCCATCTTAACCTTACCTTGCCTACCTACCCTTCTCCATACGTATCCTGCCGTTCCTCGTACTCTCACCTCCTTGGTCAGCCAGTCAGTCAATCACGTTCGGCCTACGTGTCGAGGGCCAGCGCCCGCTCACGAATTTCTGTACTATGCAGTATGCGAGCATGCTATGGTTTTGTGATTCCGATAATGCACGTCTAGCCGTTTGTTCCCCAACCCGTGAATGACGATTGATATTGTAGGGGGATAGTATCATTACTTGAGGTAGGTAGCTGTGGCATGAGTCGTCGTTGTTATTTCCCTCCCGCGCCCCCAAGTGTCGCATGGGGACAAAAACCTGCCATATTGGCTGTTTGGCCATATTTCCGATGGATCTCAGCACACGAATACTTTTGCTGGAGCACGAAGTATCAGCGAGGTGGTAGAGATGAATCGCACGCACAAGGACTTGAAGTGGCCGTGATGAATGCTGGGCAAGGAATTGGCCTGCCCTAAGATACCTAAGGTGGTAGTAGTCAGAGTAGAGTAAAGTAGGGTAAAGGTCAGGCAGGTCGTGTCTTGCTTGGGAGGTTGCCGAAGCCGTCTCCACCCTTGGTTGATGCCTTCGTACCTGGTACGTACCGGTGAGGTCCCTGAAACTGCTTACAGGGGAATTGCAGCCTACAAAAGACTCCCAGCATAACCGTATCCCAGGAGCCAAACGGTAGGCATGGGCTGGGCAGGGGTCCCCTGTCAATACTTAGTGACTACTGTGGGTGTACATCCAGCTGGCACCGTCCCTGGGGTCTTTGAGGCGGATCTCTGGCTGCGGCGTCCTGGCCTCGCCCACCCATTCTCATTCTAGCCAAACGTCTTGTCTGTCTTCTGCAGCGGTAGCCAGGCATTTGACGTTGCTGCTCTTATTACCTTACCTTACCTTGCCTACATGCAGGTGGTGCCCGTGGGCTTCTTTTTCCCCATTTGAATCTCTCTCTCTCTCTCTTCCAATATCTTCTTTCCTTTCTCGATCTTTTCTTCCCTTCCCCCAAACCAAAAACGCCTTCCCCTCTTAAACCGAACCTGTATTTCCCCGTCGTCTGTCCTGAGGGCGTCTTGTTAGTCATTTTGCAGCCATTCCAGTCCTTTCTTCCCTTCCACCCTCGCAGGTCACTCCCTCCTCACCTGCGTTCACATTCACGGCCACCACCCACGTCGGCCATCCTTATATGTCACCTTAGACTCTGCCTGAAATATCTGTTCGGCCTTCCACCTTCCAAATTACGCACCTCTGGGCCATCTTCCCGCGCATTTCGTCATCTGCGACTTGCACGCCTTACATGGCCGCTTAGCCAGATATTTTGATCGCGCGAGGATTTGGCCGGCTCTTAGTCCGACTCGCATCCCATATTTTGCGTGTCCTGGTGGTGACGCCCTCCCTTCTTGCTCATCTCCCCAGAGCAGGACGAGGCCGCGACACCACCCCGACCTGCCAACTTGAGCCACGGCGCCTCGTCGTCTGCCCTGCGCCATGGCTCCTAAGTCACAGGTTGTTAGCATCTCAGATCAACACACCAACACCGGTGCATCATCATCCACAAAGGAGAGCTCGGAAGCTCCACCTTCCCGTAAGCAATCCAGGACGAACTCTCCGTCCTCATCTACCATGGCGCTACCCAAGATGTCCGACTCAAATTCCACATCTGGAAACGGCGCCGCGACTTCACAGCCGATGGCAAAATCATCATCAGCCGGTTCACATAAGGATGCGGGCGACAGCACCGCCTCGCCCTACGGCACGCGGTCGCGCAACAGAACTGGCCGCGCCCGCCCGAATTACGCCGAAGACAAGGACGTGGAGATGGATTATGACTTTCCCGAGAAGAAAGACGAGGAATCTAAAAAACTAACCACCCGGCAAGCAAATGCAGCCGCCGCAGCCCAAGCCCAGGCCCAGGCCCAGGCATCTCAAGATGCCCCACGTCAAGGCCATGCATCTTCACGCAAACCTCTACCAACTGACGACGGCAGACTTGCCGCGCAACAGAACAGCGCCAAGGAGCAGCAGATTGCTTCGTCTGCGTCCTCAGTCTCAAATGGGGTTTCCACTTCTGTTGTGAATCCGTCAAAGAAGCGCAAGGCCGCGTCGCAAGCTAATTCAGGCAGCGGTAACCACAACACAGGTAGCACCGGCTCCAGAAGAGCGGGAGCAGTGTCACAAAACGGTCGCGGCTACAACGAGACCAACATGCTGACCTTTGACAATTGCCGTGCCATGCCAAAGGGCAAGCAGATGATAGCCGATGATGGAACCGTACTGGAGGTCAACGGTGAGTTACTCATTCAATTTTCTGCGATGGCGGCGAGCGCGCGGCACTAACGCCTTCACTGTAGACCACGTCTACCTGGTCTGTGAGCCACCTGGGGAGCCATACTATCTAGGCCGCATCATGGAATTCTTGCACATGAAAAATGACCCCAAGCAGCCGGTTGATGCACTCCGCATCAACTGGTATTATCGCCCCAAGGATATTGGCCGCAAAATCCAGGACACGCGCCTGGTGTTTGCAACCATGCATTCAGACATCAGCCCTCTGACAGCACTGCGTGGGAAGTGCCACATCCGGCACAAGTCTGAGATTAAGAGCATGGACGAGTACCGAAAAACACCAGACTGCTTCTGGTATGAGAAGCTATACGACCGCTACATCCAGAAGAACTACGAGATCATTCCGACGTCGCAAATTATCAACGTGCCGGAGCGGGTCAAGAAGGTGCTGGACGAGCGCTGGAAGTTCATTTTGGTGGAGCAGGGTCGTGGCAAGGAGCTTACCAGCGCTGTTAAGTCGTGCAAGCGGTGCAGCGGCTACTGCGCGAGGTACGTACCCCCCTCCTCCTCATTTTCCCTCCCCCCGGCCGCCGCCCTTGGTTGTTTGCCTTTGCAGCTGCGCTAAGACAGCGGTCGGGACTTTCCCCCAAATAAGCGCTGACGCATTTGGCAGCAATGATTCGGTGGACTGTGCCGTCTGCCAGAACACCTATCACATGTCCTGTGTGCGACCACCCCTGCTAAAGAAGCCGTCTCGGGGGTTTGCATGGTCCTGCGCTGCCTGCAGCAGAGCTCAAGAACGCAAACTGGAAGCCCGTAATACTCCAAATGTCCTTGATCCCGCCCATGAGGACGAGGAGGAATTGTTAGACGACGAGGAGGAGGATCCCGCAGGGGGCGACACTAGCCGCACGAGCCCCGACGACACCCAGGAGCATCAGCCCGCCACAGCAGAGCAGATTTACCACGCCAGTCTCTGGCCCTATCGGTACCTCGGAATTCACTGCAAAGTGGAAGATGCACTGGACTATGATGATCGCATCTATCCTCGTGCCAGTTCTCGCTTGGGACCACGTCATCAAGCCATTGTTCTGCCATGGCCTGGTCGGCCGGTCACATATGTCAAGCCCCTAGAGATCAAACGGACTGGCAGAAAGAACGCACAGCTTTCCAAAGAGGCGCAGGCTCTTATCGAGGCCGACAAAATTCGCAAAGAGAGGCGGCCCAAGTGGATACAAGATGAACCTGCCGGCTACGTGCGACGAGGCGACGATTACGACAACGACGACCCAAATAACACAGCACAGCTGTTGTGGAAACCACCCGCGGAGGATGATGACAACATTGCTGAAGTAAGCGGAGAAGCCATTGATAACTACATGGAAGACGCGAAAGCAATGTCTCAATCCTTGGGCTTGCCACTGCGGTCCACAAATTTGCAGGACGTCGCACGGGATCTACTCTTCAAGCACGATTTCGATTTTGAAAGGGCTTTGAGAGAATTGCCTAGAGTTGACAAGGCCGTTTTCAGGGAGCCTGAGCTCACCGCCGCGGAGCAGAAGCGATTCGAAGAAGGAGTCGCTAAATACGGGTCGGAGCTCTACATGGTGAAGAGGCATGTCAAATCCGTCAGCCCTGGCGACATCACCCGGTACTACTACACATGGAAGAAGACCGATCGTGGCAAGCAAATCTGGGGCAATTACTCTGGTAGAAAGGGCAAGAAAGAGGCCAAGAAGGCCGAAGCTACCGCGAGCAAGTTTGCGGATGATGTTGCCGATGACCACGACGATTCTGCCTTTGATACTGAAAAGGCGATTGACAAGAAGAGGGGCTTCACTTGCAAGTTCTGCAATACCAAGTCTTCTCGCCAATGGCGCCGAGCCCCGAACGTCTCGGCCGCACTGGTTACTGAAGGCGGCGGCGGTAAGAACAGCAAGGACAAGGGCACTCAATACATTGTCGCGCTTTGTCGCCGATGTGCCGAACTCTGGCGTCGCTACGCAATCCAGTGGGAAGACATTGATGAGGTTGCGAAGAAGGTTGCAAATTCTGGTAGCCGAGCGTGGAAGAGACGAGTCGACGAGGAATTACTCAAGGAGCTCGTGTCTGCCAATGACATGATGAGTCGCACCGTGTACAGCACACCGGATCCAACCGAGACTGCATCTGGAACTCCGCAGCCAGAACAACCACCTCGCAAGAAGCTCAAGGGCAGTGCAGACCCTGCTTCAGAGCATGCTTCCGATGCTGGCACTGTGGTGAGGAGAAAGGAGAAGCATGCAGACAAGGCCGCTGCGCCTCCCGTACCGGAGATTCCGAAGCCGAGAATGTTGCCTTGTGCTATCTGTCAGCAAATGGAGCCTCTCGGAGATCAGCATCTATCGTGTCGAGAATGCCGCCTGACAGTTCATCGCAATTGCTATGGTGTAATCGACAACCGAAATCCGGGGAAATGGACTTGCGACATGTGTATCAACGACAAGAATCCGCAAATCTCTATAGTAAGTATTTGGCGGATGACAGATCAAATGTTCATAAAGCTGACTCTACCATAGCACTACAAGTGCGTCTTGTGCCCTGTCGAGCATACCGAGCACGATTTCGTTGAGCCCCCGATGCCAAAGCCTACGACCAAGAAGAGGTCGGAAAAGGAAAAGGAACGTGAGAGAGTCGAGAAGGAAAATGCTCAGAAGACGGCAGACTATTACCGGAAGCGACAAGAAGAACTTGGTCGCCCTGTGAATCCACGTGAACCACTCAAGATGACGGCGGACAACAACTGGGTTCATGTCACTTGTGCCGTATGGACACCCGAAGTCAAGTTTGCCAATGCCAAGGCTCTTGGGCCCAGTGAGGGCATCCCATCAATTCCCCGCGCAAGGTATGCAGAAGTATGCAAAGCATGCAAGCAAGAAGGAGGAGCCTGTATCGCCTGTCACCAATGCCGCGCTCCGGTTCATGTCGAATGCGCCCATCAGAACGGGTACCTACTTGGATTCGACATCACCCCTGTCAAGGGGTCTCGGCGTGATCAGTTCAACATTGTCACAATCAATGGGGAGAGTGGCACAATGACTGCCGCCGTATGGTGCAAAGACCATGTTCCTCAGAAGACAATAGTCCACCGTATGCACGATTTGGTCGATGAGTCTGGCATGAACGCATTGCAACTATATGTGCAGAACTTCAAGCAGGCCGATCTGGCATTGACAGGTTGCGCCAGGAAGGCAAATCAAATCACTTTGGCCGGGAAGGTGTCTCCTACCGTCCCCACCGGTCCTCCAAACCGTCGCGCATCTCTGACCGCAGTCCCTTCGAATGGAACTGTCCAGGTTAATGGTGACCATAGTCATGAGTTGCCTGAGGCGTCACAGCCGGGAGGCAAGATTTGTCTGACATGTGGAGTTGATGTCAGCCCGAAGTGGTATCCCATTGACAAAGACCAAGAGCGGGAGCTCACCAATGGCCATAGTGGTGTTCTGGGCAGCGAAGCACAGAAGTTTGTGGCCCAGAGGCACTTCCAGTGCCACAAGTGCCATAAGCTCAATCGAAAGCCGATCATTCGGCGACCGAGAGACCCATCCCCTAAACCAGAACTACCCCGATCAGGTCCGATGGTACCACCGGTCGTCAGTCCCCCTCCAGGAGCTGAACTGCGAAATATCGCACCGTACCCTTGGGCCATGCCACCGACCCAGCAGCAGCATCGACCAGCGCAGCCAGAGGTAGCAGGACCTCCTCCAGTCCCAGTTTCAGGACCGGTCGTGCCGTCTCCGATAGCTGCTCCGCCGGTGCAACCACCTACAGTTGCGCCGCCGCCACCGCTCCCGCCGACGATGCCGCCCAGGGCAGCTCCCCCGCCTGCCCATTCGTATCCGCCGCAGAATGTGCCATACGATTGGCACCGACCGGCCTCGCAGCATTCGCAGCACGCACCTCCTATGCATCCGCACATGAATGGCGGTCCGCCTCCTCCGATGCCTCACAGCAGCATGCCTCCGCTTGCGCCGCCGAACCACCTACGGCCACCGCCAATGTCGAGCATTCCACCTCCACCGCCTCCTCCTCCTCCTCTGCAAAATGGACACATGGGGCAGCCGATGGTCAACGGCTTACCGCCTTCCCCACGACGCCTCAATGGGCCACCGCCGCTACAGAACAGCAGTCCGTATATGCATCCATATCACCATACTGCTCATCATCCTCCACACCATCTCACAAATGGGGGACCACCACCACGAGCCCCAGAACACACATTCTCACAAGTGCTTCATCCGCAGCGATCACCGTTCTCAACTCCCCATGGCAGCCCACCAGTGCCTCGAGATGGCATTTCCATTGCGCGAGAAGCGGCCAACCAACCGCCCCGGCCTGCTGAGAATCGCCCAGCGAGTGGTGCAAGCGCAAGCCCGTCACTGCGGAACCTACTGTCGTAAATTTTGCAACCACGATGCAGCATTCATGATCCTCCGTCAAGATTTCTTAGAGATGATCTAAACGAGGAAACGGTACACTAGTAACTGCATAACTCAGAAGCCTCGGGATGACGAGTTCCGAATCACGTTGTATTATATCCTGTTATGTGTATTTGAATAGCGTTAGACCGGTCTTTAAGCCTAGAAAGACGATCATATGTGATCCAGGCCAGACAGAAGACCCAAGGGAAGGAAATCATATAAAGCGTAAAACCAGGGCCATACAAGGCATTTTATGACATAGAGTCATACCTTGCGGCAGGTTTCGGCCAATAGGTAGCAAATAAAAGCAGTTGATCATTTCAATATCCTGTAAAATCTATCCTTGTGCCTTTATGCCCTCCTTGGAGTATACTCTTTCCTCGACACCTATATCCTCATTCCTATAAAGTGTCAGTTCGCAGTCATGAACGCATATCTTGGAGAGGACTGACCAGAGCTCAGGCTTCTCGGCGATGAACTTGTCCATCAGCCCCTTACACTCCGCGTCGTCCACCACCACCACCTCTACGCCTCGCTGGCGAAGATACCCCTCGCCACCTAGAAAGTTCTTGTTCTCGCCGATCACGACTCGGGCAATGCCATAGAGGAGGCATGCGCCAGTGCCTAGTTGGGGAATTAGCTTGTCCATGCGCAAGTGGCACCTTCCGGTCATGGATCTGCCAACTTACACATGTCACACGGCGACAGGGTCGTGTACATGGTGCTGCCCTGGTATGCCTTGGCGGGCAGGCGTCCGGAGTTGTATAGTGCTGACGTCTCGCCCTGTGGGTTCAATTAGAATATGACGCAGGTGAGAGCCATGATTTGAGACGACTGACATGATGGATGGCGGAACCTTGGATTACAGAATCAGTGCCATATTTTGGCTGCAGCTTGACATCCTGAGCGCAGGAGTTCTAGTCACTCACCCAATTGCACTCGCATATTATGCCCTCGCCCAAGCAGCTTTCCGTCTTTGGAGATCAAAGCAGCTCCAATCTAGATCCATGTCAAAAACTCTTGCCCAGCATCACATCTCGAGATGGCTATCGTTGCCGGTAATGTGGGGTGACTGACCGGCACACCACCTTCCTCATACGAGGCCTTGGCCTCCTCGAACGCTATCGCGAGACCTTTTGCATCATCCATGTTGCTTCTCGAATTAATGGACGGGCAGGATCAAAAGTAATGGGCAAGAGAAGGTATCTCAGCGAAAATGTCGTCCCGAAGAAGTCGAGCCATTAGCCCCTCCAACCCCACTTGTATCTTTACGATACTGAATTATCTACAAAACTGATAAGAGCTCAAGTGGCGCTTTCCGACATGACAAACCTCGGCTGGTGAGGTGAATTACGTTTATCATGAACGCGGAAGATATATTCGTCATACTCAGTGTTGCTTTTTCAAGAGTATCTCTTGTAAATAGGAGTTGATTGAAGAGACCTGTTATGGGACGATCGATCCGATCAATTTGCTCGCATATATAGTTTCCCGAGATCATGGCCATTTGGGCCACTTGAATGAACGGTCATTGACTATTACTTGACGATCTATATCTATAACTATCAGTGAGAAAAACTTCAAATCAATATCACTCAACGGCTTTAAGCTCCCAAGTCGCCGTGTCAGCATCGCATTGTCAGCGCCCCCACACCATGCCATTGTTCTTTCAGTGGGCGAATGAGCATTGAGCAACTCACCGAACTAAGACGCTGTAGATATGGCTGACGCCAGCAAAGGACCAGGGGACAAGACCTAGGAAACATGGATATTCCTCCCTAAGATCTGTTCCTCGAGAGTAGTTGATCTTTGTTTATTAGTCATAGCCATCGACATCGAGCACTGCGACATGCTGACCTTACAAAGTGTCTAAATGAATGTACTTGCAATCACGGTAGAGCCACTGGATAGAAATTGGGAGAGTCTGCGTCCTGTGCTAGGTTTCTTTTCATAAAAGGAGTGTGATTTAAGGTCCGATGTTGAGCCTGATACCAGGCGGGCGCTGGGCGCATCCTCCAAAGGCAAACAGCACGGAGTCGGGCGGAGAGACAAATACTGCTGATCAGGGCAAAACAAAAGAAGTTCGGAAGGGCAATAAGCGAAACTCGGACATTCGAAAGGAACAGAACAAGATTGCTTCTCGTACTTATAGTGTGTCCGACCCGGAGCCATAATCCCCCCTCCCGCTCGAGCACAGGCTGACGCCATTGACCTACAGGGGAGAAAAGGAAACAAAAGCTTGCCCTGCTGCAGCAGTTGCTAGACGAGGGCAAGCCGGAGGCTGAGGTAGCTGGTAGTAGCTCCGCGGCAGCCTCCTCGTCGCAGGATGCGCAAAGCCATGCAGCCGTTACGGACTTGGCTACGACTATAATGCCCGCCAGCTCGGAGGGCGCTTCACTTGATCCGATCTTGACTTCAGTTTCTCAAGCATCTGTACCTCTCCAACTCCAGCCTCAGTCATTTGATGATTTGCTATTCGATGATGCGTGGCCTAATCCGTCTCTGACCCAAACTCAAGAGGATGGGCTTTTTGGCGGGCGGTCCTTCGTGATCCGGGACTCTACATCATCTCTAATTGACAATACTCTGAATACTTCGTCTTTCCAATCAACAGATTATCCGATAACCATCCCCCCTGTGCCGTCCCAGCCAGAGGGCTATATAGCGGGCCATTACATCGGAATGACAGAAGCAGGGCATTCAATACCGCCTTCAAATTCACACATCGCGCCTACCATTCCAGTCGAGGCGGATGCTGTCACACACAGCGACTTGTATCTCTCCAATGTGGCCCTGAGCGGAAAAGGAGTCGACCGCGGGTTGTTGGGGTCTATTGAATCCCTACCATCTCCCATTCTCAAGGCGGTCGACTGCTTTGGAAGCCTGAGTCCGAGGGAAAAGCAACGAGTGCTGTCACTGCTCACCCAGAAAACCAATGACACCGAAGCAGCCGACCGAGGCCATCGGTCACGGCCTCCCTCCACAGACAGCGATGAGTCGACGCAGAAGCTAGGGACACTAGGGAGGCTCCTTGACAGGTTGTCTGGGATGGCGATTCCGGATGTCAAGAGGAACGTGCTCCACGTGATGCAGGTTGGTTTTTTCGCTGCCATTTTGGAAAATGCCCTGGCCATTGGCCTCACGCAGAACCACGAGCTCCTCGAGGAGGACGCGCTGAGTCCGTTTGGGGTAGGGGCTCACGCACACCCGCTTGTGATTGCGCAGGCTCGACTGAAGTACTCGAATACCCCGAAAGATCTCCAGCCATTGGATCATCAGATATTGATAGAGCATCATCCGTACATAGTGAGTGTTTCCCCGAACAGCGAGGGCGACAGAGTACGGGTGTCACTAACACGGCCGATTAGGACGTTATCCCCTTTCCCACCTTCAGGGAAAGAGCACTGCAGGGCTTGACCTGTGATCCGCCTCTCTTTGACGAGGAGGAGATGTGTGACGATTTCCGGAGGGATGGCATGATTGTATGGGGTTCACAGGGCAACGGTATGGGGATGGGTGCGTGTACACCGTGGGACATGCGAAGTTGGGAGCCTCAACTCTGGTTTCTGAAGAAGTATTGGTTCCTGGTTGGAGGTTGGGATGACGAGTTGTGGAAAGCAGCGAGGTGGTGGCATACGATGAGGAACGAGAAGCTGAATCTGTCACAGTCATTTACGCATATATGAATAGCAGTCTCTCGTCTGTGTGATCAAAGAAGTGAGGACAAGCCGTTCTGAAGAGCAACAGCATGATCACACGGCATGCCTGGAAAGGCAACACTCGTTTGCGGATTTCTGTGATTGCGATTTGCTGTACCTTTACCTTTGGATGGAGGTGCCATCGCCCGGGCATCTGTTCCAACTTTGTCCACTCAGTATCTGGAGGACAAGACTGGTCAAGGCTGCCACTTGTTGGCAGTTGCCTTTCACTCCGAGGTTGTCAAGTTGCCTAACCAGTTGCCTGCATTTTAGTCTACAGTAGGTAGATCAGAACGTCACAGGCGGCGGACACCCCCTGTCAAGAGTCTCTGTCTGGTTTGCCGACGCCACAGCTGCAACGGATACGGCACGATTCTATTAGATTGGTGTGGCTGTAGTCTGTTAGTGATGAACTGTGCTATACCAGGCAAGGCTCTAGTGCAAACTGCATAGCTGGTCTAAAATAGGTGCATAAGGAGCATGAGCCGGCGGGTTTTGGTGGGGTGGATAAGCCGGGGCAAGGCTGCATAGAAGTCTTGCATTAACAGCATAAGCCACCGTCCAAAGAGTTCCATCGAATTCGATGGGGAGGGGCTGAATCTTTTCGATGGATGCAGTTGGAAACTCGGGACTCTCAGCCTCCTGGTCTTTGCAGGCGGGCATTTTGTAAGCTTTTTCCCAGAGGATCCAACCAGCAGAGGCGACGAGCCAGCCAGCAAGCAAAGCAAGCAAAAGCCAGGCCTACCACCTCCTACCTCTTTTTCTTGAGATCCCTGCTCTATCTAACCACCAAAGACCCTCACCCTCCCGCCTTCATCCCATAAAGTCGGCAACTCCAGAGACATTCTTCCACCTTATACTTTTCTGCCTGGTCTTTCAAGAAAAGGGCGACTCTCTGACGCTGCTGCTGCGCTTGCTTATCTCCAAGACAAGACAGACTCTACCGCCGGCCTCGCAAGCTCGTTCCGAGCCTCCTCACATCTTGTTCTGGTACGTTTTCCCCCCTCCAAAAAGGCTCTTTGTTCTCCCCGACAACGACACTCGAGACTGCGACTTGTCTAGAAGCCAGACTTGTGTCTCTCTTCCCTCTTGATCCGTGTCGCATGCCCGCCGGTGGTTGCCTACTTCACCTGACTGGAACCCTGACTGACTGATTTTGCTCCTGCAGCCCTCCACACTCCTGCGTCACCTCCTGCTCCCGGAGGCCTTCCGACTCACCTCTCACCCGGCTCACCACCTCGAATTCACCGTATCTACCGTTCATATAGAGCGTAAAGATGGTTCGCGAAACCAAACTCTATGACGTCCTGGGGGTATGTAGTTCTCGGCCTGGCCCATCTTGTAATACGTACGGCCATTAACCTGGTCTCTAGGTCGCTCCCACTGCCACTGAACAGGAGCTCAAGAAGGCCTACAAGGTCAATGCCCTGAAGTATCATCCTGGTATGTTCTGCAGGCTCTGACTCGACACCGTCCTTATCGCATTGTTTCTAACCCCCCTTTCAGATAAGAATGCCCACAACCCCGCAGCCGAGGAGAAATTCAAGGAGGTCTCCCACGCCTATGAGATCCTTTCCGACTCCCAAAAGCGCCAGGTGTACGACCAGTATGGTGAGGCAGGTCTAGAGGGTGGTGCCGGCGGCGGCATGGCCGCTGAGGATCTCTTCGCTCAGTTCTTCGGCGGCGGCAGCTTTGGCGGCGGCCTTGGTGGCATGTTCAGCGGCATGCAGAACCGTGGCCCCCCCAAGGCTCGCACGATCCACCACACTCACAAGGTCTCTCTCGAGGATATCTATCGCGGGAAGATCTCCAAGCTGGCCCTGCAGAGGTCAATCATTTGCCCCAAGTGTGAGGGTCGCGGAGGAAAGGAGGGAGCTGTTCGCCGCTGCCCCGGCTGTGATGGTCACGGTATGAAGACGATGATGCGACAGATGGGACCCATGATCCAGCGCTTCCAGACCGCTTGCCCCGACTGCAACGGTGAGGGAGAGATTATCAAGGAAAAGGATCGCTGCAAGCAGTGCAACGGCAAGAAGACCATTGTCGACCGGAAGGTCCTCCATGTCCACGTTGACCGAGGTGTCAAGAGTGGCACGAGAGTCGAGTTCCGCGGTGAAGGCGACCAGGCACCTGGTATACAGGCTGGTGATGTTGTGTTCGAGATCGAGCAGAAGCCGCATCCGCGCTTCACTCGTAAGGATGATGACCTACTCTTCCACGCCGATATCGAGCTTGTGACTGCCCTTGCTGGTGGTACCATCTACGTTGAGCATCTTGATGAAAGATGGCTCAGCGTCGAGATTCTCCCTGGTGAAGCTATCTCGCCAAGTACGTACCCCTTAAGCATACTATGGTTGCTTACTGAGGACTCTTACTAACCCATTCACAGATGCCGTCAAGATGGTGCGTGGCCAGGGTATGCCGTCGTATCGTCACCACGACTTCGGCAACCTCTACATTCAGTTCTCTGTCAAGTTCCCAGAGAAGTCTTGGACTCAGGATCCTGCCGCATTCGAGGCCTTGCGAAAGCTCCTGCCCCCACCTGCGCTGGAGAACATCCCTCCCGCTGATGCCATGACTGAGCCCGCTGATCTTGAGGACATTGACGGCCAATCAGGCGCCAAGGTCTTCGGCGGCGCCGCAGGCCAGGCGATGGATGAGGATGAGGAGGACGGCCATCCTCACGCTGAGCGCGTCCAGTGCGCTTCCCAATAAAGAGAATGCGGCCAGCACAAAATGGTTCGTTCAGGAGATAGCATTTACGGCGTGATGATCTGTCTTTGGCATGACTTTCCTCTACGATACAGCATGGGGAGCTTAGGTGCCATCATCGTCAGACGGCATGGCCACCAGAGGGATGCCTGTCCACTTCGTTGCTGGGCTCATTCGATGACGTTCCCCGAGCAGTTCACTGCTTGGTTTGACTCTGGTGGCCTTCTTGTGCCAAGCGGATCGATACTGGGTCATGATGGCCAATGGTAATGACAAAGTTCAGACGGATAGATGACGAGCTGGCATGCATTTCTTTTGGCTTTCTACCTCCAACATGAAGTATCAGACTCGGTGGCGGCGTTTAGAGGAATAGAAAGGCATTTGAGCTTTAATGGCCGATGTAGAAATCTTTACATTAGCTTTTTCTGCAGTTGAACTTTTCTTGCGCATTGATTCTCTGGTATCTCGACTAAGCTTCTGTGTCTGCCCCGTCTTCAAAGTCCACCTTACGTAGATTCTCCGCTGTGTAAAGTATTTTGCCCAGATCATCCACGGAGAGACCAATGTCTTCATTTTCGGCCGCATCCTCTTCAAAGTGCCCTGCGTTTGCTTGAGAGTCCTTGCCTAATTCTACCACTAATAGTGAAGCCTCCGGTTGGTCAACCGCTACTACCAGTCTGTTATTCTTGGTGGGAGACTTCAGCACTTCAAGACTCAAAGGATTGCCCTGCGTCTCAATTGTGCTCTCATACTGTATTGAGCCATCCCCTGTAAGTCGGAAGCAGAATATTGCGGGAACACTGCACTCATTAGCCAAACAACATCTTCGAAAACAATGGAGGGGGCACAAACCGTTCACATATAGCAAAGATGGAAGTAACCTGGGCGTCCGCACCAAAACTACTCGCTGAACATAGACCAGAGACTGCAACATTCTCTGACTCCTCACAGCTCTTCACTTTCTTCGCGTGTTCCAAGAGCGGTGCCTTCGAAAGCAGCTTTCCCTGTCTCCAGTTCCATGCGTATAGATCTTGGTCGCCACCACCAGATACGAGAAGGCTTGGTTGGTCAACAGGAACACAGAGCTTGTTGATGAACTCGTCGTGTCCGAGACAGTACGCCTCGATAATATGGGTTTGGGGTATACCCCTCGACACGCGAATGTGTTCATCTCGGTCGGCGGTCAAGACATACTGCTTACCGTCTAGGCTTCCCAGCGCGATGTCCGTGAGGAGCGAGACATGACCGAGCAGCAAATTGTGCTCGAATGAAGCGGCCTCAGACTTCGGTATGATTTTCTGCTTTTCGATTTGCTGCTTCTGCATCTCGAGAGCCCTGAGATTGCGACCCGTGTGCACGGTCAACGGGTTTGCTGATGGGGCGAAGGTTCTAGAGGGAGTTGGAGTCGATGACTCCCGTGCCGGAGTGTCTGACCTAGGCTTGTCTGATGGGATGAGAGGCAGAGAATAGACATCGCCGAACTTGTCTGCCGAGAGCAAGGTCTTGTTGTCTGGCGTGATCACAACCGAACATGGCCGCTTGGGCATCTGCCTACAAAGCTATGAGATTGAGTCCTACGACAGTAATGACAGGAGATGTACCGCTGACTGAGCTGCTTCAAGTTCCCTGCAAGATCGTGCTCGAATACCCAGATCGTCTTATCCTGCCCGCTAACCGCGACGATGTACTGTCCATTATTCGTCGCCGTAAGAACTTGGATGAATGGTCTTTCTGACGGGCCAGAAGCAGCATGTGCCCGCCTGTTTGCCTTCTTCTCAGAGCCCTTGGCCTCTCCATGCTTGCCATCCTCCTGGGTCTGCTGCTGTGCTGGTTCAGGGGTATCGTCGAGCCTTACGCGCTTTGCAGGTGGGCCCTGGTCTTGCTCAGGAGATACTTGTGATGAAGCGACAGCACTTGCTACCCCTTCACCCCCTGTGTAATCGCTTTTTGATTTGCCATTGGCCTGATTTGTCACGGGATGTCTCCAACTTGAGATGTAAGAGCCGTCCTCGATCTTGAATGAGTGGAGGTTACCCCCACGGGCCGCGAACAGAATGTCGTCGCGGGCCAGCACACACTGAAATGGCAGCTTCATGGTAAATGAGATCGTCTTCATCAATGAACACCGTCATGCATTTTGATAGACACCTTGTTGTACATGAGTCTCAAAGTCGAAGCAGTCAAGTAAATTTCGAGATATCACATGCTTCTGCACGTGATTGGAAGAAACGCTTGGCGGTAACTACCAATCGAAGCTTTCCTAAGTCGGCAAGCCCCACCAAGCCCTACCGTTCAGGACGGACGATGCGCACAGCAAAATTGCGTGTGGAGGAATCGCTGGTGGAACTTTTTCGAAACCTTCATATCTCGACCGACCGACCAAACCGAGTCACCCATAAATCACATCAACATTCCGTTTGCCCTTAAACATCCTGCCTTCACGATAAGAAGATATGGGGGGCAAATCTAGCAACAAGGCCGGCTACTTCGACAAGCTCAAGGGCTTGTTGGAGGAGTACAAGTCCATCTTCATCGTCTCCGTCGACAATGTCTCTTCCCAGCAGATGCACGAGATTCGCCAGGCCCTCCGTGGTGATGGTATTGTCCTGATGGGCAAGAACACTATGGTGAGTTTGCGCGAGAGGGATCGAGATCGGTTCTTGTAGCAATATTGGAAAAGCCATTTTGCTGATTCTCTGTCGAAATAGGTTCGCCGTGCCCTGAAGACCTTTATCCCCGATGCGCCCGAGTACGAGCGTCTCCTGCCCTTCGTCAAGGGCAACGTTGGTTTCGTCTTCACCAACGCCGACCTCAAGACCATCCGTGACAAGATCCTGGAGAACAAGGTCGCCGCCCCTGCCCGTGCTGGTGCCGTCGCCCCGGTCGATGTGTGGGTTCCCGCTGGCAACACTGGTATGGAGCCCGGCAAGACCTCCTTCTTCCAGGCTCTCGGTGTCCCCACCAAGATTGCTCGTGGTACCATTGAAATCACGACTGATCTGAAGCTCGTCGAGGCTGGTGCCAAGGTCGGCCCCTCTGAGGCCACCCTGCTCAACATGCTCAACATCTCTCCCTTCACCTATGGTATGGGCGTCACCCAGGTCTACGACCAGGGCAACACCTTCCCCCCTGATGTCCTGGACATCGGTGAGGATCAGCTGCTGAAGGCCTTCTCCTCGGCCATCACCACCATTGCCTGCATCTCCCTGGCCCTGAACTTCCCCACCCTGCCCTCCGTCATCCACTCCATTGTCAACAGCTACAAGAAGGTTCTCGCCGTCGCTGTGGAGACCGAGTACAGCTGGCCCGAGATCGAGGAGCTCAAGGACCGCATTGCCAACCCCGACGCCTACGCCTCCGCTGCCCCGGTTGCTGCCGCTACCACCACGGAGGCCGCTGCCGAGGAGAAGGAGGAGGAAAAGGAGGAGGAGTCCGACGAGGACGATGGTGGTTTCGGTGGTCTCTTGTTCGTGCATCCGCCCCCAGTTGATCAGGATTACGTGCTAACAGGGATTTTAGCGACTAAACGTCATGATGGCATATGGACGGTGTTTCTGGACTGGCAAGACTCTGGACTTTGGTCGGACTTATCGGTTTATTTAACAAGGAATGCGACAACCAGATCAGGTTGCAATCAATTGAAGCTATTGCATCTGGTCCAGAACGTTGAATCCCCTCATCTCGACATGTGACAGCAACATACCGGAATGTTGACTCCTCCCACGCTGAAAAGGTTAGCCTGCCATTTTATTGTCCCCTGAATCCGCCCACTCCCAAGTGTCAAAGATTATACAACAAACACAAAGAGCTTTTTAACCCTGAACTTTTCTGATGACAACCCATCACCACCCTATGAGACACAATCCCTATGTCCGATATAATACATCTCCGACAACCGCAGTGGGGTATCATTGCTAACAACCGTCAAAGCCCAGATTCTAATGTACATTTGTGCCCTATCCTACAGTTGTGCCCATCCGGGACTTGATCTTTCCGTTATGTTGTACAGCGTTCCCCTTCGTAGTATCACCCATGACCTGCTGAGCCACCTGTATAGCTTGCTCTGGCAACCCAGCCAGCCTTGCGACTTTGAGCGCGTGGCTCTGTCGATTGATGCCTTTCCGTAGTCTGTGAACGTAGACAAACCCACCGTGCTCGTCCTCCTCGACGTCAGTGCAATACGTCTCCACGATGCCCTTGTCGCCGCCGTCAGCGACGCGCATGCCGTGATCTGCCACCAGGTCCGCAATGGTATGGAAGTGCGTTGCGAACAGGGTCCGGGACTTGTTGATCGTGGCCAGATGATGGAGACAGGCAAAGGCGACCGCGGCGCCGTCCTCGGGCGTCGTGCCGCGCCCGATCTCGTCCATGATGACGAACGACCGCGGCGTGGCGTACCGCAGGATCTGCGCCGTCTCCAGCATCTCCACCATGAACGTGCTCTGGTCGCGGTAGAGGTTGTCCGCCGAGCCGACGCGGCTGAAGATGGCGTCCACGATGCCCAGCTCGGCGTAATCCGCGGGCACGTAGCACCCTATCTGCGCCAGGATCGTGATCAGCGCGTTCTGCCGGAGAAAGGTGCTCTTGCCCGCCATGTTGGGCCCGGTGATCAGCCACAGCTGCCCGTGGGACGGTGCGCCGACGAAGCAGTCGTTCCGTGTAAAAGACCGGCCGGCTTCCTGCAGCCCGCCTTCGACGGTGGGATGCCTGCCCCCGACAATTGTGTGCGCCGTGCTGTGGTTGAGAACGGGCCTAGTCAGGCTCTGCTCGATGGCCAAGCGCGCGAAGGATGTCGTAATATCCAGCTCGTCAAGAACCGCCGCATTCCGCCGCAGCTTCACAATATTGAGCACAACCTGTTGACGGAGTTGTTGAAAAACGCGCTGCTCTTCAGCTCGGATCTGAAAGCGGACTTGGTCTAGTTTCTGACCCAGTTTGGTCCATTCTGGGAGATGAAAGGAGCGCGTCGTCCGACTGGAGCTGATGGCCTTGATATCTGTGACATTGCGGGTATCTTTGCCCTTGATGTGGCAGATATGGCCGAGCCCAGGACTCCATCGCAGTGTGAGACTGGATGCCCCTAGCCGCTCTTTCAATGTCTCGCTTAGCAACGCCTTCTCCTCCCATAGAGATGCAAGTTCGGCGTGCAGCCGCCTGAGGCCGGGACTCGCTTCTGCTCTCATGACCCAGACCTCATTGTCTTCGCCGTAGTAATCCTTCAGTGAAGTGGCCTTTTTCTTCTTCGCAGCAGTCTTGGGCAGCGCCGACGAATCGTCCGGTTCGCCTTCAGTGCCAATCACTTCTTGCGCCAGTGCTATCATCTCTCCGGCTTCGATGTCTTCAATTTGGTGCTGCTGGACGAGTCCCTCTTCATCAATTGCCTCCCTGATACGGCGGGCTAGAGCCAGTGGCTGGTCAAGGCTGATGCGGCCCACCATGACTTTGAGACAGTCATTGTCCTGATTGTCGGCAGAAGCATTTCCCCTATCGAGCATAGAGACAATGTCCTCCGTGGCCTTAATGGTGTTAGCAAGCCCCAAGAGATCATCGGCATCCCCACGGCCCAGAGCAAACTTTTGGACAAGCCGTTGTGAGTCATGGCTTCTACGCAGGAGGAGAATGAGGCCATCCCGCAGTGTTTCATCCTGAATGAAACGCGCCACGAGGTCTTGCCGGAAGCCGATGGTTTCCAGGGACGTCGATGGCGCGCTCAGCCACTCGTTGAGCAGCCTGGCGCCACTTTTTGTCACGGTGCGCCTGATGGCATGCAGCAAGCTCCCTCGGAAGACGCTGTCCCTGATTGTCTGTTTGACCTCCAGTGATCGCATGCTATTTTTGTCAATGTTCATGACCTGCATTGTCTCGTGACGGAGCGGAGGCTGCAGCTTCATGCTGATCCCCTGGAGCCGGTCCTTTACGTAATGCAGCAGAAGACTGCCGGCCTTGACTTCATCGCCGGTGAAACTGTTTAGTGCATGCGGCGGTATCTCAGATTCAAGCATGGGTGTCCAATCGGACAGGGACGCCAGGTCACCTTGAGGCGTGTACGTGATGAGGTGCTTCTCCTCAGCCAATATGGAGAACACATGGTGGCTTCGGTTGGTCTGGAGATCTTCGTCCAGCACAACTTCCCTTGGACAGACGCGAGATAACGTCGACCCTAACGACGATAGTGTGGTGGACTGAGTGAAGAACTGGCCAGTGGACAGGTCCAGCCACGCTAGACCTATAGGTGAGGAAGGACTGGAGAGGTCTGTAGGAGATAGATTACTATGGGCATCTTTTTCGATAGGCGTCTCCTCGGCATGGTCTTGCTCCGGAAGGTGGATGGCCATAACATAGTTGCTGGCATAGGGATCCATAAAATTCTCATCGATCAGGGTTCCAGGGGTGATGATGCGAGCAACTCGGCGGTCATGCATCAGGCCACCTGACTTTACCTTCTCAGAGGCATCATTGGGAAACTCCTCAGCGATAGCAACGTATCGGCTCAGGTCCTGAACTAGTATCCTAAGGAAGCGATCTAACTGGAAGAAGGGAAACCCGGCCTAGCAATCCATCAGAAACGTGTACCTCCATAAACAAAAACATACGATGGGCCAGGCGGGGGAGAGGGATAGGGAGAGAAGAGATAGGTACTACCATTGGGACAGGGCCGGCGCTGGTCTTCTTCTGAGCAACCTTGAGGTTCAGGAGAGGCCCGTACTCCTCGGCATGCTCAAAGTACAGCTCGTAGAAGCCACCGACGCGGGTCAGCAGGACGCAGTTGTCAAACTTCTGCATATTACGCCGAGCCTGTAACACCACGGTGGGATACGCGGGGGCCGCCTCCTCGGCTGGGAGAGGCTCTGCGTGGATCGCGCCTTGGGGGAGGTCATTGAGCGTCACGACCGTCTTGGTCTTCTTGCCCCGGATCTGCTGGTGCTGCTGGTGCTGCAGTAGCACCACCACGCTTGACGGCCATGGTCTCCTCCTGGCAACGGCGCAAAGACTTGGCCGAGAAGAGGAAGAGGAGTAGTGACAGACCGATCCACCAGCCGCCGCCCCGCGATGTAGACGAGGCAGATAGGGTGAGCGGGTGGCTACATGGTCATGGTCATGGTCATGGCGGCTCGAGGGCAGCCAGATGGTGGCAACGGGAACGGCCCTAGACGCCACATGTGGTTCGGGACTGACGATTCGTGAGCGAACAACTGGCGCCAGACGTAGGTTTGGCATCAAGATGGCCTGTTCCGGCAGTGGTGCTCTGGGTGCGATGGAGTGACGTGCAGGAGGGTGGTCTAGACCATTAATAAGTTAAGGTACGGTACGGGACAGTAGCTCGTAGGTAGGTACGGAGGAATGCGACGGTGCTAGGTAATGATGCCCGGCAGGGTAGTGAGAAAAGTACGTACCGAAATTTACCTTCCGTTAGGAGATGAACGGTATACCTAGGGGATACGCACGGAGATACGGTAAGGATGACAGGCCCGGCAGGGTGTTATAGGGCAAAAAGTCTACGATTCTTAGGCTGCCTTAGGGGCGGGAACTTTGAAGGGAGCAATGCGGAGAGGATAGGGGTTGCGCCAACGTGATCTGGCGAAAATGTTAAGGAACAAGAGAACAAGCCGGAGGAGAAGGGCCCAAAATCGTGTGGTTCCAGGCCAGAGTCAAGCAATTTACAGCGCGATGGCGCCTCGCATGTGCCACAGGGCTCCTCCTACATGTACAGCTGCTGCCGGCTGTAGCCCAGTAACTCGATCGTCTGACAGCTGGATCTCGAATTGACACACTGTGCCGCATCGCTTCTTCTCAGCCGTCGCCACCCTAATCAAGTGCGGAAGGGCACTGTATATTTACTGTGCTCACTCAGGAAGTACTTCGGAGCGACTGAACGGGGCTCTTCAGATCAGCAACCAGAATCACGACTCAATCACTCAATTCATCATGACATTAGTTACCCGGGATCCAGATACGAATCGTGTCCGCCAACTCGCCTTCCATGTCAACTGCACAGTGTTGGAATATGATGTGCTTGTCTATACAACACACACAAGCACAACGTTCGAGATATTGCTGGCCTCGGGTGATGTCGCATTGTGCATAAGTTTTGGTAATTTGAGATATGGCCCATTGTATGGTAGACTTGAAGAAGAGTGGCTACCATGTGTAGGCAGTCTGGAGATGAGAATGTCGCAACTCCAAATCGAGCCACATTTGATCAAATTCCAAATTGACCACGGCGACGACAAACAAGGGCCCGCTGCCAGAAACAAACGCCCTGCCGCGGGGATCGACATGATGGACGTAGATCGGGTGCCAGGAACCGTGGGATACACAGTAGTAATCGCATGGTAGATATGGAGATACTGGTACAGCATGGCATGTATAATGTATGCATGTGTCTATGTGTGTATGTCCCTGTAGCCAGCCATCCATCCATCCCAGGAAAAGCCTCCTTCACGCGGGGGACCGCTGCCGTGCCCGCGCCGGGTGGTGCAAGATTGGCCTTGCTGCCAGATCTCGCACATTCCTGGTCCTGGTCTAGCCCAGTCTGAGGAAAGGCTGTTTGAGTTCTCCCTCTCTTCTTCTTCTCTCTCTCTCTCTCCCTGTGCGGTAGGTAGACGGAGAGCGGAGGAGGAGACAAAAGGCGAGATAGAGTCGAGAGTTGAGAGTTGAGTGCCAGCAGGGGGTTTGCCAGCGAGGGAATTGGCGAGGCCAGAATGACCCAATAGTGGCCCGATGTGTCTAAGGGACGCTGGCCCGCCGGTGGCTGTCATTTGCCCGCCCTGGCCCCTACAGCGAAACACGCTGTCGGCATCGACCGATACGGCCGCCTCTGCCACCACGCCTCGTACCATTTCTCCCAGCGCCGTCATCCTGCCCGCGCCGTCTGCTCCAAAGAATCGAAAGACGCCCCCGCCGGGCCAGCCTGTCCGCGCCTGTCTGCGCCTTTAGCTCTCTCCTCCAGATGGACCCATGAACCCATCAAATCTAACCTTGATACCGGAAATCCGGTGCTTATGGCCCCTCTGTACGTACGAGGGCGACCACCTTTAGGTAGGCACTCCGCTGAGCTGAGCCGTTCTGGTCTGCTCTGGCCTGGCTGGTCTGGTCTGTTCCGTTGGCCTGCAAGCGCACCACGGGCGGCCCTTTTCTTGCTCAAAGTGACAACCAGGCCGGTCGGTATAAATCATCTCGCCTCTCCTATCCCCCACCCCTTCGCGGGGAACACAGTCTGTTCTCCCTCCTGTATACACACGTCGTATTGCTCGCAGTGCTCCGTTTCCTCATCCTCTCCTACTACCTACGGAGTGGTCCATCCCAATATCCGAACAGGCAAGCTGCCTCTCGTCAGTTAGGTACTTGCATATCAGATACACATACACATATACCAAGAGTGTGGTGGAGCAGTTCCTAGTATCACCCCATCTCACATTACAAACTCACAACAACAAAAAGGGGACATGGCCACATCGATGCCGCTACCCCTAAACCCTCACGTCCCGGTCACACCTCCACCGGACCACCAAACCTTCATCAAGCCTGAAGGCCCTCCGTCTCCCCAGAACCTCAAGTCGTTTGTGCAGGGCGTATACGGGAGCATGGAAGCAAAGCTACAGGCACAGGCAACCCTATCATCGGCGGCAGCAGCGGCAGTACCCGCCGCCAAAGACGCACAGAAGGCGACGGACCCGACGGCAGCAGCCCTCGACCCAAAGTACGTCGCCATGGTGTCACGGATCGCGTCCTACTACCAGCAGCGGTGCCAGGCCGTGGCCAACTTCCAGCAGCAGAGATGCCAGGCCTGGGCGAACATGCACCGGCAAAAGTGCCAGGAGATGATGCAGGCGGCGATGCTCGTGGTCGCCTGGTACATCCGAGACCGCATCAACCGCCGGCGGAGGAGGCAGAAGCGCCACTTCCGCAAGGGCCTGTCCGAGAGGGTGTCCCGGAACAGGGTCACCAAGGGCGAGTCTGTGCGGAGATGGGTCCTGAACGTCCCCGAGGGCGCGCTGTCGCCGAATAACCCGGTCAGGGAGATGTTCGCCGACGACGGAGAGGCCTCGTTCGATATCGACAAGGAGGTGCTCCCGGACAAGGACACCAAGCTGTTCAACGTGGCAGACAACCTCATCAAGAGGCAGCTCTGCAAGATTGACGTCCCTCTGATGGGCGCCCTCTCCTTCGACGAGAGCGACAGCGAGAGCGAGGAGGAGGAAGAGCCCGAGGACATTGAGCTCGAGGAGGAAGACATCGAGGATGATGACGACGACGAGGAAGAGGACGATGATGCGGATGATTATGAAGACGAAGATATGGAAGACGGCGACGACATCGGCTCGGAGTTGGTCCAGCACGGCACCGGGGGCGGCAGCCGCAAGCGCACCCGGACATCCAGTTCCGGTTGATTGGGCATCGTTCCGGCGTTACTGCGACACAGAACACACACTTGATGCGGGCATGATATATGACTTGGGAATGAGTTTGTGTGTGTACATATAGGCACTTCACTTTACCTTACAGGGCGTTTCAAGGCTGAGCTGGACTGGGCTGGGATCGGGGTTTGCATGATGATGTCTGCTAATTTACCTCAAAGATACCTCTTCCATAGTAGAGGAATGGACGGTTTTCCATTCTAAATAAATGATTCTCCTCCCGACAAATCGCATTCCGCTCAATATGCAAATTGATTGCTCCCCCCGGAGGCTTTAGGTCGTTCCTGGCTGGCGGCTTCATAGCCGCGCTTCTAGACCAGGTGATCCCAAGTTATTTTGACTTAGATTTTCAACATCGTATCTATGAGTAACGATCGCCGTTGCTGCCTCTTTCGTTGATGACTATCGGCATTGATATACTTGGAAATGCGCTCATTTTGAGAGACTTATCTCAAAGAGAGACTTATCTCAAACCTGCTCTAGCGCTATAAGGTTGGAATAGAGTCGGCGCAATGTCTGGTTTATTCGAGATGTCGAGTCGATCCGATGACCACAATATCGGAATTATTGAATGGTAGGCAGAATCCCGGCTCTGAACAGCGAGGTTGTATTGATGACGCCTTGTGTCCCCCTGCATACCCATGTTCACCTACATTTATGATCATCTATCCACCGTTGTGCTCCCCATCGTCGTTCTCGCGTGGCTGTCTGTCCCTACAAGTCTCTACTATCATTGATGTGGGCAGTAACACAGCATTAAAGCAGCCCATCATATTGAATTTCCACGATTGTCTCAACAGCCCTGCAATTAACACACAGAGGACATTGAGCCTCTCTGCCTTGAGGTTGACTTATATAGTTCTAGTCCTCACCTTCCATTTGAGTGCGGTCTTATGCGACTCTAAGTTTAGTTAGCCGGGGCACTAACAATCCAGCGACCTTCCGCAAGCAGGCTTATGACAATCGGGAACTGGATCTGCGGTCCCAGTGGCTGGGCAGTTGATCACACACCCGCCGGGGCACACACCACACACCGATTAGAGGCCCCTCACGACCCCGCATAAGTTGGGCTCCCGCCGCTCCTGCAGTGCAGCACAGCGCGGCCAGTCGTCGGCGGGACAGGTGACGGTTCGAGCTAAGACTTAGACGGGTATCGGCAGGAGGAAAGTACAGGTATGGTAGGTACTTGAGGTATGGTAGTGTATGCTGTGCTGTAACAGAGCAGCGACAACCCCTCCTATCTGACACTGACCGACTGGGTGTATGATAGGTAGTCATGTAGTGGAGTGGGGCCCTCCTCGTTCCTGTTGACGTACCTGACCTTACCTTACTGTGTACTTACTTACCGGGTAGAGCTCCCACAGCTTTAAGCTGATCGTCTCCTCCCTCTCTTCTTCTCTTCACTTCCCATGCACTCTCATCGTCAGCTCAATGAGCCAATGGCTGGTTTGGGGCATCTACTAAGTTGATTGTTCATTCGTTACTTGCATCATTTTGTTGGTTTCCATCCGCAGCCTCCCCGCCCGTTACGTTACCGTTAACTCCAGCCACCTCTTACACACCACCTATACCTACGTAGGTTGATGAAACCGCTACGAAGACCGCACCTCATCCCCGGCACTCGGAGCTGCTAGAAACCTCACGCCTGCTTCACCTTCGTTGCACAAACCTCATCACCCTCTGCTCACGTTCGGCCGGCCGTCCCGCAGAGAACGGGCTTCCTTCGCAACAATCACAGCGCAGCAATCATGGGAGGCGAACGTGCCGCTCTGCCTAAGCAGAAGACCTCCTACCCCGTCCGGGCTCCCAAGCCCGTGGGGAAGTGGATAGAGAACATCTACAGAGACAAGATTGGCCAATTCTACGGCAAAGGACAATATGAACACCAGAACCTCGTTGCGTAAGTTGGAACACTTACCACCGCCGATTTAACATTCCGTCTCTAATGCCTTTCTTGCAGAATGCTCGTGGAGGGCGAAGCCTCCGGGGAGCCCGCCGTCAAGATATCGGTGTGGTCCGCCCCCGATCTATCTCGTCCCACCTTTGAGGAGGCAACCTCCCATGAGTTCAAGCCAACCCGCGTTGGAAGCGTCTACGGCCCGTCCTGGTCCACCCATTGGTTCAAGGTGGTGCTCACTGTACCTGAAGAGCTTCAAGATAAGGAGGTACTCGAGTTTCACTGGGACGCAAACAATGAAGGTTTGATCTGGTCCGAAGAGGGCCATCCATTACAAGGTCTCACCGGCCGCGGTGAAAGAGTCGAGTGGGTCTTACCCAACTCCTACCGCGATGGCAAGGAACACACGTTCTACGTTGAGATGGCCTGCAACGGCATGTTTGGCAATGCGCCTGGTGGTGACTCCATTCAGCCACCTGACCCAAACAAGCGCTTTGCTCTTTCTGTCGCTAAGATCGTCGCCGTCTTCGAGCCTGCTCGCCAGCTTTGGATCGATACGTGGATCATTGGCGATGCTGCTAGAGAGTTTCCTGACAACTCGTGGGAGCGACACAAGGCCCTCGACGTTTGCACCAGAATCATTAATACCTTCGTACTCGGTGACAAGGACTCAGTGAGAGAATGCCGCAAGATTGCCCAGGAATACCTTGGCCCAGATGTCGACTCGTCAAAGGTATACGACACAGACAAGGAGCCGATTGTCTACGGCATTGGCCACTGCCACATTGACAGCTGCTGGCTGTGGCCTTTTGCGGAGACCAGGCGCAAGGTTGCACGTTCCTGGACGAACCAGTGCAACCTCATGGAGCAGTATCCCGAGCTGAACTTTGCCTGTTCCCAGGCACAACAGTACAAGTGGCTGCGTGATGGATATCCTACTGTTTTTGACCGGGTTAAGTCCAAGGTCAAGGGAGGACAGTTTCATCCTATCGGTGGCAGTTGGGTAGAACATGACACAAATATGCCCAGCGGAGAATCGCTCGTCCGTCAGTTCCTATACGGCCAGAGGTTCTTCGAGAGTCATTTTGGACAACGCTGTCAGACGTTTTGGCTTCCTGACACTTTTGGATACTCTAGTCAGCTGCCACAACTGTGCCGATTGGCTGGCATGAACCGATTCCTAACCCAGAAACTCAGCTGGAACAATATCAATAAGTTCCCCCATACCACTTTCAATTGGATCGCCTTGGATGGAAGCCAGGTCATTTGTCATATGCCTCCCGCAGAGACGTACACAGCTGAGGCGCACTTTGGAGATGTGAAGAGGAGTTTGTCTCAGCATAAGTCTATGGATCAAGACCATACCTCTTTGCTTGTGTTTGGCAAGGGAGATGGCGGTGGTGGCCCAACCTGGCAGCATATCGAGAAATTGCGCCGTTGCCGAGGTATCAGTGACAAGGTTGGCTTGTTGCCAAGGATCCACATGGGCAACTCCGTGGACGACTTCTTTGACAAGCTCGAGCTTAAGGCTGACAAACTTGTCACTTGGTACGGTGAGCTGTACTTCGAGCTTCACCGAGGCACTTATACGACTCAAGCCAACAACAAGCGAAATAACCGTCAGTCTGAGGTCATGCTCCGAGACATCGAGCTGCTTGCCACCATTGCTTCTGTAAAGGACACATCGTACAAGTATCCAAAAAAGGAGTTAGATGACATGTGGGAATCTGTTCTACTGTGTCAGTTTCACGATTGTCTGCCTGGAAGCTCTATTGAGATGTGTTATGATGATTCAGACGAGGTATGATGCCATTTACCGTCTCTTGGGAACGTCCTACTAATTGATGTATCTCGATAGATCTATGCAGAGGTCTTTAAGACCGGAAAGCGTCTCTTAAAGGAACTCTATGATACCCTTGGTGTATCTGAGGTTGCTGCGACTCGCGTCGGAGACGGCGTGGCTCTCAATACGCTTCCTTGGCATCGTAAGGAGTTGGTCGAGATCTCTGAGACCGAAGCTGCTGTGGCCTGCGGCCAGGGTCCTCTAGTGGACCTTCGAACTTTTAAGACATCAGAGTCTGAGAAGTCAGTCTCCATCAAAGAGGTCTCGAAAGGTGTCTTCGTTTTGGAGAATGAGCAACTACGGGTTCAGGTGGACAACGGATGCATCACTTCTCTTTATGACCGCCAGGTTGATCGCGAGGTCATTGCCGAGGGCGGCAAGGCGAATCAGTTCGTCATCTTTGATGATAAGCCACTGTACTGGCAGGCCTGGGACGTTGAGGTTTTCCATCTGGACACCAGAAAGGAGTTGCCCTGCGGAACTTCCACAATATCAGAGGACAAGTCGCACCGAGTCAGCGTCAAGACACACATCAAGATTTCCGACGAAAGTAGTATTGAATCCACCATTAGCTTGTCGGCTGCGGTTAAGGGCCAGCAGTCGTTCGTCGAGGTGTCCGCCGACGTGGACTGGCACGAGACTATGAAGTTCTTGAAGGTCGAGTTCCCAGTTGATGTTAGAAACACTGAGGCATCGTATGAAACCCAGTACGGTATTGTCAAGAGACCGACTCACTACAACACAACGTGGGATATGGCCAAATTTGAGGTGTGCTGCCACAAGTTCGCGGATCTTTCCGAGAATGGGTACGGCGTGTCTATCTTGAATGACAGCAAATATGGCTTTGCGACCTGCGGCAACTTGATGCGCTTGTCTCTGCTCCGTGCCCCCAAGGCTCCTGACGGTCACGCAGACATGGGTAAGCACCATATCCGCTGGGCCATTCTGCCTCACGAAGGCGCTCTGGGGCCCACCACGGTCCGCAAGGCCTTCGAGTTCAACAATCCGCTCAAGCTGCTCTCAAAGCCCAAGAGCTCCGCTCTGGCCACAAGCACTCCCCTAAAGCTGACTGGTGATACCGCTCTCATTCTCGACACCGTCAAGCGTGGCGAGGACGATGAGGACGTCAGCCGTGGCGAACTTCCCAAGAGGAAGGGCCAGAGCGTCATTGTGCGAGTCTACGAGAGCTTGGGTGGTCGCGGCCGCGGCACCATCGAGACGACATGGAATGTCAAGAAGGTCTCCAAAGTCAACCTGCTGGAGGATGATGGCGAGGAGGTTGAGTACGAAGATGGGAAATTTGATATCGTGCTTAAGCCTTTCGAGGTAGCAACTTATCGCCTGCAGTTGTAGAGTTATATGAGGACATGCAGGCAGCGTTATAGCGAAGGAGGGATTGTATAGTATAATAGCGTCTTTTGGAGTTATGGTTAAATATGCAAACATCCAAAATTGTTGACAATGTTTCGTTCGCTTTGAGTAAATTCGAACAGTGATAATGCTAGGATATATCCTAAGGTCTCTGAGATGGCAAGGTGTGCCGTCGCCAGAATACAAGGTCCATTCCGAAGTCATGTTTTCCCACGCTGGTACGAAAGATATAATACAGGAACATGCATACAGCCATCACTCTCATTCAAGGGGAATCATCGGGCAGCTCATCCAACACCTTCTCGACAATGTCAATCAGCTCGTCAATATCCGGCCGCTCGCTGGGCTCGACCTTGAGACACCTCCGCACGACCTCCCGGATGGGCTCGCTGATGCTCGTGTCGTCCGCGCCGGGGCTCGCCGCCGCCGCCGCCGCGGCGGACTCGCTCAGCCCCGTGCCCGTCCGCTTCGCCTTGCCCTTCTTGGCGCCGGGGCCCTCGTCCGGGAAGCGCCAGTCGCCGCCGAGCACGCAGATGCTGAGGGAGCCGCCGGTCTCGTCGCTGCGCATCTCGAACGGCGACTTGCCGACGAGGCAGGCGTACAGGGTGCAGCCGAGCGACCAGATGTCGACCTTGGTGTCGATGACGGCGCCGGTCTTGACGTCGAAGAGCTCGGGCGCGCGGTACGGCATCGTGCTGTGCTCGGCGGCCGTGTCCTGCGTGGCGATGGCCAGGGACCGCGACGTGATGGGCAACGGCGACGAGGCGATGCTGCCGAGGTCCATGAGGATAGGTGTGCTGCCGTTGTCGTCTATCATGATGTTTCCTGCAATGGAATGGTTGTTAGCTGCTTGGGATCTGTCCGGTCGGCATAGGCATGCGCTGTGGCCGTGACTTACCGGGCTTGATATCCCGGTGGGCATAGCTCCGGACTTGGCCCTCTGGTACACCCTCCTCTTCACTCATCAATGGCCGCTGCTGCTCCGTCTCGTCCTCTTCATCTGTAGCGGCCGCCTGAACCGCCCTCTTCCCGCTGCCCTTCGTAATTGCGACATTCTCATCGACGCCGTTGACCCGCATCTCCATCCTCTCCCCTCCCCCGGCCGCGCCGCCTCCCCTGTACTGGTGCATGTTCCGCAGGCCCTTGCACACGCCGAGGAACAGCTGCATGAGGTGCTTCTCGGGGAAGCGGGTGTGGTTGACGAGGTTGGCGTTGATCAGGTCCTGCAGGTTGCCGCGGCGGTAGTACGGCAGCAGCACGTAGACGGTCTTGCTCGAGGGGTCGTTGCGCTCGCTGGCGATGCTGTAGTCGACGCTGTGGATGATGCCGGGCGTGCGCCCGAACAGCTTGTAGGCGTCGACCTCCTTCATGGCCTGCGCCACCGACTCGGCGCCGAACGGGCATCGGATCTTCTTGAGCGCAAACAGCTCCGACGTGCTGGTGTCCTGCACGAGGTAGACGTAGGAGAAGCCGCCCTGTGCGAGTGGGGAAAAAAGGAGCCGTCAGCACATCGTCCGGATAGCTAGGCCAAATCGGCCGATCCCCGGGACAGACTCACCTCGCCTAGTAACCGCAGGATCTTGAAGCTCCGGCTGTTGATCTTCAACGTCGGCGAGCCAGGGAAGCAATTGAGGCAGTTACCCAAGCTGTAGAATAAATCGAGAAGAACCTGGGCCATGATGGCTGATGGCGCCGCAAGATCAGCGGGCAGATGTCGTCGTCAATGCTGAGTTCTTTGCTTCCAGCTTCCAGCTTCGTCAGCTGAGGCTTGGTGTTTCTGTCAGAGCTTGGTAGGACCCAGCCAAGAGATACGTCGTGGTGAACGACGGAACACGCGATTCGGCACTCGTGGGTTGCGCAGAGACGTCTCGGGGTATCGAATTGATTGAAGAGAAAACGCAGGGTCAGATCGTCGTGATGTCGAGTTGTGTATGTTCGAAGTTCGGGGAAAGTGGTCAAGAGTTGGATCTTGAGCGTCGCGTACTGTAGGGACTGATGTCGGGGTGTCTTGTAAGACGCTGGAGCCAATTGCGACTGGCGGGCCGCTTGCGCCACATAATGCTCCAACTAGCCCACCACATGCTGCAGGGGTCCATTGCTAAAATTGGCTGCCGTCCACGAGGCTTAAATAGAGACTATCTGGCAGAAGCGTGGTGATTCAGATACCGACCAGTTCGAGTGATATCTTAATGCCCGCCATTCCCCTGAGCTAGATTGACGAGCAAAACACTCGAAAGGCAGGTCAAATTGGGGTTGTAATATATTAAAATCATAAAATGAGCTACAACGGCGAGGTATCTCAATTGGGCCGAAACTCCCAAAGAGCATGGGCAACAAATTAGTCAAACATTGCTCCCGGCAATCCTGAAGAAGCCCCGTCCTTCGCATCTGGAAGCTAAATGTGATGTAAGTATGTGGTATCATCGCTATAAAATGCCATGTCTTCCCCCGGGACCCTTTTTGTGCGTGCAGTGGTGTACAACGAGCCTGTTGTTACAAGTATTAGAAAACTAGAGAGGGACGGACGATCTCGTCACGTCCGTTCATGGACAACTTCGTCTCCCGTGGTTCTTTACCCCTTTCCTTGCCAACAGTCGTCCCTCATCCCGCATCCCGTCATGTATTAAAATATCAGTAGCAAGTCCGTAGTCGTTTAGAAGGCATCCTCAAATGGACAGTCGACGCTATCATGGCCATCTCGTTCACACAGAGCGCACCACTTGCCAGCATCAATGACGCCGCTCTCCTTGCCGGCGACCGGTCCTGATTCCATCGGATTTGGCAAGATGTTGATAGTGGGCGGGACGCTAGTAGGCGCCTTGGTCTTGATAGGCGACAGCGGAGCAGGTTTAAACTCCTCCTGACCTGTGTTCGGTGTCAGTCCCTTCAAGCCTTCGCGTACCACATCCTTGCCAGTCTTCGAGTCGCCGTTGGTAGTGGTCTGCTCGGTCTGAGGACCGAACATGTTTGTGCAAGTGAGGATATCATGCCCCGATGTCTCGCAGATCTCGCACCAGAGGGTGCTAGTTTCCGTAGCTGAAGAGAACGCATCACTTTCAGGCATGGTATCCAGTGTTGGGCCGCGAGTGTGAGTCTTGCGAGCTTCAGGTGAGCCAGGCTCGAAGTCTCGAGCTAGGATAACTGTGCCCCGTGAATCACGGAATGATGACCGTTGATTTGCACTGCCAATCGTCATGGCACTGCCGCGATGAGTCGTAGCGCTCCCCCTACGGAGCATCTCGATCTCGCGCTCTAGGTCTTCCTCACGGCTGTTCTTGTTCTCAAGAAGAGCTCGCAAGTCCGAAACTTCCCGCTCTAGCTTGTCTTTTGCCATATGTGCGTCAAGTGACTCCTTATGTCGGTGCGACTGGAAGGAGCTCGTGCGTTGTGGCAGGCCAGGACGGTCCACATCTGCCGGTACGGAGTCTCGACTCAAAGAGTGGATGATAGCCTTGAGACCCCTGATCTCATCCTCCTTTTGCTCCAATTCCTTGGAGTTAGATGTTGCGTCGCCGTTCATGCCTCCGTGACCTCCGTTCATTGCTGCAGATGCCTTCTCACGTTCGCGCCGTAGCTCTGATCTCGTTCTCTCGACTTCACCTCTTAAGAACTCAACCTCGCCGCGAGCTTCAGCCTCTCCTCGTCTAGCGTCTTCTAGACCTTCTTCAAGCTCTTGTACAAGTTCTTCTAATTGCTTGAGTTGAGATGCAACAGCGTCGACATCCGTAGTCCGTTCTTGAAGGTCATGAACCTCTTGCATAAGCTCTTCTATCCGTTTCTCATATACCCGCTCTGTTTCTGTGCTGGCCATTTCTAGGGTATCAATAGTGCTTCTAAAATCGGCTCTGTGGGCGTCAAACTCGGCCGTGAGCATGGCAATCTTCTCGTTCTTCTCTCTGAGCAGCGCGCGGAGCTGGACAGCATCCTTATCGTCAATGCTACCTCTTCGAAACCTCGGCGCATCGGCATGCTCCATCAGATCTTGTACCTCGGCCAAGCTGCTTTCCATTTCTGCCAACGTAGCAGCCTGTTCTTTCAGTTGCCGGTCGCGGTCCTCGAGTTGAGTGCGCAGACGCTCGACCTCCTCCTCGTTAGCTCCCGCTGCCCTGGAGCCGGGACGCATTTTCAGATTGAGAGAAGAGACTGAGCCGATGCTGCCATTCGCTTTCGTCCGACTGACGCCTACCGGCGTTGTCTCATCGTCCGTAAAGCCTGATGACGACTGGCCGAGTTGTCCCAACGCGGAGGCGCTCCGGGGCGGAATGCTCGTCTTTGACGGCCGTGCGAGACCTCTCTTACTTGGATCGCCGGGCGTCGCTCGGACACTCTGTGAAAACTTATTTGATGTGGGACTCCCATATCGAGGAGGATTTTTGGGGGCCGGAGTTGCGATTGAAGGCCGTGGCCCCGGGGTCATCTGGAGCCTTCGCACCGGCGAGTCAGGCCGAGGAAGCGAAGTCCTAGGTTTCTTCCCGATCGGACTGGGTGCGCGTCCAGGACCAACGGATTGGCTGAACTTGGGTAGCGATGGCGTGGGCGGCGTGTAGTTGATTGAGTTCTGGTTTCCGACCTTCAACCCGGGAGCTGGTGCGGTTGTGGGCGTGAGCGGAAACGAGCTTGCAGATGTGGGCGGCGAGTCACGTCGGACTGCTTTGGAGAGAGGAAGGAAGATGCCAGCTCCCGGGACCGTGGTAGTGAAATACGAGATGCTACAAGGACAAACGCGTTAGAACCGTGTCGAAGGCGCGTATTGTAATCATAATGGACTCACCCATCGACATCGCCGTTGTTCTTGCCGCGCGACGCGAACTCTTGCGCAAGCTCAACGCCGGCAAATACGCCTTTTCGCCCTTGCACGGAGCCTACGAAGCGCACCACACCCCAGCCGCCGGGAACATCGACGTTGTCGCCGATCTGGATCTCGTCGGCCGCCCCAGCCTTGCCCGGCGTGAGAGGGCCAGGCGCCATCTTGCCGCCTGTGGACGTCTCGTTCAAGACAGTGTCGACGTAGCCGCTTGTGTCATCTGGAATCGACGCAAGAGAGTTGCTGGTGAGCGCGGCGAAGGAACCCTTGCGCGCAAGCGACGGGGGAACAAGCCGCGACTGAGCCGAGTAGAGCTGGTTTAGATTAGGACTCGATGCAGTCTTGATCCCGCCGATTTGGGAGGGTTTGCGGTTGGTGGTGCGAAGAGGTCGTATATTGTTTGTTGTGGTAAGAGTAGTAGCCATGGTTGAAGGGTGAGCTAGTCGATACTTTATTCTAAGACCCCACCACCGAATAGGAGGCCAGCACCCCTTCTCACCTTAGGTCAGGTCGGACAAGACGGGACCGTACCGCAATGCCAGCCCAGGTACACGGTAACGTTATGGTATTAGCAAGCGCAGGCGCCCGAGACCAGACCTCAAGGCAGCATGAACGGTCCGGGAACCAGGGCAATGCGCGACCAATTGAGGCTGTCAGGCACAGATACAGATACAGGCGCAGATGCAGATAAAGATGCTGTATGTACTGTCTGTACTGTACCTATTGTACCGAGACACAACAGGTAGGTTGCGACCACCAACTCCAGGCACAACAAGCACAACGTGCACCGGGCATCAGATTAGGGAGGGTGGCTCCCAGCCTGTGCTGTGCTTTGCTTTAAAATTAGGATACCGTCAGAGCAGGGCACGGCTCGAGTGTTGTTGGGCAGTAAAGGTATAGGGCTCGCAGGGGCCAGCAAGCGAAGTGACGTTTGCAGAGGAGATTGGCACGATTGAAAAGATTGAGCAATTCCCAAGGTAAGATTTGGATCGAAGAAGGGGAAGAAAAGAGACTGCTGGTATTATTAACGTTATTTGGAAGAGAGTCGGGGCGGACCAGGGACTCTTTTTTCGTCTCTTCCCAGGGCTCCCTGCACAGTTGAATTTCAAAAAGCGGCGGCTTAAAGGGGTCAGCCCCGTCAGTCACCGACGCCAGCAACAAGAACGCGAACTGGCCGTTCAATACGTTGTTAAACCTTGCTACTGCTGTCGTTGCCGACTGCACCTTTACTACGTGTCGCTGCGGGCTGTGCAGATAATTGGACCGCCTGGCAGAGGCTTGCATTCGCTTGCTCCTGATCTGACGTCTTCACGGACGAACCGCCTTTCAGGAGCATGTCAACATAATAAGAGCTTCTGCAGAGATTGGCAGGCCGTCAATATAAAGTTACTGCACCGTATCGTCCATCCTGCAAATCGCCTCTCTGCAGCGTTTCTCCATTGGCCCATGTCTCAGCGAGAGGAATGCTGTCACGGCTGACATCTAGATCGCAGCATCTACCAGCCCACGGTTTGGGGGCGGCCAGAACACCTGCAATCTACTTCACATGAAAAGGAAACATCGTAAACACGAGACGCCAGTTGACAAAGACCAGAAGCTCTTCAGCTGCCAAATGACGTGTAACATGCTGCCCAACTGCCTGCCCAACGAGCCCTCTGTCTCCGAGCCGATGCTACCTGTTACAGCGGCTCGATGCTCTCAGCAAGAGATGGGCGACTTGTCTGCTTCCCCGGTAATTGCATGGTTGCATTTGTCTCTGAGATCTTCCGTTGACAAAGCTTCGTCGCTACTGTTCAGGGATATGCGTACCTGCAGACGGAGAGAAGGATGGAGGGTGGACAATTTACAGCTTTACTAGCCAGGGGCGCCGTTCCGCGTAGCGCTATGTAGCGCCTGCATGCTTTCCCCACGGGCTCCATCTCTTCCGTTAGAGCACCTGTCAGACGTATCGTGAGATCCGCTTCCAGTGCGCTGCAGCGTCCGAGCTCAGAGCTCAAACATCAATGTCCAAAGAACCATAAACCCGGCCATAGTTTGACCGCTATTTCTTCACCGCAGTGTACCTAGTTACGCAGATGAAAAGTCACTATGATACCAAGTAAGTTCTTTGTGGCAAGGCTCAGCCAGATACTCAAATTGCGAGCCGTATGAATTATCTCTGCAGTCTTTTGGTGCCGTGCTGCTTCACTACTGATAGGTCCAATCTACTGTACCTATCGGGCATATCTAGAGAGCACACTAATGGCTCGATTCGGCTGTGATTGCCGATCCTTCTTAGGGGTCATATGCTGCTTTTACACTTGTACACTGGCGGCGTAGGTCGCTATCGCAACCAACCGAGAATCCTGGCGGTGTGATAGCGTCCCAATCTCAGGAGATGGCCCCTGTTTCGTCCACCCTCTGGGGGCTGCTCTTGCTATAGTCTGTCCCAATTCTGCGGATCTCAGCCCCTGCAGAGCCAGCAGATTGGCTCACTCTGATGCTAGTGACATACCCGTGTAGGTCAGCAATTAGAGCTCACTAAAGTGTCGATGCGGTCTGTCTTGCGGAACGGCAATGGCTGGCATTAATGCGTGAAAACGTTCGCGAGATGCAGAAAGACATCCTGACCTAAGCACCTTCGTGGTCATCCAAAGCGTTGCGCAGCGGTAGTTGACGATACTCTGTCCAGTCCAGGGGTTCACGTCGGCGAATTATGTTCTCGCTCAATAATGTCAGCCCGTCCAAGTGGCCGCGATCCATCGTTGAATACCATCGCCTCCCGATGTCGATGTCGAAGTTGCTGTTCCTCCGCGCTTTGCTCTATCACCCTAGGCAAGCGTTCGACCGGGATCACTTCCTGTTCTTCGTCTGCATCGTTAGCCGATTGAATAGAAAGCACAAGGCTAAATCCCCGCATGGCATCGTTACCATCTAAAATGTCGGCGCTATCCTTTGGTATAAGCTTGGACCTGATCAGCGCCGCCTGTCCTCGGCGTGATTCCTGGAGCCTGTGGAAGATCTCCGTGATCCTGTTCTGTCTGTATTGCATGTATTGGACAAAATTGCGCTGTCTTTCCTCCAGTGTCTCTCCCCAATTTTGCTTGGCTAGCCACTTCTCGATGAATTTGGCCCTGATGAGCTTGTCCGGACCGTATTTGTTGATCAGTTGGATGACGAACATTAGACATAGCTTCTCAGCCATGTCACGGAGATAGTACTCGTCGAAGTATTTGTCGTTGAGTTTCTCTTGTTGTACATCCTTGAGGCAGAGCTCAAGCGATCTGACGAAGGCGGAGTATGCTTTGTCCGTGTGAAGCAACGGTAGACTCTCTGCGACCCGTGTGTTAGTCGTTGGCTTGTTTGTCTATTATTTGACAAGACATACGGTGATCTGTTATAAGCGCAAGTGTGCGCAAGCTCCTCATGCGCTCGTTATAGTCCTCGCGCGTGACTCCCCAGAGCAGCGTGTCGATTGTCGACCCATCATTAACGGCCCGATCGCTGACAATTTTCGCGGCCGTCTCCCGTATCGCGTAATTGTAGTGGCCGAGAAGCGTGTCTAGAGTCCCCAGCTTGAGCGAGTCCTCGGTATCCTGAGTGATGTACTGAGTTTTTGGCTGCGGGATCTTGATCTCGGAATCATCTCGCCATACTGACAGCACCATTCGCATAACAGAGACGAGACCTAGGGCGCCGACACCGAATCCGAACAGTATAGCCCGATCATCTCGGATGCCAACCTGTAAGCCATACCGCAAGGCAGCCAAAAGAGGCATATTTCTTATTTATGTTCAATACCGTGCGCTCATTGCGAAACCTTGATTTATCAATGCCGTGTCAGAAGCAAGGTTGGTGTAGCTTCCATTAGTCACCTTGCTCCATGCTCGCTAGATATCAATTTCTGCCACACGCCACCGCTAAATTTTCAGCGGGACAGTGAAGCGATAAGCAGATAAAAAATCACTTTCTTCCACTCCATCCACATTCTGCGACTTACATGCTGCTGGCCAACTTTGACGACTCCTCGCCATGCCTTCCTCACAGCTGAAGAGACTCAAAGCCTCGCTGCGAGAGCAAGGAATTATTGGGCCCCAGCAGTCAAAGAAGCAAAAAAAGAAGAATGCGCAGGACGAGCGAGCAAAGAACGAGAAGAGACTACAACGGAGCGAGGCGCTGGAGAACATTCGGGAGCAATTCAACCCCTTCCAGTTCAAGACGAATGCGAGAGGCCCGAAGTTTGCAGTAACGAGCAACCGTCCGGATACAGCGAGTGTTGCGAAGGGAATCCATGGCCGGCCGGGAGTTGCCAAGGCCATTGGCGAGGAAAAGGTCAGTCGCAGGCTTGACGGACAGCAGGGCCATTCACTAATTAGTTTCTCTACAGCGCCGCCAAACACTCCTTGTTGAAATGCAACGGAGGAACAAGGTCGGCGGTATCCTAGATCGACGATTTGGCGAGGGTGATCCCACGATGACCCCAGAGGCGATGATGGCAGAGCGATTTGCGCGCGAGAAACAGCGCAGTCACAAGAAGCACTCAATATTTGACCTCGAAGACGACGGTCCGTCCGAAGATCTTACTCACATGGGCAGGTCGCTGTCGCTGCTGGATGCTCCGGAGCTCAGAGATGATTACGACGAGGAAGACATGCGCTCTGACGAGGGCTCGGAAGCGTCTGATGATGCTCGCAAGAAGCTAAAGAGACTTCGAGAGCAGCTTGCAATGGACGAAGAAGAACAAGGCGATGATGATATGCCGGAAAGGAAGAAGAGCAAGAAGGAGGTCATGGAAGAAGTCATTGCGAAGTCCAAATTACATAAATATGAACGTCAAGTAGCCAAAGAGGACGATGAGGAAATAAGGATGGAGCTTGACAAGGAACTTCCCAACATACATGCTCTACTCATGGGGAGCAAGAGGGGTAATCGTGATGATCCTAAAAGCAACGGAGCCGGAAAAGCCGCGGTCATTGCTGGTGTGGATAGAGATGCATTCGAGAAGGATTACGATCTCCGAGTCAAGCTATTGGCTGCTGATCGACGAGCGAAACCCACAGAGAGGACTAAGACCGACGAAGAGATAGCTGAAGAGGAGTCGAAGCGACTTAGGGAGCTTGAAGATAAGCGACTAAGACGCATGCGTGGAGAAGACGTCAGTGATTCTGACGAAGATGAAGGCGAAGAGAGTCACAGTGACGTGTCCGATGAAGCCGCCGAAACCCCAGACTTCACGGGGGAAGCAGACGACTTTGGTCTTGGAAAGGGCATCAAGATGAAAGCTACTGCAGCTGAGCTAGGCTTCGACGATGAGGATGATTTCATTATAGATGATGATTTGGTCGCAAGCCAGTCTGATCTGGACTCGGACGAAGATGTGTCCGATGTTGAAAGCGAAGAGAATGCAGAGGAGGATGAAGAAGACGAGTTCACGAAAGGCCTTTTGCTCGATGGTGAACTCAAGGATACTGTTTTCAGCACGGAGGGTCAGAAAACGAGTGGTTTCTCTGGAGAAGACGGCCTGCCCTTCACATTTCCTTGCCCACGAAGCCACAGCGAGCTTCTTGACCTTACGAAAGATATACCACTTTCCAAACTCCCAACAGTAATTCAACGGGTTCGAGCTTTGTATCACCCAAAGCTCGACAGCCACAACAAAGAGAAACTTGCAGACTTCTCCCGAGCGCTAACAAAACATATATCCTATCTCGGCTCATTGGAAGATGCCGATAAATATCCAATCATCGAGACCGTCATTCGTCATGTCCATTCACTGGCTAAGATGTTCCCTATCGAGATTGCTAAAGAGTTCCGGTCACAGCTCGAGGAGCTTGGCCGGCTTCGGCCTCTAACACCAGATCTCGGAGACCTCTTTGCTTTGACAGCGATTGGTAGCATCTTTCCAACCTCCGATCACTTTCACCAGGTCGTTACGCCGGCCATGCTCTCAATGGGCCGTTACCTGGGGCAAAAGGTTCCACGAGGCCTAGGAGATTACGCTACGGGCACATATCTATCAATCTTGGCTCTGCAATACCAGCAACTATCAAAACGTTTCGTACCAGAGGTTATGAACTTCACTCTGAATACTCTATCTGCTCTGGCGCCGAAGAGTCCAGAGAGCTTAGGCTTCTTCCCTGTTCATGTCCCCATCAGTGGCATGCGGACGACTGAGGCAAAGCAGATGTCATTGCGCAAACTAGAATGCAGTGATTGCAGTGTTGTCAGTGATGACTTGACGAGCGTCGCGGCGAATGCTACCAAGGTGGCTATTCTTGGCACAAACATATCGATCATCACAGCGGCTGCTGAGACATGGACGGGCAAGCCTGCATTCTACGAGACTTTCGAACCTGCATTGAAGACGCTGAAACACCTCGTGTCCAAACCCTGTAGGAATCATCTTCCAGAAAGTTTGATACAAGACACTGAGCGATCGACGGTTCTGTTAGAGCGAATGCTCAAGATCGCTCAGCTATCACGGCGGCCTTTAGAGCTTCACCATCATAAACCTTTGGCTATCAAGACATACATACCTAAGTTCGAGGACTCCTTCGACCCGAACAAGCACTACGACCCAGATCGTGAGCGCGCGGAATTAGCCAAGCTCAAGGCGGAGCATAAGAAGGAACGTAAGGGAGCCATGAGAGAGTTGAGGAAGGATGCCAACTTCATGGCTCGTGAGAAGTTGAAGCTGAAGAAGGAGAAGGACGCGGCGTATGAGAAGAAGTATAAGAGGCTTGTGGCAGAGATCCAAGGCGAGGAAGGACGCGAGTCAAATGCCTATGATCGTGAAAAGCAGGCTAGGAAGAGAGCAAGAAAAAACCGGTAGAGAGATTCGTGTATTGAAGGTAGGAGTTGTTGCCGAATGGTCATCTAGCAACTCCCTTTACAGCCAACATGAACTCTGAAGATTAAGTTATCCAGTGTATCGAGTACATTGAGATCCGTAAAGAGGAGACCTAAAGTAGAAAGCTGCTTGTCTGGCGTTTGAAATCGCAACAAGCATAGCACGTTTCTTGATTATTGCCTATCCCGTTTGGAAGTAGTAGGGAAAACCAGAAGTCTGCCAGAGTGAAAAATTGTGAAGCTATCATGTACTACTAGGCAATTGGATCTCCAATTTGAGGTGGGAAGCGTAGAGCACGTCTTTATACTGACTGACACGGGAACACTGTATTTTGGCGGGTTTCAACGAGCCCACAGTGCCGTTAGTGGGGAGCAAACCTCCCCAAAACAGCACATTCTCGCCACTTACTGTGCCCCAAAGATATAGACTGAATTATTGTATTGCGTGCTTCACTCGTGGATATTTCACCGAGCAAGTCTCATAGGGAACGTCTCTAAAAATCATCTCAAAATCAGAGGTTATGAGTTCAGATTCAGGGAGTCTCGTTGCGGCGGGGCCGCCTGAAGATGAGGAAGACGACTACATGAACATGGTTTTTGACGATGCGCCAGCCAGGCCAGAAACATCCCTCCAGCGACGCGAGCGCCTCAGAAAAGAAGGCGAGCGCCGCGGGCAGGTCAAGTCCAAGGCGGAGCTCGCGAAAGAGGAGGTCGAGACGCGTGAGGCCGCTTTGGCTAAGTCCATGCTGGAGGACCCCGGTGTCGCGAAGAAGAGTAAGGGTTTCGCCATGATGGCCAAAATGGGCTTTAAGGGCGGCACTCTAGGCAGCAAGGACAACTCAGAAGCAAAAGCAGAGCCAATAAGAATCTCCATGAAGGAAGACAGGGGAGGCATCGGTCTGGACACGGACCGAAAACGGAAGATTCAGGAGGCAACGGAGAACCAGGTCAAGAAGGCCAAAGCCGACGAAGGCGAGTATCGCGATCGGGTCAGGAGGGAACGAGAGCAGGCGCGCAAAGAGAGTCAATTTCACGCCGCTCAGAAGGTCGCAGAGAGGATGGAGGAAGAGAAGGGCCCCATTGTCACAGACAATGAAGAAGACGATATTGAAACCAAAGACAGAAGTGGGAAGATATCCTCGAGGCCGCTCAAGTCCATCAATGTCTTTTTTCGGGGTTTAGTGAGGGCACGCGAGGAGGCTGAACGAGATCGACGGATGAGACATGACCTAGAGCAGAGCCTATCTCGACTGCCAACATATGTGGACGACCTGGAGGATGAGGACGACAAGACAGCAATGGGAAAGACGAAGACAGTATATGCTGCTGCCGATGATCTAGATGAGGAGGACTTAGAGCTGCACGAATTCAATAAGCTTGAGATTGACGAGAAGCTCCAGCGGATAGTGGGCTTTTTACGAAAGGAGTATCACTACTGCTTCTGGTGTAAGTACAGGTATCCAGACGAGAACATGGAAGGCTGCCCTGGTATCACGGAGGAGGATCACGATTAGAAGTAGCGACGATCAGGTGTTAGAAATGCGTGAAAATATCAGGATCGCATACAAGCTTGTACAAAATTAGATTTTATTGTATTGTGGAGATATGCTACATAAATTCCTGGTATCCATTTGATGGCCTCTTGTCTGAAAGGCTTTCATACACGCCCATTTCTTGGGCTACAATATGGTACATTTCTTGAACTTCTGTATCGCTTGCCTGAAGTTTGGCCCTATAGTACTGCGCTATGACAGCATAGAGCTCATCTATGTTCTCTTCAGGTGTAAAGGAATTCTCATTCCTATCAGGAGCTGCTCTCCGACGTTCAGCGATGATAAATTCGATCGTCCGCCTGGCCTTGAGAATCTGGTCTTTGGCCCTAGGTGTTGGGCGATGCAAATCATCATTCTCAGCTATCATTTCGAGAACAACAATTTGCGATACGGGAAAGTGAAGGATTTGTTTAAGAGCTTGGAGAGCGACCAACAGGCCGACGTAGTCCCCGGATTTGCGGAATGAATGTAAGACCATTTTGGCCTGAATTTCATGCATGCCGCCATCGTCATCAAACACCCAAGATGACCTGAGAAGATCGCGGAAGATCTGACGACAGAGAGCTCTGTCCTGCTCCTTGAGGTCCTCAGTCAAGGATGGCCACCACACTCGATTCACTGCTAATGTCTTGAACAGAGCGAAGAAAGTGTGTGAGTTGGGGAGAATGTGATGATCTTGCGTCATCATTCGATAAAGCTCTCGCGCCTCTTCTCCACGAGCTTCTTCAGCGTGAGATTCGATCAACTGATTCATCATGAAGGCATCAGTAGCAATCTCTGACTCTTTGAATGCGACCCAAAGCTCCTCAAGACGACCGTGTAAGCCACGACTCCTATAGTTCTCGGCCATCAGGGAGAAGGTCTCCAGAGTTGCCTTCGGAACGAAAGTCAATTCTGATGTATCGGCATTATGGCTGCCGCCACCCTCAAGGAGCCTCAGCGGCCACTCTAGGGCAGCCTCTCGCTGACGTAGTTTTACAAAAGTCAGTCGGGAGCGAATCATCGCCCATGCAAGCTTGTCTGCTTTTTCGAGATTCTCGGCCGTGCTTGACCTCAGCCAGGCACCAATTAGACCGTTTACTTGAACGGCAGCCGCCATGATACCCTTGGACTGCATGAATTTGAGCACATTATGAGCACCGTCGAGGTCACCAGCCCCTATGAGCCTCTTCAACCATTTTCCCAGAAAGAAGTGATTGCTCACAGATGAAGGCAATTTCGTTCGGCCTTGCATGTCAATCGCGCCTGAAAACATCATGTCCACAAAGGTGTGAAGTGCGAACTCCATCTGATTCGTAGCGAGAAAGCATGATATGACTTCGTCGTAGTCCTCTATTTGCATAGAGGATCCAAGTCGCTCTCTCAGGAGCCTGTAAAATTTCCAGGCCTTCTTCCCGCAATCTGGCGTAGCCGCATATGCTCTAATCAGGTGTATTAGGACACGGGCATCAGCCTCCCCTGATGAAGAATTGAGTAAGGTGTCAGCAGCTCGCTCAGCCCGGTCGAGATCACCATGAAGAGAGCACATTCGTACCCCCAATTCCCAATATTCGTTGAAAAGCTCGGGCTTTGATCCGACTGTAACCACAACCCTCTTCCAGTTATCGACGGCTTCTTTTCTCCAACCTTCAATGAACATGGCTTCAATGGCGAGAAGCTGTCGAGCATCATTAAGTTGAACGCCAGCTGCTGTCATGTCCTTCGCGAGAGCACATGTATGGGCCATCCGGTTGGGATTTGACTCATCTTCCCACGAAAAGACCTCCCAGAGCGCGTCCCATGCTTCTTTCGGTACGTTCTCCCAGGTCAGTGACAGTCCAGGCCGAGCAAGGGAATAATGTTTCCAAGTATTTGAGATAATCTTTTTGCTGGGAAGTCCTTTACGAACGGCACGAGAAGCGTTGCGAAGGCAGCTATTCAGTCGGGCAATATGTCTCCGCTGGGCATTACGCAGCCCAGTTTCCCTTATAGAAGGGATGAGTGACTGCTCGTCATCCTCCGCGTCTTCTTCCTCCAAATCGAGTTGCTTCTCTAGTCTGTCAATCTCGTCATGTAGCCCATGTTTCTGTAGCATCTTCCGGAGACCAGCGGCATCTTGAAGCTTTTCCTCGAGTTCTTTCAATCGTAACTCCAGATCCGCCCCCATCTCGTTCATCTGCCCCGAGAATGCATCGCTTCCGCTGAGTGGCAGAACGCTGCCGCCATCCTGCTGCTGAAAGTATCGAACTTTCGGCTGTTCCTCGTCGGGTTTGATCAATCTCGACGCTTGCGATCTTGTCCCGGACGGCTGCGACGGTCGCTGAATGGCCGACTTGGTATAGAGGCGCGGAAGGGCTTGTGGTTGCTTCGTTCGAAATGCCGCTAAACACGATCTGCATACAAAGCTATTGCGACATTGCAAATCAAACAAGAACGGCTTTGGAGGCATGAAGTCCCTCGGTGGCCGTGGCCTGTTGTCGATGCTGCTCTTTTGTAAGTCGCAAGTGCTTGGGGGTTCACCTCCGTTAAATGATTAGGCCAGGAACGGGCCAGTAGTCAAGAGATCAACTTTTTCGGGGCGTTATCAGCGCGCTCATGCACGATAAGAACTAGGCTTAAAATTCTGCCGCTCAGACTTGGAAAGCGGTCATAATATTTTGTTACTCCCACCTTCAACATCGATCGCAACCCTCAAAAGCAAAGACGTATTATGGTACAGCTGGGCTTTTGAGGCAACATGTCCGGCTCAAATCCCGAGTTCTTGCGCTTCACAGGCCATAGGTCATTCACACATCGTCTCATTCTCTCAACCTTGACCGGCAGACCAGTCCACATATCCGGCATTCGCAGCTCGTCGCCAACAGCACCCGGCCTGGCCCCTCATGAGATCTCGTTCCTCCGCCTCCTCGAAGCCGTCACAAATGGCAGCTCAATGCAAATATCTTACACGGGTACGACGATAACATATCACCCAGGCCTAATAACAGGCACAATTGCAGGTGTTGGTGCATCTGATGGCGACATCATCGAACACAGTCTGCCCGCCAACTGCAACCGAGGTGTTACCTACTTCCTTCTCCCTCTTGCTCTACTGGCGCCATTCTCAAAGTCCCACATGAATGTACGGTTTTCTGGTCCTGGCGTCATCACATCTGCGACCGAGACCGGCGACATGTCGGTCGATTCGTTTCGAACTGCTATATTGCCTCTCTATGGTCTGTTCGGCATTCCGCCCGCACGAATTGAGCTTCGCGTGCTGCAACGGTCTTGCGCTGGTCCACATGGGCGGGGAGGAGGTGGTTTGGTCGAGTTGCGATTTGCCAGCCAGGTCCGTCTGCCTAAGACTCTTCACCTCAACCGCAACCCAGGACGCGTAAAGAGGATACGAGGCGTGGCATATTCTACGGGAGTGTCCGCGTCGAACAATGGGCGCATGATTCATGCCGCACGATCGGTCTTGAACCCCCTAGTTTCCGACATCCATATTGCTGCACAGTACGATCAGGCGCCATGGATTGCAGATGACAAGGCAGCTGGAAAGGGCAAAAAGAAGATAGGGATAGGCTTTGGGTTGAGCCTCGTGGCCGAGTCCAGCGTCCCGGGCATACTGTACTCCGCAGACGTTGTAGCGCCGTCGGAGGGAGGCATGGTACCAGAAGATATTGGTAGTAGGTGTGCGCATCAGCTGGCCCAAGTGATAGCACAGGGTGGATGTGTGAGCTGGTCGGCGTCACGAACAGTGCTGACATTGATGGCTATGGGGTCCGAGGACGTCGGTCGACTTAGGATAGGCAAGGACGTTATGGGCACAGAAGAGGTTGTTGGTTTGGCACGAGATCTGAAGCAATTCGGCGCCAGCAGTTGGGGCCTAAGACCGGCGGAGGAAGATGAATCGGATGACATTATTGTTTCGGTCAAGGGCACGGGAGTCGGAAATGTAGGACGGAAGATAGCATAAGAGCTGCCTGTCAACTGATATTAATATACCCCAGGGCAATGCGCCTGCTAAGATGAGATTATCGATGCTGCCTCTTCCATATAGATTTCATTGTTGCTGCCGTCGTGCTTCACGAGCCCTCCTTTCGGCGGCTAGGGCGGCCAGGGTAGCAGTATAACCCCCTAACTGGAGAGAGTATGCAGCAGCACTTTGATAATCGTTGCTGCTATTCCGGAGAGCATGGATGACGTGGAAATCCGCGAGCACAGCATTTCCTGATCGTAAAACATCGGACAAGCTGGGGCTCCCCCCTTCCTGTGTTGAACTTCCCATCAATGAACGACTCTCGTCTTTTCCATCCTCTGGATCTTCTAGCTCATTGCTGTCGTTTCGATCTGTAAGCGGTCGCATTTCAATATCATTTGTCTCATCTCCCGTCCGCGGCGCATCTCTGAGCACTCCTCTTTCCTCCGAGTCCAAGTCCTGGCCTGTTGTGTTCGCAGCAGTCTCTGTTTCTTGAGCATCCTCCGTCCTACTCCTGCTGCCTCGTAAGGGCATTACGATCTTCCTGAGCCGGTCGCGCTCCACCCAGACGGCCATCATGAAACATTGAAGCGCCAACACTACGCAGTCTAGGAATAATAGGCTGAATTTAGACGTCGGTGCCTTCTGTCCAACGAAATCGATTATGATGCCACCATGGAGATATCCTCGAGCTGCCTCGCCGGCCTCCGGGAGAGAACAGACGAGATGAAGCAGCATGCATACGACATTCGGCACGACGATTGCTAAGACGGGCGGCGCGAATCGATGGGAGGGTAGCAACATGAGAAGCTCCTCCGATTTTGGTGTCAGGTAGACATACTGACTAATCGACCGGATGATTAATCGGAAGAAAGAACAGCTTGGGACGAATCATCAGAATGCTTGCTTCATAGGTTTTATCGATCCATATACTCACTCCATATAATACAACACGCAGATCTCTGCAAATACAAGCATATCCAAGCTAATCATGAGGTGGGTTATGAATTGCAGCTTCTTAGCCAGTCCAGCCTTGGCGCGGCGTGCAGCCGACGACGACGGAGGCCCACGACGCCGTCTTCTGTTCGCATCCTGAGTAGACTCGTCGACGGCGGCCTGGGTATTGTTGTCGTTAGTAGGCTCGTTGGCCGCGGAGCTCGCTGCGGGATCATTGTTCATAGCTCCGCGCGCATCTAAAGGGAGGGACTTCAATCAAAGATGTCCGTAGCCTCACATATTATGCTACGGCACAGCGATATGTTGCAAATTGAGGACCGCGCTGTTGACGTCACTCGTCAAGGAGCATGGGATAGAAAGGCGCGCATTTGACGAGTGGCTTCTTCGAGATAGCGATCGGGGTAGCCTCTCAATGTCGTGAGGTGGTAAGTGAGGCCCAGTGGAGCTTCTGATAGGTACACGAGATTGGCGCCTGGTTGGTTCTCGATTAAGGCCGAGTCACCTGTAATGTTCAGGCTCGCGCTTATGTTCGGCGCCGGAAAAATTGTTCTTGCTAGATATTCCCACCCTTGCGGACAAGCTAGTCCAGGTACTGAGTTACAGCGGCCAGGGTGGGTAAACCGGAGCCCAGACAATTTTCGACCCCTCGATCGTGAGTCAACGCATTTCACCTGTCGTTCTCCTTGGACCCAAACAGCTTGCGCAAGACGCAAATACTCGACCAGAAAATGGCTGCAACGGGTAGCGACCCCTCTGGGAATCTGAACCTCGAGGTTCTTCAGGCGCTGGCTAAATCAGACCCCGTTTTGTCGGCCGAGACCTTCCCTCAAGTTGCCTTCGAGGACATGAAAGCTACACTCGACAGATTAGGGTCCAGGTCCATGATCACATACGAGCCAATAGAGCGAGAAAAGGTCATTCTCGAACCGGAGGGACAAGAGATCGTGGCGAAGGGAAGCCACGAAGCGAGAGTCTTTGAAGCTGTGCGACAAGCGTTGGAGGGGCTTTCAATTGCCGATTTGGAAAAGGCTATTGGGGACAAGACTGTGGTGAAGGTCGGTCAGGGCAAGGCGTTCAGGGAGAAGTGGATCTCGAAAACCAAAGACAATAAGCTTGTTGCTTCCGTACGTGTCTGCTCATAGAAAATCGTGGTTACTGAATTGCTGACCTCTCTTTCAGAAAGAGTCGATTACCGACGTTACGAAAGAACAGCTTCAGACAATCCTAGAGACCGGAACGCACCCTGATGCGAAAGTCATCACGGATTTGAGGAAGCGCAAGCTTCTCAAGACGCAGAAGGTCATCAGTTTCAGAATACACAAGGGCCCCAAGTTCGCGCTGGAGATCACAAAGGAGGAGACAGACCTCACGGCCGAGATGCTGGCATCTGGTGCGTGGAAGACCGCAACCTTCAAACCATACAACTTCAAGGCATTGGGTGCCGATCAGCACGCTGGAGCTTTGCACCCACTGAACAAGGTGCGGCATGAATTCCGCCAAATCTTCTTCGAGATGGGCTTCGAAGAGATGCCTACGGACAAGTTCGTTGAGTCAGGCTTCTGGAATTTCGATGCACTCTTCGTGCCGCAACAGCATCCGGCGAGAGATCTCCAGGATACCTTCTACATTTCAGACCCCAAGCAGGCAAAGAGGCCTGGCCCAGTCGGATCCGACGACAAGAAAGACTACGAGGCTTACTGGAAGAATGTGCGTGAAGTTCACGAGACCGGAAAGTACGGATCAATCGGCTACAGATATCCGTGGTCAGAGGAAGAGTCCCTGAGGCTAGTCCTGCGAACCCATACCACTGCCATCTCAACAGCAATGCTGCACAAATTGGCCTATCAAAAGGGCCCAGACGGCCGTCCACCTCCGGCACGATATTTCTCGATTGACAGAGTGTTCAGAAACGAGTCAGTGGATGCCACTCATTTGGCCGAGTTCCACCAAGTGGAGGGTGTCATTGCCGACTATGGCTTGACGTTGGGAGGTCTCATGGAGTTCATGGAGATCTTCTTCGGCAAGATGGGCATTCATGACTTGAAATTCAAGCCTGCTTACAACCCATACACCGAGCCCAGTATGGAGATTTTCAGCTACCATAAGGGGCTGAACAAGTTGGTGGAGATCGGCAACAGCGGCATGTTCCGTCCGGAGATGTTGGAGTCTATGGGCTTGCCCAAAGACCTGAGAGTGTACGGTTGGGGTCTAAGTCTGGAGCGGCCGACTATGATCAAGTACGGCATCTCTAACATTCGAGAGTTGCTTGGGCACAAGGTGGATCTCAACTTCATCGAGAGAAACCCGGCAGTGCGACTAGACAAGAACTAGAGACAAAAAAGACGAGGAGGCAGCCAGGATAGAAGCGATTGTTGTTTCATGAATGTACGGGATTCAAAATGGGATGGACTAGAGGACGTACCTCTTGCTTTACTCAAAACTCATGGGCTGTTGGTCTGTTGCTTGAAGAGGCGCAGGTAGATGTGCTAGACAGAATCATCGGAGCATCTGGCTGTTGATTGGACAGTTAAGCATCAAACACTCACCGAGTCACCGAGATATCTTTCCCCGGACCCGAGACAACGGAGGGGCACAGGGGACTGTTAGGTAATTTAGGGTGGGGAGGCGGACAGGCCCTGGAAATGGATGGGAATCTTTCAGGTTCCGCATCTATTTACCGCAACTACCTAGGTACGTAGTAGTGTCCGAGCTTCCTCAACAATGATGCATCTCGACCCGCCTGTCCCAGACTCATATGTAGTACCTGGGCAGAACACAGTCTCTTGTGACTTGGATAGCAACACAGCCAGACACTCAGCTACTGAGACATTATTGAACCCACACACATCATTAAAGACGCATTGTCGTCAATACACACGTGCCGATGATAATCCCGTTTGTAGATCGCTCGGCATTGTAGTATAGGTGGCTTGGAGTGTACCGTAGTGGTAGTGGAGGTGGTGGGCTCCTGTTTCGGAGTAGAACTTCGATCCTCGTGGGGCTCAGAGATTTTTTTTTCATGTGCAGTCATATTGCATGCATACCTAACAGAACCTGAGAGTTGGTGCTTTAGGTTGTCCAGTGGCAGGGCAAGAAAAAAATCGATTGGGAAAGCTGCTAGTCACCGCTGCGCTATCTCTTATCGCGCCCCGCCAAAAGATTCTTTGCCCTGACTGAGATAGTCCGTCCTGCTTCTGCTCCGTCTGAGTCTTCTGAATCGCCTCATCCGCACTTACAAGTTCAAGCCTCCAAACCTGTCAATTGGATTGTCTTGCAGCAGGCAAATCTATTGCGGGTGCGATCAGGGGTCTCTCACGGCGGCAATTGCTCGTTTTCTTCTTCCTCTTCCCCCCCTCGCATCAACCTCCAATATGCCGTCGACCATGTCTCTGGCAGGTCGAGCTCCTGCTTTGCTCCGACATGGTCGGCGAGTCCCAGTGCCCGCCAGCTATGCTGTCCGGAGCTTCACTTCAGTTTCGACGAATCTCCTTCCCAGGACGCAGGTTCAGCCAAAGACTTTCGCCCAGAAGAGGAATTTCCTCACGAGCGCTTCTCGGCTCGCCTCTCCGGCAACCCAGGCCGCCCCGAACCCCCAGGCCTACCTCCAAAGCGGAGTTGTCAAGCCCCGGGAACACGTCGATGTCAAGAAGGTCTTGGTCATTGGAAGTGGTGGTCTTGCCATTGGCCAGGCTGGAGAGTTCGACTATTCAGGTTTGTCTACCATTGCGCTCTTCGAGGCGGTGACCGGTTGAATGAGTCACACGACATCAAGACATGCGCATGGATGCTAACAACATTGACTCCAAACAGGCTCTCAAGCTCTCAAGGCTCTGAAAGAGGCTGGTGTCTCGTCAATTCTTATCAACCCTAATATCGCAACTATCCAGACCAACCACTTCATCGCCGACGAGGTCTACTACCTCCCCGTCACCCCAGAGTATGTCACCTATGTCATCGAGAAGGAGCGTCCCGATGGAATCTTCCTGTCATTTGGTGGACAGACCGCCCTGAACTTGGGTGTCCAGATGCAGCGACTGGGCATATTCGAGAAGTATGGAGTCAAGGTCCTAGGAACTAGTGTGCGCACCCTCGAGGTCAGCGAGGATCGAGATCTTTTCGCGAAGGCGCTAGAGGAGATCAACATCCCCATTGCAAGGTCAATTGCTGTCAACACAGTTGAAGAGGCTTTGGACGCGGCGCAGAAAATTGGATACCCCATCATTGTTCGTGCCGCTTACGCCCTAGGTGGTCTGGGATCTGGTTTCGCCAACAACGAGGAGGAGCTCCGAAATATGGCCGCCCGATCACTTACTCTGTCTCCCCAGATCTTGGTTGAGAAATCCCTCAAGGGCTGGAAGGAGGTTGAGTACGAAGTCGTCCGTGATGCAAACAACAACTGCATTACTGTTTGCAACATGGAGAACTTCGACCCCTTGGGTATTCATACCGGTGACTCCATTGTGGTGGCGCCAAGTCAAACCCTCAGCGACGAGGAGTATCACATGCTTCGATCGGCTGCTATCAAGATTGTCCGTCATCTGGGTGTTGTTGGAGAGTGCAATGTCCAGTATGCGCTCCAGCCAGATGGCCTTGACTACCGTGTCATTGAGGTCAACGCTCGTCTTTCTCGATCTTCGGCTCTTGCGTCGAAGGCAACCGGATACCCCTTGGCATACACTGCTGCCAAGATCGGTCTGGGCCATAGCCTACCCGAGCTTCCTAACGCTGTGACAAAGACAACTACTGCCAACTTCGAGCCCTCGCTTGATTATATTGTCACCAAAATCCCCAGGTGGGATCTCTCTAAGTTCCAGCATGTTAAGCGAGACATTGGTAGTTCGATGAAGTCTGTCGGAGAAGTCATGGCTATTGGCAGGACTTTTGAAGAGTCGTTCCAGAAGGCTATCCGTCAAGTCGACCCCAAGTTCGTTGGCTTCCAGGGTGACAAGTTTGCGGATCTAGACTTTGAGCTCCAGAACCCGTCGGACCGCCGCTGGCTCGCCGTTGGCCAAGCTCTTCTTCATGAAAACTACACTGTTGACAGAGTGCATGAGTTGACGAAGATTGACAAGTGGTTCTTGCACAAGCTCATGAACATTGTCAATTGCACCAAGGAAATGCAAAGTGTCGGAAGCCTAGGCGGACTCAAGAAGGATCTCGTGACCAAGGCAAAGAAGATGGGTTTCTCTGATCGACAAATTGCCAATGCAGTTGGCAGCACTGAGGACAAGGTGCGTGCTCTCCGCCTGGAGTATGGCATCCGCCCTTGGGTCAAGAAGATCGATACTCTGGCTGCTGAGTTCCCTGCCGATACCAACTACCTCTACACGACATACAATGCTTCGTCGCATGATGTTACGTTCGATGACAACGGAACAATCATCCTGGGAAGCGGTGTATACCGTATTGGTAGCTCAGTCGAGTTCGACTGGTGTGCTGTGAGCGCTACACAAGCCCTTCGCAATCGAGGACACAAGACAGTAATGATAAAGTAAGCAACGTTTATTACATTTCTTATCTCTTATTACCTTTTTTACGGGTGTGGAAGCCGGGGACTCGGTACAGTCCGGAGTTTGAGACGAGTTTATCGCAACCCCTTTTCCGCCCCCTTTCGGCCCTTCACTTTCTTCAAAACGCATTTACTGACTCCAAGTGTTCAAAAGCTACAACCCAGAGACGTACAGCACAGATTTCGATACAGCGGATAAATTGTACTTCGAAGAGCTCAGTTACGAGAGGGTGATGGATATTTATGAGCTTGAGGCCGCGTCAGGTGTTGTGGTCTCTGTGGGCGGCCAGCTCCCCCAGAACATTGCACTTCGTCTCCAAGAGACTGGTAAAGCTAATGTTCTCGGCACTGATCCTAGGGATATCGACAAAGCTGAGGATCGTCAAAAATTCTCTGCTATTCTCGACAGCATTGGTGTGGATCAACCAGCTTGGAAGGAACTTACCTCCGTGAAGGATGCCGAGGAATTTGCTGAGCAAGTCGGTTACCCTGTGCTTGTCCGCCCTAGCTATGTCCTGTCTGGTGCTGCCATGACTGTCATTCGCAGCCAGGAAGACCTCAAGGACAAGCTTGAGGCTGCCAGTAATGTCTCACCGGATTATCCCGTTGTCATCAGCAAGTTCATTGAAGGAGCCCAGGAGCTGGATGTTGATGCTGTCGCTTCAGGCGGCAAGCTTATTATCCATGCTGTCAGTGAGCACGTTGAGCAGGCCGGTGTTCACTCCGGAGATGCTACTCTTGTCCTACCACCTGTTAGCTTGGATGATACTACTATGGACCGCGTTAAGGAGATTGCTGAGAAGGTTGCCAAGGCATGGAAGATTACTGGACCCTTCAACATGCAGATTATCAAGGCTGGGGACCCCGAGGGTGGCCTTCCCCTGCTAAAGGTCATTGAGTGCAACTTGCGTGCTTCTCGATCATTCCCCTTCGTCAGCAAGGTTCTGGGCACCAACTTCATCGACATCGCAACCAAGGCTCTCATTGGAGAGGATGTGCCTGAGCCAACTGATCTGATGGCTGTCAAGCGTGACTACGTTGCCACCAAAGTGCCGCAATTCTCATGGACCCGTCTTGCTGGTGCCGACCCCTTCCTCGGCGTCGAGATGGCTAGCACTGGTGAGATGGCCTGCTTCGGAAAGGATCTCGTCGAGGCTTACTGGACCTCTCTTCAATCTGCCATGAACTTCCGCGTCCCTGAGCCGGGTGAAGGTCTCCTCTTCGGCGGTGAGCTGAAGGAAGAGTGGCTCACCACCATCGTTGACTACCTTTCTCCCCTCGGCTACAAGCTCTATGCTGCCGACAACGAGGTGAAGGAGTTCCTGGAGTCCACTGCCAAGGACAAGGTCAGTGTCGAGGTTATTGAGTTCCCCAAGGAGGACAAGCGTGCTCTCCGGGAGGTCTTCAAGAAGTACGATATCCGCGGAGTCTTCAACCTTGCCCAGGCTCGTGGCAAGACTGTGATGGATGTTGACTATGTTATGCGCCGAAATGCCGTCGACTTCGGCGTTCCTCTCTTCATGGAGCCTCAGGTAAATTCCCAATCACTGCTCAAACATATCTTAGACCCAACTAATTGTTACAATCTTAGACCGCCAAGCTCTTTGCCCAGTGCATGAGCGAGAAGCTCCCCCGCAAGGAGGGCATCCCCCCTGAGGTCCGCCGGTGGTCCGAGTTCTTGAAGGGCAAGCCCCTGTAGATAAGTTGTAGCAAAGCAGCGCCAGACATTCCACTGTCAGGATTGCTGTCTTAGGCGTTCCGGGTTCCTTTAGATTGAAGCGCGTGGGAAATCCTTTCATATCTCCTCAAACAGATCTGTCCTGTGGATCTATCTTTTCGACTGTCAAGGCGGAAATGCGGAAAGATTTATTTTGCAAAAAAAATTAACTTAAGTACCCCCCTCCGGAACCCAGGGCTGCTAGGTCTCAGGTCTTGTCATCCAGTTTGAAAGCTAGTTTCTAGAGCAGAGGGGAGTAATGGCGATTAAAAGTTCATTGCTGTTGTCGGAATGACGGGGCAGACTTTGGCTCATATCAATACCACAACAATTACTTAAATGAAACGTATGTTAAAGACCATATTATTGTACTGGTTATTTCACTACAATACTCTAGTTCCAAGTGTTCGTTGGGCCCATATGTAGATAATAACCGTTTATTACCAGGCAGTGCAAGCGGTATCTTCAAAATTGGGCGCAAAATCCGGGGATTCACTTAGGGGTATCACATTCTAGGCTAAGAATATTTGTTATGTACCGGGGAACAATATACCTGTGTGACTCTTAGAGGGATTGGGATAATTTTCATTTCATTTCTTGTGCAATGCGGAAACTAACAGCCGTAGTCGCCTGTTCTAAATGCTTGATCCCTCTAACGCCAGATAGCAGCCTGCCACAGACTGCTTGGATATGCCCCCGAAGTTCTCAACTACAGTACAACACCTTGACCCGATTGGTCAGGATCTGCCCCTTTTCTTCTTCGAAGAGGTTGTGACGGATTGAGTCATGTCCCATCAAGGGGGCGTCGTTCATCAACTGGATGGGTTCAGCCTAACGGCAGCAATGCGCTTAGCAAGACGTTCTTCGGAATCTGCACCCGGGAGGGAAGAAGGGGTATCATCGTCTCCAACACCTCGGGCACGTTTGGGAGTTCTCTCACCAGTCGATTGCAAGATCGCCAGCAGCGTCTGCCAGCCAGTTGTTGACCGAAGTTGGAACGAGTCCGCGAGGTCGTGCTGTGTCGCCACACGACACAACAGTCCTTCCTCATCCTAGAGTGATATTGTCAGCTATTTGTGACCTAAGCGTAGGGTGATTAAGCCACTTACCTTTCCTAAGACGCCCATTTGATGGAGGAAGCATAGGAGATGGAAGTTGGACACCGCTAGAGCTCCAGAATCCGGTTTAGAGTTGACCTTAAGCATCTTAGCGGCATCAGAATGCTCTTGACTTTCGCCCATGTATTCTCGGTTCTCGATCGGGAATCCAAGGTCAGTGAAGGCTGGCTTGGGCGCATCAGGGAAACCGTGGGTCAATGTAACGAAGAGATACTCAACCGGGAAGGCTGGCTTCGCATTTTCCTGGACGTTAGCGCCATACTCGTTAATCTTTCGGTAGAACACCTCTGGTATGTAGCGAGTTCGGCTGACAGACCCATCGTCTTCTTCCTCGTCTCGGACAAGCATGGAATTTGGGTCTGCTGAAGGCTCGACAATATCTGCTCGGACCATTTCTACCGCCTCATTCGACATCTGGTAAGCTGAGATTGAGATTTCGCCCTGCTCGTTGCCCGTGATGATGCAAGTTACGAAGTTTGACCCGAACCGACCTGTATCACTCCATTTTGTTGGTTTCGGGTGCTGAGCTTGCAGTCGCGCGGAGAAGCAAATTTCTTGTGATGACAGGTAGTAAGAGTCCGCATGTCGCTTACAGATGACTGAGCCGTCACCGGCGCCAGCATCTAGCAGATCGGTCCAGATCACACCAATTTGCTCTAGTCCGCAGAGCTTGGCCACTGTATTGATTTCCTTTTCGTTATCCCAGGGATTCAGGGTCACGCCATCGACCTCATCAACTTGAGGTGGCTCATAAATCGCCTCCACCACTGCCTTGACACCGAGAGGTACAACCTCATACTCTGCATACTTGCCGTACATGTAGCCGACTCTTTGGCCTCCAGTTCTTCGCCATGAGTCTATGAAGCTGTCGATAATGGCTGGCGAGGCGAATTCAACGTGGTCTACCATGCGGAATGTTGGCGGCTGTAGAGTGATCGCACTAGGCTGGCACTTGGTGCAGATACCTTCTGGCCACTGCGGATGACCTGAAGGACAGTCTCGCTTCACCCTGTAGTAAGGCTCTACTAGGGGAGGAATGAAAGATGCGCCGAGCTCAGGTTTGTTCTTCTCCGAGTTAATCTTCTTTAGGTATGAGTGGTATGACAGGTACTTGATCTTCTTCTCTTCGAGGTACTTGGCATTGAAAGGGTCGAGTGGCATGCAATAATCGCACATGCCCTTGGGACCGTGGCGACACATCTTGTCCATCTTCCGCGGTATCTTGCCATCCTTCTTATCTAGCCTGTCGTCCAGTTTCGACTGGACCACTACCTCCCAGGGGTTCTTGATCTTCTCGGATGGGGACAGCAGCGGTGGCGGGTCAATAGGCAGGTCCTCGGCGGGGAGAATGGGCTTCCCATTCAAGCGATTTGTTGACGATATCGGGGCTGTGGGTGCGTCTCCGTTCGCATGGCCGTTCGATTGACCCTCAGCGTACTGATAGTTAATGAAGATTAGATCTCCATGGCTATACGAGGTCAGTCAAACAAACACTCTCCTAGAAAGTTGCACATGATCATACTTGAGGCCGATTTGGCCGATTTTGACGCCGGCAATCTCGACCAGGTTCTTTGAGTCTCCGCCGGTAGGGGCATTCGATAGCGTAATGGTCCTGGCATCGACAGTAGACGGTAGTTGCGGCAACAACTGCAAGCATGAGACAAGCTCCTAACCACAGCGATAAGGGGGATCACATACTTTGCGACCAAGCTCCTTAAAAGTGTCAGTCTTCTCTACGGCCACGCGGACCATGCCATCCGGGCCCCGGAGTCTTAGTAACATCGTGGGCGTCAGTACGAGGCGGGGTTGATGTCTGATGTCTGGTGAGAAAATGAGGGATTCAGAAGGTCTCCAAAAGAGTGATACCGTCGCTCACCTGCCAAGAAGAGGCAGTACGATTCGTAGGTGTTTTGCGGCGGTGATTATTGAGGCGGTGGTCGTGTGGTTGTTCACGAGTTGGAGGAAGTCGTAGAGGTCGGAAGGTTAGGGAGCTTGCTTAGGTAGGTATGTATTTGGGAGCTCGGGCAAGAGCCGCCACACCTCTCGCGTCATACAGTTGTGCCTGGCCCGTACTGTATCTAGTGGGTGCGGTACATCGAGACAGGTACCTAAATTACCTACCCACCGTCCTTAGTGTCTGATTACCTTACCTGAGGTGAGACTGCCGGCCCGGAAAAACACCCCGCACTGAACGGTGAGGTGTGCTGGGCATACTGCATAGTAGGGCAGTCTCGGAGAAACACCCCTGTAAGCAGCCGCCTGCCCAGTTAGCCAAAAGCCAAAAGCCAAATACATGAACGGCCACGTTAAATTTTGGGGGTCCAATTAAGCCGTTCACTATACAGAATCCAAGTACACCTGTCATCTTGAAGCGCTTTTGTCTGGCCTTCCATTCATTCATTCATTCGGGATCGTCCACCACCACAACGAAGCTGGGGTGAACTCTTCACCACGCCCACGATTCTTCTCTTTGCCGATTTGATTCCGTCTTTCATCCTTTATTTTGGCTCTGCCTCTCCTTCTCTTGCGCCAGAGCTCTTTCTTAACAAGAAGTCGGCAACATGTTTGACATCGACTGGAGGGGCCTACTGCTCCCCTTTGCCTACGTGATCGTGCTCGGCGGCACCTTCATGACCTTTTCCACAATCTACCGAAAGAGGAAAGCTGGTGCGTGGAATGTCAGATCCCAGACCTGTTCTGCTCTGTACTAATCAAGCATCTCAGCCCAAAGCGCCAATCTGGCCCCGTGGTTTCCTCCGCACTTACAACGAAACGTCTACCTCTCGCTCCTCCATCTCGAACCAGAAGAGGGCAAGGAGAAGTCTCCTAAGATCCCCGACAGTGTTCTGCGTGCTGCACTCCTGCGCCGCGCCGTTGAGGACATCCACCGCATTATCCAGATCCGGACCGCCAAGGCCGCATGTTCTTCTCTGCTCCAACGAGGTAGTGTTGGCGATGATCTATGGCAGCGTTTCCAGCGCGCCGAGAAGGAGATGGAGGAGGAGCTCAGAGATGTCGTAATGGAGGTGAGTGCTCTGCAGGTTCAATTACAAATCCCTTGTCCTATGCTGACAGCTGCTCAGGCCAATGCGCTCGCTCCAAACTGGGGCCAGACCATCTTCCAGTCCGCGAACGAGATTGCAGGAAACACGACTCTACGGAAGCGCCTTGACGAGATTCAGGCGCAGGCCGCCACCGAGAAGGAGTGGTGGGAGAAGCGACGGGCCGCTATCCAGTCCGACTTTATGAAGGAGCTGGACGACGCCGAGAAGAAGCCTACCAGCGAAGATGATGCCGTGCTGGTAGATCCCAGCACACCATCTGGCACCCCAGCCGGCAGCAAGAAGAAGAGGGGCAAGAAATAAGGCCTGCCCCGGACCAGCAAGGGCAAATCTACTGTATAATACGACTTGATACACCAGGGGTTCTTAATGGGCATAATCCACGGCATATGGTTTGCGCGGCGTTGACGGCTTGAAAAAGAAGGGAACAAATGCCATTACCATTTTAGACCTAACTCCTTGCCTACTATCTGAGCTGTGAAGTCAAATATGCAATAACGCTGAAGAACAAGATAAAGACGCTACTTCGGAACTAGACATTAAAAATGTCACGAATACCACGGCAGCTTCCTTCTAAATGCTTCCTCATCCTCCGCGATCCTCGCCTGTCTCGCTTCCTCCATGATCTGCTCCTCGGTCCTGAGACTGACAGGAGTGTCACAGCCCCTCAAGCCAATAAACTTGCCAATCTTTCTTCTCTTCTCCTCCAGCGTCAAACCCTCGGCCCAAGTGATGGGACAGGGGTAGTGCGCTGTCCACATGCAGGGCGTTCTCTGGTGATAGAATCGCGCTAGTTGGTCCAACTGCTCGTCTGTCAGGAGCCAGAAGTTGAGTAATGTGTTTGGGAAGGCCGGATGGATCTGCCCCGTGGAAAGCTGCACCAGCGGAGCCAGGGGCAATGCCATCTGCTTGAGCTTCTTGTCGAGCTCGGGGCTCTTGACCGCTCGGCGGCTACCGACTATCGTCGGTGGTTGTTGACTTGAATAGTTCATCTCTTGCGCTATTCGCTTTGCTTTCTGAATGTAAAAGGATTGTATTTGTCTCTTTGTATCGAGATATGTAGTGAGAGAATGTGAGAGTGCAAATGTCTGGACGTGCGCCTGTTGCTGAGGCTATCGCTGCCGGCAGCAATGTGGAAGACTAGATGCACTTGAATTACTGTGACAACGCAAGGGATTGGGGAGTCGAGTTCGGGGAATGGTCGCGCAGACTTGGGCCTTCTTGTACATAGACCAAATGCTCGGTGTTTCTTTGTTGCACTTGGGAACTCTTTGGACAACTGTGGGCGGCTTTACAAGTCAGCCCTCTTTGTTGACTTGTTTCTATATTAGGCTTCGAGTCACTTTGTTGGGTTGCTTGTTCAATGCTGCACTCTTTGATCCCATAACGCACCTCTTGCCGGCGGAGGCTAGTCCCGACTGAAATACCCGCGACTGAAAGCCTGGTTGAGCAACACATCTATTGTTCTGAGAGATGTAACTAGGGAAGCTATGGTTGAAGCTATGGGTGAACAATGCGGCCGGATTTCTCCATGAGCGTCCATATCTCTCTAAGGAGCTCCGTACAGTGCTTTGGCTATAGCCATTTCAACTTTGCAATGTGGTCTGCTTTCTTCTTGCTTGCCTTGACGAAGCCCAGTGCTCTCAAGTCAGCAAGAGCTCGGTAGAACAACACTAATGCAGTTCGCTCATCAACTTCTCCCTCGCTGTCCTCGCCTACCTGAGTATAGAACGCCGTCCACAAATCTGCCACATTGATGAGAGCTCCGGTCTCAAGATATAGATGGTATAGAATGGCCGTCGCAGGAAGAGTAGACGCGACACCGCCCTGTGCCTCGCCACAACAAGCACAAGCCAGGTAGTCGTGCGGTCGAGCAAGAGCCCGCTCCAGCACTGAACCTGGTCGTGGGGTGAAGACGTCCTTGTGAGGAGACTTGAAATCGAAACGCCAAATCTCGTGGAGAAACATGCTATCGGAGGGCTCGCACGATACCGCAGCCGTCAGATGCTCTACCAGAGCATCAATTAAGTCCGTATAAGCGTTGTCTTCCTCCGTTAGAGTAGCAGTGTCTTGGCTGAGCTGGACTTTCTGTGCGATGACCGTAGTTCGCAAGATTTTGCTCTGCGCAGTGTACTTGCTTCGCAAGCTCTGTCCCTTTGCTTCAACCTGAGCCTTCAGTTTTTCTATCTCCTGATCGATCGAGAATAATTCATTCAGGAGATCCTGCGATTCAGCTTCCCACCCGCGCACGCCCAAGTCTGCATCGCCTGTCTTGGTCACAGCGATTACGCGCCGTATGAGTGCAACGACCTCGTCAGGGGTCATCCGTCTCATAGAATCTAGGAAGTCTGAGGTCTCAGCCTGGAAGTCGATACCATCCATTGTACCATTTATGTATAAAGTTATGAAGTTTTCCTTCGGCAGTCCTGTTGCGATGAGGTACAGAACTGATCTCAGAAGCACTGTGGTCCACTTCTTGCCGAGAACAACGTGTCTTGTGGCTTGTTTTTCGAGATATGCGTCGTCAGTGAGCAGAGGTCTTATATGCTGAACACTTGAAGCTTCTATGGCTGCTTCGACATGAGAGCGGAAAGATGGCAGGTTACGAGCAGCTTCGAGATGTTCTGTCTGCACGACATCGTTCCCGAGCTGTTCAGCTGGCGCTATGAATATGGACAGCGGATTCGCATAGAAATGGCACATGTACGTATACTAATTGTCCGTCAGCGCCCCTGTTATCCCGAGTACTCATTCAGCATGTTCTTACCTTCAAAGAGCTAATAAAATCTTGTATGCCTGCTACTTGATCCTGTTGTCGGTCAACAATGCTCCGCAGCAAAGAGGGCCCAATTAGCAGAGGGCTCTGGGCGTGAGCCACGGCACATTTGAATATGCTCTCGAGGACAGCAGAGGCTTGCACGACATCGAATTGGCTGCCATACAAGTGTTGCGCAGCAGACTTGGGTAGTCTTGCCTGAAATAGCTCGACTGAGGTTGCAACACCAAAGAGAAGTGTGAACTGTATGCGATTTTGCCAGGACCTGCACATTTGTTAGTTCAAAATCATCCATAGTTGAACGGGCGCATACTGGAAAAGCTCTATCAGATCAGTTAGAAGGCTAGTATCAAAGGCCTCGCTATCCTGGAATGCAATGATGACCTGCTTCGACTCATGAGTCTGCACGAACGCATAAAGCGCTTCTAGGTCGTAATCAAGGTACTTCCGGCCCTGGTAATATCAGCCGCTGGCTCCGTTGATGGCGTCGTTCTGACTCACATCTTTTCCGATAGAAACCTCGGCGTCTTCCTCAGAGTCGGATCCTCGTCGAGTAACATCTCGAATGATCTTCTTCAGGGACGCCTTCAAGTTTGGAGCCTCCGCAGACAGCACCCGAACGAACTTGCCCTCTACGACATCATGGAGGCTTTCGGCAAGCTGGCCAAAGAGGAGGTCCTGAGATGCAATGTTGGGGCCAGTTATGATGAAAGCAGATGGAATCTTCGCTCTAGAGAAAGATCAGCGGACTCTGCCAGGTGAGAAATGTAGCTGTTGCCACCTACGTTTCCGCATGCGCCTCGCGAACGAACGAGCCAACCTCCTCCAGTGTTGTTGTATTGGATTCTCTCAACACATTCTGGCGCTAGATTTTAGCATATTACTCATGAGTTGATACCTGTAAAGCATACCTGGATGCGGGAGTCGATGCCGGCCCACGTCTCTTCGTATAACTGCTGACGCAAGCTCATACAGGCTGCCGATTCTGTCTCAAACAGACGCGGGAATTCGGACAATTTCTGGACCTTCACGGGCCCTTGAGTTGACTTGCGAGAAACCTTCCTCTTCTTGGCCGGACGGGCATTTTCTACCGGCTCATCATCAGGGTTGAAGATGTAGGCGGCCTGACAGGGTCAGTATCGGCAAGTATCTTTTCAGACAGCATATCCTGTAATTCTTACCTGATGATCATTATCCAGAAAGCCATCAACTTCTGCTTCGGCCATGGCGGAAGCTACTTGTTCTTCAATTTGTAGCTTGTCCGAACAGTTTGATGAGGCGCGTGAGAGCATATGGGGCGCGTCGTGACACGACTAAAGCTCAAGCCACCCACTCTAAAAAGTATCCCTAGGTAGCAAGCGACACCCCCTGTAGGACCTCCCCAGGTGAAGCGCTGTAGTGACCACCAATTTGGAAGTATGAAGCTCATCACATATTCACAGCACGCTTGACAGGACATTGACGGTTGAAGATCTTCACTAGCTTCGATCTAGTTTCTCTCAATCTAGAGCTGACTTTTATTTGCAACGAAACCGAGCCTCGCAAGAGGAACTTGATTGCATCTATAGCCGAACGCATACTACCTCTGGTTGAAGGCCAACCACCCAGCACACGTATAGCCGCTTGCCCTGTCTCTCAATCATTGCCATCATTGATCTCAAATGATCATGCCGATCCGCCTGCCTGCCTCCTTTCCATCCCAAACAGTAATCAGTTTTGTACAAGGGGTCAACCAAAACCCAACGGAAATGAAGCAATCTCTGAGCCATAACGCCAGAAATCGAGCGAGCCGTCTTCCCGTCCTCGTGACGTGGAATCGATGTAATTTTACAAGACTCGCTACAGCATTGATCGCTGTTACCTAGCATGGCTTCTGTAGAGCCTGCGTAGTACGCCAACTTTAAGCCCACCGAGCTCTCTTGGTTCTATAACATCCATTCCTTGCCGTCCATATATCCCAGACACAGCGCTGGGGAAATTGCCGTATTTGAGGTACTATATGGCCTCAAGCAGCGGCAGTGGCCTCAGTTGCCTCTGGGGCCTTGACTGGCTGTTTCCCGTCAGTATTTGGACTCAATGTTGGATCGTGGGGTTTTGACTCACCTCTTCCGCGACTGGCTTGTCGGCAGCCGGCTGATCCTTAGCAGTCTCAATCGGGGCCGACTTCTCCTCGACCTTGGGGGCATCTGTCTCGCCATTTTCCTTGACACCGTTGGTAGCCTTAGGCTCCTCCTTCTTCTCAGCAGACTTGGACGAGGTGCCATTGACACCATTGGTAGGCGCGGCAGCCGCGGGCGCTCCATCGACCGCTAGGATCTTATTCCATTTCTCGAGCAGAGCGGTAGAACGCGGCTTGAACTGAAATTCATCTTCCTTCGGGATGTTCTCGAGCTTCAGAATAGCCTTCAACACCTTGTTGATCTTCGTGACACGGATGATGCTGACTTCCAAATCAGGAAGACCCTCCAGCTTGGTGATATACTCGGACATCATCTTCATCTCCTCCTCCTTAGGCTCTTGGTCTCGAGCAAGAAGTCCCTTCTGGAGCTTGTGCCGGAGGAAGAGTACTTCCTTCTACGTGACTGTTAGCTGGGTGACCTTTCAAGTATAGTGTCAATACTGACCTCCTTCCGTTGATGTCGCTCCTCGGGACTGAGTTCAGGCTCCTTCGGTGCCTGTGGTTCTGACTTCTTCTCCTCGGTGTCCTTGCTCTTCTTCGCCTTGGGCTTGGCAGGCTTAGAATCGTCCTTGACTTTTCCAGACTTTGGAGTGGGGACACCGTTGGCTGTCTTGGGAGTAGAATTGTTAGTAAGCTTAATCTTAGGCTTCTTGACGGAGTCCGATCGCTGAGGTGTCTGTCGGTATTAGAATGATGTCTATGAGATGGAAAGGGGGGTCCAAACTAACAGCCGTGTCGTCCTCGGCCTTGCGCTTCTTAGTCTTCTTCTCCTTGGCGGGCTCCTCGCTGGCATCGGCCATCTCGACATCCTCATCAACATCGGCGCCCTTGGACTTTCTGCTCTTCTTTGCAGGGGTGGCTTGAGCCTTAGCTTCCAGGGCCTGCTGATGGGCGGCCTGGTCTTCCGCAAATTGCTGAAGAAGTCCCTTGTAGTGCTCGAGGGAATTGTGCTGAGCGGCAAGCTGATGCGCGTCAACGAGATCCTTGCGCATCTTCGAATTGATAAGGTCGAGGACCTTGTCGGGTTCGAGGTCGACCAAGTCAGCATTCGCAACCCAGCCACTAGTACAGAATCCGTCAGTACAGAATGTCATGCAATTGAGACAACGGACGTGCCGCATCATCTTGTGCCAGCTTACAATTCGTTTGTAGACAGATACATAACCGGGAAGGTTCTGTCGGCAGCTCGCTTGCCACCATCTGCGTAATCCTCACGGTACGTGCCATCTGCGCGGGCAGCGGTCACAGGACGCGACTTAATAAGGGAGAGGGGGAGCATCTCCTCATCGCAGATGATACAGGGCCATGGAGGGTAGCCCTTGAGTTTGATGAAGAAGTGATCGCCGGGCTTTGCATCTAGGTGAAGAATGCGCGCCTTGGAAGCCTTCTTGCTCAAGGTCTTGCCCTTGCCACCGGCGGGACCAGTAGACTTGCGACGCGCAACAGTCTTTGCAGGTGTAGTAGAGCTGCCAGCAACAGTATCGCCCTCGGCGTTAGGGGCTGCTTCAGCAGCCTGATGGTCCTCGGGCTTGCTCGCGGGCTCCTCGGTGACTGGGGCAGGGGCTGCCTCGTCAGCATCTTTCATCACGACGTCACCAACAGGGGCAGCATCTTCAGTAGGTTTCTTTGCAGGTTCTGCTCAAAGGGGATAAAGGTCAGTCAAGATATTGCAATGCGCTCAGATGTTGTCGGCAAAGGATAGCTACCTTCAGCTGCCTTGGTAGGCTCCTCTTCTTTGGGCGCAACCGCGACAGGCTGCTCAGCCGACACAGGCTCGTCCACTTTCTCACTAGCTGGAGCTGTAGTCTCAGATGAGGCAGTTGGTGCACCAGCAGTAGTGGTGGTGGCCTCGTCGACCTTGGGAATCTCCTCGGTGGGAGCCGCAGCTTGTGCGCTACCCTCGGCAGACATGGCGGAGAGTGGCGATGGGGTGTCAAAGACGTGTTTCGTCACAAAGTCAGTTAAATCTGAGATTAAAAGAGCACAGATGCACGCGTTGTTCGCGTTGATAATGGGAAGTCGGGTGGATTGGGACGCGGTTCAATGGATGCGGTGGACAAGATAAGGTGATGAAGTGCTCCACGACACGGTGCGTTGGTCGGTCGTGAGTTGGGGAGGGAAAAGAATTTGGCAGGGAAAAAGTGACGGAACGAATCTCACAAATGGGAAGCACGCGCAGGTTGGTTTCTGTGAGACAATGACGCACGGACCAACACTCATAACTACTTGCCTACCCCTACGCACACAATCCATCAAGCTCACCCCCAGCCTCCTCTGAGCCCTCCAAAAACAGGCATCCAAGGCTGACTGAGCCGGCGTCTCTCATCCACAGATGGTTCACTGCCTTCTCCTAGCCCTATCCCCATTATTGGACGCCTTGGTGGTCTTCATCTCGGCCATCGCACAGCTAGGACCTGCAGACACTGATGGCATACCAACATCACAAGAGCCACAATCGTCAACCAGAAACTCCCGCAACTTGCCAATTCGCCCCAAGGCTCTCACATATAGACAGATCTTCCGAGAATGAAAAAAGGTGGTTGGAATAAGAGGGAAACCAATCCTTGACAATCATAGTCTATTTTACCAACCAAGTGAGCCCCTGAAAACTCCAGATAGTGTACACAAACCTGACCAAAGAGGATGCCGATGCGATATGCCAGCTTGGCAATCACTCCTCGTCATCCTCATCCTCATCATCATCTTCATCCACCTCCATAGCCTCCGCAACGGTAACGGAGAAGCCTGGCTCCTGGTCCACGCCAACATAGCTGTCGCTCATGAGGAACAACTTCAAATCATGCTCGCCGGGGGTAGGAACAGTAAATTCAAGACGGACATTAAGCTTCTGTCCGAAGGTGATTCTCTTGATGGCGAGTAGCGTCTTAGTGTTTTCTTCACCGACAACCAACCACCAGCTCTCCATCTTCTTGGATGGGTAGAAAGGGGCGTGGACGGTAGGATCAAAATCGTCGTCCTCGATCTCTCGTTCGATCCGAATATTGAGATATGACGGTTCACCAGCTTGAAGGCTCTCAGGGTCCTCAACGTCGAACTCCAAAGACACATCAGGATATTTCTCATTTGTGAAGTTCGCTGCCTCCACCAGCTGCTTTTGTGACAAACCGAGCTGCTTCACGAGAGCACTGTATTGCGGGTTCTCTTCCGGATTCATTGCATCCATGAAGTCAAGAATATCCTTGACTCTGTGAAAGTGATTATCATTAGTATCATAACGTTGTATGGAGCAATGGAAAACGTACCCAAATTCGTTTGCAACTTTGACGACTTCCGGACCGAAGTGCGGGATTTGCTTGAGAGGACTGTCGCGATCCCACATGGCTTGGACCACCATTTGTGACATCTCCATCGCGTTCATTGCATTGAGGTGTCCGTCGGATGACAGGATATCAACAGTAGCGCTTAGGAGGCTAAGAACCTTAGAGACAATTACCTCTTGATCCTTGGCCAAGTCGATGGGCAGCTGCATTCGTGAGAAATGTGCTTGGAGAAGAACAAATGCTTTGAAATGCGGTGAATCAAACACCGGCTCTGACATCTTGACGGGCACTCTGTCGTATATACGACGGAGGAGATTGTCCTCATGTCTTCTGATCTGAATTGCCTCAAACTCTGTGGCGGAGGTCACAATCTCCAAGATGCCCTTGAGTTTCGTACGTGCACTAAGCGACAACAGGAAGGTCTGCATGGTGATGTAAGAGATGTTGTAGTACGCCGCGATCATAGCTGCGTTCAACGGGGACACCGTTCCGTCGTCTTCATCGAACTCGATAATCTTCGACTCGGACAGCTCCTTGAGCGTCGTCTCCACCAAGTCAGAGAGATAGTTGCTCAGACCGTCATGTGTGGTGTTCGTCAGACTATAGTAGCTTGGGTTGGCAAGAAGACGGCGGTAAAAGTACGTGAACGTTGTCCAGTTGATAGCATCATCACCCGATTCAATCATCTTAGTGCTGATCTCAGTGACAAACGCGTCATGCAAGAAAGCATGGAGATGAGACTCCACTGGCAAAGCCTCGTTGAGGAACTTCTTATAGTATTCTCTCTTGACTGCGGGAAGCATGAGAACACCTCTGCCCCTGCCATCCTTGGATGGGCGCAGAGCCTTGCCAAACATTTGCAAAACTTCACTAAGTGGGTAATCGACATATCGATGTTCTCTGCCCTCAAAGTATTGCGTTCCCATAACGACTACCAAGTGAGCTGTACAGTCAAGCTCCCAGCAGACGTCACGAGATGCTACAAGAACTTGGATGGCACCATTGTCGTAAAGATGTTTGACGATGCGCTTGTCGCTCTGGCTGAGAGCTTCATGATAGTAGCCAACACCATGAGAAAGCGCCTCGGCTAAAGCTTCCTCGTGTACACGGGCCAGAAGAGGCCGCATTTGGTCAACTTCGGCATGGAGAAATCGGTCTTCGTCATCCTCTGCGAAACACGCTGTAAGAATGTCACGCGTTGTAGCTCTTGTCTGCTTTCGACTTGGCACGAAGACAAGAGCAGGCTTATCGGGAGACATCTGTGTGATAGCCAGGTATGTTGGCTTCGCCATAGCGAGCATCATTGATGGGAAATGAGGGATGGTATAGGACTGGATGTGAAGCTCTAGCGGGACTGGTCGGACGTGAGGGCTGAAATTATAGATATCATGCTTTTTCGCATCTATCCATTCGCCAACATCTCGCGCATTGGAAAGGGAGACGCTGAGACCAACAATTCTCATGGGCAGCTCTGTTTGCGTTCGGATGTAATGCATTCGGGATACGATGATCTCGTAGATGTACCCCATGTGTCCACCAAGCAGGTGTAGTTCGTCAGCAATGAAGAGTTCAACGGTCTGGACATTCTTACGCCGCTTCCATTGCCGAGAGAGCGAATCCCATTGAATGGGAGTCGCAAGGATGAGGTCCCCTGCCTCAAGGAGCTTGAGATCAGTGGTAGTCTCTCCTGTCAACTTCACGATGTCCTTCCCACCTCTCAACTCTGAGAAACGCTTTTGCCAATCCTGGAAACGAAGATCCACGAGTTCCTGGAATGGCGCAATATACACGGCACGCCCGCTTTCTTGCTTAGACCAATGGCGGAGCAACGCAAATTCGGCACAAATAGTCTTTCCGCTTCCAGTCGGCGAACCGACGAAGACATTTTGATCCGTTGTGTACAGCGAATTGAAAGTTTGCGTTTGGATCTTGTTGAAATGCTCCCATCCGGGATACAAGGCGACATAGTCTTTCGCCTTTAAAGCAGATACCGGGAGAGGTTGTAAATCTAGCAACTCCGTGTGCGGCGGGAATTTCTCAGGGAGAATGAGCTTCTGGAAAGAGACTGCAACTCGAGTCTCAGAATGCATCCACCTGTCTGAGACCACGGAGATGAAGTAATTGGGTGGCATTGGCTCAGTAATGGGCACAGTGAACTCAACCAGGTGCTCATTCGACTCTGACTCTGCATAGTCTTTCCGTAAAAGAAATTGGTCATGGAAAAGGATGTCTTCCCCATCACAGTCTTCGACAAGAATCCAAAAGCTTTCAGAAGCGCCATGGACACTATCGTCCCATTCAAAGTTGGGTGTGATGCTCAATTCAACACGGAGCATCGATCTCGTCATGGGTTGAATCTGTGCCTGCACGTCCAGTCTAGGAAACTTAGCAACCAGTCCGGTTACAATACGCCCAGCTTTGGGCAGCCCTAGCAGCTCTCCCATGCGCGGGGGGTCGAGATCAAAATAGCTGCTCCAAGGTACGTCGATCCTTTCGGCCTTTTGGACAATATCTCTAGGGCATGTAGGAAATTGGCGAAGCGGCGACATTGTTGGCCACATTCTCTTCTCGGCCATCTTGCACAGATCTAGAGCTGTCTTGGCAACAGTGGCCCAACCTTTCTTCATCGTGATCTCAAAAATCGCTCGAAGAATACGACCTGCAGACTGGGTAACGTACACCATGTCGGCCATGAGAGCCAAACCATCGAGACGCAAACGGGAGATGTATGCTTGCAAAAGGACGTTTATTTTTGCGTGAGGCTCCTCAATGCTCTCTTTGACTGGGATTGGGACTCGTCCAAGCAACTTAGCGAGTTCAAGCTTCTCTTCTTGTCTAACAGGAATGTATTTGAATTCGGCACTCAGAGCAAATACGCGGAAAAGCTCGATGGTTGTGATAGATGGCTGAATAAGGTTATTATAGGTCTCCATCGAACCATGCGTGATGTAGTAGTGCGATGCAATGCGGCCGAGCTCAGTAGCTTGGAGCTTTCCCGTCTTATCATCATACTTGATCAAATTGGCTTTCCTCAATACGGTAGCGGCGGAATGAATGAGATCGACTCGCTTCTGTTCCAGAGCCTCGTCGTCTTCATACTCAGGTCCAACGCTATAGAGGCCAGGGGACCTAAGCATTCGGACGAAGAGATAGGTGTATCCAAGCCACTCTACTCCTTCGTCACGACTGCGCACATTGCCAAGGACAACCTCCGCATTCAAATTATCAACTAGCCGACTTACAAGTTGACTTTCGATCGGCAGTTGTTGGTTGAGGAGAGACAGATAATACTGCATTTCGCCTTGGGTGGTAATGATCAGACCCTCACCATATGTGTCGTACTGAGGGCGACCAGCACGTCCTAGCATTTGCAGAACATCTTGTGGGCTGAGCTCGACCCAGCTACCCTTCTCAGGGGAGTAGACTTGGGTACCTTTAATGATGACGGTGTGTGCTGGCAAGTTGACACCCCATGCCAATGTGGCTGTACAAACGAGAACCTGGATCTGGCCGCCTGCGAAGAGATCTTCCACAGCATTTCGATCTGGTCGGCTCATGCCGGCATGATGAATGCCGAAGCCGTAAGGCAGCAAGTCTTTTAGTTCCTTGTCGTTGACTTGGTCTGCTTCTTCTTGCAAAACTTCTCTCGTACCCGCATCGCTCTTGAGAATCTGATTGATTGTTTCCATCTCGAGAGCCTTGTCCCGTATGTAGCGGGCAGTTTTCGCGGTTTCCTTGCGAGAATGAACGAAGATGAGCATCTGGTTGCGGTTCTTGCCGACATGCTCCAAAACCTTGGTGTAGGTGATCTCGTTCATAACCTTCAATTGCTTGATTGCTTTTCTCTCTGTTACGCCAATGAATTCCTGACGTAAGGGGCACGGCCTGAACGAGCCATCAAAGTGGAACAACCCTTTCTGAGGATCAACCCGGAGGAAACTAGCGACGTCTCTATAGTTCGGAAGTGTGGCGGACAAGCCAACAATCCGCACCGGCTCGCCAGTCTGCTCTGTTTTTCGTATCGTCCTGCTAACGATGCTCTCGATGACAGGGCCACGATCATCATGCAGAAGATGGATCTCGTCTATTATAATGAGACGTACGAGGTTTGTATAGGATAGATCCGTAGCTTTTCTCGTGATAACATCCCATTTCTCGGGGGTTGTCACAATAATCTGCGTCTCCGCAATCTGCGCCTTTGTGAGTTGACGATCACCGGTCAACTCAGACACCTTGATCCCGAACTCCTTCAGGCGTGCGCCGAAGTTACCAACCTGCTCCTGGACGAGAGCCTTGAGTGGTGCAATGTAGACGATTTTAAAGGCATCTAGATCAATCTCGCCCGTCTCTGCATTTCTGTTCTTACCAATTTCCCGCAGAATGGTAAGCATAGAAACATTGGTCTTGCCACTACCAGTCGGTGCACAAATAAGCATGTTTCCATCATCCTCGAAGGCAGAAGGATAACATTTCGACTGAATCTTGTTCAGACTCTTTGTGGTGCTGAAGGGAATACGGGCCCATTCAGGCATGTCTGTGATGGGGACGTTCACATCGCTGGGGTCGTTGCGCTTCTTCGGCGCAGGGACGTGTATTTCTTCGTAGCCCTTTCCAGTCCTCTTGGTAGAACCTTCCGGGAGTCTCACCTTGGGATTGGTCATTAGATGGTTTCCTTGGTCGAAGGCAATGTTCTCGAGGTTGATAAGTTTTCGAGGTTGAAGGCCACCTATCAACTGCCCTTCAGGCCGTTCAGGTTTGGCATCAGCCCCAGCAGCAAATCCTGGTCCGTCGATGTCCATTTTGATCTCCATCTTGCCCTTCTTCTGGCCGTCAGTGGACTTGCCATGCAATTCATCCAGAATCCATCGCAGGCCTTCCGAGACCATCTCTCGCTCGATGGTCTCTCGTTCTTCTGCGCGTTCAGCCCGCGCCAGCCGAGTAAGCCATACCACTTTTTCTCGATTCTCGATGAGCTTTTGAACAACCTCGTGGTGTTCATAGTCGAACAGTTCCATGAGCTCGTTTTCGATTTCGCGAAGCTGCTTCTCTTCACCTCCTTCCTCATCAGGTTGGCCAGAGAGAATATGCAGCGCTTGAAGTGTCTTGTCGTGTTGTGTGTGGGCGTCCGGATACAGTTTACCAATTTGACGCTGAAGCCAATAAGCATCAATTTCGCGGGCAGCAATGTAATTGCTGTCCTTATCTTTGCTTTGTCGCTTGGCACCTGTTGCTGAATCGATAATCATTGCATCTTCGTCTGCTAGGCCGGCGCCTTCTTCATCTCTGTCTTCACCTGCGCCACCTGCTTCAGCAACTTCCTCGAGACCAGGACGATCCTCCTCGTCCTCGTCCTCGTCCTCTTCGTCCTCGGAAGACTCCTCCCGGACCTCATCCACGATGCCTTCGGCATCTTCGTCTTCATCTTCGAAAGCGACGGCAACACCTTGGCGCTCATCGATTTCGCCATCGTCGCCGAGTCCTGCATCGCCCATTTCCTCATCATCGTCTTGAGCATCATAATCGGTTATCTTTTTGCCCAGATTCACCATCTCGTTGAATTCCTTAGGGCTGAGACTGACACCTAGAAGCTCATCGATTTCCTTCTTCTTATCAAAATCTTTCAGGTCCTCATCCTTGAGGTATTCCAATGCAGCATCGGCCGCACTCCGGACAACTTCCTGAGGGACGTCGCCAAGATTGTTGGCAACAATGGTTAATATGACATCGAAGGTTGCTCGGGTCGCTTGGGTGCGCGGCCGATATCGAAGACCTTCCACTAGCGCGTCTGCACCAGACAAGATGCCTCCGCCTCTTGTTGGTCCAGCTCCTGCTTTCCTGCGCTGCTCTCGTAAGAGGATGTCCTCGCCCTCTCCAACCGCGCCTCTCTGGATATCCGGCATCGCTGATTTCTTCTGCTTCGGCGCGATATCTCGAGCAACGCGTGCTCCCATGTCCTTGATGGACAGTCGGCCGGCCAATGACTCGGGGTCTCCGCTGGCCTCATCTGTTCGGCGAGTGTAGAATCGACGGTCCGCCTGGAGGACCAGGTTGGACATCGCCGAGTACTTGTACTGCGAGACATCTCGCTGATGATTGTCCGTCATCTTGGCGGCTGGCTCGTAGATGTGACTGGTAGTGAGAGTGTGGTCGACAGTCGTCGCGAAGCCCAGCCTCTAATACCAGGCTTGCCCCTCCCCTCTAGTGGCAAAGCCCGAATTTCTGCCTGCACAAGATACTGCTGTTGCTCATCGACTCATGTACCTTATAATCGCAAAAATGGAGGCTGTAGGGCGATCAATAATAAAGGAGTCGCAGTATGACATATGTGTGGTTGGAGCTTGGACTCAAAGTCGATGGCGGATCTAGAAAATTTCCGTCCCTTCAGTTGCGATAGACTTAGCGGCGGTTGGGCGGCGAGCTTAGTCGTGAATGGTGAGTCCTGATTGGTTGTGCAGCCAGTACTCCAAACAAAACCTACGCGAGCATGATATTGAAACTCACAACGATATAGGCAGCAAAAGTAATCGCGATAAATTTAAGCCCACGTGAGTTTATCAATACTTCTATCATCGGAAAACAGGCCACAAAGGCCCAAGAATCACACTTAAGCATATTATGACTCTTGTGCCTACTGCCTCGAGAAATCCTTAACGTATGGAGTGTCAAGGCTGGTAATTGGATCGCCAATAGCCTCATCAATAATGGCTCCACCTCAGGAAACGATTCAGTCTATTCAGAAATCATTGTCACCTTATGTGAGATCTCGAGAAGAGACAGCTCATATACGGAGAGTCTTGGCCGTGCACTTGAAATCATGTCTCAGCAATGACCTCACTGTTGCGCCCCTAGCACTAGCCGACTCAACAAACACCCCGGCACCATCGCGGGAGGCCCGAGGCCTACAGCGCGAATACCTGAAGGCGCTGAGTGCAAATATCAAGGCGCAAAAAGACTACGAAGCTGTTAGCAAGATTCCAGCCCATGACTCGTCATCGTTATCCATTACAAGCTCTTCGGCATCGGATCGTATCGAGGAGCATCTGAACACAGTGAAACTCCAAAAGAAACACGCAAAACTCCAGACAGTGGACAGATACTTGGAATTACTTAGTCAAAAACCAGCAGCCTCTCAGGACTTTCTTCAGCCAGATGAGGTTTTCAAACATTCCGCGCCTCTCCCGGAAGTGCCAAAGGAAGTTGTGAGTGGTTTTACTGTTGATAAGGGACTTACCACGACCGACCTGAATCTGCTCAACGATCGCCTGGAGAAGGCGGTATTGCGGGCAAAACTCTTGCTCAGGAAAGAGGAGGAGTTTCTTGAGGCTGTCAAATCTCGGTCTGTCGCAGAACCTGGAAATGTCAGCGACACCACCAAAGTCGCCGCTCTCAACGCCACAAGAAACGAGCTCATTAACTGGATTGAAATGGAGCTGGGGAAGGCGTCCACCGGTGACGAATCCGAATTGATGGAGGATATCGTTAACACGAGGACGAAGATGAACAAAGTCAGCATTGATGACCAGGTTGTAAGTATCAAAGATAGATACGCGCAATATTTACTTGCTCGGAAGTCGCTCCTTCAGTTGATCGGCCAGAATACGCAAACCCTACTAGCACCATCGCTAGAGGTCCAGGGGGATGCTCAGAGTGCGAATCCGTCGCAACATGCAGCACACCTAATATTACCATATGTCGAGAGGTTACTATCTCTTGCTCACGAACAGAAAACCTCAATCACTCAAAAATCTCACCTCAATATTACCTTGGCGAAAGAGATGAAGGATACTAGTGTTGCCCTTGACCACTTGGCGGAGGAGAGCCAACTATTGCTGTCCTATCCTACTCCCGATGCCACGAAGAAGAGAAGCGGTCTTGGCGACGGACTGGGAGGGACTGAGAACCTTGACGCAACTAGTCGGGTTAAACGATGGGTATTTGCAGCGGATTCCGCAAAGATTGCAACCTTGGAAACAGTTGCAGAGAAGGTCGAAGAAGGGCAGATCGCCCTTGAAGGATCAATGAACTTCACGAATGAGATCAACCAACTTCTGGGGCGCAAGACGGTTGATGAGCCCGCTTCTGAACCAAGCACAATGGAGGATGATATTTGGTTGGCCGAAGGTGACACAGGTGGAAAAGGGGCTATGTCCCGGAGACATGCAACGGCACACACAGCCAAGCCTCATGAAGCAGGAGACATTTGGTCACTAATTGATGGGAATCTTGGATTGATTAATGAAAGCCCTACACGTTTGTAGAAACATAGCTGTTCATACAGGTAGCAAATCTGATCATGAGCCGTGTTCTAAACGCCTGATCCGTTTTTCCACATTACGCCCTTCCTTTTGGTTCCTCGTCACATCGTACATCCATACGATCTACCACCGCCTATCGACCAGCCAAGATACTAGATATACGGAGAGCTAGGTCGAGTATTGATAGATGTTCATCCGCGCCATCAACCAATCGCTTGTCGACCTCAGAGAAAACCATGACAATTTGATTCTTCTGAACATCCGGGATGGCTTCATCATAGACAATTCTCTGATAGAGCTGTGAGTTGACCTGTCCAGCACTCCATCCATCGGCCACCATGTCTTCCACGACCTTGGCGACGGCTTGATAGGTCTCGCCAGAGGATCGAGGTTTGATCGCCTTCACAAGTTTCTCCACGGTGTCATCCGGAATGACGCCAGCAATGTCCTCGACAATCTTTACGGTCACAGGCTGTTTATCGACGTCCATATCGTCTTCGTCCTCGTCCTTCTTAGAACTGGCACCAACCAGTCTCGCCGCGCTCTGAAGGAATGTGATTGCCTTTCTCAAGTCACCGTCGCTACACTTGATCAAAGCATCAACCGCGCCATCCTCTAATGGAACGCCTTCTTTCTCCGCGATCTCCTCAAGTCTCTTCTTGGCATTCCCTTGATCTAGACTCTTGAAGCGGAACTTGCTGCATCGACTGGCAAGCGGGTCAATTATACGCGTAACATAGTTGCAGACGAGACAGAAACGAGTGATCTTGCTGTATGTCTCCATAGTTCGACGGAGGGCGCTCTGGGCATCCTGGGTCATGCTGTCGGCCTCATCGAGAATGATGATCTTGAATGGCGGGCAGGGGTAGCGGTCCTTGTACCCGGGCGCCGGATTCGTCAACTGCATGCGTGCGAAATCCTTGACCTTCTCTCGTACAATGGATATACCTCGCTCGTCGGATGCGTTTAACTCTAGCACTCGGGATCGCATGAATTCAGGGCCGTAGAGCTCCTTGGCCAGTGCAAGAATAGTCGAGGTCTTTCCTGTTCCGGGAGGCCCATAGAACAACATGTGTGGAAGCTACTAGCTTGTCAGCCATCAGTCAATTTGACGACAGACAATATGTCTCCATACATTTGAGGCTTGAAGTGTTCGTTGCAAGACTGTGATCGTGTGGTCCTGGGCTGCGACATCACTGAGACTCTTGGGTCGGCTGTATATACGCAACCAAGAATCAGTCAGTATCCTGGCCTCTGAAACCTAGAGAGGCTCTCTTCGCTTTGCGACTCACTATTTCTCGACCCATGGTTGCGCCCTTGGAGTCTCATTTGTCTGCTTCTCCTGTTTTCCTCCACCGTTGGCAGCAGCGGCTTTTCTGGCCTTTATATCGAAGAAGCTGGCCATGGTCACCGCATGTACGACTCAAATTAAAGATCGCAGTCGTAGGTAGATGTTATTTTGAGTTTTCGTGCTCCGGGATATCGGTAGAACCTTCGAGGATGCAGATGAACGAGGTGGATGCTGGAGGCACTCAACGCGTCTCCAAAATCTAACGCGTCTTTGCTGGTTAATTGATTTGCCCCACGCACGCAACCCTAGGACCCTTGTCAGCCAGCCGCCACCTGCTAAGCTACCCCTCCAAGCTCTCTCTGTGTGTGCTCCACTCAGCGTCATCTGCCTAGACTAGGCGGACCCTGAGATAACACTTAAGTAGACAACCGTTGCAGAGCAGGAACCATGTGTAGCACTGCAATTAACACCGAGCAGGCGCAAAGGATTCCAATGTCTAGATCACAGTGGAATCCCTTGAAATCATTCGGGGAATCGCATAGAAACCTTGGACCAACAGATTTGGCGGCTTTGATGTTATATAAAGTATTACATTCGCATGTTATCTATTCACCTTTGTTAGCATTACTTGGCCGTTTGGCCATTCCCGTCATTTGCAGAACAGAAGCCTGAATGGGGCATCTACAAACAGGATATGTGCAGGCAGCCTGCGCTGAAACAATTGGCTAGCACTACCTAGGTAGTCACGTAGGTGTGGCACCATGTGTCGCTGCAGCATCATCTAGATTCAGGCTAACCTGTTGCACATTGAATCATCAGGCTTGATATGATGAATACGGTAGGCAGTAGTTAACTATGTTATGGCAACCACTCCAGTAAATCTTAACAGCTTTTCGTTGAGAAAATACCTAGGTAGTCCTTTGAATTGCAGAAATTGTGAAAATACCCTCGTTCAATCTTAAGTAATGTTATCTACCTAGGTAGGTATCCAAGGTAGCTACAGGTAGGTTTCATCTCAGATTGACAAGCTTGCTGTGCGCGCTTACATGTGTCCTGGGCAACAGCGGCTTCTTTGCCTGAATCTAGCGTGGCAGCTCCCCTGAGACACCCCACTCCGCCTTCTGCCTCCACCCTGAGCTGATCCGTTGACGTTGCTTTATTTAGCCCTCCTCAGCCCACTTCGTCCTCTTTCCTCCTCCCAAGACTGCAGCCTCACCCGTTACGTCCGACAACTCTCCCACTCCCACCCACTTACGTTTTGATCGCAGGATTTCGCATACTTTCTCATCTTATGAGCGACCACTCGAGATCACCGACCCTCCGCTGACACGGAAGAGAGATGGCGGACCAATCCATTATCAGGATTACCAAGGTGGGTTTTAGGCGCGCGGGAAGCCCGACTGCGGGGTCGCAAGGCTGCTGAAGCTATTGTCAAGTCTTTCGCCTGTGACTGACCATCCGGGTAGGAGTTGAGCGATATCCAGAGGAACTCAGATCTCTGTATGGCCTCAAACCTTTACCATCGTCAACTTGGTCTCTCACTAAACCGTTGCTAGCCCTCGCAGTAGCCTGTCGAGATGTCGATGTCCGGAATGTGAAGGCCATGATCATCGGGCCTCACGAGACCCCCTACGAGTTCGGGTTTTTCGAGGTGGGCTTGCAGACCTGAATGTGCGCCATGTATATGCTTACCATTCCTTAGTTCAACTTCAAATTCAACAAGGGTGAGGTTTTTCCGAATGCTCGTATCAACAAGCTTAGCTCATAGAGAATGCATCATAGATTATCCAAGGAAGTCTCCGTCCGTCACTGCAGTCACCACCAATGGTGGCCGCTGCCGCTTCAATCCCAACATCTACTCAAATGGCCGGGTCTGCTTGTAAGTCAACATGATATGGCTTCTCCACGCTTGCATCTAATCATCTGCAGGTCTATCCTAGGGTTCGTTCCTTATCCATTCTAACCCATCCTGCACCTGACTTACCCACGATGTAGCACTTGGCGAGGAGAGCGTGGTGAAGAGTGGTCTGCTGCACAGGGTCTCGAATCGATCCTCCTCTCGATTCAGAGCTTGATGTCATCGAATCCATACGAGAACGAACCCGGCTTCGAGGATGCGAACGAGGCTGCGGATAAGAAGAACCAGCGAGAATATGTCCAGAAGGTAGATGGCTGGTGTTAGTTGTCTTACAACAGGGAAAATGACTTACGATTCTTCAGATACGTCATGAAACCCTGCGCATATCTGTCATACAGCGCCTAGAAGAGTATCTTAGCATTGGGGCCGATGGCACCGTCGCCGCGACCTCCTCAGCTGAGAGGGACGAGTTTGATGTCGACATGGACGGCTTAGATGACTCTAGCGTGCCCTTCGAGCCCTTCAAAGATCTCTGCAAGCGCCGATTTCTGTGGTACTATGATTCTTACCTCGCCGCAATTCAGGAAGCGAAGAAGGAAGTCAAGGATGGACAAGTGTTCGCACGAATGCCTTTCGAGGGTTCTAACAACACTATGGAAGGGAAGTTCAATTACACCGAGCTAGAACGTCGACTCCGTAACATCAAGAAGGTCCTGGACGACGAGACCGCGAGTTGGGCGGTGGAGGGTATGGCAGCTAAGACTAAGGAGTCAACTGTCGCCGTGAATCTGCAACGACAGTATGATCAGGTGGTGGAATCCTTCAAGCGTGATGACAAGCCTCACAACCTGGAGTTGGAGGATAAAAATCCCTTTGTCTGGGCTCTGACGTATTTCGGGCGACCGATGACCAACCTGGATGGAGGTTTATTCCGTATCAGGCTTCACTTTAGCCCCCGGTTTCCTGAGGAGCAACCAAGAGTCAAGTTCGAGACACGCGTCTTCCATCACCGCATCGCCGCGGACGGAACGCCGTGCTACTTTGCCAACCTCACCCGTCGAGAGGACGTGAAGACACATATCGAGGCAATCATCGAATCACTAGAGGAGGAACATCCCCCGTATGATCCGAGAACTCTTGTCAACCCAGAGGCGTTCAAGCTATACTGGGGCTCCCCCGACGACCGGAAAAATTATAATAGACGACTGCGGAGGACTGTCCAGCAGTCCATGGAGTAAGTGTCTGTAACTGCCGTAAGAAGAATTGACTATACTCACGATCTTTTAGGGACTTCTGATCAACATCCATCGCTTCGAAAGCGGCCATTGCATTTTCTTGGGCTTTATTGACTGGTTCCGGGAGTTCTTCCCACTTACTGGCCACCCAAGATGGCGTTCAGGACGGACCAGGGGCATATCTAGCCGGTTAGGCTGTGAGTTTGGAGGCATTGAGGATCCGGTTTTATTCCTCAGGGGTCTATTTTGAAGTCTGTCATTCTACTAAATTCCTTTTCTTTTCTGCTTTAGTCGGTGTTTAGCTCCAGAGTAGATACCCTGGCCTTTTGGAGTGACGGTGCCCATATTGTTTGCTTCCATAATCTATGAATGATAGAGTACATGACACCAGCATCTGATATTTCGCCAATCAAAGTCATCGAATATGAGCCAGCCTTGTTTTGAGCGACTAAGCGACTCAGAGAATGGCATCGTCTCCGAGCATTGCCACTCAAGTGTGCCTACTGATAAAATATCTACACCACTCTAGACAACTGTCCTGTCCCGTCCTGTACGCCGTCAATGCAGGCCACTTCATATCATCATACAGTCGTAATTTTAAAGACGTTGATCTGACCACATGTCCGTCAACGCTTAGCGCCTTTTGCTTTCTTGTCGAGCTTATCGCGTCCGGGGGTATAGGGGGCAGCAATGCCCACAAGTTTTTGCCCATCACCTGCCCTGGGCTCACCCTTGAACTGATATGTCCCCTGAGCTCCGATCACCGCTGGACTCCCCTGTGTGGGCCGTGCAAGCTGTTCATTGTGCAGCTTATCTAAGGATTCGCCCACAACCGCATACTGTGACCAGTTGATGGGTGGACACCGGACTACGTTCTGTGGTTTCGGCAGCGATGCCCATGGCGGCTTCTCCGAAGCCTTGCCCTTGCCTCCCCCGAGTTTCATGGGTGATGGCTTCAGCGCAGGACCTTCTCGGTCATCAGCACCGACGGCATCGCCATCGTTCAGGTCCGAATCTGAATCGGACGAGTCGTCATCGTCTGCGTCGTCCTGCGCCGACACGAACAGCCGGTCGCCCTCGGTCCCGACCCGCCCGGAGTTGAGGTCTCTGAGGAACGCGCCCGGCTCCGCGAGCGCCCCCTCCTTTGCCCGACTCAGTGCCTGGATGTCGGCGGTAGCCTTTTGGCGCTGCAGCTGCAGGATGCCGATGGCCGACTTGAGCGCGAGCACGTCCGGGTTGGACTCAAAGTCAAGGGGCACGGGCGGCGGCGCAGGAACGGCGACCTGGTCCGGCTGCGAGTGCGTGAAGGCCGGGCGGCCCTGCGCGAACGACGGCGCTGCGGTGCTTTTGCCGGCGCCGGTAGATGCCTTGGACGCTGGCAGTTGCCTAGGTGCCAGCGTCGGCGTGATGGGGCTGACGGGCGGCCGAACTGGTGATGATGCCCGAGATGTCTGTGTTTGGGGTGTTGCTTGTGTATTGGTTTGTGTCTGTGTCTGGATAGGTGGCGGCCGGGGTGGGTAGCTGGAAGGTGGTATAGGCGGAGGTACAAATGTAGTAGAGACCGGCTGCGCAGGAGGCTGAGGCTGTGGTTGCGAAGGTGCCGTCCGGCCGTCGGGGACGGAGCCGCTGGCGCCGATGCGTGGCGGCGCCGTCTCTGGGTTGACCGTCAGGCCAGGCATGTTGAGAACAGCTTGCCGTGTGTCGCTTTATAGAGAGGCTGACGACGATGGTGATGTGAGTGTTGGTGGAGTTGAGGGGTTGGTTAGCGCACAGACGTAGCAGGTGTAATCGCTAAAGTGGCTTGTATGTACAGGCAGATCGATAGTTTGATCGGCTACGCATCAAGTAAATCGCCCCGCCGCCGCCGCCGCCACAACCCTTGTAGGAGCCTAAAACAAAGCGCTGAAGCGGCTTAAAATCCTGGCCCCGCTCCACTGTAGCCAACCAGCGTGCGCAACACAGGCGAGCCGAGATGGGGCAGGGATAAGGGATGCGAGCACGCTAGATTTGCCCCTCCCACGCCTTCTCTTCCTCCACCATTTTGCCTTTCATATACTGGGCTGAACCTGGAATGCCTTGGTCCTCGGCAACGACAGTGGATTGGCTGGGAGTGCGCCAGATATCTCACCAATTTACTCGATATCCCAGCTGAATGTGCCGAATACCTGCACCGTACATCGTGCTGAAAGCCACTATTGCTCGTCACTTCCAGTCATCAAGCTCGCCAAGGTGATGGATTGCTTTTCATGGCATTGCAGATACTCAATGGCTGTGATGAAGGCACCTAAACTCAACGCTTGTTTCATGTTTAGACATGGCTGGTGACTTGACTCGAGTAGGTCTTCGTCTTCACGGAGAGAGCCTTGAGAGCCCACAACCGTTGAGTTGTATCGACCTGCAACTAGGATAGCTCGCCCCATACGCCTATGAACATTATGCAGCCTTAGGGTTCGTTGAGGTTATGACGGCTCTCCTGCATCTCATCGGAGCGATCGCTCTCAATGTCTTACGGAACGAGGAGGGTGGCGCCCTCTGACTCGACGCCAACTCCTGCGGATGGCTTCCATGGCGGGCTCGAGAGACGGATGGGGACGGCTCGAAAATGCGATAGAAAACGGCGGAAGAGGAGAAGAATCCGATCCAAACTCCCAATGCCAGCACAAGCTACAGTGCTGGGGGGAGCAGCCAGACACACCAGGCCAGCCATACCCACATGGCTTCCATATGGCTGCCGAGTTGCTTTTTCCATAGACTAGCTCGGCCACCCACCACCAATTGCCTGTCACGGCTTGCCTCGAGTAAACTTGCTTTTTCTTTTCGTCGTTCTCTATATCTCAGCGGTCGAGCCTATCATTCACCAGGTCAAACCACCGGAGGCGGGGCCTTGTCCTGGTCTAGCATCTGAGATGCTGCAGAGCCCCTGCACCCTGACCGGCCACCGGTCGTTCGTTGACTATATGATATGATGTACCTGCCGGGTTTGCACTTTTCTATTCATTCTGCTAGCAAGGCTAGCAAATCCAGTCCTCAGAAGTTTCCCCTACTCTATCTGTCAGATTTTCTCGGTTAGCTGCAGGCGTTACGTACTGTGCTCAGCACGAAGCACGCGAGGGTGCATACCTAGGTAGGCTTGGGTAACCCTGTCATGCAAGTCCTCCGGATTTCCCTCCCCCCATCTCCTTTCTCCTCTCTACTCCACCTTGTTTTGGTAGCTGCTATATCTCCCTGCCTCCCTTCCATTGACCAGGCCTGATTTCTGCGACTGTTGACATACAATTTACCTGGAGGTCTTACCTCTGCATGTGACAGTAATTAGTTCTGTACATCAGTGGTGAAACCAACAGTCTGAAGCTTCAACGCCAATTACCACTACCTCTCAGACGACTCTTCCACTTCGTGATTCTCTGTGAAGGGTTACGAGCAACGGTGTTTCGGTTTTTCTATTTATTTCGGCCTAATTCAACAGAGTGGAGAATTAATGCGGCACTTCCAAAGAGTCTATGTTCTTGGATGACACATCTCAATTTCAAATCGACAGATCAAGTATCCTTATGACTGTAATCGCCTAGGACTCTTAGACCATGTTTACCTTTGGTCTTCTCAGAGGAAAAGCGCACATTTGGCATCAGGTAGATCAGCAGCGCGCGAAGTTGCCCATTGTCACATCAAAAGTTGGGAGTTTGTTATTGTAATAGCATAAGCCAGTACACAGTCAAAGACATCAACCTTTTCCTTTGCAGTCCATCCCCAATATAATTACGAACGAAACTGTCGATCCACCCACGACAGCCTTGCCACTTCAGGGAAAGAAGCCAGAGTTGATACCAAACTAGCAGTAAGTTCCTCGCAGATATTTCTCGGGGCTCCTGTGCCCCTAATGGTGCAGTGACTGACTTGTTCAAGGCGCCGACATCAAGATCGAGGATTCTATCATGAATTCTGACTCTGTCAACCCTTTTCCGGGGTCACCGCTGAGCCTCGAGCAATCAAATACATCATCACAACCATTCGATTACCCTTCTTCATCGGCCAGTGGCGCCATTAATGATAAGGAAATTAATAGAAGAACTTCAAAGTCAAAGTCCAAGGACAGTAAGGGCCGCTGGCTGTCCCAGTTGAAGGACTGGGTCTCAACAAGCGAACCATCTAGCCAGGCTCTCAAACAGCACAAAAAAGAGACATATAAAAAGGCAGGCGTTTCGTTAGATGACCCTCAAGCAAATGCAAAGTTACACGTACCAATAGGCGAGCTCCCAGAGACCGCCATCAAGCCTGCCGGCCGGGGACCGGACCCGGAAGAGGTGTTATTGAAGAAGGCCAAACAGAGGCACAAGGCGAGGGGATCATATTCTGGGCGGTCATCGGGGTCACGGACATCTCAATCATTTTCTTCCGGCTCGTCGGCACCAAGCCTGAGGAAGGGAAGTGAGCAGTTGGACTTTCCACCAGTCACCCGAGCCTAAATTCCGACCTCGTTCACAGACGTGTATGAACTCTGAACCTGGCAGAGTCCTGAAATATTCATGATAAACGACGAAACGCTTTATGATGGAAGATAAGGAAGAATTTTGACTTTCAATTGTCCGCGATCTCGACACCTATACCCACCACTTATATTGTGTTCGCATAGCTCAGTACGAGGATGGCATGTTCCATCTCGTTCAGGGGGTATCTATTCAGTCAAAATGATGTGGAAATTAGATGCAAGCATTTGTCACGGGCACAGTGAACAACTGAATGACACAAATCATTTTCTTAAAACAAAAGGCAACAGACAATACATGGGCTCACTCAAGAACTCAAGTATGTTACAAGCTTGTTAATTCTGATGCATTCTGATGCTTACCATTACGACTCAATTCTCTAGTAAACATGAAACAAATATCGCACACCCAATGTCCTCCTCCGCCAGAATAGTAAACATTAGCTCAGAGAGAATATGGTATCATCCTCAGCGAGGAATTACTATTTGTACAGAAATTAGTGAGGTCTCTAGTAATAAACAGTGTCTTCGATACATTTATAAGTATCATAACCCTCATCATTGAATACTGTGGCTCTTAAAGGAATGTCCTTTCTTACACTGGCGGAGGAGTATATCACCGTTATCTTATCGGATATTTTGGAAGAGGTCCAGGTGATCTGCATACTTTTGCAGCACAGAATGCAAGGTTTTCCATAAAGGTAACATCCGTATTGCGGATGGGGCGAGCATGTGCAAGCTTGAGTCGCTCTAATCAAGTTCACGATGGGTTTAGGGGCTCTTTAGCGCGTTTTCCAGCGAGCTCAGCCTGGGTGGCCGGCCGGATTGGGCCAATCGGCACACTATGACGATCGATTAGCGGGGATGGAATTCTCGATTCATGACGTAACCATAGCACCTATGGGTTGCGTCCCACAAGCTTGCAATCGGCCATTTTGAGGAAGAGACCTGGAGCTTTTTGGGTCCAGATTCTTAAAGAACGTCAAGGGTTCACCTGTCCTTGATCTCCCTTGCTCGAGCATCCAAGCTATTCAACCTCCGACTATCCTGGGACCTTTGCGATATACAGCTCTATATTGCACTGAAGGGCATCTCACATCGGACCTTGGAGAAGAGAACTGGGATTGTTAGATCTCTCCTAGGTATAAAGATGAAGCTCTGGGGCTCTAGCAAGGACAATGATGATGGTCCCGTCGACCCCCAATCTTCGGACTCTCACGATGGACCACCGCCCGACGAGCACACACGCCTCCTCCCCAACCGCCTTGACGGGGAGCCGCCGTATCTGAGTCCCGACGACCCTGCGGTCTCGCCATATAATCTGTTTACCGTTCGATTCTTCCGATATGTAACAATTTTCCTGACGCTGATCACCTTTCTATGGTGGGTGCTCCAGCTGGTTTCGACCTTTATCACGCCTCCTGGTTTGCATACAAGGGGTTCGGGCTTCTTCTCCTTCAGCTTTGCAAGCATCGCATTGGCAACTCTTATCGTAACGCTTTTATTCTTCGTCGCCCCAAGCAAGTCTGCAAGGATCCTGTCAATAATTACGGCGGGCTTACTGCTGGTCAACATGATCATCATCCTAGCAGTGACGAAGACGAGACACGAAGAAACTTGGATTGGTATTGCATCGGTCATCTGGGCTTTACTCATGTCCTTGTGGACCACGGCTGCGGATCGCACAGTTCAGTGGGGCAAGACTGAGGAGGAGGAGAGATTAACCGGCCGCCCGGAGACTCGACGCACCCTCATCGAGTGGACAGAGGTGTTGTTGTCGAACATTGCCCTGCTGCTCCTCACGCTTATTGGCATCCTGATGACCTGCACCCTTGTTCTTCGAGCCCTTGATGCAAAGGTGTCACCTCCTGGCGAACTTTATTGGGTGGACGGCGACAAGTATCAGATCCACTTGTACTGCTATGGCAACGAGACGGATGCGAAAGGGACGAAACTACCGACCGTGCTCTTTGAGGGCGGCGAAGACCCGGTAGAGAACGGTCTGTGGCAATTTGCCGATAATGCCATCAAAAACGGATCTTTCAGCAGGTACTGCTTCGCAGATCGGCCTGGCATGGCTTGGGTAAGCACGAGAACAATTAAATGAGTGAATTGTTGCTAATTAGTCTACAGAGTGATACAGCCCCCTCGCCGCTATCAGCTGGACAGGCTGCGGAAGCTTTGAGCGAGGCTCTTGCTCGTGCAGGAGAACAGGGTCCATGGGTTCTTGCGAGTGCTGGAATTGGCTCAATATATTCCCGCATATTTTCCTCTCGACACGGACGAGATGTCGAGGCAATCTTGATGATCGATCCCTTACACGAAGATCTTCTCAAGCGTATTGGAGCTCCCGGTCGCGGCTTCATGCTATGGCTCCGCGGCATTCTCTCTCCGCTTGGCCTTGATCGTGTCCCTGGTGCTCTTTTCAAGGGCCGTAGCAGAGTGGACCGTATCTGGGGCAAGTCAGCCTATCAGACGGGCAAGCAAATTTTCGCGAAGCTTCAGGAGAATCTGGTTGCAGAGTCTCTCACGAAACGTGATGTAACATCCAGCCGGGCAATCCAATATCCGGACACTCCTATTGCGATCATCAGCTCCGGAATCGAAATTCGACGGGATAGTGAGTGGGAGAAGAAGCAGAGGGACCTCACACATCTCACACAGAATCTGCATGATTGGGATATAGTTGACAAGGCTCCTCATCAGGTCTGGAAGACGCTGGACGGTCGTGAGGTGATTGAGAAGAGACTGAAGCAGTTAGTGTATGGAAAATAGTCAGTCTATCTCTTGGCGAGAAAATTACACGGGGGAAGCCACGGAAGACCTGAATTTGCTGCATTTCCCATGTTCAAGGAGCGATGGTGGGAAACACGTATTGAATGGCGCATAGGAGTTTAAGCTTAGAAACAAGGCGAGGCTACCTGCTTGAGCAAAAACAAGTGACGTTTTCTCTTCTATATCTCAGCCAAACTTTGCGTACTATTACTCGCCAGGAATAACATTGCGCGAATGCGAATCTTCATGCTTCAATCCGTCTGTTCTAGCAGCCTAGCGATCCATTTGTTCCAGTGACTGGATGATGGAGATACACCTAGTTTGTGTAGGATATCTATCTCAGCAGGTGGTATCTTTTGCGTAAGTTCAGCCGACTTTACACTCAGAGTGAACAAGGGGTTGTGTTTTCAGACTCGTTGCACCCCCTGCCAGGCATTTGGAGCTTCCCTAAGCCCTTGACAGGCAATGAACACGAGCATACCGCCGTAACCGGCCAAACCGTTCTTTCTCGTCTGAGAGATGTTGACAGTTGAAGATACAAGCATCCAAATCATCCGCAGACATTCAGAGAGTATCCAGGCTTGCCATATCATGAGCTCTAGCTTACCATTATCGGGCTGTAGCAGTAAGTATTCAAAAGTGTTCACATGCCTAGATATATACTGACATCATCTGCTTTATCGCACAGATTTTGATTCATGTCTCAGCAGCTGGCTCGTGGAATCTATTTTCTTGGGCTCCAAATGACAACCTACTGTCTGACCAAAAACTCTGGTACTATGCTTCTCCAACAGATTGGACAGGACGTACCATCTAGCAAAATGCGTATTATTAATTATTATTCTGGATATATTGAGATAGACATAGTTAAAAGTGATATGAGAGGAAATAAAACGTCAGGTGTTATTACTTGGGACTCGCGTTAGTATAGTCGATTGACCCAGACCACAAACTGAAAAGCTAACTTCGATGTCAGCTGAGCTTGCTGGTGGTTTCGCTGTCTGGGTTACCACGCCTGAAGCCGGATTTCTCTACGGGCGTTTTGTTCAAGCTGCTTGGGATGTGAATGAGCTGATGGCCGGCACGATGAGAGAACTCATCGAGAAGGATTCCTTCTCTTTTAAGGTCGGGATTCTTGGATTTCACCCCTAAATGCCGTTCGCACTGTCGCTCCATCGAGCTCATCATGGTCTAGTTGTCTAGACAAGCTTAGACACTGATCGAATTGTTCGTAAAATATTGTAACTCGGATTAGAAACAAGTTGTTCTACTCAAGCCATAATTACAGCTTAGTAGACAAATGATACGATTCTCAGTGAAGATTACTTGGACCAAACTGGTTACTAACATCGCCAATACAGAATAATTCATTGCCTTAAAGCCTGAAATCTCTCTGCGAGACACCCAACTTTTCGCTACAAACAGTCACGAGAGCACTTGCAGTCAGTAGCTCCATCCTTTCACCGTATATATTTGGGTTCGCCGTCCCATTCATAGTGAAGAATTCGAACGACAAATAGGGGTCAGGGGTTATAGAAAATCACGTGACCACACCCAAAACACCACGTGTAATGGCGCGTATTACCTGGGCAATAAGCCATGCCGCCTGGTAGTAAACGTCCTGAGAGTAAGATAAAAGCTGCTAGTCTAAATTTATCTAGATTATCATTTGTTATTTCGGGTGCACAACCCATGGTATATTCTCGAAATCCACTGGGATCGCTGGGTAGTAATCTGTAGGAGTAGGACCATGTTGAAGAATGGGGGGAATGATACCGCCTCATTCCGGACCCGCATTAACATTGACCCTGACCAAGCAATGCACCCTCCCTTGGCGTACCTGCTGCCATAGCATGCTCAACCACACCTTGATACCCAATTCGACCACTCTATTCTATGACCTCCTGCATTATCCTGGATATAGATAGAGGCCCTATACGCGATTCTATGCTGTTTTCGTACCGTCACTCGATAGGCGGCGACTTATTACTCTGGAAATTAGACGCGGTGTTGCAGCGGGGACTTGTCGATCGCTTCTGTCTGACCAGCAACATCGCCTCCTGAGCCTGCAACTCCTCTCATCAACCACCCTACCGAACATTCTTGCCTTGAAGCTCTCTAGCAGCCAAAGCTCGTCTTAAAGGGACACTCTTCCCTGCCGACAACTAACCGACTTCGGGCACGCTTTATCCCGGCTAGTCATCCCCCGGTATTGGCTAGCAACTACTCGACCGACCGATCGACTTCCGCGCGTGCAAGCGACCACAGTGACTCGGCAAACACGTGCAGTATCGTGACGCGAAGCCTGCGACGCTCTCCTCTTGATGTCGAAGCTAGACTGTTAGACTATCGAGTACTCGAGTACTTAAAGACCTCTACTTGACCAATCGTCGAGAATTTGGCGTCCATTTCGTGGACACGAGGTTGATACTGGAGAAGGACCAAGGGGACCGCTCTGCATAGCAGGCCACCATGTTGGGGCCTGACTATAATGGCGATCAGGCCAGCGACCGGATTCAAGGCCGTCGGTCTGCGGAGGAGGTAAGCTATCACACGGAGCGCGAGTTGGGCAACGCCTCGCCATACCGTCCGCGACAAAATGGCGGGTATGGAGATCTGTCAAGGCCTCCAGGATCCCCGGCCCTGAGCGCCAGCGATCGAGATCGAGACCTAGATCCACGACGCAGCGAGGAGCGCAATAGATCGAGGGGTCGAAATGGTCGGACGGCAAGCGGGCAAGTTCGAGTGTGTAAGAAGTGTGGGGAGCCCTTGACGGGACAGTTTGTCCGCGCGCTGGATGGTACATTTCACTTGGATTGCTTCAAGTGTCGAGTAAGTGGATCATATCGGAAATCCATAATTGAAGCGAAGCTGGCTGACCATATTGTTCATATAGGATTGCGGTCAGATAGTTGCATCCAAATTCTTCCCTGCAGACGATGGTAACGGCGAGGGGCAGTATCCTCTTTGTGAGACGGACTACTTTCGCCGCCTTGGTCTTCTCTGCCACCAGTGTGGTGGTGCCTTGCGAGGGTCGTACATTACCGCATTGGATCGCAAGTATCATGTAGACCATTTCACATGCTCACTCTGTCCAACTGTTTTTGGAGCGCAGGACAGCTACTACGAACATGACGGCCAGGTCTACTGCCATTATCATTACTCAACTCAGTTCGCGCAGCGCTGTAACGGTTGTCAAACGGCCATCCTCAAACAATTCGTTGAAATTTTCCGCAACGGGCAGAACCAGCACTGGCATCCAGAATGTTACATGATCCACAAATTTTGGAACGTGCGCCTCCTCGCACCGCAAGACACGCCTAAACAATCCCACGATTACGATGATACGGCCGGCAGAGACTTTGTACGACAAGAGGAAGAAAAGATGGAGGACAAAGTTTACCGTATATGGAGCGTCCTCTCCACATTCGAGGAATCTTCAGCTGCTTGCATTTCTGATATGCTCTTGCATGTTAGTAATGGAGCCTATGTCGATGGTGTACTGGTTGCGAAGAAGTTTATTTGGCACGTGGATGTCTTATTTCAGTCTGCAGACAGACTAGACTCTACCATGGTAAAGCTCGATATGAAAGGTAAGCCACATCTTTTTCTTCTCACTACGGGGTGTACTTGAGACTGACTATTATTCAGGTCTATCCTATGGACGGGAAGCCAAGCTGCTCTGTAAGAAGATCGTAGCTTTTTTCTCCCTTCTGTCCAAGACGCAGGACAAATCTTCCCGTAAGATTGGAGTTACACAGGATCTGCTGTCTCTAGTAACTGGTCTTGCACACTACTTGAAACTTCTCATCCGCATTTGCCTTCAAGGTGCTCTCCGTATCGAAAAGGAGCGAAACACCTCTGACGGGCTCTACCAATTTCTTGATGACCTGAATGATCTCGACCCTCTTCGAAACGAGGAAGGCACTGCTCAAATCACCAGTGGCATGGCACGTCTCTCAGCTAACGACTCGGACCAATGTACATTGTGCCACAAGCCTATCGAGGATGAGTGCGCGAGGAACGGCGAGAGGAGGTGGCATCTAGGCTGCATGGCATGTGCAAGATGCGGCAAGGAGCTCGGGAGAGACCTTGATCAAGCACGGCTCAATCTCTACGACCAGAAGATCTTTTGTACCAACTGCCAAACTTATAGTTCGGACAACGCGCCACCGTTCGAGCGGGTATCGAAGCTGCAACAGTACATATTCCTGCTCAAGGTTGCATTGGCACGTTTATTGGAGATCTTGAGGAGCACTGGCGCTCTTCCCCCTGCGTCCGGAGACCAAGAGGTGAATGGGTTTGATTCGGTGGACGATTCCCGACCTGTCGGAGATAGGGACCTACAAAGACCTCAAACCGATGTCAGATCGAAGTCTTATGCCGGAGAAAGAGAGCATCACCGAGAATCTTCATACGAAAGCACACTAAATGATGTTCGAAGGCTCAGAAGCACCCGTCTTGATAAGCATTTATCGGCCAGCTTTAGGAAGGCTCGCGCATCTCGCTTAATGGATGAGCCCGGTGCGGAAGGTGGTCCGGCGAACAAACAAGGATACCAGATCACAGAAGATCAAGCTGGTGAAGACTCAAGCATGGATCCTCTTTTTGGACACCAAGATGCTCTTACATTGGATGACATACCGCGCATTGTTGCAGCTGAGCAGAAGAGAGAGCAACGTCCCGCATATAAACCTGGACGCCAAGAGCTCTTCCGTTCTCCTGCTACGGAACCATATGTTGGCGCTAGTCACCCACGATCTCAGTCTGCGACCAGAGATGCTGATCGAGGATTTGGCTCAGAACCATCTCCCCAGTCCGGGGGTCAGAAGTTCATCTCCGAGCTATCCCCGATGGAATATTTCATTGTCCGACATCTTGCAGTCTTGACCATGCATCCCATGGTGGAATCAGAATTCAGCCTGGAAGAGCTCCTCAGCTTCATTGAGTCGAGAAAGCCGGCCACGTTCTGGAACAAGTTTGGGAAAGCCTTCAAGAACGATGGCAAGAAATCAAGCAAGAAGAAGGGTATTTTTGGTGTGCCGCTCGAAATCATTATCGAGCGAGACGGTGCCGATTCGACCGATGGCGTTGGTCCCGGTACATTGCGAATACCCGCAATTGTAGATGACATCGTCTCCACCATGCGAAAGATGGATCTTTCTGTCGAAGGCGTGTTCCGAAAGAATGGAAACATTAAAAAGCTCAGCGATCTTTGTGAAAAGATCGATAGGGAAGGCTGTGATAATATCAACCTCAGCAGCCAGCCTGTCGTCCAAGTTGCGGCTCTTCTGAAACGTTACCTCCGCGACTTGCCTGATCCGTTAATGACGCACAAACTCTACCGGCTGTGGCTGACAGCTGCTAAAATACAAGATGACGACAAGAGACGACAGTGTCTGCATCTCACCTGCTGCCTGCTTCCCAAATGCCACCGGGATTCTCTTGAAATATTGTTCTCCTTCCTGAAGTGGGCGGGTTCTTTTCATCAGGTTGATGATGAATCAGGCTCCAAGATGGATATCAAGAACCTTGCCACTGTCATTGCGCCAAATATCCTTTACACAAATGCAAAGACGGCCGTACTCGATAGCGATCCCATGTTTGCTATCACAGCTGTAGAAGATCTCATCAACTATATTGACGAGATGTGTCTGGTTAGTTCGACTTCATGAGTTTTTTGTCTTACGAGTGTATACTTATATTTTATCACAGGTTCCGGATGATCTTGTTGATGTATTGAATGACCCAACACTCTTCAGCAACAATGGCGAGATCACAACAAAAGAAATACTAAAACGGTTCGGCGATCGGCGGGTCAATGGTCCCTCATACGGCGACGTCAACGACATAGTTGGTCAAACCAGACCCCAAGCAAGGAGAATAGAGACGGATCCCGCAGGCTGGCCTGAGGAGCGAAGTGTCCGTCCTGTTCAAGAACCCATTGCACCCTATGCCAACTCAGCCCAAGGCACTCCACCTCCTAAGTGGAGAAATCCTGATGATCCTCATCCGTCACCATATGGGCAATCATTCGAAGCGTCTGATGCCAGCACGGGCAGCGCTGACCCCAACCAAAGGAGGGAATGGAGAAACTCTGGTTGGAGTAGACAGAACAGCTCAGTTGGCATCACTGGAACTGGCTAGAGCATGTTCTGTCCCTGAAATGAATACATACTGCAGTCACGACAATACCCCCGGCATGAGCGTGTTTATATTCCTTGTTTAGACTCTTACGACCTGGGTTGGAAGTCATGAGCATCGTTGGAGGCGTTTCCCTTTCCTTCTTTTGACTATTATTCGTTCGCTTGCGGACGTGAAAGTCGACGACATACCTCGTGAAGTTTTTTTATGCTACAGCTTATATCAGAAAAGGATGGCGATTTTGTCTTGGAGTAGAGTGGATGCGCCTGCTGTTGAGCCTCAAGCTTCCACCAAGAAAGGTATTGGGGCTTTGCAGATGTCTTTTTCACTCTTGCTGCTTCTTCCTTTCGGCAAGCTAGGCGTTTGAAATTGATTGAGGAATGGCGATCAAAACCTGATACGCATTGCTACAAAAGCATTTCTGTCACGGACCTGAAGGTCGTTGAACAATGATCGCACAACCAATATTTTTAGCCAATGAAAGTCCAAATGATTCTCGCACCTCTTACATGATCGCATCTTGGGAAGGAAATGACAAGTAAATCATGACCTGGGGAGCATTGAAAGAGCATGATTATCGTATTACATCATCTAAGTAATCGTAACTGTACAGGGTATGGCGAATTAGATAATGCGTTTTGGCTTGACTATTTCTTGCAAAAAGTCAAATCATTTCTTGATGGCGGCAGTTTTTTCCTGGTCCAAAGTCCATCTGACAGCTCTGCGAAGGCCGTCTTCAAGGGGGACGATAGGCTTATACCCGAGACGCCTCTTTGCTTTGCTAATATCATAGTATCTCGTCATGGTCGCGTACACTACTCTCTGTCGAGTGAAGGTAGGCGATTTCCTGATTATAGCGTAGAATAGCTCGCTCAATGATGCCAGGGTTAAACCGACCTCACGAGGCAGGACCCAGACATGGTCCGTGCCGTATTCGGATCCGGCTTCGTTCCAGATCACTCGAGCAAAGTCCCAGAAGTATATCGGGCTGTCGTTGGTGATCAAGAATGCCTCGCCATCTACCTTCTCGTGATCTAGGGGCATGATATTCGCCTCGGACGAGTGGAGAAGAGCCCTCGCGGCAAGGAGATGTGCATGTGCTACGTTAACCACATAGGTAAAGTCAAACATGTTGTTGTTCTCGCCGATCTGCCAGTGCGAGCGCTTCTCCCGAAGGATATTGACCATGTGATATAGAACCATCTTGTCTCCCTCGCCCACAATACCTGATGGTCGAATGGCTGCTGTAAGGAGCTTGTGGGATCCGTCGCGGTTCGCCTTTAGCACCAACTCTTCGGCTTCGGCCTGAAGTATTCATTAGCAAATGTGTATACAAAGCCGGAGCCCTTGATAACACACCTTGGTCTCGGAGTAGTACTCTGTCTGATCCTTGCCTCGGATGACGGGCCATCGCTCATCGGCGTTGATCAGGTCATCCTTGTTATTGCTCAAAATGCTGGCAGAGCTGGTGTAGACTAGAGCCTTGACACCGGTTTTCTGGCACGTCTCAACCACGACCCGTGTTCCATCGACGTTGACCTTTTTGAAGAGAGCATCGGCGACCTTGGCTGTTGCTTGGACGGCCGGGGATGCCGTGTGGATGACTACGTCCGGCTTGACCTTCTGGAAGATGGAGAGCATCTTATCAGCGTCGGTGATATCCGCCTCGAAGTAATTTACACCGTCTGAGTCCGGCCGTCTGTTCACGGAGCATCGCAGGTCAATTACTGAGGGCTCGCTTGTGTATCTTTCGAGTAGGAGGTTGACGACGTGGTGGCCCAGGAATCCACATCCACCGATGACTATGGCCTTGCCCAAATTGGGCTTCTTCTCTGATGCCATTGCGATTGTCACGATATTGCTTAGCTCTCGAGGCTGAATAATCGACTCGAGAAGTCCAATGGCATGTGGGAGAGCGAAGAGATGGATGATGACAGTGTAGCAATCATTAGCGGTCTGCGCCGGAAAAATTGCTGAGATCAACTCCGATTGTTCTCTGCAGAATGGTGAGGGACAAGCCTTACGAAGCCCCCTGCAGGGGTTTCACATTAGTGCTCACAGGGGCTAGGTAACCTCCAGGCTTGGTGCAGCTTCCCGAGCAACGAGCAACGAACACATTAAGCCATTCTAGGTAGCCACCCCTCCACCCCGCATTCTGTCAAAGGCAGCTCTCATCATTGATATACTTTAATTAGGTAGCTTCACACCCACCCATTGACGATTCACAAGCTCACCATCATTGCTGCCTGTGTCAAACATTTGCTCTCTCTAGATTTACCGTAGACTCTTGTCTGTTATTTTCACACACTGCAGCATGTTTTATTTTCTTGGATTAGATCACAACACTTCTGGTGATCGTCGCAGACATGAGCAGTCGTGAAGCTGAAACAGAGATCCTTGTGCACATCACAGCTGCCAGCCGGGCTTCAGATGACGAGTGCTATCGAGGGCTAGCCACGGCTTACTTGGATTTTCAACCATCACAAAGAATCAATTTTCTATTACATGAAGACAGCCAATCAACCAACCCTCTGATTTCAGCCTCGGGACGGCTCCTGGAGTCGCCCGAGGCGTCCTTTCGGAGCGTCTTGGACAACAACGCGTCACCGAGACTTGCTTCAGGGAGAAAGAGAACCTTAGATGAATCGCAAGCCTCACAATACCAAGATCTGTCTCAGTCATCTTGGTGCGCGCCTCCTAGCGTCATCGCGGACTCGAATCCGGATAACGACATCAGCATTGCGGCTTTATGCTCTCCAACCAGGATTCTGGAACATTATCTGCAGACTATTGAGAGCTCGTCTCTATCATCTCAGGAGCCTCGCTCTGGAGCCGATGCCAGCCTCCATATTCCCAGTAGCGATCATGACCATACATCACACTCAATCCGCGCGAAGGGAATTGCTCCGGAGGAGGTCTCATCGTCATTTGAAGGAGTACTTAATACACCGTGTCCGGCAACTCGCCAGCCTCAAGATAATGCAGACCCATCGCTGAATAATTCTTCTGACGTGGAGATTGAGGATAGCTTTCATGGCGAGAGAATCCCATGCAGCCAGGAGTCTCAAACACGCGATGCTTTGGAGGTCGTTGTCATTCCCGCCACACCAAGAGCAGGCTCTGAGCCGCCATTTTCCAAGCGTCTGAAGCGAAGTCCGGCAAAGGACAGAGTTCAACCTCTTGAGAGGAGCATTAGCGATGTGTTACCTCGAGGATGTCGGCCTGCTTACGGTGAGACCATGCGAGAGATCCGGAAGTCCCTCCACTTGAACAAACTTGAGATACATGCGCCTGGCCCGACAGTTAGCTGCGATCAAGTCAATCCGGAGACCTTGATAACCGCAAAACTGGCCAAGTTGGCAAAGGACCTTGAGCTTCACAAACGCTTCCGCCCAGACAAGCAACTTCGAGAACTACGCCCATTCGAGCGCGGATACTGGCTTGTGGATTGTTCAGAGTGGGATCTGGATCTGAAAGATAGGGCATGGGTTTTCCTCGGCAACTATATCAAAATGGGAGATGCGGCGTGGGGGATCTCCTGCATACGCGACTCATCCTATACCTGGATCCGATTGTACTGTTGGGGGTATACTGTAGGCCACATCTATCTGGTGCTTTATTTGGCAAGCGAACGGAAGCTACCACACCAATGGACGCATTGGTATGATGCCAGCGGCAAGCCCCAGATCACTGCTGGTCTTAAAGCGAAGTAATAGTCCATCACTTTTTTGGCTTCAGGAACAAAGGCGTTGATGTGCATTTCTGAGAGGAGCATTGCGATGATACCCTGGGTTCAGATCAATTGGCGTAAATTGCGTTATTGGACAGGCTGTCAAACTCTCATAATCACGATCAGGGATACAAGGAGAAAAGGGAACTCTCTGGACTGTTTTAGGTTCTAGGATATCTCACGATCATTTTCACAAAACATGACTTGACACTCATAGGGTATAAATTGACAATACCGTACAAAGCTAACACGAACCCGACAGTACAACTGACGGATGAAACAGCACACCCTCCAAAACAAAGCCTGACGACAGATGAGAATGGAGCGGCGAGGCCCGTAAGTCTCTCGGATACATAGTACCATGAAGTCCGTCCCGATTGCTGCCAGTGGCCATCTATGGATTTCCTGTTTTCCGACGCCGTTTCTCGCCCTGGCCAACCAATTTTGTGCGGTATTATACAATAGAGCAGATGTTATTCCGCATATTACTGATAGATATCTTCGCCTAGGAGGACTTAGTCGATTTGTCACGGCCAAGAATATTCTTGTAGTCCTTCTCATATCGTTCCGCGTCTGCCTTTGCGAGGTCCACGTATGTCTGCATACTTGTGTAAGTGAAAGGACTGGGCTGCCAAATATGAATAGAACTTACTTGGCGTTCAGCATCTCCAAGGCTCTTCCACTCTCTGGCGAGTATCACGGCAACTTCAGGGGCCTTTTGGCCGGGCCAGCTCCCCGACGCCCATCTCGACTTGGTGAAAAGGGAGTATGCCGAAACAGCTCTCTTGGGCTGACGATCATCTTGAATGAACCCTTTGATGGGTTGCTTGAACACTCTCTTAAGTCTTTGTCGTGCCTTGTTTGCGTCGTGGATCGCTTCTGGGGTATGACTCTCCACCCACGCCTTGTATTCAGCATTGTTGGTGAGCTTGTTCTTCTCGGCAATCTCCTTGTAGTTCTGTGACTCATTAGCTTGCCATCAGTCTGAGGTCAACATCGTCCACTATACCCACCTCAAGCTGACTTGCTGACAGTGCCTTGAAGGTTTCGGAAAGGCCCCTCATGGTGTTGCCCAGCCCCTCTGTGCCAACCTTCTGGCCCTTGAGTCCTTGGACTGTATGAACCATCCAAGCATTCTCGGGGAGACGAGTCGGTTCGGTGAAGAGAGCAATCTTCTTCAGCTCGCGCGCCTCTAGTCTCTTCTTCTCCTCTGGAGTTACAACCTTCCTGACCTTCTTGGGCTTCGGCTTGGCTACTGCCTTCTTCTTCTTCTTTGGCGCCGCCTTCTTGGCTGTGGTCTTCTTCGCACCAGCCTTCTTAGTGGGACGACCCTTGGTGGCGAAGCCTCGAGAAGATAGGACTGAGCTGCGTCCAGAGACGACGATGAATTGGCGACGAGCGAGAGTGACACGTGAGCTGAGGTGGCCGAGGGAGGTGGCCGGCAAGGAGCTTGCGGCGCGCCAGGCCTTGGCCGCGACCGGCCGGACTGAAGTAAACATTGTGTCGAAAGCTGTTGTGCAACGGCGAAGCGATTGCTTGTGATCTGGAAATGTCAAGACCGCCTCCGAGAGCCACCAAAATCTCCGAACTCTTCCTGGTACCTGATCAGGAAGACCTGAGATGATGATGGATGTGCTTTGCCAAATGAAACAGGGGGCTGGGGGATCGTAGTGATATGGGTCGGGGATGGCGCGTTGGGGTAGGCACGGTAGGTAGTAGCTACCAACGCTAGCCTCCCTTACATCACTAAACTCAGGTTGCGGCGACCTCTGTCTTAGCTTACTGTGGAAAAAGAGCTGTAGCTGGCTAGGCCACAATAGAGCTCATCCGGACTAGCGCAATTGTATATCCGTTTCCGACACCTTCAGCCCCGCCCACCCAAGCTTGTGACTCGCGATCAACCTAGTCTAGATTCTCTTCGCCATCCAAGTCCACCTTCAAACGCATCGATTTCATCGCCGTCAAGAAACACAGATATCGGACGTTGGGAGACGGGCTTCACTACAGTATATGCCGTGGCTGATTCCGGATTGTCACATTCTGAGTTGGTCATTTGCAACGACAGTCGGCAGGGACATCGAACCCTAGTCGCCACAGCACTTTTGAAGCCTTTTGGTTTCGTCAAAAAGTAGTACTCACCGAAGTGACTTGCTGAGCCTTAATTTACCAGCCGCGATGGCTCGCCACAGGACATCTCGCTCACCATCTCCTGCAGGAAGCCAGTATTCGGCAAGAAAGAGTCGCAAAGATGATGATAGGCGCGACCGTGGCCGCCGGGATGACACCCGCGACTACAGGCGTCGAAGTCGATCTCGCAGCCCCGCAGATGTGAGGAGACACCGTGGATATGACCACCCCGATAACCCTTCTAACCGCCATGATGCACAGCGTCGATATCGAGACAGAGACTACGATCGAGAGCGCGACTCTTATCGCCGCCGAGATCGATCCCTAGAACGCAGGGATGACGACTTTTATCGTGGTGGAAGGCGGGATGGCGGCGCGCATAGGGACAGGCGTCGCTCCCGGGATAGGGTGGCAGACAGAGACCGCTCTCCAGGCCGGCGGCGCCCAAGAAGCAGAGATGGTGAAAGAGACAGAGATCACCGAGCAAGGCGAGACGACTCCGTAGACAGGACTCGTAGTCGACGCGAAGGTACTGCTGACTCTTCTACCCGAAGCAGAGGTGATGAAGCCCGGCAGCGCGCCCCTGCACCTGCACCACCGCCAGCTACCAAAGAAGCAGAAGTACGCCCTATTCCCCCATGCAGCCAAATTTGCACAGAGAATCATGCTAAAGCTATTATACAGGCGGCTAAGACCCCACAGACCCAGTTGCCGACCGATAAACAAGCTGAACGACTTGCCAAATTAGAAGCTTGGAAGAAGAAGATGGCGAACAAGGCCAAGGAGGCTGACGCTACGCCTGGAAGCACCAGAAAGCTCCTAGCAGAGATGGATGACAAGGCCAATGGTGTGTCGACAGGAGTCGCATCACCTGCAACTGGCACTCCTACTGTCGCATCACCAGGCACTCCACAGTCCGTACCGGATGCGTCTCCTGCCGTTGCTTACACTGGCAAGTTTGACCCTAAGGCAATCGCTAAGAAGGCTGCCCCTCGTCACGCTTCTCCTGCAGCACTAGGATTTATCAAAGGCCAACCGGCCGAAGTGGGCACTGTGGCCCCTAGCAGCACTGCGAAAGGTACGTTATCTTCTGAGCACTTTGAAGTCAACCTCGAGGCTGATGAACCGTGTTCAGCTTCTGCGTTACCCACAGGCAAGCCCATTAGTGGTTTTGGTTTCCATAAGGCCAATGTTACTACAGAAAAATTGCCTGCTAAACGCCAACTGATACTGGATGATGAGGAAACCTCCAAGCGCAAGCTAGCTAAGCTTCCTGATATGTCACTTGAAGATGCAGATGCCACCCCTTTTGCTAATCAAGATGATGATGATGATGATGACGATTTTGACGGCGATAACTTCGCTGGAACAGAAGAGGAAGCCGCGGCGGCAGCTCGAGCTGCACACGACCGCCGAGAAGAGCGCATATTACAGCAAAGCATGACCATGCAAGTCGATGAGAGTGAGAAGGAAAATGATAGCTCTGCTCCAGTCAACGGCGAAGCGCCCGCGGAAGAATCCGCGCCTCTAGTTGAGGAAGCTATGGAAGTTGATGATGATGTCGATCCCCTCGATGCATTTATGGCAGGGCTTGAAGAAGCCGGTCCTAAGGCTACAAATGGCTCGTTCCGGAAGGCGACAAATGGTAAGAAGTCTGTCGAACCGGAAGCCTACTTCTCAGACGATGAGTATGATTACATGGCCAAGGACGACGCAAACCCCGACTCGATTCTCGCTATGGCGGCCAAGCGTAAGAAGAAGGATATCCCAACCATTGATTACAGCAAGATCGATTTGAATCCCATTCGGAAGAATTTCTGGGTCGAACCGTATGAACTTGGCCAGCTGACGGAGGAGGAGGTCACTGAGCTTCGAGTGGAATTAGACGGCATCAAAGTCACTGGCAAGGATATTCCTAAACCCGTGCAGAAATGGTCACAATGCGGACTGACTCAACCCATGCTCAATGCAATTGAGAATTTGGGTTATGACAAGCCAACTCCCATTCAAATGCAAGCCTTGCCCGTAATCATGTCTGGTCGCGATGTCATCGGCGTAGCCAAGACCGGATCTGGTAAGACAATGGCTTTTCTTCTTCCTATGTTTCGACATATCAAGGACCAGGATCCTGTCAAGGACGACGGTCCAATTGGCCTGGTTCTCACGCCGACCCGAGAACTCGCAACACAGATATTTAGAGATTGCAAGCCTTTCTGCAATGCGCTTGGCCTACGCGCGGTATGTGCTTATGGTGGGCCTCCCATAAAGGACCAGATCGCTGAGCTCAAGCGCGGCGCTGAGGTGGTTGTGGCAACAACTGGCCGTTTCATCGATCTGCTCGCTGCGAATCAGGGCCGTGTGGTCAATCTCAGAAGAACGACTTACATTGTGCTTGACGAGGCGGACCGCATGTTTGATATGGGGTTTGAGCCGCAAGTCATGAAGATTTTCGCCAATATCAGACCTGATCGGCAGACGGTTCTGTTCTCAGCTACCATGCCCAGAATCATCGATGCTCTCGTCAAGAAAGTCTTGAAAAATCCAGTTGAGATTACTGTTGGTGGAAGAAGTGTCGTGGCCCAAGAGATTACTCAAGTTGTGGAACATCGAGAGGAGAAGGACAAGTTTCTTCGACTCCTGGAACTCCTCGGCGAGCTTTATGTTCACGATGATGATGTTCGTGCATTGATATTCGTTGAACGACAGGAGAAAGCAGACGACCTACTCAGAGAACTCCTTCGAAAAGGTTATGGATGTATGTCCATTCACGGAGGCAAGGATCAGGTTGATCGTGACTCTACCATCGCAGATTTCAAGAGTGGTGTTTGCCCAGTTTTGATCGCGACATCTGTGGCGGCGCGTGGTCTTGATGTTAAGCAGCTGAAGCTCGTTGTCAACTACGATGCGCCAAACCATCTTGAAGACTACGTCCACCGCGCTGGTCGTACTGGTCGTGCTGGTAACACAGGTACTGCTGTTACGTTTGTCACAGAAGAGCAGGACAACTGTGCTCCGGGTATTGCCAAGGCTCTGGAGCAAAGTGGTCAGCCAGTTCCTGAATGGTTAGATCAAATGCGTAAGTCATTCAGAGAGAAGGTGAAGTCAGGTAAAGCCAAAGATCAGTCTGGCTTCGGCGGAAAAGGCCTTGAACGACTCGACAAAGAACGGGAAGCCGCCCGTCTTCGAGAACGTAAGACACATAAAGCTGAGGGTGAGGAGGAAGAGGTTAAAGAGGAGGCACCAGCCGACGATGAGAAGACAACCAAGGCAGCCACCGCTATCCAATCCGCTGCCTCTGCCATCGTCTCAAGAGACAGCGCACCAAAGGCCGAAGATGACTCTAAGGCACCTGCAAAGAGCACACCTACCACAGCTGCTGCTGCCCCAGCAGCTAGTGGAGTTAAGGGGGCGCTTGACAAGGCCGCCCAAGCTGTCAACGATATTAACGCACGTCTCGCACGTGCTGGCCAGCTTCGCCCAGGTCAGCCAATTGACAACAAGGGGCCAGACGCCGGTGCCTTCCACGCAACACTGGAAATCAACGACTTCCCTCAGAAAGCCAGATGGGCTGTTACCAACCGCACGAATGTTGCTAAGATCCTCGAGGCCACTGGTACATCCATCACAACCAAGGGTACATTCTACGCCGCGGGCAAAGAACCCCCAGCCGGCGCCGAACCCAAGCTATACATTCTTATTGAGGGTGATACTGAGGTGGTTGTCAGTAACGCGCTCACAGAACTAACCAGGCTACTCAAAGACGGCACGGTTGCCGCCGCAGAAGCCGAGAGTCGTGCTCCTGCAAGCGGTCGCTACACAATTACTTGATCTCTCGTTTAATTGGAGGCTCGTTATCTCGTTCATGCCGAGACCTACCAAAAGATCACATGTCCTTTTTTGTCTCCTCCAAACCAAGGCGCATGAGGGATAGAAGGCGGGATAAGCACCATCACTTTGGAGTTGTAATATTCATATCGGTTTGGCTGCGTTCTAGGTAATTATTCAATACTGCTCGTCACAAAAGCAAATACCCCTGAGCAAGGTGGAGGGCATTGGAATTGGTAGCACATATGCGTCACCATAATAATAAAAATAGTGCCTCCTTGAAATCGAGATAATGCAGAATTGTGAAGAGCACTCGATGTCGTGCGCCGAGTCGCAACCTGCCTCCGCCAAGCCAAAACAAGTGCTGCTTCACGAGCAGAAACCCCTTTCTCTAGGGCGATATAACAAACATGCGTCGTCTCATTCATCATTAAATCTAAGATTGTCACACTAATTGTGACTGAGCGAGCCCTCCGCCGCTTCGATCTCACGCCGCCTGACCTCAGCCTCGCTGGCCTGCTTCAGCGTGTCTGCTCTGGACTGCTTCTTCTGTGACTGCAGCTGGTTGCCCAGCTTCCCTACCGGCCTGCCCTCGGCGGCCTTTGCCCTTGCCTGTTGGCCATTGTAAGAAACCTAGGCTTGCGAACGGGAAGAGCACGAACTTACCTCGGCCGCCTCGGCGGCTTTCCTCCGCGCATCGCTCGGGTTCGCGTTGCCCTCACCGCTGCTGCTGCCTCCTCCGCCGCCGCCGAGCGTGCGCGGGGGCCCGCCGACTGTCCTCTTGCCGGCGGTGCTGGGCACGGGCGCGGACTTTGCTGGCGTCGGGGCTGCGCCGAGCGGTCGTCCGGGCTGGGCGAAGGGATCGGCCTCTTGCTTGCCGCAGATGTTACCCATGGCAGAGGGCGGTGGCGGCTGTGCGTAGGGAGGGAGGTAAGGTGAGGTATGGATTGGGGTAGACAGATAGATAAGGATAAGAATAATCTCTCAAGCTGGACTCAGGTGGAGGTGAGGGGCACGCAGCGCGGGGGGGACTATCTAAGATGCGTGGAGAGGTGGTGACATCCCAGACGGCGCGGTGAGTCAGGGTGCGTATGCTTTGTGTGCTGTCGAGTGATGCAGTTTGAGAGTAAGTCTCATGATAGACCGGCCGAGTCTCTGGTTTGAGAACTGTTAGTAGATGTCGTCGAATTAATTGCGTACGTAGGTCTTGCGGCTAAGCATGATTGAGGCTCTTGGCCTTCACCTTGGACCCCTCTAGAACTGTTGGAGGCTAAGGCAGGCGGGGCAGGTACGGTAACTTAGGCTACCTGACTTCCCAGCCCAGGTAGGTGTGGCGCGCTTAGGAAGCTGACAATTGCAGTGGCTGTGAGGGGTCCTCTGGGATCGGGGTATCGGGATGGAGCATCAATGACAGGCATCTAGGTATGCTCACCCTGTCAGGCAGGCTCGATAAAGCCGGGGATCAATTGTGCTGTAGTGTTGCGGAGCATGACGGATAGACACTTCAGATTTTATGTTAAGAAAGTTCAGTTCACTCCCAATTGTGATCAGAGTTGGATACTGCTTAGGTAAGGTGTCGCTGACCCACGGACAGAGCCAAATATAAATTTGAAAGCTCTACGTAGTGGTATTGAGCACCATTCTAGCCATGGATTCTGCAACTCGTCATGTTAGAGCGACTAGATACTTTACCTCGTCGCCAATACTGTGTGATCATATCAAGAATGCTAAGGGTGGATGAATGTGTGATGCGTGAAGTACCTACGCAGTAGGTAGGTAGACAGGCTGGCTGCACTACGCAAAAGGTGGGCGGGTTCGTAGATAGGTACCGGTAGGGAGGCGGGGACCCTGCAAGAAAAACGGCTGCCTTTTTTGTCCCGCCATGACCCTCGATCACCCATTAGCGCCATTCGAGTCATGCATAAAGGCGTGCGGCTTTCAAATCCTGAGCCTGAGCCTGAGCCACAGGCAATTGGAAGCCCTCGACTCTCTGCATGCTGCATGATGGAGAGAGCCGGCTGATGGGCAGCGCACCGTCTTGTGCTTCAGAGTCTTGTCGTGTTGAATTGGCGCGCAGGCACAAGCTTCGCCGATCCTGGGGAACGAGGTTGGAGGTTGGAGGGAGCCCTGGCCGGGGACATTTGTTCAGCGTTGCAGGGCAAAGCACAGCCGTACCGCAGTAAGCTTCATGAGAGCGCAAACTCTCTCCGTCCTTTCCGCACCAGCAGCAGAGCATTAACATCCGACAGGCCTCAGCGCAGTATCAACGGAGGGAAAAAGGCAGCAGAGACGCTTCGGTGGGAATTGACAAGTGCTTTTACGAGTCTTGTCATTGGTCAGCAATCCCTGGCCTGGCTGATGACCGTTGCGTGCATGCTCGTTCTCACAGCCATCAAGGTTCTCAAAAAGTCCCCGATACTGCTGCACACCTGAGAGAAAGGGACTGGGCATACACGCACGCACGCACAAACGAGGACTACCTACCTACCTACCCACTCCAGCCTCTCATCCTTCCTCGATCGACCGACCGGCAGAGGCTCTCACATTGTTTCTGGAACCCCTCTTCCATCCATCACGGAATTCTCCTTAATGCTTGCCCTGCCCCTCCCCGAAACACGGACCTCTTCTCCTCCATTGACTCCAGAGTCGTCCAGTCCTGGGGACATGCTATCCAATTTTGCCTTGCTCTCACGCTCTTCCCACAATGTTCAGTCGATTTGGCGAGATGGACGATCTATATTTGCCTTTGGGCCATCCCGCCTCATCGACCGGGCCCCGGTACTCTGATGCCGGGAGCCAGGGCTTGGACACATCCTTCTCTTTCATGGATCCTCAGATGGTTTCCGAAGATCCAGCTGCAATGGACGGCTTCCGGACGGCCCACGATGACCTCTGTCTCGATAGGCCCGACTGTCTGACACTTGGGGTCTACAACACTCCAGATGTCTTCCACAGAAACCCCCCATCTCACATGGCATTCCGTGCTCGACACAGCCTGCCCATTGCACCTGCTGGCCACAACATTCCTCAGACCATGTACCAACCCGACATGTTCGGCAACGTCTCATACGCCGACATCCAGCAGATGCAGACCCCGAACTCACTCCAGAATGCTGCTGGAGCGTTCGCCAATCCCTTCGAAACGTTCTCTCAAGTTGAATCCCATGGCGTGAGTCGAGTCGACGATGATTGCCTCTCCATAGCGGCAAGCTCGCGCTGCAGCCAGTGCAGCCTTGCGGAACCCTGTACTGGCACCTCATGTGCAAATGATGCATGTGCCGACGAGCCAGATGCATGCACCGACCAACATTGTGTCCGCACTGCTGTAACTCCTGAAGTCGCTACAGCCGCCCTCGCTCTGCATACCATGTTCGGCGACGGACATGATCAACCCCAATCTGAATTTCCTGCCCAGTCAACAGGTGAGTGGAATTTCTCCAGTCCATCATATATTCGGCACTGACTTGGTAATTCTAGGCTTAGATGCCCTGGATTTCTCACTACATGGCGCGGGCCAAGATTTTTTCACCGACGATGATGCGTGGCTAAACTCCCTGGGACTGGCAGAAGAGCATATAAGAGAAGCCCACAGCGACCCGAACCTCTCCGCTTGCATGAGACCGTGTCCGGTCGTGGACAATCCCATCTGGTTTCAACAATGCCACTTCCGCCAACTTACACCAGAATGTCTGTCTCACGAGGAGATACCACACGAAGGGTCAACAAATCATTTCATACACGACGGTCATCATTATGAGCCTCATGAGTGCGGTGTCAAGAATGCAAACCCTCAAGCGTTCATCAAACACATCACCCAAGAGCATCTACCATTCATGGTGGGCCACCCCTTGCACATCTGCTCAGGGGAACACAGCTCCCAGATGCTCTCGCCAGCACTGCATTCATCGAGTGAATCCGTCAATACATTTGACGCTTCTCTCCTGTCTACACCCGTAACACCACACGCCATGTCGACACCACCCACCCCGTTTTCAAGCAAAGATTCCGCAGCTGCACGTGGAACGTTTTCAGATCTACCGGATACTGCTTTCTCCAGGCCACAATCCTCCGCAAGTCTGCATAGCCAGGTCACAATGACTCAAGGGGATGAGAACAAGTGCTTCTGGTGTGATGATACAGACTCAGATGAGATTTGTGGCGTGACGTTCCGCACTTCAAATGAGCTGCATGAGCACGTAATAAAGTGCCATGTAAAGAACTTAAGTAAAGGCCCAGCTGGGTTTATATGCGGCTGGCAACAATGCCGTCGCGAAGAGCAGGGGAAACAAGGCTTCCCTCAACGAAGCAAAATCGAGCGTCATATGCAGACACATACCGGCTGTAAGCTTTAAGTCGCCTTATCATCATATTGAAGAGTTACTAACACGGTCCTATAGGCAAGCCGCATGTCTGCTCAGTCTGCAACCAGGTCTTCTCTGCGAAACAGGCCTTGGAACAGCACAAACTTATACATGGTAATGAGCGTCCGCTGAACTGTGACTATCCTGGCTGTGGCAAAACGTTTAGACAGCAAAGTGCTTTGAGTAAGTCCTTTCTCCTGTCTGATACCAGCTTTCACCTCCCTAACAAACCGGCTTGCAGCAATGCACAAGCGTACACACACAGGCGAGAAGCCACTGAAATGCGAACACTGTGGTCGTGCTTTCAGCGAGTCGTCCAACCTCTCCAAGCACCGCAGAATCCACGAGGTCAAAGGACGATTTGCCTGTGCGTATCCCGGCTGCAATAAAGACTTCCACCGCCAGGACCAGCTACGGCGTCACATGAAAGTGCATCCTCTGGCGACCGAGTGGAAGCTTGAGGAGGATGTCGACACCAAGGATCAAGTGCTCGTCTCGGAGGCAGATATCTCGGCAAAAGTAAAAGCAAGGCTCGACTCTATCGTTCCTGCGAAAGACGACATGCAGCCAATTAGAAAGATGATCACTGGAGTGAAGAAGCGCTCTCGGTAGACTTGCAGTTGTCTACATGTGTGTACTTGAATTTCACAGGTGCAGGATGGATTTTTAAGATCACTGTGACGACTTGAAAGTTGATCACGATCTATATGGTGAAGGACGGTGTCTCTTATACCGGCGTTCTGGCTAATGGCTGATACCATTTGGGGTTTGAGGCTTCAATGTAAGGGAATGGGCCAAAACAATTGGGAATGGGTTCAGGGTTATAGAAAGCGCCCTCTTTGTAGTCCGCCCGTACGGCTATCAAACGATGCTATCGACAAAAGATCATAAACTGTGAAGACTTTTGAAAGAAGAGAAAATGTTCTCTAAGCCTGCTTCTTCTTGATGATAAAGGGTTACATTTCATTTCGTTTGGTTCGTGTAAGTGACCTTGCAAACGACTACACTACAACAAATAAATTGATCTCTATTTTGAGGTCAAGTCAACGTAACCACAAACTTACTGATGTTTGCGTAATATGGCAAAGTAGCCAGTCTCTGTTTTACGGTTCACTCCAACCGAATGTCTGCCTTATGGTTCACTGCAATTTTAGCGTCATCAAGGGCTTCAATACGGAGGCAAGAAAGGATGAACACCGTATGCAGCGGGCCCTCGATTGTTGATGCCGCAGATACGACACACAGACTTGAGGGATACCTGTCCCTTCACAATCCGCCTTTTCGACATTGTGTAAAATATAGCAGTTGCAAGTGTGGAACTAGGAGAAGGACACTGGAGGGGTGCAATACGCTGGGTCACAAGAATAACGGAACGAAACGTGTAGTTGTCGTTTGTCAACGCAAGCTTTCTTTGGTAGCTATTTAGCTGACTGCATTGAGGATCATGAATTGCCCTTGAGAGAACACCCTAAACCCTTGCAAAACAGATTCCTGATGCCATGCAAAGATAGAAATCTTTTTGAGAAACCACGCCGCCGTAGCCGTAAATTAACAGATCCCCCAAACAACGAAATCACCCACTCTAAGCGGAGGCCTGTTAGGAGACATGTCAGCACGATGCTCAGCGATGCAGAGTTCCCCTCGGGTGACGGGTTTCAACTGGTAGCACCAGCCCATACACCCCCAGAATCAGCGTACCTTGACGGCGAATTTTCGTTGAGGGAAGTGCGTCTGGCGCTTCTTCGTCTTCTCCAGTACTCTCGAGGCATCCTCCGGTGACAGGCGGCGACGGATGGCACGGGTCTGCTTAGATCTGAGGTCGAGCGGGAGGTACTTCTTGTTCTTGTAGAAGAGGCGGAGCTGGTGGCGTTGCTTCGCGTTGATGATGGTCAGGACGCGAGCGATCGACTTTCGGAGATCATGGCTGCAAAAAGAGATTCCCCATTAGCCCAATGTTCATTCTTCCTTTCGTATAGTCTCCCTTCTCCCCTTCCCTCGTCTCGGTGGTGGACCAAATTGCTCACATCTTGTTCAGCTTCGTGCCCGACGAGGCAATCTTCTGGATCCGCAGCTGGCCGAGCTCGGTCTTCAGCTCACCAAGCTGCTTCAGCAGATCCTCCTTGTTCTTGTTCCATAGGGCGCCAGCCTTGACCTTTGTGGTAGACTGTGACATTGTCAGCGGATATGCAACCACGAAAGCGTGTTGCGCGGGGCGGCGAAGAGGCTCGAGGACGGTGTCGATGGGGGAAAATCGACAGCACTTAGATATGACGTTCAAATGCCTCGTGGGATTGAGATGGTACGCACCATGATTGCTGATTGTGTCGAGTCGGACGGCTGATGAGGTCCTTCGTTGACGGCGGCGATGGTAGGCTGGCAGGGAAAAGTGAGGGAAGGAGCCACCAGAAAAGTTTGGAATAGGCTTGCTTGCCCTAATTTGCTCACGTGCTAGCAAGAAAGGACGACTCTCTAAAGTTTTCGAGGACATAGAAAGCTTTAGTCTGGATTTGGTTAGTGCACATAGATACGTACCTCTCCTCACGGTCCCCTCGACGATAAGCTGATAACGGAAAGAGGCGGCAAAAAGGTGGACGAGACAACGTTAGGATAGCTTCTCGAAAGCTCTAGCAATATCGAGTCACGCTACGCACTGTCCCGGCTCACGAGCTCACTCTCGACCATATAGTTGCGGCTTGGGATTGAGATGCCCTCTGCCTCCGTTTCTGATTACTGTTTGATGGCTTTATGGGCTTAATTATCTGACAACTTGGTTATGATGTTGGCAAGAAAACAGCTTCTTTCGTCCACTCGGCGCATCGCCGCTCCGACGACGAATGCTGCCCTTCGCTCAATAACAACCCTGAGACCACTGTCCAGGATACCGACCATAGCGACAGCTGCCACACAATCCGCCCGTATTCTACCCATAATCGCAGTCCGAAGCTATGCCAATGGCAGACCGCATCCACCAGGAGGAACGCACCGAATGAACATGGGGGGCGAGGAGGAGAAGCCTGCTCTCGAACAGTTCGGCATCGACCTAACGGCAAGGGCAAAGGAGGGCAAGCTTGATCCGGTTATCGGCAGAGACGCAGAGATTCAGCGGACTATACAAGTTCTCTCCCGGCGCACCAAGAACAACCCGGTGTTGATCGGACACGCGGGAACGGGCAAGACGGCCATCCTCGAGGGTTTGGCTCTAAGAATCGTCCGGGGTGACGTGCCGGAGAGTATCAAAAACAAGAGAGTAATATCCTTGGACTTGGGATCGCTCATTGCCGGCGCCAAGTTCCGAGGCGACTTCGAAGAACGCTTAAAGAAGGTATTGACTGAGGTGGAACAAGCCGAAGGACAAGTAATCCTTTTTATCGACGAACTACACACTTTGCTCGGGCTCGGGAAAGCAGAAGGCTCGATAGATGCCTCCAATCTTTTGAAGCCGGCCTTGTCCAGAGGAGAATTGCAGTGCTGCGGAGCTACAACATTAAACGAATATCGTCTCATTGAGAAGGATGTCGCCCTAGCGCGACGTTTCCAACCAATCTTGGTCAACGAGCCTACAGTTGAGGATACGATTTCGATTCTCCGTGGTATCAAAGACAAATACGAAGTCCATCACGGTGTCCGGATCACCGACGGCGCCTTGGTGGCGGCTGCAACATACTCAAATCGATACATCACCGACAGGTTTCTACCTGACAAAGCCATTGATCTAATGGATGAAGCGGCCAGTTCCTTAAGATTGCAGCAAGAAAGCAAACCAGAAGACATAATGCGACTCGACCAGAAGATTATGACTATTCAGATAGAGCTGGAGAGTTTAAGGAAGGAAACCGACGTTGCCAGCAAGGAGCGGCGCGAGAAACTCGAAGCCGATCTCAAAAAGTACCAGGACGAAGTCAAAGTCCTTTCTGAGCGCTGGGAGAAGGAACGTGCCGAGATCGATGCCATCAAGAACACACAGGCAGAACTTGATAAGGCACGGATTGAATTAGACCAAGCTCAGAGAGAGGGCAACTTCGGTCGAGCATCTGAGTTAAGATTCGGTGTAATTCCGACGCTGGAACAGAAGCTCCCGAAGGAGGAGGACAAGGCCAAGGCGGATGGTTCACTTATTCATGACTCCGTCACCGCCGATGACATTGCTACGGTTGTGTCCAGGATTACTGGTATCCCGGTCTCGAAGTTAACGTCTGGGCATATTGAGAAACTCGTGCATATGGAGGACACACTGCGGCAGGCAGTCAGGGGTCAAGATGAAGCTCTGAAGGCCGTTGCTAATGCTGTTCGTATGCAACGAGCTGGTCTGAGCGGTGAAAACCGCCCGTTGGCTTCATTTTTCTTCCTCGGACCAACTGGTGTTGGTAAGACTGAACTTTGCAAGAAACTAGCCGGCTTCCTCTTCTCCACGGAGAGTGCAGTCGTTCGTTTTGATATGAGCGAGTTTCAAGAGAAACACACGATTTCCCGTCTCATCGGAGCTCCGTCAGGCTATGTCGGTTACGAGGATGCTGGCCAGCTTACCGAAGCCGTTCGACGGAAGCCGTACGCTGTTCTCCTCTTTGATGAGTTTGAAAAAGCTCACCGAGATATTTCCGCCTTACTACTGCAAGTGCTTGATGAGGGGTACTTGACAGACGCTCAAGGTCACAAGGTTGATTTCAAGAACACCATTATTGTTCTGACATCTAACCTTGGAGCCGATATTCTCGTCGGTGCGGACCCGATTCATCCCTATAATGAGACCCCGGAGGGCGATATTGGTCCCGACGTTAAGAAAGCTGTCATGGATGTCGTCGGCTCAAACTACCCACCTGAGTTCCTCAACCGCATCGACTCTTTCATCATCTTCAAGAGACTTTCCCTCGAGGCGCTGCGAGACATCGTTGACATTCGCTTGAAGGAATTGCAGGAAAGATTGACTGACCGCCGCATAACACTGGACGTGCCGGATAAGGTGCGGGAGTGGCTCGCCGAGCGCGGCTACGATCCCAAATACGGTGCTCGGCCTCTGAATCGCCTCATCACAAACGAGATTGGCAACGGGCTGGCTGACAAGATCATCCGGGGAGAGATCAAGATGGGCGAGACGGCTGTCGTGTCCATCAAGGAGGACGGCTCTGGCCTCGATGTGGTGACGAAGGGCAGCTCATGAATTAATGCTTAATGGTTATGTATACTAATGTACTATCTAGATTGACATTGGATGTAAATGTGTAGATCTCACCTCATGATACCAGGAGTAAAGGTGGTTCAAAAATCTCGGAAACCCATCTTGCAATTTATATAGTTTAGAGGGAAAAAAAAGAGTCTCGATTCGCCTGTCTTCTAAATGTGTGTATGATAAGATCTGATTTTTTTTTTTAAACGGAGCAATTAGAGAATGCGAAGTCATGCTGAACCTTGTAGATGCTCAGGGTCGGCTTCGTGAAATATGAGAGTTGGGTCCACGATTTCACATGTCAGACTCACCGACGTCTCGGCTAAGCAAATATGGGCCAAACGAGACAAAGACAACCTCAATCACTAGACTGAAGAACTCATGAGGATAGAGGATACCCTGAATACAAGTCTTAGATATCCATTTCTTCATGGGCATGTGGACACTACGAGGCATCGGAAGGGAGCCAAACTGTTTCTCCCGGAACAGTAACGGCGAGGGATAGAAAGTTTGGAGCAAGTCAAACATGGGATGACGAGCAGACGTAATTACAGGGAGCAAGATCAGGGCAAAGGACAAGGGCTGGAGTTGCAGATGTTATCGAGATAATAAGAGGTTGGCAGCAATTTTTCGGTAGACCAGATTTCGTCCCCCCGCGTGCATATCTAAGGCCCAGGAGGAAAAACGGACAAGAGAAAACAAGGGGGCTTTCCTTCCCATCTTTCCTTGAACCCCGCGAGAGACGTGACGTCGGGGGAAACACAATCATCAATCCCCCCTTGTGACAAATTGTACAACAAGATTTCCGACCAGTTGCGCCCCGTTCTTTCCGCAAAACAACACGACAACTTTCTTTGACCAACGAGTGCAAATGGAAATATTTGCCCCTTATTAGCGGCTTACTACTGAGCAGGGACCACCACCAATGAGATGCAGTTTATGTATGAATGGACTGATTCGATTGTCTGAGGGATAACTTTGCGATTTACAATCGAGCCATGAGACGACCGAGGGAAGACCGTGAGGATTGAGCTGTTTACTGATGACCCGCCTTTCGGAGGGTGGTGGCAAGCCACTCGAGACCCTCATACAGACCATCACCGGAGGTAGCGCAAGTAGATTGAATGTACTGGGAGAAGGTTAGTTCAAAGGTGTCCCAGGGAAGAATATCGATCGTGGGGTTAAACATACCCAGGCACGCTGGCGCAGGCTGTGGAGGCCAAGCTTGTCTGTGATCTCAGCAGCGTTCATGGCATTCTAGAATACGAGTCAGTTTCGTGTCGTGGCATGTTGATATGTGTGGATATGTAAGGGGGTTACTGACGGGCAGATCCTGCTTGTTGGCGAAGACCAGGAGGATAGCATCCCGCAGCTCATCCTCGTTCAGCATGCGCTGAAGCTCTTCCCGAGCCTCGACAATACGGTCGCGATCGTTGGAGTCGACGACGAAGATGATACCCTGGGTGTTCTGGAAGTAATGTCTCCACAGGGGGCGGATCTTGTCCTGGCCACCGACATCCCACACGGTGAACTGGATGTTCTTGTACTCGACAGTCTCGACGTTGAATCCTTGAGATGGGTTAGTGGAACGGCAGAAACGACAATGGCGCCTGGCCAGAGACGGAGACAGGGAATCTATACCGATGGTGGGGATGGTCGTGACGATTTCACCGAGCTTGAGCTTGTAGAGGATAGTGGTCTTTCCGGCGGCATCGAGACCAACCATCAGAATTCTCATCTCCTTCTTGCCCCAGAGCCGGTCGAACAGCTTAGAGAATGCGAGACCCATCTTGGCGACTTTGAGCAGAGAGATGCGAGGGGATTGCGGGAGGTTGATGGATAGGACCCGGGATCTGTGCCGCGAAAGGACGTAAGCAGATGGCCTCGAAAAACTATTGGGGATTTTTCTATCAATCTCAACGTTTCGCGCCAGCGTAATTGCCTCCAAGATCAAGTCGAGGACAACTTATAGCCGACGGCAGTGGAGAGGACAGATAAGTGAATGGATGGCGCGCTGGGATGATTGAGTGGTGATGACCCAGCCATCGCCAGGCTGCCGGAATAACGAGCCAGCCAGTCACTAGCAGGCAGGAGAGAGGGTGCTCGCGAATGAATGAATGGGGACCAGCAGCCGGACCCCAAGGCACGCGCCGAAATGCTCGTAATCGACAGCAGCTGCAGCAGCGGCCCTAGATCTGGAAATTGTCGCTGGAGGGGGAAGAGAGGAAGCATTTCTCACCTTTTTGGGGGGTCGCTGGTGGATGGGAGAAATGGATTCTCGTGATCGTTGGATGTGATGTCGGTGTGAAGGGAGGTATCGGGCTGGGGTGCAGTTCCGCTGAGGTGATTAACTTAAGAAAAGGAAAAGTGTTCAGGAGCCTCCCAGTGACCCAGTCTCTCTGTCTCTCGCTGGCTGAGAGTGGGTCCTGTTCGCCTCCCTGCTAATGCTGCTAACATGTAATGCCTGCTGCTGCGCACACAGTACTCCAGCACCACCAGCACCACCACCACTAACTAGCCAACCAGCCCGCCCACTGTGGCCTTTACTATGGTCCATAGGTACCTGAGGTTCGGTGGGCGGGCAGTGCACACACCGCGTCAAAGGGGCCGTTACATTTACCACCTACGGTACTGAGTGGACCGTGCTACCAGGGGAGGGGGGGCCTTATCTTGCCGCTAATCTCACAGGAACAATTGTCGGCCCGCTCCTCCCTTTTTTGAACAAGCCTCCCATAGGAGGAAGCCCAAGAGGTAGGCTCACGCGTGTGCTAGAAGCTTTAGGCGTTAGAGTTGGCCAACTTGTCATTCCAGCCCCCTGGCAGCTCATCCCTCCTAAAATCTTAAGGAACGAGCCTCATCCACCACGAAACACTCGCTCTCCCAACTGCAACCCGACACCATGCAGTTCTTGTCGCCATCAAAGCTGCTGCTAGCAGCTGGCCTCCTCAATGCCGCTCTAGCACACAACATCCAGCTTCCTGCCCATGGCCGAGAATGCTTCCACGAGCAGCTGCACAAGGACGACAAGATGACCGTCACCTTCCAAGTCGGCGACAGAGAATTCGGTAGTGCTGGAAACTTGGACATCGACTTCTGGGTATGTAGCTTGAAGGATCTGATGGGTTTCGAGGATCAATTGCTGACTGCTCCAACTATAGATCACCAATCCCCAGGGCCAGTACGAGGTCTTTGAAAAGTCTACTTCTAACGGCGACCACTCCTTTGACGCGAGACACGACGGCAAGTACGTCTACTGCTTCGGCAACGAGCATTGGGGTGCGTCCAGCAAGGAGGTTTCGTTCAATGTCCACGGTATCGTCTACGTTTCCGAATCCGACGCGCCGCAGGATCCTCTAGAGGCAGAAGGTACAGCGTTGAATTCTACTCTCTATCCGGCCATTGGACCAGGCCTGCTAACTTTTTACTCCAGTGAGAAAACTGTCTGATCTCCTTGCGCAAGTCAAGGACGAGCAGTCCTACATTGTCGTCCGAGAGCGCACCCACCGAAACACCGCCGAGAGCACCAACAGCCGAGTCAAGTGGTGGAACCTGTTCATCCTCGGCGTCGTCGTCGGCGAGTCCATCTTCCAGGTCTGGTGGCTGCGCCGGTTCTTCGAGGTGAAGAGGGTGGTGTAAAAGAACAAGCAATCAATTCATCCTGATTTTAATACCCACACTTGTTTGAGGACCTCTGTTTTGGCGTATAATGATGGCATGTGACGGTAGGCAGATAAAAATGTGCGCAGAGTCTTACCCTTGGGATGGGGATAGAGACGGTGCACTTGTAATTATATAAATAAGACACGACGGCTCATGAAAGCTTGATTTTGAAATCTTGTGTCTATTGCAAAATTCATGTGACTCGAGCCAATCTGTCCAGCTTCGCATATAATGATTCAAGAAGCTCCTTTTGAACAAGGTCCGATTTAGAAGAAGACGTCCCAGAATTTCAAAAAGACCAATCAGTTTGTACGGATTCGAATCATTCGTATTCATATACGTAGCTGAAATACAGTAAGGGATGCCCGTCCACATATGTCCAAAGCCGCTTGTTCATATGTCCCAAGCCTATCCAATCCAATTCTAGATCCAACTCGTCCGTCAAACGCCTAAACCCCAAACAATTTCTTGATACCAAGTAGTAGCAGCTCATCAAGCAAGATCCGACATTAATTTACGTCCGTTCCAGAGGCCATTTACATCGAAGGGTCCGACTCCTGAATATCATCAGACTCCGCAGGATCGTGCTCCACCGGCAGCACGACGTCCTTGACAGGGTGTAGCAGCATCGGGGGCAAGCACATGCGACCCTCGCCGCCGCGCATCTGGGGCACCGAGGTGTCGTTCTTGGTCGCGTCCGCAGTGACTTCGAACTGTTCTCCGCCGTCGTTGTTCACCTTGAGGCCCAGCCAGCGCTTATACAGATTAGGCGCGAAACCAGAGTTGTAGAACCAGGTGAGGCCGCGGAAGTTGTGCTCACGCTGCCCAAAGACGGACGTGCGCGAGCCGCCCGAGGCGCCGTTCTTGCCGCCGTTGAAGACCCGGGCCATGTACTGCGTGGGCCACTCGCGGTCCACGTACAGCGGGTGAGGCACATAGACTGCCTTGTATCCGTGCTGGAGGGCGGCGGTGGCCGCCCACATCTCCGGGAAGGCGTGGTGCTTCTTAAAGGCGGTCTCGCGGTGCATAGTCATGAGCAGCTTTCGAGACATACGAGATGCGGTGATAATCTGTGCACGGCGGGGAGGCTTGCCAATGCCCTCAGACTCATTATATCCAGTGATATCATCGGCGAGTAGCCACGTGGTACCCTCGGGATCAAACATGGGGTTCAACGTGATGAGATCGGCCTCCTCGCCAACGCCCCATGTATATTTATCATGCTCGTAAGTCGTAGGCGGCTCCGGGTCGTTCTCAGTCTCAAACCAGTCACCTTCATCAACAGGCCGCTTTGGTCCCCAAATGGCCTGCTCACCCTTGGTCATATCCTGAGGAGACTTAGTGCCTCTCAAACCGCTCCACATGGTGTCTGGGCCCGGCGTGCCCATCTCGGTCTGCACTCGAGCCATTTGCTTGAAGTCTTCCCAGCTGCCATGCTCCGAAGGCATATAGAAACGCGCGTTACGCTCCCATAGTCCCTTGCGTGGCTGCTCTAGTGCCCACTTCTCCATCTTCTCAAAGAGGTCATAGTAGTGGCCGGTGTACCGGATGTCCATCTCCCATTGCCAGAAGAAGTCATACTCGGGGTGGTTGTATGCGAAATATTGCATGGCCATCTGCAGGCCTCGATACGATCCGTGCACTGGCAGGTCTGGGCCTCGGGTGTACAAGTCGTGGAGACCCTGGTAGAGAGAAAGCATCTGGGTGACTGTCCATAAGGTCACGAGGCCGCGGAACTCTTGGGGGATGGCCTCCTCGATTCTCTTTCGGTATTCCGCCTCGTCTGCCCAGATTGGATGCTTTGCATCGTTCTTGACCTGAACAAGGAGGTGAACATCATAGCGAGAACCTGAGGCAAGAGCAGCCTCAGTGATGAGGGCCCTGAGATTCATAAGATCTTCTTCCCGGAAGAAATACTCGTCCCAGCAGCGGACCACAATTGCCGTCCGGGGCAGATCTCCCTGCTGCTTGACAGGTTCATGCGTGGATTTCATCATGGGTTGGACATCCTCGTCAGTTTCAGCCTCTACCGCCTCGGCCACTTCTGGTAGAGGATCTTGTCTCTTGGCGAGAGTAGCATTCTCAGTCTTTTCCTGGATATAGAAGCCCCGCGGAGCGCTGGGCTTTGATGCTGACGGCTTGAAACGATCCTCGTTAGCCTGATAACACCGACGCTGGATTTGAGCCCAGTCGACCTTTCGATAGTCCACACGGTGAGCTTCCTTCCAGACTACTTCGACGCCTTCCATTTCTCCATGCTCGCCAGCTCCAAGTCCACCGTTGTGGATGGAGTATCCGTAGCCATATGGTCCGTATCTACCATATCTGTCGAAACAAATGTCTTCCGGAAGAGAAAGCAGGTCATAAGATCCCATAACATTTTGAGGGAAACCATCTGGGCGGCCGTCAAAGTAGCGAATCAGGGGGACCCGGACGGTCTCTTTCTCGTCTAGGAAGCACTCCCGCGCTTTGCCCTGGGCATCAGCGAAGATCGATCCCGGATACTCCGTAGCAAATGCCTTAGTAGGAGGAAGGGTAGAATTGTTAGATTTGTGGTCAGTGGGAAGCGGAGATGCCGTCCTTGACTCATTCTCATCAGTTGCATTGAATGGTTGTTCATCTTCCAGTCGAGGATACTGAGGCACATTGTCCTCGAAAGGCACTAATGTCCGAACACCACCGTAATACCTCGTCAGGAAATCAAATGACTCCCACGGAGCAGGTGGATCTTTGGCTTTCGGGGCGTCACCGTTCCTTATCTTCCTGTTTTCGACAATACTGGCGCGGACAAGGAAGACTATGATGACGAAGATGGTTGTGATCAACGCAATGCAGAGACAGCGAATGATCCGGTTTGGAAGGCGGTAGAGATAAGTTCGGCGTGGCCTTTGTGGTACGGCATATGCCCGCTTGGGAAGCATTCCAGCGCTGGAAGACAGCGAAGAGGACGTCCTCCTAGAGTCCCCGCTGGGAGAGGACGCATCTGAGTAGTCGGATTCATCGTCGCTGTCGGACTCGTCAGACGAGTCGCTGTCATGTGAAGCTTGGTCCCTCGATATTTTCTCGTAGAGTGGCAGTTTCGCCTGTCGCTGGCTGCGCGAGCGAAGGATGTTGAAGGAGAAGATCCCCATTGTTTTAGACTGGCCGGCAAACAATTATTAGTGATGCATGTTCCAGATCACCAAACTCAACGGTTTTCATTGGAATGCTTACCCAGACAAGTTGGCAGGAACCGACTGTACGTTGGTATGTAGTGGCACAACGGCCCGGATGCTAGCTTGTGCACTGAGTCTAGCCTCTCATCAAACCCTTTCTCAGAAATCAACTGTGGTGATTGTGTCCGGACTGCTTCGCAGATTGTAGAGCTTTGAGATTATTCGTCTTGACATATGCAAATGCAAAGTGAGTAATTACTGGAACGGTTCTGGAGGCTGCCGAACAACATCCAACCCAGCCAGCCAGCCAGGTTGGTCTCCCGGCCATCAATCACGTTGCCCAAGCCGCAAACACTGGGCGGTGTTGCTCCAGCAACGGGGATCCTGGCCCTGGGAGGCGGCGTCTGCAGGGGTGTCAATTAACGAGCTTGTGGGAGCCATGCGCACGCTTATTGGTTAACCATTCCCTAAAAGGCAAATGGTTTAGACAGAACCTGTTTTGTCAAGATCGTTAAAAGGCCATCATCGATCACCTTCAATGACTGACTAACTGTGTCACCGTGCGATGGCGAGACTTCGTACTTTAAAGCAATGAACAATTGAGCCACCGAGCTGCATTTCATTCAACTCTGATCATGACTGTGACGAGCCTTCTAATTGAAGATGCAAACCGATACCATCTATTTTGTGACCGTTCAAATGATTTACGAACCGTTCCATGACAGAAACGGTGTCAAAGCAAACCCATCCATGTGTTTTGCTTCTTCCTGGCTTGCTAGGAGGACAGACCGCGACAGCTGTTGGCGTAGCGAAGTGAATCCCGACAAGCGTCTCCAATTTGCTAATTGTTGGCGGCAGGGGTGACCCGTCTTCCGTGCTTATCCGCACTGCGAAAGGATGCTTGTCGCGTAGTGGACGTTTCTGCATTTGCTTTCGAAGTGATTTCTCTTTGGAAGTCCATTCTGGAATATCAATCTGCTCAGTAAGACAGACCATCAAACCGGCCAAAGCGGCTGCAGTACGGGTGGCATCCATCCCAGGGTCGTGTGGCCGACGGAATTCCTGAACGGAATAGCCATTGGCAAAACCAAACGTGAGTGATGTGTCTCGCAGAGATCGTTTCTGCTTCGTCCGGATGCCACTCATATATGAAGTGATATCTGCAAGATCAACCCACCGATCGAAGAGTGACAGCAATCCGGGAAAAGGCTATCCATTGCTCTTACTTCATTCCCGATAGACCATGCTACCAAGACCAGCGGCTTCTGTTGATTCCACTTGAAGATATTGACAAATGTGCTCTTCCAGCTCATTACGAGCGACAATATCAACCTTGCCATATCGAAAAGGCTCGGCGACTCTTCCTCGATAACGCCCTCAACCCGTAGACTGACTGACCTCATACTGTAATGAAGTACAGTATCATCGAGGGTCACGTTGTGCCAGGGCCAGGTTCCGAAGACTGATGTTTGCGAAGGAATAGCAGATGGCAAGAGAGCCAGTCCAATCGAGGTAACACCATCACCATGTCCTTCTTTGCCCTCGCAGTCTATCGCTACGTAGGGAAAGGATGAAACTTCGGAGCGTAGAATATCAAAATTGGTGATACGTTTGCTCCGCCAAGCCTGCTGCTGAGCATTTTCCCATCCTGTCCAAAGACTATGCTTCGAGTCCATATTAGCGAAGCAGTGATAGCCCTTGGAGTGTTTAGTATGTGTTGAGAAAAGAGGACAAATAACCACATCGAGAATGAAGTCATCGTAGGCAAGTTCAACAAATATTTGCTTAGGAGGGAAGGAGCATCGACGAAAGAGCGGGTGATATAAGACTGTATTCGGAGATAGCTACATTGGTGAGACCCCAGTGTGTCTCTATGGCTCTTGTCTCCTCTTTGAATTTCTACTTGGACTTGCCTTCTTTGGCTAACAATCTTTCATTTGACCCCATTGAGAGATTCAGCAAGCTCCCAGTTCATGGATGACTGACATTCACAATTCTTAGATCTTGAAGAGACCAGGAATTCTTTGCTTAACGTTTCAAAAGATAACATAGCAGCCTACATCAACATTCGACTTTTTCAAAAGGCTCATGGGGTTAATATGATGCTGTAGTACCAATAATAAACTGAAGCATGTAACGAAGCTTAAAGCTACATTCTACCGATGAGTCCTTGCATCCAGATCACTGCCCCACTGAAAGGAATAAAGGAAGTTTTGATTAAACATTGCTGGATGCCCATACAGTCCAGCAATCCCAAATTTGAGGAGCCGCGAGAATGATTTCCAGAAACGCAATTGCTGAAATCAGCATCGATTTTGCTTTTCCTTTAGCGTATTCTCCATATCCTGGGCCTCCTCCCTGCCACGCTTTCCCACACCTTAACCAGGTTTAACTCATAGGCGTCTTATCTTTACACACTTCCCAGCCACCAGAGATGGTAACGTTCGCCCAGCCCTGGAGGGCTTACCCGTACTTTGTACGCCTTATCAGGCGCTGCATCGCCATGCAGTAATAACTCAATGGGAAAGTGGTGGTGTGCTACTACAAGGGCTGCGATCCAACAAAGTTCGAAGGCGACGTCATGCCGCACCTCAACCATCTGACAGCAGCCAAATCAGAGACATTTGCGAGAGCCCAGATTCGGCCCTCACAGCGCCTTGCAGTGCCCCACGGTTCCATCACATCGCAGGCGAGAGGGCTACAGCTGTGCCTCAAGCACGCCCGTGGTTCCTATTTCAACGTCTTTTCTTTGTCGATCTAGGAATTTGGACACAATCCTGGAGGTCAGCTCTTACGACACGGCCAATCCTTCGAGCATGCTCTGACTCTCAGCGGGCTGTCGGCATGCTCTCCAGCCTGTTTCGAGCGAGGCTAAGGCAACGTCGTGGCTGTACAAGGAAGGCGACGGTGATCCAATGTTCTATTCCCGAACGGACGGACGTACTTGTCGCGAGGCATCGAAGCCTGGGAATGTAGATTGCAGATGCGTTACATCATCCTGGCGTATTAATTGCCCTATACGAAGAGCGCGTGTCCGCACTTACAGCGTACCGCCTTGCATCACACAGTAAGCGGCGCTAACCAGGAGCAAAAGCCCCTCAGCAGCAGCAAGTCGCAGGCTTAGGCTCAGCCCAGATGAGGTAAAGGGCTGCCTTTGTACGATCTACATTACCGGTAGCGTAATGCGGGCGACGGATGTCTCTGCTTCTTCACCACGTCCCTAGCTCCTAGGACTTCCAGGAGTACGCAGTAGGAGTAGATGGCTCGGATGGCATTGGTCTATGTTATGTAGCCCGCCTGGCTCCGTCACCGCACGTCCGACTTCGTAGCTTGCTTTGGTGCTGGGCCCAGAACCAATCTGGCGATGCATATGACACCGGGGAAGCTCACCGGGTAGGACAGCTGACCAGTCACCATGCACTCATTGTCCAATACCCATCCGGCCTGCATTCTTGTGGGAACTCTCACGTGGCATTGCTTCACCTTTCCGGACTGTTGTTGAGCAGGAATCCACAGAGACGACCTGCATTCATGATTGTATTTAGTCACTTAGCTGGCCAGCAAGCAGAATTGACCCTTGTGCACTGGAGCACAAAGCACAGCGGGATCCCACTTGCATCCACTCACCCACTTACACAACAAAGAGACAGCCGCCGCTTTGTCTGCAGGTCCAGATCACTCGGCCCAGTCCCCCGTTCTAGGAAAACGGTCTTGGGCACACGATTCCTGCCCAGGTGGCACCTAAGAAAACAGTCAATTGGGGGTCGGCATCGTTTTCTGCTTGCCCGTACGCAGTCTTTGACATATGCTAGGTATGCTATGCAAGCCGTGTCAAACGGTCTCACCGATAGCCCGCCCACATTGAAAGGTTCGAGAACATACTCCCTCCTCACCTACAATAGTCGTCTGCTCTCCCCTCTCTTACTCTACTCTACTTAACCCCCATTCGTGTCGTGTCTAATTTTACCTCTCCTACCAGTCCTCTTCCAAGCCTTGGTCTCTCTATTAGGGGAGTTGACATATCTTGTATCATCTGCTCCTCCCACACTCTCACATCAACTCTTGGTCTCTACAGACGACAGGCATAAATTGGACTAGTATCCGCCTTCGCTAAAATCGTCCCTTGCCCCTGGATCTCTGCTCCTTAACAAGGCATTGCCTGATTCCTCATCACGGGAGCCTCATTCTACAACTATATAGTCATGTCTGTCGTGATAGCTACCGAGACGGAGGCCGTTGCGCCAGCAGCTCCACCGGAGCACTTTGGCGAGAAGATTGGAGAGAAGACAGCTGCTACTGACGGCCTTGCTATCAACATGGTCATCCGGCAGGATCCCTTCTCGATAACTCTAGACGTTTCTGCGCTGCTCGGCCTGTCTATTATGCTCGTCATTGGCATGCACGTTGTACAGCACTACATCATTGAGTGCCTCATAGTTGCAGTGCCTCTCCTGCTCTTGGTTCGGAACGACTACGAGAACTTCCTGCGGCTCGGTCCTGGTGGAACGCCCGCCACTCCTGCAGGATACGCCAGGTTGATGTGGTACCGTCTCTTCACCCTGCGTGACCCTTTCAGCCCCCCGCCCAAGAGCAGCAACATCTCGCCAGCCGCGGGCATCTTGCAGCAGCAAAATCTCCCATACCGGCCCGGCCCTCGACCAACAGTCGCCGGGCTCGCTCCCCAGCGACAGCTAAACCAGGCCGGCTCTCCCCAGGCATTCAATGCCATGAAGCGAGCCCTCGACAGACTGGCCGCCCAGCACCCGCACAAGTTCGGCACGGCAACCTCGTGCCTCGAGAAGCACGGCTTCGCCCTCTTTGCTCGCCACCCCGTCAATGTGTGCGGCAACGGCGAGGTCTGCCACATCCACAACTCTGACAAGTCGATGCACATGAACCTGCACCCCGACGACATCAAGGAGATCCTGCAGAAGGGCTGGGGCCAGCGTCACCCCATGGCCTGGACTGGCTGGGTGCATACCCCCATTCCGAGCACCTTTGTGCTGATTTACGCACCACGAGGTACGAACGCTGCTGTTTTGCAAACTGACACCAAGTTTGAGGAGGCTAACTGCGGCTTTAGATGAGAGTGACTTGCGCATTGTGAGCAAGATCATCGAATCGGCAATCTGGTATACCCTGGAGGAACGTGTTGATTTGGAACCGTACATGAAGCCCTGATTGGCTAAGCCGAATGTGCAAGGCACGAGACTTGCATCGTATCGCCTTCTGGTCAATATGTCCTCTCTAGAAGCGAAGAAGAAAAATACTTGGTTCGGTGTTCAGGATACGGAGGTTGCACGGTAGGAGTTCTGGGAGCGGAGTTGGTGCACAGGAACAGTATGAGCTTTCACAAAGATTGGCGTCAAAAATATGAAATCAACTGTTTGGCCAGCAGATTCAATGTTGTTAACTCGCGACCTAAACCTGCCCTATAAAGTGTTCATTTTTGGCTCCGGAAGCAGTAAGTGGAAGCGTGTATTAGCTCTCCAAGGTGCCTCCCAAGATGTGCTATGCAGACAATACTTTACATACCCAACGAAAAGAAATTGCGCGAGTCTAGTCATCATCCTCATCCTCTTCGTTGTCCTTGTTCTTCGTCTTCTTGAATCGCTCTCGCCCCGTAGCAATGAAAGCCTCCACTGTCTGGCCGCCAAAGCTACGGCCGTCCATCAGCTCCACGCACGCGGCGGCGGCGTCCACCTTCTTGAACTTGATGCTCACGATGCCCTCCTTCTCTTGGTCGTAGAGCACAACGTTCGTGACCTCGCCCAGCTTCTCGCATTCCTCTCGTATGTCCTCCTTGATCTCCAGGAGGGCCGCGGGATCCTCCTCGAGCTCTTCAAGCGTGAACATGTGCCGTAGAATGACCACCTTGCTCCACTTCGAGCTCTTGCTCTCCATCGGCAGGGTTGACGGCTCATCGTCCGACCAGTCTGCCAACTTTGCGTCCAGTTTCTGCGTCTTCCTGATGACCTTCTGCCTATCTTTGTCGCTGGGCCGGTTGCCGCCCTGCTTTCTGCTGCTGTTGTTCTCGGCGGACGCCGCCTCGCGCGCGTCCTCTCCGGGCTGCTTGTCGTACTGCGTCTTCTTGTAGCTTGCGTCGGCGGCCTGGACGCGCATGCGGCCGCTGGAGGAGGCGTCGCCGGACGGGGACCAGCGGAAGGGGGCGTCGTCGAGCAGCATGATGGCCATGTCGACGCTCTGGGGCTTGAAGAAGACGATCAGGCAGTCGCCCTTGAAGCGGCCCGTCTCGGCGTCCGCGTACATCTTGATGCGCGGCCGCCCGCTGTCGATCTCCTCCGCGATCACGCCGCACTTGTGGCTGAACAGCTCCGCGACCTCCTCCGCCGTCGCGTCGAGCGGGAGCCCCGTGACGTAGACGGCCGTGTTCTGCTTCGGCGCCGGCGGCTGCCGCTGGTTCTGCTTCTTCTGGTTCTTGGGGGCGCGGCCATTATTGTCCTGCGCGCACGTGAAAAGAAAGGAGAGTGTCAGTGGGCTCTGTTCTCGTTCCCATATTGGTTCTTTTGCTCTCTCGCGAAAGAAAGAAGTCTTTGCTTCATGTCTCTCTCTCTCTCTCTCTCTCATAATCCCCTGGTTTTCAAATGTGTGGTGGTAGTGGGAGGCTGGGAGGGAGGGATGCGGGATTGAGAAAGCTGCAGATGTGCATGCGTGCGCAGCTTACCTCGTAGCCGTAGCCGTTGTCCGAATGGTCCTGCTTCCTCTTCTTGCCCTGCGCAGAGCTAGAGGATGCATCATCGGGGCCGCCTGCCATGTAGCCCAGCTGCTGTTGCTCGATGAGGGCCTCGTCAGCCTCGTCGGTAATGGGGATCCATCTCTTTAGTGAGGAATCGAATTCGAGCTCGGTGCCATCGTCTTGGACGGCAATGTACTTGTTGTCGAGCTTGGAGAACGAAATACGGTCGTCAGCGTCGAACTGCGCTGGATCAGTTGGAAACGTCCAGATCTCTGCTACGGGTTCCGCCATGACGAGTGTGGGATAAGTGGTTGACCATGTGGGTTGTGAGCGGGTGGTGGTGGTTGTAATCGTTAGGAATTTTTGGAGTGAGGAAAAGCTACAGCCTAGCCCAGGAGCTCTGCCGTGAAAGCTTAAGACAGCGTCGATCAGCCTGCGCGACTCACTTTCCCTGTGCAACCCCAACCATTGTGAGTGAATAATGTCTATACATTCTCATTGATTCCCCAAGTCTATGCTATCTATACACAGGTGTCTCATGCTATCCATTATTTGTCCTGCACTGACTTCTTCACACCTTCTACAAAAGCTTCGACAGCATCACCACCACCAAGAGGCACATTGCCGCCTCTCACCAAGCCTCCATTCTCAACTTTGATCTTCAGAGCTTCAGCAATAGTTGGCAGCCCTCCGTCTCGAAGTGCCATAGTCAGGCTCGTCAGGCTCTGGTGAAACTGTGGGCTCCGTAGTACCTTCTCTAGTAGACTCTTCTTCTGCGCCAAGCTCATCGTCGCAAGCGCAGCCTCGGCCGATTCAGATGTCGGCTCAATGTCAGCAATGTCGTCGCCATTGTCTCCCTGCTGGGCAAGGACAAGAACAACTGGTGGAAGGCAGCTCAGCAGGCCATCGACGTACTCCTCCGATGCGCTGTGAATCATGGGTATTGTCGTAGAGGTTTCGAGGAGGTCCGTTAGAAGGGGGAAGAGCTTGCCCTCCGCTTGCTGTGAGCCACCACCCATACCAGGACCGCCCTTCAGCGACTCTAGAAAGTTGCGCACCATCGCCGCGGCATCTGGAGCGGAGTCACTGGCACTATAATCACATTAGCGATGTCACTGGAGAGAACTGTATGAGAGACGTTGTGGATCATGGCTGCAATATCAATTCAACCCCGTAACACCATGTCTAATAGTACATCAATGGTATCTTGCTCTTATTCTCCATGTTGCAAGTTGCCCTTTTCAGTTGCCTGCGCCAGCATGGATGCTCGTGCCTCGAAGAAGCACAATGTGTGGTGGACATAATGAATCATGCAAGGGGAAAGGTGACCTACGCTCTTGCACCGTCCGCCCCTCCCTCGCGAGCGTCTTCACCCTCTTGTCGAACATCGCCGCCGGTGGCATCGGCACCCGCGCCACCGCTGCCTCCGCCATGATGCTCACTGGGATCGCCGTGGCCCTCCACGTCCTCCATTGTCTCGTCGTCATCGTCTCGGCGGCTGTCGTCGTTTGAGTTTCGGACCGAGGACAGCTCCCGGGTGACATCGACCTCCTCCCCTTGCAGTAGTCTGTCGACAATGTCGCCAATCTTGCGGTCTCGGGGGCTGAGCCAGGCAGCGTCCCCGCTGCGTGCCTGTGGTTTTGACTGGAGCCAGAAGAGGTATCTCTGCGAGGATGAGGCGAACTTGAGGACGAAGATGCGGCCGTTGGTCTTGGCGGACGCGGGATCTGAGCTCTTGGGCTCGACTGGTACGAAGCGGCCATCGGTCGGTACCATCACCAGCTCCAGCTCGGGTTGGTCCATTGGGGCGCTTCGTTTCCGCCAGCAGAAATGAATCAGGTCTGAAATATTTTAGCATTGACAATGTCTTTATGATATGTTAGCTCGTTCGTACCATCTTCGGCATACAGGTAGATGTATCCGGGCTCGGGTTGCGCTTTCACCTTGTACGGCTTGGACGTTTGCTGCGGCTGTCAGTTAGTGGTGAGAGACTGGCTACAGGTTACATGGTGGACTGACATCGACGTCACAGAGACCCGCCTTGAAGGTGATGATGGGCACGATAGACATGATCGTGGAGGTCGTATCGGTTGTGATGCTGGGTTTGTGAAAGGTAAGGTGGAAGGCGCAGAGGTCGGGAGAGGTAAACGATGGCTGTCTCGTAGCTGCGATTACCTATGCTCCAACAGCAGTGGAAGGCGATCTGACGCGGAGCTTAGGTACCTAGCTTGCCTTGGTCGAGGTGGGTCCGTTTGTTTGCCTCTGCTTATACTCCGGACAGCTGTTGGCAGCTGCCAGCTCCCGGACGGCCAGTTTCGAGATTTTGGCACTATTTACATAATCAGAGTGCCCCACCCGGTTAAGCAAGCCTGATTACCTAAACATAGGGCACCCACCCACAAACACGCCTGAAATTTCGACTTTTTACACGCCGCCTTCAATTCGAAGCTTGACGACAACCAATTCCATCACCACCAAACCCCCTCCCCAGAGTTCACCATGTCGGCGAAGGCGGAATCCCAGACCAAGAAGTTCGGCGGCTCAAGCCGGACAATTCCTCACACCTCCGAGAAGGCCCAGAAGTGGTATCCCGCTGAGGATGTTGCCCAGCCCAGGAAGGTACGTTGCCGTGGGGGAAGTGCAAAAATCATACCCGGCGATTTCACAGTGTCTTGAGTGTTCGAGATGGGATGCGATGGTTTATTCCTCGGGCGAGTCCAAATTGCGACCGTCGAGGTGGTCGGATTGGCATATTTAACGACTCATAATCTGCGCCACGAAGCATTCGAGAGGCGACGAGCATGTGCAGGAACAAGACATAGCAATTCAAGACACTGGGACAATCGCACGGATACATGGCCTTCAACGCAGTCGCTAACAATCATTTCCTCTAGACCCGCAAGGCCGTCCGTGCCTGGGCTCCTCGCAAGACCCTCCAGCCCGGCACCGTTCTGATCCTGCTCGCTGGCCGATTCCGGGGCAAGCGTGTCGTTCTCCTGAAGGCCCTCGACCAGGGCGTCCTCCTGGTCACCGGTCCCTTCAAGATCAACGGTGTCCCTCTGCGCCGCGTCAACTCCCGCTACGTCATCGCCACATCACAGAAGGTCGACCTGTCCGGAGTAGACGAGAAGAAGATTGAGGAGATTGCTCAGCCCAAGTACTTCACCGCCGAGAAGACCAAGGAGAAGGCTGGCGAGGAGGCTTTCTTCAAGCAGGGCGAGAAGGCACAGGTAGGACCCGCCTGAACTTTTGTGACATTCACAACGGGGAAAAAGATGACTGACAAATCGCAACAGAAGAAGGAGGTGAGCAGCAGCCGAGCAGCTGACCAGAAGGCCATCGACAAGGCTCTGTTGGCCAACATCAAGAAGGTGGATCTGCTGGCGAGCTACCTCGCTTCGTCTTTCAGCTTGCGCAAGGGCGACAAGCCTCACCTGATGAAGTGGTAGATTGGCTTCGGCATGGGGGAGCATGGCATGTGTGGCTTGGACTTGGAAGGGATGGCTAGGCCAATTGCATCTTACGTCCGTGGTTATCGGTTCATTACGGCGTCTGTAATGAGGTTTTACACTCAAAGATAAAATCCCGGTTTGCCAAAACTTGGCTTGGACTCAAGGCATAGACAGACTCTCATGTATCTGTCTTTACTCGTTGAAAAATGTGGGCTTGTGAATACACGTTATGAATAAGGCTACTTGCGTGACAAGGTGCATGAATAGTATGGAACCAGGACGAGGTACATGCGTTTTCCATATGTCACACAGCCCATGGGACCAAGAAGGCCAAAAGAAAATATCTCATATCAACAAAATTAGGATTACGGCTCCGAGCTTGATTGTAGACTTTCTTGCTTTTGGGGTCTTGGTAAAGAGGCCAGGCTATGTCTATTACAAGTAAACTACATGTATCCCTGATCAGTGGATGAGGTAACGTTGAGGGCGAGTCGGAAGGTTAGGGTTCGTATAGAAGTATTAATCAACATTCACGACTCCCTGTCAACCCAGCTTTGAATCAGACCCTCTGGCGACGGATCGTACTGCTTGCAAGTCACCTCCCCAGTTGCCTCATCTAAGTAGGTGTTCGCCTGCACAAAGACCTTCCTCGGCTGTTTGTTTGCTAAGACGACGTTCCTGACTTTAGAGCCCCAGTACTCAAGGCCAACGCCTGACATATGACTAAAGAACTTGGAGCCCGTCTCAACATCTGCTGTCGACTTGTAGATATGCAGCTTCTGAAGATACTCGCCAACAGCTGGAGAGAAGAGATTAGTCACCTACGTGAAAATGATGGAAAGATGAGAGGTGCTCACCTTTGCGACCTGTAGTTAAGATCTTGGACCTGTCAAGCTTGATCTTCAAATCCGACAAATCTTCAGCCTGGTATTCCAATTTGCAGAAGTCATCACCGGCTTCCAGGAAGCACTTCAGGATCGAAAATCGAGCCTGGCAATGGGGCTGTCCCCATTTCTGCGACTTGGGGTCCCAGTACTCTACCGATACCAAACCGGCTCGAGCCATACTCAGATAAGAAGAGTAAAGCACATCACCTGCTTCACCATCGATGTCAACGCTGCCGTCACCGAAGCCAAAGATTTTGAGAACAGGGAACTCGCAGCTCAGATACATTGCAACGAGTTCTGCACGGCACTCTTCGTAGGCCCCAGCCAGCCCACCAAATACGGAACCCCAGGTCTGGCCCGGTTTGTACCAGGTCTTGACGGGTTCGTTGCTGAGAGGGCTCACCGGCGGATTTTCTTTGTCGAAGTTAAACTCTCCAGGGGATGTTTCTTGCAGAAGCTTGCCGCAACCGTGGCCTGTGAGCTCATGGAGGCCAACTTGAACTTCGAAGGAGCCGTCACGATACTTCTGATACACCTCCAAATCCTCGTCCCTAATAAAAGGAATCTTCTCATTAGGAGCTTTTGCACTAAGGACATTGCCCAATGAGACGTTCTTGAAACCGTCTGATTGTCGAATATCATCGTAATTGGGAATGTTGATGCCTGCGGGAATGCCGGATCCACAGAATGTAAGAACCTCAAGGGAGGTGAAATCGGGCGAGAGGAACTTATCCTTCTCAAAGTCCTTATTCCAGGGAAGCAGAGGGATGAGTGAGGGTGCAGATCTAACCAGCTCGCCAAAGGCACGAGTTCTCTCCTGATTGACAACTGCAGCAAAGCCTTCCCATTCTCCTCGAACACCTGCCGGGTCACGATAGGTTTCGATGAATCCGATGTTACACTCAACCATCGGCCCCTTGTCCCTGATCCAATATCTTTGGCTGTCCTTGAACGCAAGAAGAGATCCATCGGCAAATGACTTGGCGTACGCAAGGTGCATCTTCTCCTCTGTCTCATTCTCTGCATTCTCTGCGGCCTTCTTGATATTTCTGGCGATTGCTGCCATCTCCTTAGAGTAATCGCCGTAAACAAGTCGTACAGTCTTGCCATCGTCGAGCTTATACTCAGTGTCTTTTCCAATGTCACCACCTTCGCTGGGCACTGAGGTCACAGCAGAGGCGATCAGAAGCTCGAAAACCCCGTCCTTAGTCTTCCGGAGGCGGGTGTTCTCTGGCAGTAGGCCCTTCTTCTCCATCCACAATGCGACTGCGGCGATCTCTTCCTTGGTAATGTCCGGGGAGTCAGGATAATAGGTGGTCAGGTGACCCTCGTCGGTGTATCCGAGGTGAAGCAGACCAGGCTTGTCTGCCGAGAAGATGGCACCATTTGTGGCTTTGTAATGACTTTCAGCCTCCGGGGAGGTAGCTGCAAGTGCAGCAAAGGAGGCTTCGGAGGCACGGGGGATAAACTTGGAGTCACCAAAGCTCTTGTAGTTGCCGCTGTTGCCGAGAAACTGAGCAGCATACTCAAGAAATGAGTTGAGATCAGCCTCCGACACGCCAGCCTTCTCAGCCAGCGCCTTCCAGTCACCACCCGAGCTCTTGTGCAAAGCAATGATAAAGTCATAGATGGACTCAGCTTCAGGAGACACCTGTCTCAAGACAATGCGGTTTCCCGCGAAGGAAGCTCTAGAGGCAGAGGTTAATGAATTGATCTACTCTCAGGACATCGCCAGTAACATAATGGTGTCTTGTCTGAGGATGTCTTACTGGCTTATGAAGTGGGCATAGCGCTTCTGCTTGTCTGTCAGGGCCTCAAAGTGCTTGGCGATCTCGAGCCTCACGACACTTGGCGGGGCATCGGCGAAGTAGCTGGCCAGCTCTTGAGCATTCATTTTGAGAAAACGACGATGAGGGAGTAAGCTTGCAGATACAGCAGCAGACGGTCTGAGAGAAGTATTTATGCGTCTTGATCTCGAGTAAATTCGACGACTAAACGTGAGGGGAAGGCGCTGCATTGAGTAAGGCAGCTGGCCACGACGCGCGATGTCAAGAGCAACCAACCAAGTGAACCGGCCTGCTGAGAGAGGCAGGTGCTGACAAAAGTACTTGCCAGTTTGCCAGGCAATGTTAAGATCTTACAAGCCTGGCCGTCTCTAGACGGTTGAAATGGGGGGAGTTGCAGAGTGTTCAAGAAGCTCTCAGGAGTCTCGCGCTAACAAATTTCTCAGGCAACTCCATCTTGCCCCGGTAACTTGTGGCTTCACTGCGGGGCCCAAAGACTCCTGGACGGCTTGCAGCGGCTGTCATCCTGTCGCGCTGTCCTTCCGTCCTCTTGAACTGAACATCAGCTTATTTCAAGGCGTTTGACCCTCTTTGAGCAGTCCTCTGATGTCCAAGCTATCAATGCCGGGCATAAGAAGGCATTCAAACACATTTTCTTGTGGCGTGAGGCATCGACTTGCAGTTGTAGATGACGAGATGACGCTACAAGCCACAAATCGAGGGGTAAATATATGTGGCTGCGCTTGCAGCACGCAAGCACTGCGTCAATGGTCCAGTGACCTCAGCCTTAAATAAATGACCCTGACAAGCCCAGGTACACCCGTCAGTAGGGTACCATTCCACTGGAGAACGTTGACTGGGGAAAGGCAGTCCATGTTCGCAGATGCAGAGTACCAGGCTTGCCGGAATGATACATATCTCGACATTCTTATACAAGCTTTTGACCGCACAGAGGGCCACCGGAAAGTAAGTTCTGTGATAAGAGCCCGCGCTCAATGCTCCGGCTTGCGATGTCGGCGATTGGTAAGTTAGGCGGAAATGGATCTCTATGGTTCAGTAGCCAGGGGTCGGATTCTGTGAAACCACCCCTCGCGATGATGATAGGCCGAGAATAGTTGCTTCTACTAGATTGCTGAGCAGCCATATCTCTAAACTCCATATCGGACGTACGAGGCTCAAAAGAGCAGGGCGGCATTTGAAATCACAAGGACATGAATAACCCATCATATATTGTCTTTTGAATGCGGCCGACGCAACGTGCCTAGGTGAGGGATCTATTACCAAGACCCCTGGAGTGGGATACTCACCGAAGCTCACACAAACGGGGCTGTGGTTAGATAACCCCGATCAAGTGAGTTGATGTGGATACAACCTAAGATAATAGCCAGCTCCGGGTAATATCATGGTCTCAGATGCATGCTGGACCAGTGAAGCTACTAACCTCGTAGCCTCCACTGACTTGGGATAAATTTTAAATATCAAGAGAGGCCGAATCTTGACTATCTTCTGTGCCTGAGTATAAAGACCTCGAGGTGCTTGTGGCTTGTTGTGGTGCAAGGGTATTTTCTTACAGGCAATGGATACTGAAGTAAAGAATCGTCGCCGGTTGCCTCAAGCATGGCGATTATTCATAAATATGGCACACATTCCGGTCTCTTAGACGCTACGGGGAGGACGGGGAGAACCATTCTGTTTCCTTCTTGCCCAACAAACCGACAGTCAAAGCCGGCCTTTGCTCAAGTTGTCGTACCGGAGACACTAAGCCAGCGCTAGGCAGTGTACCCTGTCAAGCTCATGGGGCGAACGTGCATTGCTGTCATGCAAGTCAGGCACTCGAAGAATTTAGAGCAGGCCTAATGCCATCACGAGGCCTCGTGATATCGGCTTCGGCAAGCGAGGCCTAACGCTGTGACGGTGTCTGCAGCTCGTTGATGGGTGCAGGCATAGTCTTAGAGGCACGCCTCTCTCCTTTCTTTGGAGGTGATTCGCCTTGCGAATGCATGCCCAAGTTGCGTCTCATGCGTCCTGCGTATGTAAATGCGGCTGCAAAGGCAAGGTAGGTAGGTAGGTAGGTTATGCTGATGTGCGAGAGTGCTGAGGACTGCGCTGAAAGTTGAGGCGCCTCGCAGTCGGGACTGGACGGTGGGCTCCTATTCGTGAAGCATTGAGCGGTGAGGCCATCGGAAGAAGGTCCTTGTAAGTCCCAGCAGATCTTTTGTCTTGGTATCTAGGTATGGCTAATTTGGATCGGGCTGGGCTTGTAGGTGGTCGTCCTTCGCTGCAAGGCATGTTTGCTTTTGGGGAGGCCGAAACCAGGCCCGTATTCTCGCTCAAGGAATCGCAAGAAAAGAGAGCCTGGGTGTCGCGGATACCGCGAAAGATACAAACAATCGGTGAAGGAATCGAAAGGCTTAGAATAATAGCCCATTCCACTAGGAAGACTGGTGGGTTGCTGCGGTGTGCTCATTGACAGGTAACCCAGGCCTAGGTAGGCCCTTTACCCAACTGACGACTTCCGGTTCCGCTGCTAGGGGGCACTACCGCATCTCCCGGCGACTCTCCGGCCCCGCAAGCCGGGGCCCATCCGAACCGAGCTGGTAGATCCGTCCGTATCGTGCTGGCTGGCTCTCCTTTTCCCAAATTTTGTCTTTCGTCAGATCTCCCCGGGGCCTGGTGACTGGACCTGTGGCAGGATCATTTGGGGAATCATCTCTCGCATACCGGCCCAGTTCCGTTGTTCCGAGATGCTGTGAGGAGAACTGGTGTGGTAGCAGTCAACGGGAACGACCGCTTTCTGATGGTAGGCCAAATGACTAAAGGATTGACATGAAAGGCCCAACTGGAAGGATTCCTGGAACAGAAGAGGGAGAAAAGGCAGCGCTGGGTCAGCCGTGCTTGAGTCCGACACGGCACAAGTGGGTGAGTGGCTCAAGTGGGTGACAGCGGATGGGAGGGGATGACATCCATGATTCTAAACCGGTGAATCAAGATTGCCATAGTGAGGCAGGTAGGCTCGCGCTCGGTAGCAGAGGCACCCACGGCACCCTACAACGATGCACCCCACAGCCACTTGCTTCGGTCCACTGCATCACAGGGCCTCGTTCCACGCAACCAAATTGGCATTTTTGAGTGGTTTGCCCTTCTGGAAGCCTTTTTGAAACAACACGGATAAAAGGATGCCCAGGATCATCACCGATGAGTAGGTAGGTAGTTACTCTAGTTTATATCCCGTCGCTAATTTAAGAGGCGGTTGAAGAGTGAAAACGCAGACTTATTACTCTTCCCCCACCAAAAACTTGCTTGCCCAGCTACTATTGTGGCACCGTAGACGGTGATACCCCACGTCTCCCCTTTCAATTTACACCCCGTCGCTGTACCTTCGGGGGTACCTCTGCTGTAACAGAGGACTTCTATGCCTAGGTACGGGTGCAGAGGGAATCCGACAGCGCGGCGCCCGTCCTGGGGTAGCCCTGGTTCAAGAGTCTTTACTGTAGTTGGCTGCGTCGTCACTGTGGCTCTCTGGCGCTCTTCAGACGGCGCGTGACAGCTTTTTCCCCAGACCGCACGGATTCCTTCTGACGCACAATGCACTCACTCGTTACGAGCCTGGGCACGCCCGTCGTGAGATTTGTTCAGTCAGTCAGTTCGACTGTCTCTGTCTCCTCGCTTGCACCCTGAAGTGCGAGATTGAGGGAAACAACGCATGCTCCTGGGGACAACAGTCAAGGCCGGTTGGTCCCAAAGACAGACCAGTGGAGCAAAAGTATGTATATGTACAGGCACTTCAGGAGGCGGTACGACAAGTCTCATGTCTAGATAGTAACGTTTGCCCTCAGCGTAGCAGGACCATCACTTTATCATAGTTGTACTACCAAGAGAGGTTCCACGATCGTTGCCTCCTCCATCCCAACGGTAGCTACTACGCAGTAAGCCTAAGCCTAAGATCAAACCCCCCTTTCTTTCGTCTTCTCCACAGAACGGCATCATCCCACGCTTTTCCCGGGAGGAAAGGTGCGGTACCTCGTCGAACACAGGAGGTACTTGCACCATACTTGAAGCTACACAGAATCCCTCACGCCCCCCTCCCTGTCCCCCAGTGGAGTCAGGCAGCGCTGGCGGCGATGGCCTAGGACGGTCTGTGTCTCCTGCGCTCCAATCAAACAGCTCTCTTAATGAGCTTTTTAAAGCCCGTGAGAAACAAACCAAGTTTGCATCCACGTCGCTGAGTTTTTCGGGTTCTCCAGCAGGCCCCCAGCTCGCCGCAGGCACTGGGAATTCTGTTTCTGGCACTTCCAGCTGGGTCCAGTGCCCGTCCGCCCAACTCCGACACTGGCGCACTAGGAGATTTTTACCTCATTGCACGGCAGCAGATGTATGGTCCTGCGGTGGCCACTGCCGTATATAATGACCCGAACTGCACCATTGCCATCGGGAAGAACTTCCGTTGAGATAGATAAATTAGGAGAAACCCTCCCGTTTCGAGCCCTTTGTTTCCCCTTGGCTTTCAGTTCTTATCTTGCGGGCCTTACCGTAGTCTTGGATCTCCAACTGCCGTCTGCTGGTGACCCCCCGTTCAAACAGACTCTTGCTTGACTCAGGGCTGCCCGCCGTTGTTGGACTCGTGGTCGCCACTTTCACTTACACGGAACCCACCGCGCGATGCAATAGCGTCATAACTTAGTTCCCCCTAGAGAGCGCATTCAAGATAGTTTTTCTCCCTTATAAAGGCCCGAGACTTTGTTCCAAATGCTCTCCTACGACTCTCCCGTGCCTGTGAATGGGCAGACTGCTGCATCTTCAACCAACATGTCGGCGCATAACCAAGCTGTACCGACCACTTCCAACACCATACGGCCAGCGCCCTCAAAGGCGCATACCAACGGGGCTTCACTCACCAATGGCCACCACGAGTTCAAACACCATCACATTTGGCTGGTCACTGGACCGGCAGGGTGCGGAAAGAGCACTGTTGCCAATTACATCGCAACCGCTCTCGACTTTCCGTACATTGAGGGCGATGAAGTATACCTACCACCCCCTTTTCCCCAATGCCAATGCATTTACTGACATCGCCAAGTTCCACCCCCCTGCGAACATCGAGAAGATGAGCAATGGCATTCCCCTTACAGACGCTGACCGTTGGGATTGGCTCACTGCCCTACGAGAAGAATCCCTCCGTCAACTCGAGGCCGGCAACAATGGCGTGGTTCTGACCTGCTCTGCACTCAAGCGCAAGTACAGAGACGTCATTCGAGTGGCCCCCTATTTCTCGCCGGACCTGCAACTCCACTTCATCTATCTTCACGCTCCAGAAGAGGTTCTCCTGAAGAGAGTTACGGCTCGGCAAGGTCACTACATGGGCGCAAACATGGTGCACAGCCAGTTCGACATCCTCGAGCCGCCCACCGAGGAAGAAGTCGACGTGATCAGCATCGACGTCAGCCAGTCAATAGACGATGTGAACAAGGAGGCTCTGTCAAAGGCACTTGAGAAGATGGAACAGGACCAGTAACGTCACGGCACGGCATGGCATGGCATGGCATGGCATGAGATGACGCTCTCTCGGTGTACGAGTTCGGCGTTGATTCAGGGTAAACCCCTAACTTCGGGGCGGCCTTTGTGTTCTTTGGATTTACCAGGCGCAAATTTGAGGTTGGATGTGGTGACACACAAAAATCCGGGGGTTTGTTTGCAGTCGATATTGTTACATGGAGACGGCTTCGGAGCATGCTTGCTCTCAGCCGGCGTTTTACAAGCAGCGCAGCGCATACCACATAGACCTCCTTTAGTCGGGCGATTTGGCGGGCCATATTAGCATACTGGGAAAGCATAGTAATCACAAGGCAGAATCTGCTAATGCAGCAGACTTCACAGTACTGCAGTTGTCGATCATTTACCGTCCCTGAGGATCTCAACCGTAAGCGGCGGCCATGTAAGAAACCTGTCAGTTTTATTCAAACTACTATCAGCGTGCTTTGCCGAATGACTTGGGCAGCAACAGAAGGCCCCGATTCATCGTCCAACCTAAGCGAGGTGCCTGCATTCGTGACTGCCTGTTGAGCAATACAGTCACTTTCAGGCTAATATCTGATTTGGCCACGCAAGCAGAGATCGTGTAAAATCTACAGCCTTGCTACCGTGAACTCCCGTCACCGGTCTCGCCCTCTTTACCCAATGCGCATTCGCCGGACAGTGGTCACGATGTCCCGTCTTGACGCGGTGTGGGCATGCTGCCATGTTCTAGCCTCGTCTTGTGCTACCTCAGATGCATGAGCATTGAGTCTGGTTCTTCCACGAGCTCGCGGACCACTCCCGCCGCCCGCGCCATCGTGGCTCCATCCACGACCCTGTGGTCGGCGCTCCAACTAAAGTTGCACACCTGCTTCTTGACCACCCGGTCCGACTCGTCAAAGGCGGGAACCGTCCTCATTCGTCCGATACCTAGGATGGCCACCTCCCGCTCCACGATGACGGGCGACAGATACGTGCCTCCGATATTGCCAATGTTGGACACCGTTATCGTCCCGCCACTCATATCCTGCGGGGATAGCTTCCCCGCAAGGGCCAAGGTCTGCAGGCGCATCAGCTCGGACGCGATGGAGAGAATGTTCAGAGCGGCGACGTTCTTAATCACCGGGACCATCAGGCCGGACGGCGTGTCCATGGCCACCCCGATGTTGTGCTGGCTACGCAGGGTCAGGCTGGGCCTCGAGGTGGTCGGGTCGATGTCCACGCGCGCGTTGAGTATGGGATACTTGTACAGCGCCATGGACACGGCCTTGACGATGAAAGGCAGGTACGACAACTTCGCGACAACATCGCCGGTGCCGCTGCTCTTCTCACCGCCAGACTTGGCCAGCACCCTGTTGAGCCGGCTGCGCAGGTCGCACAGATTTGTAAAGTCTATCTCATCCGCATACAGAAAGTGCGGGATTGTCAAGGACCTGGTCATGGTCCTGAACATTTGCTCCTGCGTCTTGGTAAGCTGCATTGGCGTCTCTTTCTGCACGCCAGCCTCAGCCTCCGGAGATGGGTCCGGTCTCCTTGCAGACGGCGTCGGTTGTCCTTCCGAGTCTCTTGCTTGTACAAACTTGTAGATGTCCTCCTTGAGTACCCTGCCGTCTTTGCCCGTGCCGTCTATGTCTGTTATATCTACCTTTAACTCCTTAGAAAGATGCCGTACCGCCGGTGTCGCAAGGGCTGCATGTTTGCCTTTTGGTTGGACAGGTGCTTCAGCCTCCTTTGCCTCTCCAGCCGGCTCTGATGAGGGGCGGGAGCTTGTTGGGGGTTCTGGTTGCGTTGGTGTTTTCTCCGCCTGTGTTTCCTGTGGTGTTTCTGAAGGTGTTAATGCCTCCAGTGTTTCCTTGCTCACGTCGCCTTGTATATCAATGTCCACAAACGGCTTTCCCACCCTTGCCATCTCCCCCGCTTCGTAGTAGAGCTTCTTTACAACGCCAGAAAAGCGACTGGTGATCTCTACAGACGCCTTGTCGCTCTGGACCTCGCATAGCGGGGAGAACTCCTCAACTCGTGCGTCTGGCTCGACAAACCACTGGATTATTTCGCATTCCACGATGCCTTTAATGACGTGTTAGTAGTCTTAGAACCACAAGATACCTAGGGAGCCATACCTTCTCCAATGTCAGCAAGTAGGACGGGCTTCACCACCTGTAGGTTATTCGTCGAGTGGAAGCCCCTCGCGGGGTATTGTCCGGACGCTGCTGCGGAAGCAGCTCGACTTATCCCTTGATGCAGTGACCATTGTCGCCGCAGAGCGCGAGTACTGTGTCTGAGAAACATCTTTAGAGTTCCTCACCTGAAAGAATACAATTTACAACACATCTCGAGTCCAATTGACCGCTGTTATTCTCGAGGAGAGACTCGCGGGTAAGCGGTTCCCCTTACCCCAAAGGTCTCTCCCCCATGGCTGTTGTCGGCTTATGGCCAGCATGACGTTAGGCCTGGGGAAACGCCGCTGATAGCCGGTTCCCCACGATCAAGTTAGCGGGCACTGGCAGACTGGCAGCCAACCCCGAGCGGCCGGTCCCTAGGAGCGTTAGTGATGTTCCTGCAGTGGCCACCTCAGGCACTGAACGCAATTTTTGTGCCGGCACCCGAGAGTCGCATCTCGGCTCAGCGTTCGAGCGACAACTTATCGAACTAACCTAGCGAACTGCTTCCCCTACCCACGAGATTCGTGGCGCGTCGTATGTCACGATGCTTGAAGTAGCATTCAATGGGTCCTCGCTAAGACGAAGCGCGAGGCCGATTGCCTGTCTCTTGTGCCAATGGCGCACATTCAGCACATCGTGCAGGAGGCTCGATGACAAGCTGCCGCCCAAAGACACTCCGGCCCAAGATGCGCCTGCGCCTACACCTCCGACCCCATTGGAAAATGCGCCCCGAGGATACGGCAAGAGGACAGAAGAGTTCACCCCGGTTGTTCTGTCACGGCCGATTGGCATGAACTTCCCACCGCAAGCGGGAGAGAACACCGGCATCGACACGCGAAGCTTGAGGCAGCGGCGAGATGACTTCGTTGACTACGACAAGCACCTCAAGAGGCGCGAAGAGCTGTATGTCCCTGACCCCGGACTTGATAGTGTTCGAGTATGCTGACATTTTCCATCAACTAGAAAACAAAAAATCTCACGCCCATACTTTCGGGACTGGACCAACATGCAGTACCACAAGGGCAAGACGTTCCTCTCACCTCCGCGGCTGTTCAAGGCAGACCTATCGCACTACTTCCCCAATCTTTTTGGTCAGACACTTTTGAAGAAGGACCACAGCCCCCGCGATACTACGCCCGTGCTCGAAGGAAAGGCTTCCGTGGTCACGCTATTTAGCAGTGCCTGGGCTGAGAATCAGGTGCAGTCCTTTGTCTCCAAAAAGGCGAATCCCGCGTTGCACGAGCTTCTTGGCAAGAACAGTGGCAAGGCCCAGATGGTGCAGATCAACGTCGAGGATAATTCGCTCAAGTATTGGATCATTCGATTGTTCATGGGCTCGCTGAGGAAACGAGTTGGCAAGGACAATTGGGGCAGATACTTTATCGTCAGGCGGGGCATCTCGGATGAGATCCGAGAACATATTGGTCTGCTGAATAGCAAAGTTGGCTATACGTATCTTGTGGACAGCAATTGCAGGATAAGATGGGCAGGCAGTGGTCCTAGTGAGCCCGAGGAGAGGGAAGGTCTGGTCAAGGGCGTCCAAAGACTGCTGGATGAAATGAACAAGGAGGCCGCTCAGAAGAAGCCCACGGAAGAGGCTTGAGCATACTACGGCAGAAGGCAACTCTCACTCTCCTGTTCTTGTATTGACTTGTCATTATTAAATTTTAAAGGATACCCCATCATACAATGCTGTATAATACAAACTCAGACCTGATATAACCCTGCTCAAACGCCGTGCCGAGAAATCATCGGTTGTGTCCTTTGACAGCCGCTTAGGTGCATTTACAAGAAGAACCAGAAGACCAGGAAGCATAGTGCGATGAAGCTGCCCATGATGATTCCATCTCGCCGCTTCTTCGCCGATATTCTCCCTATTAATGTGTTGATTCCAGGCACCTGACTGGCGGCCATCGTGATCCTCCGATTGATATTTGCCAATGTCTCCCGTTGTAGAACGAAGCTGTCCTGCACGGCATACGCCTGACTGAGCACACTGTCTGCCATGCTATTACTATTGTCGATTCGCCTCCGCTCATCTAGCATGTATTCTGCCTCGGCGGCTTCTGGGTTGTTTGCGCGATAGGTATCGATGTCGTCGCGGACGCTCGAGAGCAAGTTCGCTCTGTTCCGGGCCTCTTGCAAGTTCGACCTCAGTCTCAGCAAATCTTTCTTATGCTCCGCTAGCTTCTCCCGGAGTAGAGATAGATTGTTCTGTTTCAAAGCCGACGAAGTGAGCGTGGCCTCGGAATCGAGAAGCCGGGCGAGTTGGTTGACGACATTGTCTCTCTGCTCCAAAGTCAGTCCATCTTCGCAAATGCTCTCGGCATTGCCGGGCTCGCTTGAAGGTGTGTCACACCTTCTCAAGAAGCTCTTGTAGCTTCGCCTCTGTTTCTCTCTCTTCTTCTGTCGGCTTTGCTGGAATGTTCGGCGCGGTGGAGAACTGGGAGTATGTATGGAAGAGCGTCTCGGTCTAGTAGCGTGTTAGTCGTCACTCGAGGTCGACAACTGGCGGCTGTGGTCACAAACCTGTGATTCTAAAGAGCGCGCTTGTTGTCGCAACTGGGCCCAGCCCGTGCTTCCTGATCCTGACGCCATCTGCTATGCTGATGTGCCGAGAAACGGGAGTGAAACGTGAGTTCGTCGATGGTGAAAGAACAGAAAGCCGATGTTCCAGGGTCTCTCGGCCATCCATCTGGTCTAGCTAGGCAGAGTAAATCAGGTTCGCAAGCTCGTGGCTGGAACATTGAAGGCGAGCCACAGGTGGCGGAAAATATGGACCCTGTGGCGCTAGGTCGAGATGGTGCTGGGCTGGGCTTTGCCTCTGGGTTGGTCAGAGTACAGCCTGTTCAATTTTTCAAAATTGGGTGCAAAAAAGTTGCTGGATCAACCCCACCTCCTCCTGAAACTTCGTCTTGAGCAAAACATCGTACAAACGTCCGCTTCTCTAGAAACCCCCGGATTTTCCTTTTCGGTCTCAGATTTCACAACTGCCAAGATGGGTTTCACCGATCTCCTCAGCGACGCCGGTCTGACTGGTAAGTCGTGACTGCTCTCTGCGCCATTCTCGGCTCCTCTTGAGCGGGATGGAGGCGGAGACTCTTGCGGCCTGAAGGCATCATAGCTGACCTTTTTTCACAGTGCTCAACAGCTTCCTGACCACCCGTTCCTACATTGTTGGGTATGTTCATGATGTTTTCCTGTTCAAGTTTTATTTCCTACAGTTTCGAAACACCCGTCCCGAGAAGGGACTATCCACCGCGCTTTGGATGATGAACAAAATTGATCCGTGTTGCTGAGCAGCCTCAAGACCTGCAAGTGAGGACAAAACAAGCACTTTGTGCACCTCTGACAATAGCCATATCTTCTGCCTTCTTGCGCAACTGCATGCTTGAGTTTTTCCGTCTGGTTCCCAAAGACTGACAGGCCGGGCAATAGATACGCTCCCTCCCAGGCCGACGTTGTCACCTTCAAGGCCCTCAGCTCTGCTCCCTCCGCCGAGAAGTACCCCTATGCCGCGCGGTGGTACAAGCACGTTGCCTCCTTCGAGGACGAGTTCGCCACTCTCCCTGGCGATGCCACCAAGCCCTACACCGTCTACGGCCCTGAGGTCGCCGAGGTCACCCTGAACCCTGCCAAGGCCCCCGCGGCCGAGGAGGATGATGATGACGTAGACCTGTTTGGCTCAGATGACGAGGAGGAGGACGCCGAGGCTGTCAGAATCCGCGAGGAGCGTCTGGCCGAGTACAAGAAGAAGAAGGAAGGCAAGACCAAGCCCGCTGCCAAGTCTGTCGTGACTCTGGATGTCAAGCCCTGGGATGATGAGACCGACATGAAGGCTCTCGAGGCTGCCGTTCGAGGAATCGAGAAGGACGGTCTGGTCTGGGGTCTCTCCAAGCTGGTTCCGGTCGGTTTCGGTATCAAGAAACTGCAGATCACTCTGGTCATCGAGGATGACAAGATCTCTCTTAGCGACCTCGAGGAGGAGATCCAGGAGTTTGAGGACTATGTCCAGTCTACTGATGTTGTTGCTATGCAGAAGCTATAAGTTACCATGAAGGGACGACGTGGATCTGCAGGTGGATCTGGGTTAATGACGGAATGATCTAGATATTCAAAGGTCGGCAGGGCTTGAATTGGCCAGGCTGGCTTTGGTTGGGGAATCGGTTGACTAGCATGGTATAGGTTGACCAAAGTCCCAGCATCACATCAATAGACAGGGCAAGATACAAAAAATCTTCTTGATCGTGTGAAACGGTTTCGAACTTGTGCAATGTGCCATCTTGATAACGGAGCTGCTGCCTTACAGAAGCCAAAATCTATTGATAAGTCAGTTCAACAGCATGATGTGTTTGCATTTTGCATTATTAGACTGGATTGGTACGGTTGTTGTAAACATATCACATTTGCAGTAGCGCGACAATCATGGAGGAGCAGAATATCGACAATATTTCTGGTTGAATGGATGACTCTGACCAACTTTTTGTGAACACGTCAAAGTGTTGAACTATCCCAACCGCAAGCGTCTCTAGTGTTGCGTCCAAAGTATTCACTTATAATACACTAGATACGTGATCACGCATGTCCAAACTCCATTCGGGTATCTATCTCTAATTCCTCCCAATCAAGGCCAACAAGGAGACGAGTCCTTGCTTAGTGGTGGAAGAGGCGGATGTTCTGCTCAACGAACGTGATACCCAGCTTCTCAGCGGTCTCAAAGACCGGCTGGTCGTTCTGGCTACCTCCTGGAGCCGCGATGTACTTGGCTCCGGACCGGCTGGCACGGAAGACATTATCAATGAAGGGGAACTGGCGGATTGTTAGCTAAGCTTTTCTTGACTGTATAGGGTGATAATGGTGTTCTTACGAAAGCGTCACTTGACACAGCGACGTCGGTCAGCTTGTTGAGCCACTCCTCACGCTCTTCAGGGGTGAATGCCGCGGGAACCTCCTCGAAAGTTGCCTCGAAAGCCTCTCTCTCTGCACCATCCTTGGGAAGCTGGCCGCTAACAAGCAGGTCGATGGCATTACTCTTGTCCGGGCGCTTGGTGCCCTTCTTCCACTTAATGCCCAGGACCCGGGGATGGAACCGAAGCCACCAGTTGTCGGCCTTGTCACCAGCCAGTCTCGTGCAGTGGATGCGGGACTGCTGGCCGGCACCGAGGCCGATGACCTGACCGTTTGCTGCGTAGCACACAGAGTTACTCTGGGTGTACTTCAGCGCGATTGTTGCGACTGTGAGATCTCTCAGAGCGGTCTCCGGCAGCGGGCCACCGTCCTTAGGGGTGATGACGGTGCTGAAAGACTTCGGTGAGATCTCGACATCGTTACGGCCTTGGCTGAGGTTGATTCCGTAGACTGTCCTGGACTCCTTCTTGCTAGGTTCGTACTCGGGGTCCATCTGGAGGACCAGGTATCTGCCGCCCTTCTTCTTTCTCAGAATCTCAAGCGCAGCATCCTCGTAGCCAGGGGCGATGACACCATCGGACACCTCCTTGGAGATGATGCTCGCTGTAGGAACATCAACGATATCGCTCAGAGCAATCATGTCGCCAAAGCTGCTCATGCGGTCGGCACCACGGGCACGGGCATAGGCCTGAGCAAGACCAGAAGTCTCGATGCCCTGGATGTCATCGACGAAGTAGACCTTTCGTTCCTCAGCACTAAGCGGGGTGCCAATGGCTGCTCCTGCGGGTGAGACGTGCTTGAAGCTTGCAGCGGCGGGCTTGCCGAGCGCGTTCTTCAGCTCCTTGACCAGCGGCCAGCTGTTCAGGGCGTCTAGAAGGTTGATATAGCCAGGGGAACCGCCAAGAACCTTGAAAGGCAGCTTGCCCTCCTTGACGAACGCTGCGGCGGGCTTCTGGTGTGGGTTGGCTCCGTATCTGAGGGGCAGATACTGTACACCATCGGTAGCATACTGCTTGCGGAAGAAGTCTGCGATGGCGGCATCGTAGTCGGCCGTGTGCTCGAAGGCCTTGAGCGCATACAGTTTACGGCTTGACTCCTTGACCTCGCCAGCCTCCAGCTCTTTCAGAAATTCGGCGTAGTCGTTGGGGTCGCTGAGGATGGTGACACGGGAGTGGTTCTTTGCAGCCGCTCGGATCAGAGTAACACCACCGATATCAATCTCCTCGACAGCCTCAGGAACAGTGACATTGATCTTGGCAACTGTGTCTTTGAAGGGGTACAGGTTGCAAATGACGTAGTCAACCTTGTCGATGTTTTGCTCGGCAAGATCCTTCTCATCGGAGGCGAGGTTACGGGCCAGGATACCCGCGTGCACGGCCGGGTGGAGGGTCTTGACCCTACCGGCGAGCATCTCCGGGGCTTTTGTGATGGCCGAGATATCCCTGAAAGCGATCAACAGTGAGCAGAATGTCACAAACACACGATCACTGGAGATTCTTAGTGAGCTTACTCGACTGGGAAGCCAGACTCCCGGATCATCTTGGCCGTGCCTCCTGAAGCCAGAATGCGCACATTGTTCTGCACCAGGCCCTTGGCGAGGTCCAACAAGCCAGTCTTGTCGTAAACAGAGACGATGGCAATTCGCTGACTGGCAGACATCTTGGGCGGTAGTTAGGAGGACCCAAAAACGAATATGTGTGCTGCAGATACTAGAATACTTGACGAGGTGTGAAACTCAGACGAAGAATAATTCAATCTGGGGTTCACTTCTGTCGCCCAATGTCAGTGGTGTTTGGCGGGGCAGTGGAAGCTAGAAAAATTATTTCCAGTGTCATTGAGGGGCGGAGGAGGGGCAAGTACTGTCTAGCCGGGGTGTTTCGTTGGCCGCCTTCAGCAATTGGCTGGCTTTCTACTGGGTCCTGCCGGCCGGGTGGCTTACGGAGCTGTTAAGAATGGAGGGAGGGCCAGGCGCGCAACGCCCAATTCGGCGCGTCGAATAGAATACCCAGTTGCCCAAACTTCGTTGACTTACTTCACCTGTTAAAACAGCAAAGCAATACTTTGAAGACGCCTGGAAGCGCGTCGTTTGCCCTCTTCAATTTTGGCACAGATGTATGGAGATTTGGGCAACAAATTGGTCCGTTACCATCCCTCGCCGTGCTGCTACCGCAAAGGTTTCTTGGTGGTCTAACATTACGCGCAGGTTCAACATGCCAAACGGACACAGAACCTGGCACACTTGCCGCCGTATCAAACAGAGATCGTGCGCGGCGTGACGAGAGAAGTCAGGGATCTCGATAAAGATGTCGCCAGCATGCTGGAGCCCTTTCAAGGATCGTTCGACCCCAATGCGGACCAAGCGACCGCGTGTACTTTGCTGGTCAACCACCTGTCCATGAGGCGCAATAAGCGGTGCCTGCTTGCGTACCACAGAACACGGACAGACAAACTCGAAGAGCTGGTTTGGAATGGAGCTGATGTCTTAGACCTCTCCGGGCAACAGCAAGGAGGCATGAATGGCGACGCTGGAACCAGCAGCCTCAGTCCTCAAGAGGAGGACTATGTGCGGCAGTATAGCGACTTGCTGGCGGCTTACAAGGGCCAGTGGACCGATATCGACCTGACTGGAAGCTTGGAACCGCCTCGTGATCTGTTCATCGACGTCCGGGTCTTGAAAGACGCGGGTGAGATCCAGACAGAATATGGGTAAGAGGATGTTCTACGGTATACTTAAAACAATGGACTAATGGACACGGCAGAGCTATTACTTTGAGCAAGAACAGCCAGTTCTACGTCCGCCAAGGCGATGTAGAACGCCTCATAGCACAGGGCTATTTACAGAAGCTTAGCTGAAAGGGGAATCATCGATGATCTAGAGACTGCAAAACGACCCTCGGGGAATCATGACCGGCAGCCGTTCGGTCCGCAATATTGCGAGTGCGCACGTTGATCCCATTTTGAGGAAGGACATGGGACGGAACGAGATGGTCATGATGATCATGTTTACGCGGAGAACTACATATCCAATAGAAGAGATGCAAGTCCGTGTCGAGGGGCGAGAACGGTCGTGGGCCGACACAGATGCTCTGTTCGGGTGGGCGGGGCTTGTCACGAGCTGGCACCAGAATGACGCCAGAAGACGTGTAAGATTGTGTCCAACGGCGCGGGGGAGAAGGATTGGGTGAGAGGCTCTGGTATTCCATTGAGGCCTCTCAACAACATGCCGGACAAAATACTCTCAATTTCGATACCGGAGGTAGGATCGAGGGTCTCGCATCGTGTTGGCATGTTTCCAATTGGAGCATTTGTCGGAGGCCATGCAGGTCACGAAAGTATGGGACCACGAGGGCTGAAAAGATGTGCTCGGCAACCGTCTGAAGAGGAGATATTTGGAGATGCTGCAAGTGCAGTCCACATGGCCAATAGAATTTTTCTGCAGTGGAGTAGCTGTACGCATCAAGACACCTTATATGCGCCCGTAGACACTGTGTTTCAAGGCTGACGGCAGAATATCTGATGAGGCTTACCCCAAACTAGTCTTCTTGTCTGAAAGCTCTTCAATCTTTTGAGAAGCTTAACTTTGCCCTTTGCTCATGACGAAGACGCTTATGTAGGTAGCTTGAGTGAGATTCAATGCGTTCAATCCTAGACTCGCAGAGAAGTGGGAGAAAATAATTTACAGGATCAGCAACGTGGCTTCCACCATTTCAGACCGTCTTGATCATATTGCCCATCATTGCCATCGTATCAGATAGCACAGGATCTTCAAAGTCAATTCGCACTGGCTGCTGGTCGTCCGGGCCATCCTGGCACTGTTTGCATTGCATCATGCATGTTGCAGTTCCGCCGCGCTCACAATGCCCCTCCATCAAAGCCGAAGTCGACTTACATGAATGGCTCTGCGTGCAATTTTTATACCACAAGCCGATCAAGGTAGACAGTCTAGACCGTACAACAATCTAGATGAGTAAAATACATTTTCAATATCCCCAGTGCTATCAAATAAGTGGTTAGATCGGAGCAAGCGAAGACGGGTCTTAGAAAAGGTATTAGTAGCTTTGATCCACAACACGCGGCACGCAGCTCTCACCCCTGCAACCTGCAAAAAGGCTTTCTCGATAGAACCTTGCTAGACAGCGGGGCCCGCCACATGATAGATGCTCGATAGAACGGCCATGCAAAATTTAGCTGACCTCATTGCGCCGAACAGCCTTGAATTCACGCTATTCGCAGTGTCTCCTATTCTCATATCATGAGGCCTAGCCTGCTTTTGCTATCATCTTTCTTTGGCCTTCCGTTTGTATAGTACCTACTGTATTGCATACTCAATTCGTAAGATCCATTATTGTTATCATCTGTCGTCATTTCTCCCGCAGCACCACCATTCCCAGCATCCAACACAAGCAGCTTGCGCCCATACTTTCTGTGGTGGATGGTACCCACAGCCTCTCGTCAAGGCGCCATGCGCATCTGATAAGACACCTTAGTGCCCATTGAGGTGCTCGGCAGCACAGATAGCACCATCCTGACACAATGGCATCACCCTTCTCTTCCTGGAGGAGAAGGGCTCCTTCTGTGAGCTCGCAGGATCACCAAGACGACGCTCTTACCCACATCTCGAGTCCTCCACGGACTGCCCCTCAGGGCATTGGCGATGCTAGATTGCTCTCCTCGTCTGTAAGCTCTGCGCCTCACCGGGAACCCATCAGGTCCTTCATTCACGGCAGTACACGCGATCATATAAGTAAGTCTTCTTCCTCGCCATCGCCTCTCCTGTGCCGTAGCTCATTGGCCTCCTAGCTCCTGTCGATGGTGCTCAATATGCCCGGAGTGTGCGTGAGGATACTGCAGAGCTCGCTTCCTATTTCCTTTCCGACAAGAGCAGTGTCTCGAGCCCCGGCTTCCTAGCCCGTCAACGATCCCAGTCCGCCAATACTGCCCGAGAGTACATCTCTACCTCCGAACTCGAGCTTGATGACACCGATGCCAGCAATGCCGGGAGATCGGAGACTATAATTGAGGTGCCCGAGCCCCCTTCGCCAGAAGAAGAGGAGTTTGACGAGGACCTAGAGGCTGGTCCCTCAATCATTGCCAACATCCTGAGAAGATCTCCGCCAGAGACCAGGCATCCGATTGAAGCAGACGAGGATCAGTCACCAGCAAGACCTATGATGTCACCCTTCCAGGAGCGCCCAAGAACGCTGTCTCGCTCCAGTCGACGCACAACTGGAGAGCCTGAACAGAGAGGCGAGACGGAAACCTCGCCGTTGTTGAGAGGAAGATCGCGTAGTTCTCGATTGAACGGCACAGGAGGAGCCACTGATCTCGAAAGCCAGAAATCACCTGCACCCAAGAGCTGGCTGGGTGGTATGGTCGATATTACTGGTCACATGAAATCTAAGATGCATTCTGCTGTTGGGGTAGTTCAAAACCGTAAGCGCTGGGATCGAAGATCATTGTTCAATAGCATTGTCAAGGCACCGGCACTGGCCTTGCCTGCTGTGATCGTGGGCCTCATCCTAAACATACTAGATGCGTTATCTTATGGTAAGAAAGAATTTACTTTCACCAGTAATTGTTGCTTACTCGATCTTTAGGCATGATCTTATTTCCTCTGGGCAATCCGATCTTTGCTGGTCTTGGACCTGCGGGCATATCCATCTTTTACGTTAGCACAATAATCTCCCAAGTAATATTTTCCACGGGAAGTATTTTCAAGGGAGGAATTGGCTCCGAATTAGTGAGTGTAGAGAGACTTACTGCAACCTGAATAGCCGGCTGACCATTTCAGATCGAAGTAGTACCATTCTTTCACAGCATGGCAGGTACTATACAAGGGATCTTGGGGGATGAAAATCCTGAGGCCATCATTGCTACCACTATTGTCTGCTATTGTATAAGTTCCATGATCACTGGAGCTGTCTTCTTCAGCATGGGAGCGCTAAAGTTCGGCTACTTGGTTGGATTCATTCCTCGCCACATACTCATTGGATGCATTGGGGGTGTTGGTTGGTTCTTGATCCAGACAGGTTTTGAAGTCTCCGCTCGTTTGGAAGGGAGCTTCAGCTACGATCTTGATACACTGAAGATCATGTTCCAACCCGAGAAGGTTCCTCTCTGGATAATACCCCTTGCTCTGGCTATTATCCTATTCAACCTTCAGAAGCGATTTTCGGACAACAACCTTGTCCTTCCGCTATTTATATGCGCTGAGCCTGCTATCTTTTGGTTCTTTGTCTTAGCCCTTGATACCCTTAATCCGGCGCCACTCCGTAGCAGTGGGTGGATATTCGAGGCGCCGCCTGCCGATGAGCCATGGTGGTTCTTCTATACGTTGTTTCGTAAGTGCCCTTGCTACATCCATCACTGCCTCATGGGATTAACAACTTGATAGGATTTGATCTTGTCCACTGGGGTGCTGTTGCTGAATGCATCCCTGCTATGCTAGCGTTGACGTTTTTCGGTATTTTGCATGTACCAATCAATGTGCCTGCTTTGGCTCTTCAGACTGGTGAGGACCATGCGAACTTGGATCATGAGCTCAAACTGCACGGGTACTCAAACTTCCTGTCCGGGTGTGCTGGGAGTATTCAAAATTACCTTGTCTATGCTAACAGCCAGTTCTTCATCAAATCGGGAGGTAACAGTCGGCTCGCTGGATTCATGCTCGCTGGGCTTACTGTTGTTGTTATGATCACCGGACCCATCATCATAGGCTTCATCCCCGTTATGATGGTCGGCACTCTCATCTTTGTGCTTGGCTTTGAGCTTTTCCTGGAAGCTGTCTGGCTGCCCCGGAAGAAGCTCAAGTTTCTTGAATATATTACGGTTCGTGGGCCTAGAACCATGACACTGTTACTCTGGCTGACTCGAAGCAGGTAGTTGTTATTGTGCTCGTCATGGGCATCTACGACTTTGTGATTGGCATCGGTATTGGTATCTTGCTAGCGTTTGTATCTTTGATTTTCCAAACATCGAGGGTATCGGCAGTCACTGCCACCTATGCTGGTGATATCGTTGGCTCGACCGTCAGAAGAAACCCAACACAACAGCATTATCTAAAGAAAGTCGGACGGCAGATCTACTTGATCAAGCTCGCCGGCTTTCTTTTCTTTGGCACCGTTGTCACCTTGGAGGAGAAGGTCAGAGAACTCATCGCGGACAATGAATTTAGTCAACGGCCGATCAAGTACCTGATTCTTGACTTGCGTCAAGTTACAGGCCTGGACTACTCCGCGGGAGAGGCCTTCAACACTATCAGCCGGTTGCTCAAAGCTAAGCAAGTTGTACTTGTTTTAAGTGGCGTGGGTGAGGAAGACCCTATAGGCCGTGAACTACTCGCGGTCGGACTTGGATCTTCTGACAAGGACACACGTCTGATGTTCTGTCCGACTCTCAACTCTGCCTTGGAGAGTTGTGAGAATGAGTTACTGAAGACATTCTATACGAGTCAAGATGCCGTTCAGACAGCTCATCCTAAGCCCACGGACAGTCTAGATGTTCCCGGGAAGAAGTCGCTCTCGCCGGCTTTGGACCTAATATCTAGTTCTCCGCGTCGCAGTCACCTTCACGCAGCCGCGAGAGAGTCTCTGACACCTAACGAAGTGACACGTTTATCTCGTTGGCAGAATTTCAAGGAACCCATCCGGCTGATGCTGCAAATTTTCCAGGACCTCAGCGACAAGAATGAGGACTTCTGGGTTCGAGCAAAGGATTATTTTGTGAGACGAGAGCTATCCGAAGGCGAGATCGTCTTCCGCACCGGGGAGGAACCCAATGGGTTCTTTCTCGTGGAACAGGGAATCCTGCGAGCCGAGTACAACCTGCCTCAGGGCTGGCTGTGCGAGAGCATCGTAGCAGGAACCACCTGCGGCGAGCTGCCATTCTTCTCGGAAACCAAACGCACGGCCACGGCTCTAGCAGAACGAGATACAGTTGTTTGGGAGATGGACAAGGAAAACTGGGACAAGATGCAGAAGGAGGAGCCGGATGTGGCTCAAGAATTGCTGCGAATCTCGCTGAAGCTCACGAGCGAACGGATGAGCAGCATCACCTCGTATGTGTTGACGATGGCAGGATGATCGACGCTCTGCAGTTGCAACAATGTTAAAAGTGCTTTCTGGCGTGGATGGGTATCTAAGACAGAACATGTCTAACAGGGACGACTTGGTTTGGCGTATTAGTCGAAGAGTGTTGACGGAGGGCAATTTGGAAAACCATAGCATGGCATACAGTCAGAGCGACGCACATTTGAACCGCGTTTGTATAGCATCTTGAAGAAGTTAAATAGACTAACGGCCATATCAAACTGGTACGTAACAAGAAACTTGCGGCTCGACCATGCCTTGACGATGAAAGCAAGCTGCCGTGATTTAGCTGCCCTTAGCCTGTATGGAGAGGGGCAACAGTGACAAGTTCCACTATTGCATTACAGTGGGGTTGGTCGCCACTACACGCCCTTTGCTTAGCCTGGTCAACTGAACCACATGCGAGTAAGTCCCGTCTCAGTGCAAGCTTGCAAGGCTGACTCTTCTCACTTACATCTTTGTCATGTTGCCGCAAACTGCTACACTGTTTTACAGGCCGTTATAACAGTGACAATGAGCTTACGGTCTATACTAGGAGGGTCGAGCCGGGTGAAGAAGCCTTCAAAACCGCGCAGCACAAGCAGGTCGCCGTCGTCGTCGTGGTCAGACTCTCTGCCGCGGACCAAGGCTGGAGGCGGGAGTAGTAACGGTGGCAAGAAGAAGAAAGCCGCCAACAGAGACAACGAAGACGAGGAGGACTTCTTCGGCGACAAGCTTGACGACTATGGTCTTGTCAAGATCCTGGCGACGGACCTGACGCTTCGCGACGTACCGCAGGCGATGCGCTACAGCCGCGAGCGCATGTTTACGCCCATGCCGGAGCAGGGCGCGGGCATGAGCTCGACGCGCATCACCGAGGTGCTCAACTTCCGGAGGCGCCTGCCGCCTGTCACCACGACGGCGCACTTACAGGCGCTGCTTCTATCGCCGACTGCGGTCGAGCGCGAGACAGCCGAGCTGATCCGCGCCGGCACCGTGCGGAAGATTGTTGTCCTGCGGCGTGGCGGGGTCGGCGAGTCTTTGGTGCAGTTTTCGGACCTGGAAAGGATGCTCAAGGACAGCAGCGGCGTTGATGAAGAGACCAAGGAGGCGTTTCTGATGTTTCTAAAGGAGAATCCCGCGGCGCAGAAGGTGCCGCGTGCGAGGCTTCCGCCACGCCAGGCAGACCAGCTGGTCAGGGCCGGTTTCCTCACGGCGCACTTGCACCATGATGTGGGCACCATTACGGGGACGTTCTCAAGAGCTGAGGACAGGGGCACGATGATCTCACTCGCGACAGTGTCCCGGGCCGCATCTGGCTCTCTTGAAGCCGTGGGCGGCCAGGGGGCTGTGCATGCCGCGGGCGGAACAGGCGGTGGTTCCGGCGGCGCGTCCGGAGGGGAAGTCGGAGACCTATCACTTGCGGTCCCCGGCAATGGTACATTTCTGAAGCTGGTCTCTGCGGCATTGGCTCACCTGACCTCCATACTTGCTAAGGCGCCGTACAAAGAATGCCCCGAGACCATGCTAAAGGAGAGATGGGATGGAGGTGTTGCCAAAGATGAGGCAAGATTTGCAGCCAAGAAGGAACGCCGGGAGTTTGTTGGAATTCTACCAGGACGGACCAGAAAGTGGAAGGAATTCTATGGTCTGTCTTTTGAATGGATTCTCCATGAGGCCGTAGGGGCTGGCTTGATTGAAGTCTTCGATACTAGGAGTGTCGGCCGAGGTGTGCGTCTGGTTTGACAGGGAGAAATGGAAAGTGAAGACAAGATACTTGGTTGAATCATATGCCATCTAGTAAGACGGGGCATAGTTCAACCTGCAAGGTGCACAGAGGCATGTTTAGACGACCGAGAATATTCCGTCGGATGGATGGTTGTCTTAGCTGCGAGTCGGGGAGGAGGAGCCTCGAGAGAGCAACTCCTCGCGTCGCCTGTGCATCTGTGGCGTCGCGATTGTTTGACTTTGGCCCCGGCCCAAGGCGAACGGTCGACGTCAATACTGGCGTGTTATTTGCGGGTGACAAGGACGCCCCCAGAAGGGCTTACTTGCACAGCATGTCCCGTACATGCTCCCTGCGTCCGTGGTTTGTTTCGAAGTCTTGGACATGGGTCAGGCCCCAGGCGCATCTCTAGGATCTAAACATTGACCACTATACTTACGTCTCTAGTACTAGTCTGGAGTAAAGAATGTACCTTGATTAGACTGATATACTGGCTGACTCGACTGATGTCTTACATGTGCTCCGTCTTTGTCCTCTGTGTCTTGTAGGATTCTATGAACTGTGACAGACTCATCGGAATTAGAACCTGCGACAATCCATTGGGATGTGGGGGGAATAGAGTGACGCAAGGAGACGGTGGAATTCCTGGAATCGAGATAACGAAGACGGGTTCTCGCGATACCGTCTGCAAGGCTCCAGGTTAGCCTTGCTAAAGCTCAGGTAGAGAGCGTTTGATCTCCGCACGTCAGTGCGCGGAACTGTTCTTCGCCCAGAGAAGGAGGCACAGGAGCCTGGAATACTGTCTTTCTGACATATGAAATCACGGAGCATCTTTCTCGAATGCGATCTCTTAGCGATGCATGGGAAGCACCAGTGCTCTGCTATTGCAGTAGTCTGATGTGGTGCGACTGCATTTGCATGCATGCACGTTCTTCACACGAATCGGGAGTTGTCCCCTCGATTAGTTGTAGACGAGCCGCCATAGCAAGTCAAGCCGGCGATCTCCTCCCCAGAAAGATCCAGCGTGAGTCGTTGCGGAGTTCTTTGCCATTGAACTCATAGAACAATCTAGTCGAGAAAGCCTTGCCGTAGTTAAAGTTGTTTGTAGTAGATGTTTCTTGAAACTCTCGTGTGCGCGGGTTGAAGATCACTCTAAATCTTGATGTAGAACCGCGTGCGAACGTTACCGTCCCAGGAGGATCAATCGGCACTCGGAATGGGTTGTTTCTCGAACAAACCCAAAGCTTAGCAAGCTCGGTAGCGACGTGCGGTGGCCAAAGGATACTTGCCGTTTGAGAAACGCATTGATCCCGCTTTCATATGCATATGGTCCATTCACTAATGTGGTAAATGGACCGCGATTAGGGGCGACATAGCCATTGCTGATTAGACGATTTACCCATATTCAGGGGATCATATATGTGCTTCGCAGGTCTGCAGGTTTCAACGACATATCTTATGAAGCATGAAGCTAGTCTTTTATCCCAGGCTCCGAATATGGGAAATTCAGACGCAGGGTCAAGCACACCGAGTGCTGAGCATTTAATATCATATATTTTGCGCGATTGCCAAGGTTATTTGGGCGTATGAGTTACTATGGAGTGTTCGCAGGTGTAATGGGTGTGTCTGGGCTTAGGCAGTGCCGGGTCTCATGTACATAATTTGCGACGTTGTATCAAGGCGATCTTGGAATCCAAGTTCGAGAATGAAGACGGCTGTGGATTAGAAGCGGCGCAGAAGTCGATTTCGTGCAGCATGGCGAGACACGGTCCCGATGTCTCTCTACTGTGGTTCATCGTGATTCACCTGGCTCTCTCCTCCCTAGGGTTGCACTTCGGGGCCCACCTGGTAAAAAAACCCCAGTACACTCTATCTACTCTACTGTAGTAGCGGACGTCAAGGTTTGGTCCGGCCAAATGTTTTGGCAGTAGTGATTGCCTCCGTCAAACATTTCGACTCTAAAATTGTTCCAGTCTACAGAATAGTGATAGCTCTGGCGTTGAAGGCATCGACAGTCGCCATGAGAACACTGCCTGCCATTGGCAACTTCCGACAGCTAGCGGGCTGCCAGAAGCCGAACATCCAGGGACCGAACTATCATGGAGGCTGGTGTGTAATAATCCTTGTACATATGTGCACGGACACCCGCCGTCTGCACTGTTGCTTTTTGTACGGTCTGGTGGTGTGGTGTGGCAGTCTTGGAGCGAGGGAGACCTGGGGGGAAGAGTAGTGCCGGCCGAAATTACAATGTGCCTCTCGACTTCAGGGCTGACGCCGTTTATTCGAAGGGGCGAGAGATTGCTCGGTGTATTGTGGCTTCGACGTCTCGTCTCAGCTATCTGTTACGTGACGCCTCACCCAATTAACAGACAGAGTGGCGGCCACATGATGTCTCACTCATCGGTTTTAGAGTCCTTGAATCCTGGGGGAATACTAGAGCGGGTTGTGAAATGTGAGATCAGCGGGATGAGGAGATGACAGTCGTCGAGAGTGGCACGCGGCGCGCCGACTGTTTACCACAATCATCATGGCCGTGACGATTCTGCTCAAGCTGTCGACGACGCTACTGTAGGTTGGCACCATTGGACCTGCATGCTGCAGTCTAAATGCTCAATGGTGGTGTATGCGACCCTCTGATTTTCCTCAGTCCCCACGGTTTGTGACGGAGAAGAAAGGGGTTACGATAGACTAAGCCACGGTTGATAAATAGGAGCATAGACCAGAACTCCAGCGGGCGCGATAGAGGTTTTCGAAAGAGGGGCACTTTGATACTTCCGAGTCAAGTCGCCCTCGCCATGCTGAAGGCGTGCTAGGAACAAGCCGTGAAGAAAGACAAGACGCCCCGCGGGGCCGGGACGCATCCGTAGAGAGGTTCCTGAGCGTTCAGCACGTCGTTGGTTGTGTAGCGGGAGCCACATGAGCAGCCATGCAAGCTCTCTGGATGCTCATTTGTTCCTTGCAGGAGCCCGGCCGGAAGAAGGCTACGGCAGTACCTCGTGGTGGAGTACCTAGGCGAGGAGGGACGAGTATCTTGCTATTGCCCCCTTCTCGAACCCTGGACGGCCCCTACATCCCCTGCTCACTTAATCAGGTCTAAGGTGACGTTGCAGGGATTCTGCAGGGGCCGACAGACGGTCCCCCAAATTGCTGCTCGCAGAAAAGGGAAAGAGTTGGACATCTCGAGTCCAGGAGAGGTCAAGGCTCGCTGTGCCCAAGCAATGGATGGCAGGCTTCGGTCGATGGTGGATACACTCCAGTCTTGACTCGCGGATGAGGCATGGTACGGGTGCGACTCGTCAACTGAACCTGGGCTGGGCTGGCCTGGTGGTGAGTAGAGTTTGGTTCGGTCTACACTACGAAGATAGGAGGAGTCAATCACTCAGTCTAATCAGTCAGGCCAGGACCGTAGAAGGGGGACCGGGGAACGGAGGAAAAACAGGCACATGAATGAGGGAAGATAATGTAGATTGAGGAAAAATTCCCAGACCATCCCCTTCCTCCTCCTTCACACCCGGAATTGTGAATAGAGGCAGGTTTCGTCCTATTCAAGAACAGTTCACCTTCTGCGCGGGGCCATCCGCAGCTGCCGTTCTTGACTTTTTACCTTAATCTTTGTTCATTTGTGCTGTAGCATTCCTTCCTTCCTTCCCTTACCTCTTACCTTGCTTTACCGTACCTTCCTTGCCTCGAGAGCTCCCGGGGGTACCTAACTTACCTACCTGCTACTTGATTTGACTTCCCGTGTTGCAGCTTCCTCCAGCGTCTGTGCTACCATTGGTTCAGGCAGGTTCAACGGCCAGCAAGCTACAACCGGGACGCTTGTCTCGCCCGCCCACAGTCCCTCGCATCCACCTCGTCATCCCTTTCCCACTGTCTCTCTATCGATTCAACACACCAACGACCGTTGCCGCTACAAGATCTTGGAGCTTCGCGTCGCGGGCTGATCTTTGTTCGACTCGTGCACCCGTCCTTCAAGCTGGTTGTGCGCGCGATCGCCTCTAGTTACACTCATTGAATCAACCCTCGATACATACGATACTAAATTGGAACCGAGCCGGCACGCCGCGCGTTTTTCTCTTTGTTCTATTCGTATCCGTCGCCCACGGTCGATCTACCCACGAGCCGTTTGACACCACTGCTTCAGGTTACGGGGGAGGAAGAAGCAACGTCTTCCTACAGCTGCAAATTACCCACGCGCAACTAGCTGCCCTTGTGTTCTCACAGTTTGCTTTTTGCGGTTCCAAAAGCAATTCTACGAGCGCTTGGAAGGGTCCCTGCGTCAGAAACAAGCATAGGTGCGAGCTTGCCGACCTGAAGTCAACAGCGCAGATCAGCCACTGTTCCTTCAAATCACTCCTTGACGGCGGCGCTTCCACGAGTTTGTCCGCTTCGTGATTTGAGGAACAGGAGCATCCCTTTACTGTCTAGAACAACTCCAAACAGTCTAGGAACCACTGTATGTACTAATACCATGTTCGTCTCCAGTTTGTGTGGTTTTGTTTCCTGGCGCATTTGGAACCCTGGTTGGGCTCTAATTTGTTATCATGCTGTTTCCCAGCTACTTTTCCTGTAATTCACTTCTAATACTCAGCACTGACAGGTTTTGCACAGTTGTCGACTTCTGCTGGGCAACGTCCGGGCGCTGTGTCGCATAACAACGTTTCACCACCCTGGTACAACAAATTCTGGTTCTAAGCCCCAATTCTATTCCCGGTGACTCTCTGCGGGGGTTCTTGGGACGAAATACAACCCTCCCCAGATAAGGCATTGAACAACACCGTTGATCGACCCCTTCTCCCGGTAACCCCTTATGAGTTGATGGACCAGGCCGGCACTACCCTCGATAACTGAGCTTCGCGGGAGCGGTTTAAGTTTGCTGGTTTCCGGCTACCACTACCTAGGTAGGGCTGCATTCTGGACAACTTTGCATCAGACTCAAAAATGTCGACTGCGTTGCCCAGACCGGCCCGTCCGTCCAACGGACCGCCCACGGTGGCGCTTCCCGCATTACCTGTCGGGAAGACAAGAAAAAGCACTGGAGGGCTCGCGATACCCGCCTCTAAATCGACACCGAGTACTCCAAAGAGTGGGCTACGGGCCCCCTCTACTACATTTTTACCTCCTGCAACTCCTGCGCCCACTACGGCCCTCCCTCAGCCACGGTCCGTCTCCAGTGTCGGTGGTCCTACCGGAGGCAAGACGATACGAAAAGTAGTGAGCATCAACTCCTTTCCGCAACCGCCCAGAGGAGATACGAGGATCACGAGCCTCCCGCCGAGCCCGCTATCAAATGGCGCTTCAAATCGCAAATCTAAGACTCCTACCACCCCGAACTACCATTTGAGTGGAACACCGAGTTTGCTAAATGGAACTGGAGAGGGCAAGTCCGTCGCAAGAATGTCTGACGGTCTAATTAGTGTGTCATCTCCACCACAAAGTCGGAGTTCGTCAGCACAAGACTCGTACTCGACATCGGCAACTCAGTATGATGATCCCGTTGATGGCATAAACCCGAAGGCGGCAGCAGACTCGTCCAAGCGGCTCTCCAAGCCTGACGGTAAAGGTAACGTCCTTGTCAGTGTAAGAGTTCGACCGGACGCTGGCAGCCAGGACCGCAAGACTGAAGGCGAATGGATGGTCGATGGACGCAAATCTCTCATTGCATATGGCGGCAAGGAAGGAGGCGACTACTATTATGGTAAGCGACATACTTTCGGTGTCTTTGACAAATTTGGCTAATGAATTATTACAGATAATGTTTTCTCGACTCACGATGATAATTCAAGAGTATATGACCACATCGCAAAGCGGCTAGTCCGCCGAGTCATGGAAGGCTACCATGGAACTGTGTTTGCATACGGTATGACCGGCACAGGCAAAACATTCTCCATGCAAGGCACAGCCTCGTCTCCTGGTGTGATCCCTCTCGCAATCACCGATATCTTTTCGTACATTCGAGAGACGCCATCACGCGAGTTTCTTTTAAGAGTCAGCTATCTTGAAATTTACAATGAGAAGATCCACGATCTCCTCAGTATGCCAACAACAACCGGGCTTCCCGGGGGAGCAGCTCAGGAAGAAATCAAACTTCGTGAAGATAGCAAGCGAGGAGTTTACGCCAGTCCACTGAAGGAAGAGATTGTCCAGAGCCCTACCCAACTGCTACGAGTTATCGCTCGTGGCGACCAGGCTCGCAGAACAGCGAGCACACAATTCAACGCCAGGAGTTCTCGAAGTCACGCAGTGGTCCAAATTGTTGTAGAGAGCCGAGAACGCATTCCAGGCAATGCACCGGGCGAGAACAAACGCCAAGGCTTGCTGCCAGGCGGTGTCCGTGTCTCAACGCTGAGCTTGATTGATCTTGCTGGGTCAGAAAAAGCCGCTGAGACGAAAGAACGACGGACGGAAGGCTCTCACATCAACAAGAGCTTGCTTACCCTCGGAACGGTCATCGCTAAGCTATCAGACTCGAAGGACAAGGATGGCAAGCCTGCTGATAAGGATGGCAAGCATCTTCCTTACAGAGACAGCAAATTAACTCGACTGCTCCAAGGAGCATTGTCCGGCAACTCTCTTGTTAGCATTCTTTGCACAATACAGATTGGATCCGCCGGTAGTGCTGCCACTGCCAACAGTCATACCACTGAGACCATTAACACACTGAAATTCGCATCACGAGCGAAAAACAACATTGTGAGCCATGCTAAGCGTGCAGAGGAGGCTCTCGGTGCCGGTGGTGATGGTGGAGCAAGAGTACTACTCGAGCGATATCGCATGGAGATTGTCGAGCTGAGACAGCAGCTTGATACTCAAGCCAAAGACAAATCCAAGAAGGAAGATGAAGAGGAGAAAGTTCGTGATGTTGAGGAAGAGAAGGCCCGCGAGAAGGAGGCCGAGCACCGGCACGAGGAGCAAATGCTTGAGATGCAGCTCGCACGGACGGCATTGAAGGAGCGTATCGACCACCTCAACAGGCTGATCCTCAGCTCTAAATCTATCGGTGTCAACGCTAGTGGGACTTACAGTTCGCTAGGGATGCATCCACGATTTTCTCAGGCATCAGCCCGGTCGTCGATGGCCACCTCGACTAGCGGCAGGCCGTTGCTGGAAAGATCAGCATCAATGACCTCGTCCTCGTCTACTGTGGGTCGACGATCGAGTGGTCAAAGAATGTCGAGCAGCGGCGAAGCCACAATGGCGGATGATGAGGACAGTCTGGGCGAGTTTGGTGACGGCACAGCATCGCTTACTGCGCAAAATCGGGCTCTGCAGGCTGATCTTGTGGATAAAAATCGATACATCGCGACCCTCGAGAAGCGTCTTTTGCAGGCGCGTCGTGCCAGTTCATCTCGCACGTCAGTCGGTCTGTCAGAACGGAACAAGGGTATCATGGTGGGCGAGGATCACAGCGTAGCAACCGTTCTTAAGGAGAAGGATGCTGAGATTGCCGAACTGCGAGCCCGGCTGGACGATAAGGATCGTATGCTCGCAGCACTACGAAGCGCTGCGAGATCGAGAGATAATGCTGACCGAAACATCGAGTCGAGATCTGAGGTGCGTGCATCTCAGGTCATCGAAAGCAATCCGCCTCAGCCCCAGGCTAGCAGCCCTCCGTCAAGCTCTCTTACCGGGCAATTCTCTGAGTTACGCAAGAGAACAAAGAGCGTGGACGAGATGAGCCGCATACTCGACGAGATGATCCAGGATCGGGTTGAGACTGGCCAGATTGTTCGAGGAAACAGGGGCAGCGTGAGAGTGGCCAGTGATCGAAAACACGACACTCTGACAGAGCCCAAGCGACTAGAGCCACTGAGGCAGAGTCCAATCGACCCTCAAATGATGGCTGTCGAAGTGTAAACCTATTTTTTCTTTTGATATCGGGGTTCGGCGTGTGTATTGGCAAAGCGGTCATTGTAATGACGTGTTATGGGTTCGAACTTGCTTCCAGGTGGTCAAACGGAGTTTGGTGGATATGTTCTGTTTCTGGCCGCCTGTCTTATACCCGACATATTTGTGTTTGTTTGATACAATCAAGACTGCAGAGAGCCGTGGTCTCAGTTGCAGCACGGGAAAGGGGGGTTTGTATGATAATGTAGTTGAGACAGGAGGCGGGAGACGGCCACTTCACAGATCAGGTTCTTCAAAGAGCTACGATGAGATGGCGATTAAAAGTAGCAGATATTATTCTCTAATAGCACGCCGCATGGCATTGAACTCCAAGCAAGTAATCCATTATTGGTGATCAGGAGCGGACACCTGTGCGGGACCATGCTCGTTTCCTCCATGGTGTTTGTTCACATGCCAGTGTACCTAGGTAGTCCAAAGATATCAAATTAGACAACATGGACGGCCAAGTGCACCGAGTCTATTTACCGAAGGCCGGGCAGCTACATGTACTCTAGAAGGCGTATGGGGTGTAAAGAATCCGAGATGTTCAGCCCAAAGACGAGTCGTCTATTCTTGGATGATATACGGGACAGTTTGTGCCCGGCGGACGAGTGGCATGCCACCTATTTTGCCATATTGCCCGTCTTACCCTCGACCAGGTCAGAAGTCAGCCACATAGCGACTGTGGGCAAACTTTACCGGGTGCTACCGCGGACGGTCGTGGCCGTCGTCGAATCGGCCGTTTGCCACTCGACCCACGTACTATATACGTAGCTCTGCTGACAACGGCTTGAAGGCTTGATGTCGGTGGCTCTTTGCTGCGTACCTGGGCGGGTTGGTGGAGGTCTTGTCTCACAGAACAGCCTTAGCTTCGGTGCTCTCCTGCACCATTAGTAGGCTTCATAGAATTCAGCAAGTCGTCGTAGAGCGTGGCTAGAGAAGTATGTACTCCAGTACTATGATGGAGCACTGCGTATGTGAGCGCGTGAGGCGAAGCCAACGACGGGCCCAGGGACCAATTCAAGCGGGCAGCGGCTTGATCCTCCCCTCGGGTCGGTCTAAGGTTGGTGCCAGCGGAACCCAGGACCCCGGGCCTTGCCTGCCTGGCTGCTGCTGCTGCTGCTATACGGTGGAGTAGACGGGGCGTCCCTTGTCTGTTTGGCGTGGTGATGGGCACTTTAGGTCGTTTCAGAAGCGACAGGGGTCAAATAGGGATTTCCCTCTTCCAACCACCACCAGCGAACGCCAATTCTGTTGGTCGTCGTCCTGCAGAGATGTGACCGCTACTGTAGCTTGTAGCTATTTACTCCCTCCCGCTCCAACACAGTTCACGGCGTGCTCAGCATTCCGTCCACTCGCTGATCCGTTTTCCCTCCCGTGCGAGTGCTTGCTGCTACCTACACACGCTACAGTACCTATAGGTATTCTGAAGAGATCCATTCCTGTGCCTGCTGCCGCCTCTACATTCTGCAGGCCTGACGCCCTGCAGGAAAGCATGCGCTTTTCGGGCCTTCGAGAACTTGCGAGCCAGTCACGGCGTCAGATGAGGCGTGCGAGATCCTTGGGCCGGGCAAGCCAAAGGCGCCGCCTTCTGTGTTGGGTTGGTTGGTCCCAACTCGCGTCGTCCGTCACGGGCCGTTAAGGTCGAGGTAGAAAGACGCCCACTTTACAATGGTACCACCACCATCGTACGCTCCGCAGGATACTTGCCACTACCTTCCTACCTTCTCATCAGGGACAGATATTCCAACAGGAAAAGGGGCGGCTTTGCGGGGACCGCGGGGACTGGAATTAGCTCTGCGACCCTGCGACCCTGCGATGTGATGCGATGCGATCCCGCGTTGTCTCTCGTCTCTTCTCTTGCCCCTCGTTCCCCTCTATCATCATCGTCATTGCTCGTAGTCATCATGATGTGCGTTTGTGGAACAGAATGGCCCAGGTGCTGCTGATGCTCTGTCTCGTTCATGCGTGTGCCATCTGACCGCCCTCCGGCCTCCCACTGACAAACCCAATGGCATTTGCAGAGCGCCTGTGCGTGTACAAGACTGACACAGCTGCTCCCGTTTTCCTGTATCTCTTATTCTGTGACCCCCGGCATATATGATCGCCGCCCAACGACCAGTCAGTTCCCGTTGTGCCATGCTGCTTGAGTTTCCTTGAAGCTCGTCTCCCTCTCATTTTGCCTCTGTTTGCGTTCCTCAACTGAACAGACGGGTCCTTGCTCTTGAGCACAGCATCTCTTTCAAACTACTGACGATTGCCTCTTACGACTCATACTCGACCAGGAGGGCGAGTCGTCACTGTGTCACCGTTGAGCGAGCCGGTGGTTGAGCAGAAGTGCCCTCAGACTCCGCGAGCCAGTGCCAGCCTGCCCATGCTCAAGTCAGCGATGGTGGAGAGACGGCCTGTTGCAAATTGAAAGCTCATCTTGCTCGAGTCCACGAGACCCCGAAAAACCCCTTGATTCTCACCCTGGTCGGGGCCCTTGCAGGTATCCTGGTGGATCGTCGCTAACACGCTGCCATGCGACAGCCCATTTGAATAACTTTGGCCGTTATCCCCCGCGTTTCCCTTGGGTGCTCTATCGCCGGGTTTTTTTCCCTTCCCTTCCACCTTGCACGACGCTGCGCTGTGATGTGCTGAGCTGTGCTGTGCTGAGCTGTGCTGTGCCTGCCACTCGGTGCTCACTCATACGGCCGGCCGGCCCACCTGGGGATTGGGGATCGTCGACCATCCCAAGCGAGAAAATAGGGGACGCCGCACCTTCTTTTGCCGTTCCTGGATCTTGTCAGGATCTGACCAGTGGACCGGGCCCGTTGACAGGACGGACTGGGCGGAAGAGGGGCACTGAAAGTGGGCGAATGACGTCCTGTACAGCTCCTTTGGGAAGCGATCAGAGAGACAGACCCTCTTAAGTGCTCCTAACCTCAGCGGCGGTCAGGCCCCAAAAGGGCCCTTCTCACCCTTCTTACCCTTTGCATAGCGGATTATCGATTGCGATGCGCACAACCGCCTGCCTCTGACAGGCTCCGGCTGTGAGATTCGCATCGTTAATCACACCTTAGCGGCTTGCCTCTCCTTCCCTTCCTCGGCTGGTCCAGCTTCTCAGACTCTTATTACGTGACAGTAGAGCCTTTTCTACTTAGTTTTAAGCATATGACTGACTTCGGTCCCCAACGGCGCGGGCTGTCTTGACTTGACTGGACTGGACTGGACCGGACTTCACCTGTCTTGCCTCGTCAGGACTCAGGGCGACTGTGTGGAAAACTCTACACAACCTCGTTTTTTCGAGGAAGAAATCTCTATTTCTCGAGATCTTCTCTTCGGGATTAGAAACAACTTCAGTCGTCCCATTGACTTGGGATGTGACACTGTCACCAAAGTGTCCTTGGCCTTGGCTGGCGCCCACCACCATCACTCCTTTCAATATACACACACAATACACATACACACTCCTTTAGTACATACATACCTGCATTTTCACTTTCCCACACAACGAGAAACAGGTCAAGATGCCGCCCACTCTTGACCTCAGTCGCACTTCGCACTCCAAGATGATTGTCTCGCCGCCGCGGATCAACCTGAGGAGGGCAGCATCATACACTAAGGACGGTGGTCCTCTCTCCTCAACCTCGTCACGCTTCGGCTTTAACCATCTCATCTTCGCCTCACCACCGCCTTCTCCCGGCCTGCCCCAGCTCGTGCCAAGGCCCAGGAAACCTTCCAACACTCCGCGCCCCAGTCGCGTGTTCCGCTTCGTCTTCTGGCTATGTGGGGTTCTTCTACTATTCTATCTCGCCGTGTCCTTCGTCCGGCAGGGTCATGTTGTCCCTATCATGGGCTGGGCCAGCCATCCTCACGATGAGTATGAGATGGTGGCGCAAGATGACCTGCCGGACTTTCCTACCCCGATTGTCATCACTGACAAGCGAGGGAGGGCCAAATGGACCGTGTCTATCCCGCCCACTTACGGCTTCCCGCTGAGCCTGGAGGAGTCAGCCGACGTTGTGGCAAAATGCGGAGAGGTCTCTCAGAGAGTAGACGCTCTGCATCACAACGGCCACAGCATATCCGACATCAGCCTTGTTGGCAGCGAGCACAAGGATCGCTACTTTTTGGACGTCCAGGAGGCGGAGGAGAAGGGGTTCCTGTCTGGCAAGCCAGAAAAAGCTCAAGCTGCTATGGGCGAGAAGCCTGTTTGCCAGAAGAGTCTCACGTACGTGTTGGAGTCGGCAGATGCCGGCTTCGGGAGGACGTTGATGACCTTGTGGATGGCGTACGGCCTAGCCCAAAAGGAGGGCCGCGCATTCTTCGTGGACGACACCCGGTGGGCCTACGGAGAGTACAGCGCGATATTCGACCCGCCTCCCGTCCCAGCGTGCCGGCCGCCGCCTCATCATGAGATGCTGTTGTGTCCCCGGCAGGCCCGCCATCTGGTGGTCTCATCGGCAAACACTAAAACTGTCTTCGGCGATATGTTTGGCGAGTCGGATGATGATATCCACTCAAACCAGAAGGCCATGTTCGAGCTCGCTCATCAAGGCTACAAAGCCTTGTTTCATCTCAACCAGATGGATCGTGAATACGTTGTCAATCGTGTCCAAGAACACAAGGCGAAAACCCAGGCCGCCGAGGGGCATGCTCACAATGGAGTAATCGTCGGCGTACATGTCCGTCATGGAGATCTCCACCCGTCGGAATACCAGTACCACGGGTCATACATTCCCACAAACATTTATACTGAGCGAGCGCGCGAGATTCTGAACACCACCTTTGAGCTGCGCGGCGCCCATAGAGGCGAAGACAAGGTGGCAAAGGACCACTCTCTCCTCGTCCTCGCATCTGACGACCCCATGGTCTTCGATTCTGAGGAGTTCCGCGGCGCGACGCCAGCACAGGAGCTCATAAGGCTTGCTAGCAAGACCACCATTCAGCAGGTCAACCCCGACAGATCTGTTATGCACAAATATGTCGACGAGACCTTTGGTTGGGAAGGTGGCTTCTTCGCTGCCATGTTTTGGAACCTGGGCTTGTCCAGCGAGAGCGCAGTCAGCGCTAACAAATCTCCCGAGGCGAAGAATGTTCCTTCGTCTGAGACCGTGCGGCTGCGGAGCTTGGTCGGGCGAGCCTACATGATGGACCTCGCGGTCCTGGCTGATCTGAGCGACGTGGTGATATGTACAGTAAGCGCCATGGGCTGCCGGCTGCTCGGCGTCATGATGGGCTGGGAGCGCGCCATCCACCATGGCAATTGGGTCAATGTTGACGGACATTTGGAGTGGTCCGGCGTTGCCTGGTGATCGGATCACCAGGTTGGCTAGGCCACGCTTGGCATCGTACAGGACAGGATAGAAATAATACTGGATTACCATTCACATATTTGCATCGAAAACGGCGTTGAGGGTTTGTGTGAACAGCATTTGAACAGGGGAAGGGGCGAAACCATGATACCAAGACGCAGAAAAAGTTTCACTATGTACAGAAAGATCATTCGCATGCATGCATGTATATGCCAGAGATATACTGGCTCACATTACGTTCGCTCAATGGGCGGTCGAGAGATAATACCACAATCGTTGCTGATCACAACATGAATGAGCTCTTTACAAGTGCTAATAACTGGGTCTGTTCTCGTGAATATTGTCTATGCCGAGGAATGGCTTGCATATGATGTCAACCTACCCCGCTGCTGAGTCTTCGCCTTAATATTAAAATGATAAGAACGATTCATTAGGCCTGGAGGCCATCGTTGTTCTACGTGAGTGAGGTCTTCCCAGGCAATTCTGGGGGAGGTGCGCCGCCTTGCCTAAACGGGACGACTGGGATGCTGTGATTGGATGTTCTATAGTGCGCCGTCTGCATTGGGTATAGATTACGAGCCCTTTCCCACCACCCGCACTGGATGCAAGCCAGGCCTTCACAGATCTGGAAAAGGGGATGGCATTTCTTGAGATCTCGGCTACCATTCCCCAGGTTCGTTAATTTCTGAGGAAACGGTAGACACGCTATGAGACGGAAAACCCGGGGTCGACCCGCGCCGGAGCTCTTGTGAGTATGTCATAAAGGGGCCAAGACCTCGAAGGGAATCTGGGAAGCACTCTTCTATTTCTCGTCTGTCTGATTTTTCCCGGTGTAGTTCGTAAAATCATTGTCATGGGCATCTCGTTGTTCTCTCTGGCACATCTGGCACAGCTGCCCTTGGCCTTGGCTGCTAAGACCTGGACAGTTGGGCAGACCGTAAATACCACAAGTGGTCTGCTGCTTGGCCATCCATCAGAGTGGGCGCCGGACGTCTCTGAGTATCTCGGAATCCCCTTTGCGCAAGCACCGGTGGATAGCCTCCGCTGGGCAGCCCCCGTACGGTACTCCAGCACGGCTTCCTTCAATGCGTCAGACTTCGTAAGTGGCGACTCGTCTCCCCTGAAACATTCGGGCAGTCGCCTCTTTCCATACTGACCATCAATGTGACCACAGGGCAACACGTGCCCACGGCTAGGCGGAAACGTCCTCAATGCTACGAACAAGGCCTTTGCGAATGTGACGAACGTGGGCGCCGCGATTCTCGGCCTCCAAGGCGCGCCGAACGACACTTTCTCTGAGGACTGCCTGACGGCGAACGTCTGGACGAAGCCGCAGACAGGCGATGCCTCGAAGCCGGTGATTGTCTTCATACATGGTGGCGGGTTTAGCTCAGGAGCCTGCACGAACCCCTTCGAGTCGGGAGCAGTCTTTGCGGATGAGCAGGATGTTGTGTTTGTGACTTTCAAGTAGGCACCTTCAGACAATGGAGTTCAATACTAAGGCCAACACTTGATACATATGGCTTGGATGTACTGACACATCACAGCTACCGTCTCAGCATTTTCGGCTTTCCGGGCCATACCAACACGGACAAGGTGCCATATAATCTGGGCCTCCTCGACCAGCGCCTGGCGGTCGAATGGGTCCGCGACAATGTCAAGGCCTTCGGCGGCGACCCTTCCCGCATCACACTGTTTGGCTCGTCGGCCGGAGCCGCGAGTGCCGACTATCACTCATATGCCCACGTCGACGAGCCCATCGCCTCCTCGTTCATCCCGGCCTCGGGCACAGTCACAGCCTTCGGCGCCATAACATCTCAGGCCGCGGCAGAGAAGTGGTTCGAGGTGAGCAAGACGCTCGGTTGCGGGGGCAGCTCGGCGGGCGTGGACGACGTGCTGGCGTGCATGCGCGGGAAGTCGACGGGCGAGGTGATGGCGGCGATCCCGCCCGTGACGGGCTTCTCGGCGGTGCAGTCCTCGTTCACCGCCACGGTCGACGACACGCTCGTCTTTGCGGACTACTCGGACCGGACGCCGGCCAAGCTGCCTCTGCTCATTGGGAGCAATGACGCCGAGGCGGAGCTGTTCGAGGTCACGTCTGCGCTGAAGGGCAAGACGTTTGGCGGCTCATTCTGGGCGGGCGTCACCAACGCCATATTTACGTAGGTTACGGCGTGAGACAGAGCTGTGCAATAGGCTGACTATAAGTCCAAGGTGTCCCGTCGCATTACGTGCCAATTGGAGTCTCAACGCGGACCAGCCGACATGGCGATATCGTTTCTCGGCTGCGTTCCCCAACACGCATCTCAGCACGAACGGATACAGCGGTGCGTGGCACGGCAGCCAGAACGTGATCCTCTTTGGCAACTCGAGACTGTCCGGCGATGCAGACACGACAGAAGAGAAAGACTTTGCAGCGTATCTCAGGGGTGCGTGGGCAGCGTTCGCACGGGATCCCCAGAGCGGACTTGTTGACTATGGCTGGCCTATATATAGCCCGGGCAAGGATACGCTCGTGGAGCTGAGCGGTCAGGACGGGAGGAAGGCGAGCTTTGTCAATGGGGACGAGTATGATTTGAACTGCACGCCCATCGCGGTGGTGACGGGGACGCCGACTGTGAAGGCGACGCCGTCCGCCATGGGGAGCGGTAGCGACTCATCGACGTCGGCTTCAGGTGTAAGTGATTGAAAAGGTTTCTATTCTCGAAATTGAAAGCTTGGCTAATAAATCTTTAACTAGAACGACAGCGGGAACTTGTTACCACCGTCACTTGGCGTCATCTCTGTCTTGATTACCAGTCTTTTTATCAGGTAGACGGGGATATACCAAATTTTTCAAAGTTGTAATTATTTCACTGCTTCGATCATGATCTTGGTGTTGTTGCTGACCAACTTGAGAAACAAGATGTCAAGTCCATCTTGACACTGAGATTCCTCGCATCTCAATATGAAGATAATTACACAAGGATCGCGGAACACAAAACACTCGCTATAGCCGTCTATTTACTGAAGTAATTGATCAAAAATGAGGAACAGCCTTAAAAGCCAGGATTGAATATGAAGGGACACTAGAACCAGTAAATGTAGTGGACGAGCAGTTGCAAATACTAAGCATCTAAGAGGTGGAAAGGGATAATGCTGATGCTGGCTTTCACATGCGGCGGCTCGTATTCGTGTTACATATCCCGGGAGGCGATAAAGACTGATACCGGAGACATACTCCAGAAAAATCGACGGGAGGTCTCCCAAGTAATATTTTCAAGTCATCACCTTGGAGGAAAACATGTGCAATTGACAAATACCGACTGGATGGGACCGGATTGGGCAGTTCATGGTGCCAGGCACAGCAGCAAAGCCGCGACGAATCGCATGAGAGATGATGATGTATGTTGTGTTGAATGCCAAGTCTGAGCGAGATGCGCAAGACTACCTCGTACTCTTATCCGTTGAAAGTACTGAAGTACCCCCTACCTCTCGGCAGGCGGGTTGTCAGTCAATTGCACCGCCGTTTGCACCCGGCGAATCTCAGCGGAGGGATGACAATTCGGCGGGCTCGAATGTGCTCTGAACCGGCTGCCGCCGCGGAGGAAAAAGCGCATGTATGGTTCCATAGAGGAGTCGTTGTCGTGGGCAAGAGCAGTCTCATTTACCAAATGGCGCTGAAATCGGCGGCGGATGGCATGATTGTTAGGCGTGTCAACGGGCGGGCCAGGTACCATCTCCAACCCGAATACGAAGCGCCGCGCTGATTGGGCCCAGGCGCCTTCTTCGTGGGGTTCGACTTCGAAATTCAACAGGAAAAATGGGCCGCCCGACCAGGGAAATTGCCGTTCTTTGGGTGTGTGCTGCAGTTTTGCTGCGTTTCTACGTAGACCGCCTTCGCGACATTCTTTCTGTTCATCGCCTTCGCTCCTTTTATCTAGACCGGATCTCGCCTCGTCCCCCTCTCAATTGACTTCCCGCTGCAGTCCCTCTCCTTGCGCACGCGGTTCCAGTGTCGATTTGGCTGCTTCTCAACTCGCAGTTCTTCTATCTATTTCCCTCCCTTCTTTCTACCGATGGGTCTTCTTCAAGACCTCGCGGGACCCTTGTCCCAGCAGTTCTCCCAGCTGGGACCTGCCTCACAGGTCGGCGTTGTGGTGTTTGGCGTCATCTTCCTCTCGGTAGTCCTCAATGTCCTGTCACAGCTTCTGTTCAAGAATCCCAATGAGCCGCCCATGGTTTTCCATTGGTTCCCCTTCGTGGGGAGCACAATCACCTACGGCATGGATCCTCCGCGCTTTTTCAAGGCCAACCAAGAAAGAGTATGATTGAGTCACTAGATTCACACAATCGCCTACGCAAACAGCTAATGTGCAATTTATAGTATGGCGACGTCTTTACCTTCATTCTCCTGGGAAAGAAGACCACTGTCTATGTTGGAACCCAGGGCAACGAGTTCATTCTGAACGGCAAGCTCAAGGATGTGTGTGCTGAGGATATTTACACCGTCCTGACCACCCCTGTCTTTGGCAAGGACGTGGTATACGATTGCCCCAATGCCAAGCTCATGGAGCAGAAGAAGGTTTGTCCTATCACTCACCCAAGCTCTTGTCGTAGCTGTTCTGACCTTTTGTTTTAGTTCATGAAGGTTGCACTCACCACCGAGGCTTTCCGCTCATACGTCCCCATCATCTCCGACGAGGTCAACCAGTACTTCAAGAAGAACCCTGACTTCAAGGGCCAATCCGGTGTTGTCAACATTGCACCGAAGATGGCGCAGATCACCATCTTCACCGCCTCGCACGCGCTCCAGGGCAAGGATATTCGAGTTCAGTTTGACGAGACGCTCGCCGACCTCTACCATGACCTGGACATGGGCTTCACCCCCATCAACTTCATGCTGCATTGGGCTCCTCTCCCCTGGAACAACAAGCGTGACCATGCGCAAAGGACTGTGGCTAAGATCTACATGGACACCATCAAGGCGCGTCGCGCCAACGGTCAGATTGCTGTCGGCCAGGATATCATGTCTCACTTGATGAACGCCACCTACAAGAACGGCACCAAGGTTCCCGACCACGAGATCGCCCACATGATGATTGCTCTTTTGATGGCTGGCCAGCACTCCTCTTCATCTACGAGTGCCTGGATCATGCTACGCCTTGCATCGCGACCTGATATCATGGAGGAGCTGTACCAGGAGCAAGTTCGGGAACTTGGCTCTGATCTGCCACCTCTGACTCTGGAAGACCTCGCCAAGTTGCCTCTCAACCAGGCCATCATCAAGGAGACGCTTAGACTCCATGCCCCCATCCACTCGATTATGCGAGCTGTAAAGTCGCCGATGCCTGTACCCGGTACCAAATATGTTATCCCGACGAGTCACACTCTTCTAGCTGCCCCAGGAGTCAGTGCCTCGGACGACCGCCACTTCCCGAACCCGGATATGTGGGATCCCCACAGATGGGAGGCGGACTCGCCAAATGCTCCCAGCATCGTCCGCAACGTCCAAGTTGAGGAGGAGGAGAAGATCGATTACGGTTACGGACTGGTCAGCAAGGGCGCATCATCGCCATACCTGCCTTTCGGTGCCGGCCGCCATCGATGCATTGGCGAGCACTTTGCCAATGTCCAGCTCCAGACCATCACTGCCAACATTGTGCGCAATTTCAAGTTCAGGAACGTGGACGGCTCCGTTGGCAAGACCATTGGTACCGATTACGCCTCACTCTTCTCGCGTCCATTGGAACCTTGCCCCATCTACTGGGAAAGACGGGAGAAGGCTTAGATGCATTGATGACCAGCTTCGCAGCAAGAAAACCATGTATATAGACTTAGACCTGGTACATAGCCAGCTCGACAGACTCGGGAAAACAGGCTTCGGAGTCAGCGGGCTTTGGGAAGTAAGAGTACTTAATTTTTAATAAACGACATGTAATGATAGAGTCTTTAGAGCACTTTGATAAGTGGGACATGATCTTAGAAAGCGCTTGCTTCAGTGATTTGCTGACTGCTCTGGTCATGGGAACTTCCCCCACCCCTTTACATGTCGTAACCGAATACGCCGATTTTATTACGCATTTTTGAGGGCTCCAGACTGTGGTGGGCGTTTGTACAAAGATACAGGAACTCTCGCTAGATTTCTTGGAGAAGGAATTAAGCTTCGTGGGGAGGCTGCGGCTCTTCAGATTACAGCACCCAATCACCGCATGGATGACGCAGCTTGAAACATCACCATCCTCGGTCCCTCCTTCCCCTGCTTACTTTCACCCTCATACGTGCTCTCAAACAGCGCGTTCTTGCCGCAAGAGCAATGGCAGCTGGACTGTGTATTCGCAAACTTCAGCTTGTAGATGGCCGGATTGACCGCGCTTGATCACGAGGCATATGTTGTATTACCATTATTTTGATAGGGAGCTCACTTACATCCATCCTCTGCGGCCCAACAGCAACAATAATAACTTCAATACACTATTCGCTACAGTCTTGGCATCTCGGAAATATATATACGGACCTGTCAAAGATGCCTGCTCCGCTACCCGGGTTCCAGCCCCAGAATTGGGAGCACCTCGGGCCCTGGGTACGGCTCTGGGGCATCACGCACGCGCAGCTGCCCCCGACCACGGAGACAACACCGGACGGCCTGGCGGCGTTCTTCCTATCGCTGCTGAGCGAGGCCGACCCGTTCCTGGACTCGATGTCGCCGCGCTCCGGCGTCCAGCGGTACGGCGGCATCGACTACCCCTGGCACGCGGGCGGCTCCAAGAAGCTGGCCGGCTCGGCCGCCAAGGTCGACCTGTGGAAGCGGCACGTCACCAAGGAGATCCTGCAGCGGATCGCGGCGCGCGGCGGCCTCGAGGGCAGCATGCCGAACTGCCCGGCGGCGGACCGGGTCGCGGGCGGCGGCGAGACGTGGGTGCTGCGCCGGAGCGTGCACGCGGACGCGCCCGCCGAGGGCACCGCCAGCTGGGCCGAGTTCGTCGACTGCATCCGCGACCGGCACGCCGAGACGGAGGACGCCTTCACGCCGACGGTGCTGGCGCACCGCGAGGCCATGGGCTGGGACTGCGAGGGCGTCGAGGTCGCCGACGGCGGGCTGACGTGGGGCCGCTTCGCGATGAAGCTGCTCGAGGTCAAGCACAAGATCCCGCCGCCGCTGAACAACCGCGTGTTCACCGTACTACAGTTCACGTGCGCGGCGCTGCCGGAGGACGAGAAGAAAGAGTTCCTTGTGGTCAGCGTGCCTATTGCCGACTGGAAGACTGCGCCACAGGCGGAGATTGCAAAGGAGAAGGGCGTCGTGCTAGGCGCGTATGTGAGCATCGAGCGAGTGCGGAAGATGGATGACGGTAATATAGAATGGATCATGGCGACGGCATCCGATGCAAAGGGGGTTCTGCCAGGGTGGATTCAGAACATGTCGGTGCCGGGCCAGATTGCAAAGGATGTTCCCATGTTCTTCTCTTGGCTTGCAGGAGAGCGTAGTCACACAGGACATGGAGCGACTTCTGTGCAACAAAAGGCAAACGGAGAAAACGGTCAATCTACTCAAGCAGACAAAACGAGAGGTGCTGCGCCAGCGGCTCTTCAGACGGAGGCGGTTCCCGAGGCTACCGCTACCATATTAGGGTCCGAGAGGAAATCACCGACATCAAAGGCCTAGGCGGCTCTTTGTTTCACCCCTCGGGACTGATACAGCAAGATAGACGGGCAAATCATACGGGTTGCGTGGTGAGGGAGAGGAGACTCCTTATACCAAATGGAGGGGGAATATATCAAGTCATCATCACGGTTCGTCACAGATTAGATTGTATTATACTGGCCTCTGGGAAGCCATGACAATACGGCAATACAATGATTGCCAACTCTACGCGAGTACTTGCTCGGCCCAAGTTGTATATTTCGGCCCCAAACATTGGAGCTCCTTGATGCTCGCTCCTCGCTCCATAGGCCACGATCCTGCAGCACTTCACTCTCACATGCAATTTCAGCCCATTGACACATGTTCACATGCTCTTAACTCTCAATTCTAGTTGCACTCTGCCTGTATACACGAAATCCCATTTGGTGCTAAAAGTTACACTACTCCTCTTCCTCCCAGTGGCCCAGCTTATATGGGCTTACTCTTGTCCTCATAGACCCCGACTTGACTCTGGTCCCATCACACCAATTGCATCCGTCCCAAAACCCGCTATGCTAGTGACTACTTTGTCGTACACGGGATGCATGGATAACCACCTTCTTGAAAACCCTTCCCCGAGTTGGCTTTTTAGTACACACGCTTGAACGGAGGGACGGCCTTGCACTCGTTCTCGTCGAGAGTGTGCCCAATAACCTCACGGTATGCCAGGTCGACCTTGCCGTGAGGCTGCTTCTGGAAGGTGAGGGTGTGCTTCATCCAGTTAACATCGTCACGGTCGGGGAAGTCCTCGCGGGCGTGAGCACCACGAGACTCCTTTCGGTTAGCAGCAGCGGTGGCAGTTTGGGTACTGTTGAGTGGTCAGAATATTTCATTATAACTTCAGTCAGGGATAAACTTACGCGCAAGTGAGCAGATTCCTTAGCTCGAGGGTCTCAACAAGGTCAGAGTTCCAGATCATGCTGCGGTCCTTGGTGCCGACCTGGGCGAACGTCTGGTCGACCTCGTTGATCTTTCGGACGCCCTCGTCCAAGCTCTCCTGCGTTCTGAAGACGCTGACGTCTGTCTGCATGGTCTTCTGCATGGCCAAGCGGATCTCGGCTGTGCTCTTAGGGCCGTCTGCGGTGCGGATGTGGTCGAGAACCTCGATAGAATCAGCACCAGCATCAGCGCTAATCGGCTTGTGCTTCTGGCCGGGAGTGAAGTTATCGCGGATGGTGTGCGAGACAGCACGGCCGAAGACGACCAGATCAAGCAGAGAGTTGGCACCCAGACGGTTGGCACCGTGGACGGACACGCAGGCGGCTTCACCGCAAGCGAACAGACCCGGAACAACTTTGTCCTTTCCGCTCTCATCAACCGTTAGGACTTCACCAGTGTATCGTGTCGGGATACCACCCATGTTGTAGTGGACAGTGGGCAGAACGGGGATGGGCTGCTTGCGGACATCGACACCAGCGAAGATACCAGCAGTCTCAGAGATACCAGGCAGACGCTCAGCAAGAATCTCAGCGGGGAGATGGCTGAGTTGGAGGAAGATGTGGTCCTTGTCAGCACCAACACCACGTCCGTCGCGGATTTCCATGGTCATGGATCGGGAAACGACGTCACGAGAGGCAAGATCCTTGGCAGTAGGAGCATAACGCTCCATGAAACGCTCACCCTCAGAGTTCAGGAGGTAACCACCCTCACCACGAGCACCCTCAGTGATCAGGCAGCCAGCTCCGTAGATACCAGTAGGATGGAACTGAACGAACTCGAGATCCTGGTTGGGAAGACCGGCACGGGCAACCATGGCCATACCGTCACCCGTGCAAGTGTGCGCGGAAGTGCAGCTGAAGTAGGCACGACCGTAGCCACCAGTAGCCAAGACAGTATTTTGGGCCAAGAATCGGTGCAGGGTTCCGTCTTCCTGGTTGTACGCCAGGACACCGCGGCACTCGCCGTCCTCCATGATTAGATCTATGGCGAAGAACTCAATAAAGTAGTTGGTGTTGTGTCGCAGAGATTGACCGTAGAGTGTGTGCAGAAGGGCGTGTCCCGTTCGATCGGCGGCGGCGCAACATCTGTATGCCTGGCCACCCTTACCGAACTTCTGGGATTGACCACCGAAAGCTCGCTGGTAGCTAAGATATTTGTCAGCTTTCGCAAGAAGCAGTAGAGCACCGCGCAAACTCACATCTTGCCGTCCTCAGTTCGGGAGAACGGGCAACCGTAGTTCTCCAGCTCAACAATAGAAGCCGGAGCCTCACGTGTCATGTAGTGAATAGCATCCTGATCACCAAGCCAGTCGGAACCCTTCACAGTATCGTACATGTGCCATCTCCAGTCGTCCTCGTGCATGTTTCCGAGGGCGGCATTGATACCACCCTGAGCGGCGACTGTGTGAGATCGGGTAGGGAAGAGCTTCGATATACAGGCAGTGTTGAAGCCGGCCTCAGCAAGACCGAAGGCTGCTCGCAGACCGGAGCCACCGGCACCAACGACGAGCGCATCGTACTCGTGGTCCTAGACAAGGGGTTAATCGACAAAATGTTTCGCCAGATAAGGTATCCAATTGCTTTGGAGGACGTACAATGACGGGATATTTGGTGCTTAGAAACGGTGACGCCTCCTTGGCTCGTAGAGGCTGGTTTGCGATAATTCGAGCTGTACGTCGTCCATATTAGTACCACCTCACATGCCTTGGCTTTGAGACTCTGTCCTACCTGCTGGTCGCGTTGAGGAAAAAGCCCTCGTTTGGCTCTTCGATAGGCGTGAGAACTATACAAGGCCATTGTCAGCAAAGGTCAGGCCTCGAAGGTGTCATGCATGATCCCCCATTTCTGGCAGAAACAACACGAAAACGAAAAAAAAGGCTCCCTGGCAATCAATCGCCAATTGACCTTTGGGGGAGATAATTGACTCACCGCCGGGCCTGCAGCCAGTCTTCTCATAGCCATAGTCGATGCCATGGTCGTCGATTCTTGCTCGAGTCTGCGTCGGCGAGTTCGATGATCAGACGATCCCAGTGAGGCTCCTTGTCCGGCAAGTAAAAAGGCAGTCTCAATCGGCCGCCTGTGAATTTGGAGTGCGGAAAGCTTGGGTTTGGAGACGACTCGGGACGCCTGCCGCCTCCCGGCCAATCACAAGTCTTCCAATTCGTGATTAGCCGAACGAAAGCCGACTACGACTGGACTGCGACTGGACTACTGGTCCGTGCGGATTCGGCTCATCATCCATCTCGATTCTACGCGCTAGAATGACCCGGAAGGCCGACATGCATTCAGCAGAGATAGTACAGGGAGGTGAAGCATTGCTTTTTCGCCTTTAGTCCCTGGCCAGTTCTTACATAGCATTCGAGAAACTTGTGTCAAAGGGGATATATTGGTTGTAACCTTCTACTTGTATTCTTGCCTAAGCCGTCACACGTTTGCGGTGCCTGACAGGTTGACCGTAAAGACTCTCCCTGGGCAGGTAAACACATGTGGAAGAGACCTCATCGTGTTATTTGTGCAAATTGATTGTGTCTATGTGTATGGTATCTTGGGATCCATGCATATGAACAAGGGGTACCAACGCTGAACTCAGAACTCCAACAGTGCATTTTAGCCCTTCAATCCTGAATCAGGTCATGGTCGATCCAGCCCCAAACACGTTATCTTCAACGGTCTACTTGCTTATTATTCCGCAAGTACCATCCTGAGCATTACGAGGAAGTTTTCCTTGAGCTTGTGGACTTCTGACACGGCTGGCTTTACCGGCTCGCCAGCGCTCCGGCGCAGTCGGTCTTGTCTCTTTGCTCTCCTCCTCCTCTCCGCCTCGATAGGATCTAACTCGTCCACCGCTTCCTCTTCCTCCTCTTCAGAGTCATCGTCATAAGCCATGTCCTCCAGGTCCATCTGGTCGAGCCCGAAATCGGCCGACGTGAAATTCATACCGCCTGGCATGACGTCCGCACTGGCACTGCCTTCAGCCGCCATCTTCTGCCGCGTCTTGTCCTGATGCCACTTCTTCCGAGCTTCTTGCCAGGAGATGAGTTCGTTGACTTCTGCAACAGTTTTGCCCTTGTCGAGATTGCCGGTACTAGCAGCACCCTCAAAGAGAGCGTTGATGTCCAGAGTGCCATTTTTCGGACCTTTCCGGAGGAATTCCAAGATATCCTCGATCCAGCCCATCAGCTGGGTGAAGAGTCCATTGTCATGTGTATGAACCTCGTGCACAAACTTGTAGAAATTGTGCTCATGTCGTTGACATAAATCAATAAAGGCTTGAACGGTCTGGTTTGGATCCGCAGACGCATCTTGCTCACGGCACTTCTCAACGACCTGTGGAGTTGTTAGGACGGTTGTTATCCGGGCGGACTCTGCGGTAATTACCTGGATCATGTCGTCGATAAACACTGCGAAATCCGTTACGCTGTTGTAGACGTTGGCAGACTTGTAGACCCGGACAAGGGGTTCATAGAAGATGGTGAAGAGGTCCCGGAATAGTTGCAAGGTGACAGGTTCTTCGATCAGACTGAGCATCATCGCCTTGTCTCGTTGCCGTAGGTTCAGCTTCATTAGTTGCTTCAAGTAAGAGAACAGCTGAGCGCCCTGCCTTAGCTCCTCATCGGTATTCTCAACCGCGCTGTTGAAGGCGACGTAAGCATTGTACAGTTGTCCTATTTGATCTGGAGTGAGAGCAGGAGATATCAGCTCAGATCGGAGGACAGCTACAATGATGTCAACATCATCGCTGGCAGCTTCTTCGCGGATAGCGACCCGGACCTGCTCCTCGGCATTCGTGTATTTCTGTAATTTCTCAACGAAGACGGGATCACCAATCTTGGCACCCAGAGCGTCGATTGACTTCTGGAAACTGCGAATGCCGTCGTTCAATGTCAGAGAGAAAATTCGCTGCATTAGGGATCTTGCGCCGAATGGCTGCGCCAGAAAGACATCCAATATGCTTGACATGACTGCGGCAGGATTCGCTATTCGGATGACATTCTTGATGACGGTATAGGGGATCAGGGAGTGGATCTTCTTGGCTTGGGCAAACAATTCCGGGGAGTTGTCTTCAGCCAGGAATAGATGATAGATAGTGGCTGCAACCTCGATCCTCAACCACTCTGCGAATTTCTGATATTGGATGCTCAGATCCTGGATGGTTTCCTTCTCTTTGATCTCTTTGAACAGCATAGTGAGACCGTTGCGCTCGACAATCTCCTGACGGAATCTAGATCAATGTTAGCGCCACAAATCGAAAGGCTTTCAGATAACATACTGCTCCATGTAGATATCAAGTTCGGCAGCTCGCTTTCGGGCAATTTCGTAGAACTGCTTCTGCTCCTCCATGCGTTTCGCATCTACTTCCTTTCTGCGCATTATGTCCTCAACATCATCGTCGTTCGGAGTGATTGGATCCTTGGTCAGGAATTCCTGGATGGCTTTGGTGTTTGCAATCTGGGGGTTGTGAAGAAGTTGACGTAGGTATGCTCGTAATGAAATCCGCTGGCTCTCTCGCCACAACACAAAATTATCATCCCGTTTGCCAGTGCTCAGAGCTGGGCTGCGTGGTGGTGCGTCCATAGATGGTCTGGGAGACGCCCGATTAGAAGCAGCCGAGCCCGTTCTGCGATGATCCCTGACCGAGAGTGTCTTGAGAGCCTCTGCAGAGCCGTTGACACCTGGTATCGGTCCAGTCGTTTGTGTAGAGGCGGATGAGATGGATGAGACCTCGGAGTCATCACCACCTTTTAGACTCCCGATGATATTCGACGCCGTCGAGTTGCTCTTGTTCTTCTTGGGCAGCGGCGGGAGAACTCTACCCGGCAGTTCAACACGTAGCTTTTTGTGAAGACGACTGAAGTCTCCATATCGGCGGCCAACGAAATACTCGAGATCCCCTTTCCTTTTAACCCGTAGAAGAAATTCCTAAAGATGTTAGTAATTGGTAGGCTTTGAAATAAGCTAGTCTCACTCACAGCATGCTTGTGGTATCGAATATTCCTTTTGACGGACGTAATCCGCACGCCTGCTACATTAACATCCCAACCATTTACGTAGTTCCCTTCTGGTAAGGTTGACAAAACGCCGGTGTCAATAGCGTCGCGGTCGACGATCTCGAGCTCAGTGAATCTTATTCTCTCTTCGAATCCTGATGAGGTACGAATGCCCGATACCATCATCAGCTCTACTAGTTTCTGGGCCTTGAGCGCCAGCTTTCGGCGCTTCGTTTCTTCCAAGCGGTCCTCCGAAGAGGATATGTTCTTGCTCGCGAATGACTCGAGGAACTACTCAAATCCCTGGATCAGTGCCACTTCATCTAGCATAGAAAGTGCCAACATACCACTTGCAGCTTGTCCTGCCAGAACTCCTTCTCCTTCGCCTTGTCCAGGAATGGGAACTCTCGCACATGGTGGACGAATATGTACCGCAGTATCGGAAGCTCAGAGTCGTACGGTGAAACCTCCCCAAACTCTGACTTGAACGGCGCCCCGAACCGTCTCAGGGCAGTCGGCGAGTTGAGCTCGGATATCTCCCATCTTACTTGCTCGGAGATCAGCTCTCGTTTTAGGTCTGCGGTTCCACTATTAGCCTAGGTCTACATCTATGCACATATGTAACTTGGGAGAAGCACAACATACAATGTTCTTGCTTTCCGGTCAGCGCCTGACCCGGCGGTGGTGTCGCTGTAGCGCTGGATGTGCGGAGGGGCAGTTCAGCGGAGCTCGAGGGATTGGGAGCACTGCCGTTCTCCTGGGCGAGCTTGGGCGCATTCGCAGCGTCGGAGGCCATTTTGTCGGCCGTAGGATGCTGATACCCGGAACGCTCGACGGAGAAGTTGAAGAAGTTTGTTGGGAAGAAAGAGAAAGAGCGAAGGTCGTCAAAAGTTGTGGCAGCTGGGGCGCGCGGTGTAAGTCAGCACTTCTTGCGGATTTGATGGATCGGCGGGGTAAATGCAGAAGCGCATTAGTTAACTCTCTTTCCGTTGGAGTTCGGATCGCCGTGCAGGAGAGCCGGGGAGCTGCAGACTTGTGGATGAAGATGCGATGACCAGCTCGGGATGGAAAGGATGAAATGGCCAAAGTGAAATACTGGTATGATAGAAAAATAGAAGAAAGCTGGATCTCACCGAGAAAGAATTAAAATCAAGACGGCAAATCAAGTTGGGATCTGCCTCTACGCGCTCCGCACCAATATCCAAGGCAGGGGCGTGGAGTTGAGATGGTGGGCAACAAGCAGGAATCACTGAAACTACAACAACCCAAAAAACCCCAAATTACAGCAATCTTCTCAGTCACTCGATGCCAAGTGCAATTTGTGTGTATGGTTGCATGTAGATATCTAGTCACAAGCTAAGGAATCATCACAGCGGCTGACTGATGTCTTGGATGGAAAAGTATGTGTGTGTGATGAGAACGCTGAAAGCGTCAGCGGGTAATGACGCCTTTGGTGGGTTGGCCTTGGTGGCGTAGGGGGCTTGGTAGGGGAAGTATGACGTTCCAGGTTCCCCAACACGCCCTGCAAGCCTCCGGAGAGTGGCCTTAGCTTTACCAAGGCACCACCAAAATAGGTGGGTCCAGTCCGTCCCCGGCCGTCCAACGGCGAAAAAGCCTTGCCCTACGGCTTTGCCTTGCCTTACTTGCCTTACTATGCAGTATACCCTGCTTGCGTACTCCGAGCCTCGCCGTTCGGCATCTGCTGTCACTAGACACGCGTCTCAGAGGCTGAATTCTTCCTTACGCCGGCTCGGCGTCCCCTTGGCCTTACAATCGATTTGCTTATTGTTCTGCATGCTCAGTCATGGCAAGTGAATACACGGATTTTACGGAACTTCGGCAACGCTTGGGCTCAACTTGGGTGCACTGTAGCGCTGTGGAAAGCCTTAAGCGCCTCCCCTGCAGACCTCATCTCGCATCTTTGACTGCCAACACCTCGGCTGCCGGCTGCGCCTGGAATTACGAGCTGAAAAGAGGTCGACCCATCGTGCTGGGGGATCGGCTGTATCCGACAGCTAGATACTTTCAGGGTAAGCGTATGGCACAGTGCTAGGAGAGCTCATAAGCTGAGCAGTCGACTGATAATTCTTCGTGAGTGTAATATACATGTAGGGTATCAAAGTTCTTGATTACAGACAAAGTACAAGCCATTGTGGGTATCATAGTTCATCGAAGATCCTGAGCACTCCATCCAGTTCTGTATCCGCCCCATCAGCCGTTCGGTTAGGAGCTCCCCAGATCTTCTCGTGCTCGCTCTTCAGGGCATCGCTCAAAGAGCCACTTCGTAGCTTATCGGTCCCGTCGCGTAGTTTTGTCAGGGCTTCATCCGCCAGTCGGACTGTTGTCGTCTCCAAGCTTTCCGAAGAGTATTGAACACCGATGAACAATAGAATGAGGAGCAAGAAGACCACGGACGTGATGATCCATATGATCTTTAGCCTCTTCCGTGTGCGCTCCTGCCAGGCTCTGTCCGCGCGCTCCCAGCCCTCGATGCGCTCCCGCACGGCGTCCACCCGCTCGCTGAGCGTCTGCATCTTTTGCCTTCCTTGCCTTACCCGGTCTTGAAGTGATTCGATCCTCTGCTCTTGATTATTGAATTGCCCGAATGTGCCGAGCTGGCTCTCGGTATCGCTGACAAGCTCCTGGGCATCCCTCTTGAAGCCATTGGTCATCTCCTGTGATACGCCTGCAAGTTCTTTTAGAGCGACAACCGTGCTCTGTAAAACGCTGAGCTTCTCCAGTACCGAGTAGTACGTCTCGTCCAGTCTTCGAGTCGTGGCGTTGGAGAACTCGTTCAGGTCGACAAGGCATTTCTTCAGTCCGCTGTGAAAAGATAGTCAGTAAGAGCCATCCTTATTGGGTCTTATCATAGAATCCTACGAAGTCCGAGCCACAGCTTTCTCCCGCTCCAAATGTAGCAGTTCATCACTGCTGACCTTCTTGAACGCCGGTAGATTTGTGGTTGACGTAGCCGCGTCGTCGTCGGCAGAGGGTATCAAGACACTTGCTCTTCTGCTAGGGTTGCGGCTTAGATTTGGCGTGACATACTCTGATCTCGTATAGTCGAGCGATGATCTTGGTGGTGCTTGCAGGACTGGAGCAGCCGACTGAGGGACCGGAACCCGCTCATCGCGCGAGCGGTCTCTACGGTGATGAGCATGGTGGTGACGCCCGAGCCGTATGGGACTCGATAGCTCGGTGATCGAGCGGGTTATCTGGTGACGCGGCCGGTAAGGGGACGCTTGCTTTGGAGTCTCAGCTCCATTGCCTGACATTGTAGGCTAGCTTATGTTGCCTGCCATAAAATCTGTTCCCAGACGAAGCACGAGAACGGCTGCGGAGGATTGTGTCTGTTGGTGATTGCTTTGATGACGATGCAGGTGGGCTGAAGTGGAAGCGGTTAAGCAGGGGCGCGGGTGGGCAATTACGGCGAGCGAGAGACACCCGTTAGTGCAATTTTCACATGGCGGCACCCTTAGCATATGTTCCACCAACATTCAACGTGGCACATCAGGGGAACGTCAAGTGGCATGCCTTCGATCGCCATTCCTAGAAACCAATTGTATCCTTTGTTGGTGGTAATACTCGCTTCTTTGTTTCAGAATCTATAACAACGTAGCCTAGCGCGAATAAAGCGACTCTCTGTTGTCGCCTAAGTGAGGTGGCTACCGGAAAGACCTAATAACCATTTGCCCGTGGCGCTTGACTGCAGCATGCCCGCAAGCGATGGATTGATCCCGTCTGTGTTGCTTCAACAGTCTTGTTGGTACTTTGTCTGGTTTGCCCGGACTCGAGGCCGGGGCTTCGGGGCTTTTGTGCTGTTTCCTTATGTCTGGAAGAAGCTGAGAGGAGAACCACTCAATTCTGTGATGCTCTTGAATGGAGTACCCTAGGTAGGTCTCAAGAGTTGAGCAGCTTATTTCTCTTTTCCTTCCGCTTTAACCTCTCGACGCGCTTCTTGTGCATCTTTTCGGCTATCTTTTCGTATCTCTCCTTCTCCTCTTTTGCAGCCTTCTTATCCTTGATCATTTGTACTCGCCGCTAGATCAATGTTAGTGATGTTGTTCGATAGTAAATGAGATACGGACGTCGTACTTGTCGTTCGGCTTCCTTCTCGTATTTCAACTCCTTCTCTTTGGCCTTCATAGCAACGTGTGCCTGGCGCTCTTTTGCTCGCTTCTCGTAGGATGTCAGCCCTGCAGCTGGTCGGAATGCTTTCTTAGGAGCATGCCATTGCTTTCCTATCTAGATAGTCAGCACCTGTTTACCTGGCCAAGTTGATCCTTGTCAAGACGAGAGCAGCATACCGTTCTTCCTCATGCCAAGCGGCTTGGCAGGCGCAGTTGCGCTGGCTGCTTCAGTAGAAGACATGTCTATTGAAAGAAAAACAAAAAGTGCAAGTTATATCCGATCCAGATTGAGGCTTCAGAGCCTACGCAACGTAAGCGTCTTGTTGACGCCGACAAGAAACACTTGTACGGTGGTGTGTATGAAATGGCTGCCGAGCGGTGAGAGGCAGGCCGATATCTGGATTTTTTTCTGCCAGCCTTTTCCTCCCGTGGGTGGGGTCCTGCAGTGGCCCGAGCAAACTTTCCGCCCGCCTTTTGTGGCGCTAGAGTTCGCTCATATCTTATTACGGGCACTGTGACGCTGTGGCACTGTGGCTAATGAGCAGTGGCTCCTGTGGCCCGTATTCCCTGGGTATCGGGAGGTGGTCACCACTCGAATTCTGGTTGATACGCGGCAAAGTGGCTCCATCATCTCAATCCGAATTGCTAATAAGCCCCTGGAAAGTGTCATCGGCAATCCGTCCCTCGCAGACCTGGATCCAATTGCTGGCATTGCCATGTTCATCAGTGTGGAATAAACACGTCGTGTTGCAAATTTCGTCATTGGATAACAACTTTGAAATGAGACTCCCAAAGCGAGCGTGCGCTACCTGCTAGGTTCTTCACAGGGTCCAGCCTCCATAGTCGCGATTCTTATCCAGGGGATCGTGGTCAGTCTGGGAATGCAAACTCGTCAGATTTCAAGATCCCGTTCCCGCCTGAAAATAGCGAGCGTTCCTCAGTGACTAATGTCCAGGGCAGGGCTTAACCTTCTTCTCGGGACAATTTCGTCGCGTTTAATTGCTCAGCCATTACGCAGATGCCAGCAGTATGGGCAATGTCTTATTACCTTCTAATGTCTGCAATTTCGCAGAGAGACTGCCTTTGCCTCGGCGCGCGCTTCGTGAGCTATTAGTCCGTTAAATTGGCATCTGGCAAGATTAAGACTAGAAACACTGCGAGATTGCGCGCTCCCCCGTGTCCTTTCGATATCTGGGCATTTGCCCTTGCGTGCTACCGGGGAGGCCTGGGGCAGTTACCTCATTGAACCCTTCGCAGACGCCCGGAAAGGGTGCTGCGAGACAGTGATTGACATCTGCAGAAGATGCTCACCAGCAGAAGCGATGCCCTTTCGCAGATGGCGCATTGGACCGGCGTCAACTGGGCCAGCGGTCACGCCGAATGTCTCACCTTGACCGGCAGCCAGGTCCACCTCCGGCCGTTCTAGCACCAAACTTTACCATCGGTGCCAGCCTGAAGCCCATCGTCAGGGCCGTTCTTCTAGACTTACCGCGTAGGGTGGTAGGCTGAGATAGGTCAGAGCTTTTCTGACGCCTGCAGTCTTTGCTTTCTTTTCTGGCTCTTTATCCGGCTGAATGCTCCGTGTCTTATGCAGAAGCGTCTGTGCGCGGGGCGCTGGGTGGTGGGCATCGTGACTCTGGAGGGCCTTGGATGGATCCAACTGGCACCTGCACTTGGTTCTAATGGTTGACGCGTGCAGTACTGGCTGCAGCTCTAGGGAGTACTACGGTCCCTGGAGAAAGACTCGGCGTTAATTCCAGATGCCTCTTTGTCTCATTGCGCGCATTATCAACACAAAGGACGGCATCTTACAGCACCGTTTTTTGAATTCGTTTTTGAAAGACTCTGAGTGCCCTCGGTTTCAATCTCTCTTAAAGCCAACGTAACCTTTGCTTCTGTCCCAATGCACATCAGATATATCCTCGGCAGAAGTCTATAGGACATGGTGGACATGTTGATGTGGTTGTTGACACTGACCTATGCATCTTTCGTACGCGGCTGGGAAGAAGAAAGCACAGCTAGGAACTGCTCTGTTTCCTCAGTTGTTTCTGGAACAACAGCCATCAAACAATCAATAACTGACCAAGTAGACCCCTCCTCAGCCGCTCTTTGCGCAAGCTGGATACGCGGTGAGATGGACACTGCTAGTACAGGTCGGGTAAGGAGTGACCCCTGGCCTGGGTCCCCCTGATTGCGAGGTTGCGGTACTGATAAGTTCCGATCGTGGTAAGCGTGTTGTAGGCATAATGTTCAGCATAAAGTTTAGCAGGCAGATGGCCGCCCTAGGAGCAAATGCGAGCCGATACAACCCCAGGTCTCGGACTGCCGCCTTTCTTTTCTAAGACATTCACTGTTATACACCAGTCGTCACTAATAAGCCCTGTACACGTAGTGAGGACGAGTCCAATTGTCGCGTTATTGGCTTTGTCGACTTCTCAAAGCTGCATCTCTGACGCCGAGTCAATGGCCGCTCGCATTCTCTCGACGAGGGCTTCGTGTTTGTGGCCCTCGCCTTTGTCTCTACCAGACCAGTGCCAGTGCCAGTGCCAGTGCCAGTGCCGTCGAGCCGTGCATATGTCATGACCTGTGTTGTAGTACGCACGCCAAGGTAAGCAAGCGGTGCGGGTCGGTCACCAGGCGATGTCCACATCAGGACTTGCCAGGGGGGCAAGAAAAGGTAGCCTTCTTGAAGGGACCAGTGGACACCTGCAAACACAGCCATGCCCAGGGCCCAGGGGTATTCAGGAACCCGTATCAGCTGCTCCTTGCCCGAATTGGGGATTGCCAGGTTGCAAAAACAGGCCTCCGCAAGATGGATCGTGATAATAATAGAGGAATACCCACCTCGACAGTGTCTGAAAGGGGAAGTTCTGCGGGTGATGTGAAGTACCCTCGCATCTCCGCTGCTAGGTACTCCTACCTATTGGCACAGCACCCAGATATGTGTGGGAATCTCCGCGTCTCTCTACACTATCCTCCCTCTCCAACTGTTGCAAATTACGCAGCTACCTCCTCTAATTGACTAACCTAACTGTCTTGCCTCAATGTTGCTGTAATGAAGCAAATAAAGGGCCCTTTATAATGATGGAACATAAGGGTATGGGCATCTGCCTTGAGTAAGGTAGTTGTGAAATGAACGCGGATCGGAATAAAATGAATGAATAAAATAGCCACCGCCATTAATAGCCCATTAGCACCGCCAACCCTGCTGCTAGGTGCTAGACGGGGCCGCCGGCGTGGGCACAAACACTGGGACTCGGTACGGCCAACACGCGTGTGCACGACTCGTTTCCTGTTCGCCCTGGGAAGTTTAATTCAGAAGGTTTGTTCCTGGACGGTAAGTGGAACGACTGACTGCACTGTACAGTATTCTCTTACTCCGTCTATAGAGTATAGGTATCATTCAATCAATCGATCGGCCAGTGTGGAATGCATCGCAAGTGAACAAACTCTCCTACAGTACAGCCGCTGGAGGAGCCGGCTCCGCTGCACTGCAGCAACGCAGGGTATGCATAGTACTTGATCAGGGCTAGGAAGGTATCATCTGCACGCAGCATCCTGGGAGGCGCCGTATCTGTCTGTCCAGGCCCAGATTCTCCTCATTCATTGGCGTAGCAGTCCTCGGCGTAGGCATGTACGCAGTATGTGCTATACAGTAGTGTAGATTTCCCGGAGTCGCAGTAGCATCGCTGTACATAACAGAACGCACATGAGGTTAATGTGGTGAGGAGAGAGAGGGGACGCCAAACCGGGTACAGCCAGGACTCCCTGCTCCCTCCCACCGTGTAGTGTCGGGGGTTCTTCACTGTAGCCGGGGGTGGGGACAGGCCATGACAAGCCGGCTGAGCGGCGCCTTAGTGGCTGCTCTGGCGGCCAGGTCATTAAATCTCACAGTACGAGGTCGCCCTCGCTCATACCGGGCCCCAAGCCCAAGGCAGGGGGGCCCACTCCAACTTTTCCCACATCGGCCGGCCAGCCAGCCAGCGAGCGAGAGCACCCAGCCAAAGAGAGAGAGCGAGCCCGCGCCCATCACTCCCTCTCACTCAACTCAGTACCGGTACCTTAGTATGTAGGTACCTAGGCGTAGGTACCCAGGGCTCGCTACGCAGGTGGTGGGTGCGCCGGCTGGCCGTGGGGAGTGTCTGCCAGTGCAGGTGCAGGTGGGTGGCCTGTCGGCTCGCCTGGCTGGCCGCCTCTCTTTCCTCCTCTCGCCCTCATTCACCTCCTCCTACTCGACAACCCTCACCACCACCAAAACCTCCTCCACCACACTCACCTTCGATTCTCGACACCCTCACCTGGTTCAATTCCGGTGGAATCCCTCAAAAGATTCCTCTTGGTCTTGGCCGTCCGCTCCTTTAGCACCTAACATTCAGATTCATAGTAGAAAGCATTGCTTTTCAGTCTCCCCCGTGTCCCCTACGCAGTTGCTTTCAGGCTGGCACGGATTCAACAGCACAGAAACAGTCGCCGCAACAGGTACGAGTCTTCCTCCAGTGAAGCCGACTGAATATGCTTCCAAGCCCATCTCTCCTCTATTCCGATCTTTTGGCGCTGCGATAAAGTAATGTGCAAATGATCTAACGCGCCAGAAAAGTTATTTACGCTGTTACCGACGCCCCCGATCGACGAAGGCCGCCAGAAAGCCACACCTTGGGCCCCCGTCACGACGCTGCGAAACCCACCTAAGCACTTCGCAGCCCCTTCCGAATACTCCATGTCACCATTGGGCTTCTAGTTGCACATCAACTCTTGTGCCGCAGCGCGGCTGAGGAAAAGATGGCAACCACCCTTGGCCCGGACATGATCGTGGACGCGGCGTCCACGCCGTGCGACCTGGCGGCTCCCGCAGGAGAAGACTTGGGCGATCATCGTTCGCCCTTAATGACTCCTCAGCCGTCTCCTCGTGCGAATATTCCCCTCCCGAACCCTCACTTCGTCTTCCCTGCGAGGCCCTCATCGTCGTCAGCTCCGTCTTCTTTCTCGCGGGCAACAGGCAGACGACCAAGGTCCGCCATAGAGACTCAGGAGCGACCTTTTGGAGATGCCATTGAGAATAGCGGCCGACCCATTCGATCGCCAGCCCTGCCTGACTTCTCCTTCAACCCAGGCGCATCACTCTCACCTGCTTCAGACAGCACATTCTTGAGCCCACCACAGTCACCTGCATCACCACGGATGATACCTACGAGGCCAGGTGGTGGTGGCCACAGGCGAGGCGGAAGCGAGTTTGTAGGCGGCAACATACGAGCTGGTGAGGCAATTACAGTGATGAGTACGAGCCCAACGAAGTCAGAGAGCGGAATGGCTTCGCCGACATTGATGCCAGTCAATCCGTCTCGTCCTTCGCGAGGTCATCGACACCAACGATCTGGAGCCATCTCTAGCCACGACTTGTCTATGATCTTGCAACCGAAGAGTCCCAACCTATCCGCCAGAGGTAGTAGCGCCCCGACAAGTCCCGCTGACTTCGAGGGACGTGAGCACTACGCTTTTCCTGAGACTTCTGATCCGGCTGCAAAACAGCCGACGGAGAGTGTCCCCAAGGCTGAGGCCCAAGAGGAGCCGGAAAAGCCAGCTGACGATAAGGTTCCTGAATCGCCTCCAGCAGCTCAGAGGCCACAAAATCGAGCAAGAGTTGGGTTTTCTGATACACTTGAGTTCATTCCAAGGCCTTTGTCGCTGGTTTCGAGCGACACATCTAGCACTGCGACAGCACGCCCTGGCCATTCCGTCTCTGGCAGCATCTCGTCGATAATCTCATTGAACTCGACAATTGCTGAGAAGGACGAGATGATGCCGCCGCTAGAGTCAAGCCCATCACATAACTTCTCAGACTCTCGACCCAGTACTGCTGGCGCCGTATTAGAGCGAACAGAGAGTCTGGTGCCTGAAGCTCCCGTCAATGGCCCTCCGAGGAGAAGAGGGTCCCTTCCGTTGCTTACCTCGTTGCCTCTGCCATCTCCCATCAACCTACAGCCATCCACACCGAGCCCAACAAAGACCCCCAAAAGGTGGTCCTTCTTTGGACTAGATCCATTCGTTGGCACCAACTCTCCAACGCGAGCTCGGCCTGTTAGCTCCAGCTCCTCCGAGAGCTCGCATAAGGATGCTGACGGTGCTGCATCGTCTGAGCCGGGTCCCAATCTCTCTGCCAAGGCCACAGATTCTGAGTGCTCAGTGCAGAAGGCGACCCACAGGAAATCAAACAAAAAGCAGAAAAAGGTGAAGACGTGGGCGGGTTCAATACTGACAAGGAAATCTAAACCGCGTCACGGCAAGAACAAGAAAGCCCATCGTCGACCCCCAACTCCACCACCACCTCCCGGTGATGTTGATGATAATGAAGAGGCTATCGATGATTCAAGTGACGGACCTGCTGAACCTGCAATGCCCACTGTCTTAATCACAGAGTCAACCACCTCAGCTGGAGGACAAGAGTCCTGGAAACCGCCGCGACCTGCTGTCGAGGACGATACAGCCTATCCTATGATTGACCTTGATGCTGCTCTGGGCCCCTTCAATACCCCATTGCCTCGAAATCCTGAATGGGAAGCGGCACAGAGGGCTGGAGGACTTACCAAGCGCAAACTACATAGTGCTGCAGGCTTGAGCCGGTTTAATGGACCAGGTGGTCATTATACCCACCATCAACGAGCTCAGAGTTCGCCTGAAATGGTTCCCTTTGAGCACGGTAGGCGTGGCATTCACAGGTTTGGCAGCAGTTCCACCATGGCGGATGTCTTCGAGGAGGACGAAGAGGATGAGGACGGCGCCAACAAGAGCAACGATTCGTCTGCGGATACCACACCTCAAGCCACACCAGCGATTGAGAAGGGCGAGAATGCCTCCAGTGTTGTAGTGTCCTCGGCATCTTCTCAAAGGTCCGTTGAGAAAGTAGCTGAAGACAATGTCAGCGTCATCTCTTCTCGTGGGGTCAAACGCAAGGGCAGCGATCTCGAAAATGAGGTTCCACCGCATTCGAGTGCGAGCATGAGATCAGAGCCATCACTCAGCTCCCTGCAACAGGAGATCATTGCCGAAGAGCCTATCATCTACCACAAGGTGCGCTCTAACTCGTCACATTCGGCTACTCCGTCGCCACGTTTCAGTCCGCGAGGAAAAGATCTAGCTCCCGTCGATGTCGGTCCCCTGAACCTGCCATCTGCGTCTCTTGCCCCAGTCAGCCCCTACTCCATGACGCAGTCTTCGGCATTCCCATCTCCTCGATCTCCCATGTCGTATGATGCCAACCGTATATCCACGGCTCCGTCATCTGTCGCTGAGGATAATTTCCAATCGTTACTCATGGGAGAGCCTGGACCAGAAGTACGGCTATCGGTGGATATTCCATCTCTGACAAGCAGCACTTCAACAATGACTCGAGATAGTATCTTGATTCAACAAGCTGCTCAGCTGACTCAACCACCGCTACCAGGAGAACGCCCTGCGTCCTTTACATCTTCTGCATTTGGCGTACGCCGCTCCAGTCTAGCCAGCTTAAGCCGCCTAATAAGCAGCTCTCACGGCGAACGGAGCAAGCTCTCCATGGAGGTCACTTACAGCAGTGATACTGAGAAGAAGCAACCCAAGGTCAGCAAGACGAAGCGACTAAGCAAGATGGTGCAGTTTTGGAAGCCCAAGCAGAACGCCTCGGCGTAGTACACACGAGCTGCTCTGCTCCCTCCTCAACCTTCAGCCTTAAAGGCTTGCTTCGCGAATTGAAAGACAACTCTGCATGTTGCAAAATTTCAGAGATATCAATAACGATAATGACCTAACCCTGTTTGCAAATGATAGAGAACTCCCTCTTTCAAGGTGCTCTCAGGGGAGCGGTCCACGACATGGGTTTTCTCTCTTGGTGGAATGTACGATACCGGCCTGGCCTTGCCGCTGCCCTCCTTTCGAGGCGCAGGATTAGGATCCTCACATCTCGGCAGGTGTCTCTGTCTCAGGGGGCAGCCTTGCACGAAAACATTTGTGAATTTTTTTGACATGGCTCTGGCGTTTTGACGATACAGATGAAGACAGCTCTCAGCTGAACGGCTCCAACTTTTAACATTTCTACTTTCCTTTTTTTTATTTTTGGCGGCCTCAGCGAAAACCGGACATATGGTCACAATGTAAATGTAGTCCTTGGCTCTTTTCGGTTCTATGGACATATCATGGCAGCAGATGAGGATAAGACTCCGTGGAGGAAGAAAAACTACTACAGCGGTTGCATCTGATAGCATCGCAATGGCTCTTGTGGCTTCTTAGACGACCCAAAAGGGACACCAAAACAAACCTCTCACGTAGACAAAATAATAATGAATATACATCTCTCATATATAAAATGTGTTCGATCGAGTAGAGCTTGTGATGTCCTAGAAGAGAAAAGCAACCTTGAGGACTTCGTCACATCGCAGTATGCGAATCCAGCCAGCAGTCTTGCAATTAGAGGCGGCATCAGTGGACCCTTTAGAAGATGCCTACCGCGCTTCTACGAGGTGCCTCAGCTGATTAGGACCCCTGTTGGGATCCTTGCCCGCTAGCTTGCTCAGAGCTTCGAATGGAAGCTCCCTCCAAGACCACACCTTTGCTTTCAGCTCGCCACAAACTGCATATGCATACATGCTCTCCTTGTTTGGCTCCGGGTACAACTACTCCTCAGATCTCCTAGTTGCTTGACTTGCGCTGGGTTTCCCAAGCACCCGAACACTGGCCGTCTCATCCACTTAGGCAAGCAGCCAAGCTTCTACAAGTCTCATCTGATGTCCGGCCGCACCAAATCTCCTGCCTCAACAGCGTCGGCGTCCTCGTCGCGCAACGCCGCTCGCCGCCTCATCAAGGAGCTCGACACATGGCATGCAGAGGCACCGGAGGAGAAGGGGATCGAGCGCCTGGGGCCCGTCTCCGAGGACGACCTGCTCACATGGGAGGCAGTCGTCAACGGGCGGGGCGTAGGCGGCGGCTACGATGGTAAGTCTCCTGCTGCTGCTGCTGCTCCCCCATTGTATATATCTATCTACATGCAAAGCACACAAGCTGACGTAGACCCCCGCGCGGGTGCGTTCTCACAGACGGCCGCTGGCTCCTGCACATCTCCATCCCGCCGACGTACCCGCTGCAGCCGCCGGCGATCCGCTTCGCGACGCCGATCGTGCACGCCAACATCGCGCTGCAGACGGGCGAGATCTGCCTGGACCTGCTCAAGGACAAGTGGACGCCGGCGTACTCGGTGCTCGAGTGCGTGCGCGCCGTGCGCATGCTGCTGGCGTACCCCGTGCCCGACAGCCCGCTCAACGTCGACGTCGCGGCGCTGCTGCGGGGCGGCGACGTCCTGGGCACGCGGAGGCTGGTCGAGCTGTGGTGCAGCGAGGGGGAGGGCCGATATGATGGGAAGTAAGGTGATCCACATCGGTAGGTGTGAATGGGCTTTCGGGGATAGGTTTCTTAGGAAGATGTACAAGAGCGTTCGTGTGGGAGTATCGGTTGATGGTGTTGCCTCTGGTTCAGAGCGTGGAGTTTGGTTGAATTGCTTCGGGAGAACATCATAAGAAGGACGAGCCGTTACATCCTCAAACACAGTATATATCATCGCAGATATGAGGTATATGGCACAGATATAAGGCTACCGGCAGATTGGGTAGGACCTCCACAAAAGCAACTGCTATTCACAGTTCACATAATGATGGAACCATCTTCAGAGCGTATAATCTTTTGAAATGATATGCCATCAACTAGAACACGTCTATATTGCTGTACACGCAACAAGCTAGCATCTTTAGATCTCAGTCGTTATCGTACAGGCCACCCACCATATTGCGAGCCCAGTCGCGAGCCCAGCCCCTGAGCCTGTGATGTGGCCCGACTCCCAGATTCCGTGGCCGCATCATCTTTTTGATATACTACAAAGAACGCCTGCCTCGAAACACCCCGCCGAGGATGACATGCTGCAATCAAACTCCCTATTCTATATGTCCCCCCTGCGAGTCGACCGCCCGATTGGGATAACGAAGTGGTACCGCTGTGATGTCGGAATCAAAGGGAATGGAGTTGTAAACCCGTTAGGTGTGGGTATTGTAAGAGTGAAAAGTCATGATAGTGGAAACAATGATCGCTGAGATGCCGAACTAAATCTACTCATTGTAGTGGTAAACCTACAGTCGCATGTTAGCAGGTGGAGGGCCAAAGAGGGTGATCAGGCCTGGCATACCTTGTAGTTCGGCAGTCCGGTTGGATGCCACCCCAGTCTCTTCGCCATCTTCGCGAAGCCTTCCGTCTCAATCAGGTTATAGAAAGAGAATGCAGGGAACATGGCGCCGTCTCTGTGGACGTCTGCCTTGACGAGGACTGCAGTACCGCCCACACCATCCAGGGGTATCTCTAGATCCCTATCGGCACCTGCCTCATACAGGTACGCCATGAGGGCTCGATAAGTCGGCATCTCCGCATAGCCCTCGAGTAAAATATCATCAGGTCCCATCCTCGACCGAAGATCTTGCGCGGTCGGACTGTCTTGCCAGTTGTTGAAGTCGTATGGCCGCTCGTCCTGCTTCTTTTGCTCAGAGTTGTAGAACTTCTGGAAACAGTTCGGTACGACAATGGGCTTGTCATGTGCCGCAAGATCCTGTATCAAGGTAGGCGGTGTCTCGACAATATCGGCGTCCAACCAAAGCACCCAGGAGGTTGCTGGTCCCAGGGTCGTGAAAAGGAGTGAGTTGCGTGCCTTTGACATGGCTGCTCTGCGCACCTTTTGATTCTGCATCTTGTGCCTTTCGCTCTCGTCTTGAGAGGTCAGGGGTGGGTCGAAGTCCTGCCTCAGTATGATTATGCTCTTGAATCGGTCCTTCTCGGGGCCCTTCTGGGTCTCTGCAATCTGTGCTTGTAAAGCTGTTGTAGCCGCATTGCCTTCTTTGTTCTTGGGCAGAATGAAGCCCAATGTGATGAGCTCGTGAGGGTAGGACAACCGCAGGAGATTATCCCAGTACTCCTGGTAAAAGCGGGCCATCGGAGTCAGAACGAGAACAGCCTCCTTGTTCTCGACTGGGGTGGCCGTGGTAGTGATGTTGTTCATCTTGTAATGGGTGACGGGGGGTGGTGCGATCTTGCCGTTGGCAGACTTGGGCGTCTTGCGAAAGGGGGATGTCGGCGGTGATAAGGGATGGAGCGCGGCGGCGGACTTCCTGGCAGCAGAGAAATCGCTACTGCCAGGAGATATGAGGAAGTAGAGGATGAAGATGCATAGGACGGCGCCGAGAAGCAGCGTGAAGGGATTCGCCTTCTTCAGACGGACAGGCCCCAATGGTCGCGCCATGTTGGGGGTTCGTCGGTTTGTCTCACAAGCCAAGTATCCGGAATGACATAGAAAAGACACAGCGGCCCGCGACGCCTCCCTTTTCCAAGCTGGGAAGAGAGCAACTTGGTGCGAGAGGGCGAGCAACGTTGCCTGGCACAAATCCGTGTCGCGCCGTGGTGATGGCAGCTGGATTGCCTCGCTGGCGGTTCGTTCGGTCGTTCAACGTGGATGGATAGAAAAGGTCGAATACGAGCTGCCGCCAGAGACAGACACGAACGGGACTGGTAAAATTGTATACTGTGGTATGTCCCCAAGCCAATGTGCTACTGGGCCAAACAGGCTTAGCGCACAGCTTCAGGGAGGGAGGGAGAAGAGGGACCAGCTGCCAGGGGTTGTTGCCTCTAATTCCTCACCTTAGCTGCTGAGCAGCATGCCGGGACATGACTAAGGTCACCACCTACTGGGCAGTAAGGTAGGGCGCTGCTGTAAGAGTGCCCCGGCAGCGAGATAAATTCCGTCCCGGGGCTGAATGCTTCTGCTGGATGCTGCTGCAGTACCTTCCGCAGTAGCGCCTTGGCTTGCCTTGCCTTACCTAAGCAGGCTGCCCCTAGCAGTGCGAAGCTCAGACGCGTGCCAGCAGAGCTGCCTTGAGCTCCAGAGCCCGAGCCTTGCCAGACGACGACACCTCAAGCCAACATCATCGAATCCACTCCTTCATCGTCGGCCATTTCCTGCCCTCCCCTTCGCCCTTTTGTATCAACTCCGGCCTTTTAATACTCTTCTTTTTTCCGACGTCACTCACTTTGACGCTCTCACAACTGACCACACCAACTGACCCCGAGATGGATACCCTCGTGGCTCGATACAGCCGCCCGGCTTTCCACGAGCCTCAGGCTTTCTCAGATGAGGATGACCAAACATTCAGCGACTCCGTTCCCAGCCTAAAGTTCGCCATGCCGCCGGTAGCACAGGTATGATTCCTATCTCTCTCTTGCACGGATAGCTCGATGGCCTCTGGCTGTCCTCAAGCAGCTGCAAGCTTTAGGTAAACGCTGACATCACGTAGCCTTCCGCATGGCTTCGCGCCGCATCAGATGACCGATCAAACCCAGACTGCCCCATCAAGATTGCCCACGGTACGACCACACTTGCCTTTCGATTCCAAGGCGGCATCATTGTCGCTACCGATTCGCGTGCCACCGCCGGCAACTGGATTGCGTCGCAGACTGTCAAGAAGGTTATCGAGATCAACAGCTGCTTGCTAGGCACAATGGCCGGTGGTGCCGCCGACTGCCAGTACTGGCTCGCCTGGCTGGGCATGCAATGCCGTCTGCACGAGCTCCGTCACAAGCGCCGTATCTCCGTCGCTGCCGCCTCCAAGATCCTCGCCAACCTCGTCTACCAATACAAGGGCATGGGCTTGAGCATGGGCACCATGTGCGCCGGTGTCACCAAGGAGGAGGGCCCGGCGCTGTACTATATCGACTCGGATGGCACTCGACTGGCGGGCAACCTGTTCTGCGTGGGATCTGGTCAGACCTTTGCGTACGGTGTTCTGGACGCTGAGTACCGGTACGACCTGAACGAGGAGGAGGCGCTAGAGCTGGGTAGACGGAGTATTCTGGCCGCAACGCATCGTGATGCTTACTCTGGTGGTTTCATCAACCTGTACCATGTCAAGGAGGAAGGATGGGTCAAGCACGGCTTCAACGACACAAACCCCATCTTCTGGAAGACCAAGTTGGAGAAGGGCGAGTTCACCAACGTGACGAGCGCGCTTGATTAGACGTGGGTGCCTAGCACGGATCGTGCGCTAGTCGTGGGTAGAGGAGTTTGATACACTACTTGTCACAATAGTAAAGGCATCGTCGTGGGGTGGTCCAGGAGGAATGCCATTGTACCTGTACAACAGATAGGCATATGAATCGCAGTATGCAGCTGCCTCTCGATTTATCATACATTCTATATGGGTATTCTGAGTTGTGATGTACATCTGTGTCTATGTTACATTAGTATTCAACCAGCCATCGGCGCCGAGTATACCGCCCTCTTGTTCTGGATCCAACGGCCACTTCTTCCTAGCCAGAACCGAGAGATCTGTTCGCCACCCTGCTTCGTACATCTCCATCCCCGTCCAAGCAATCATCGCTGCATTGTCCGTGCAGTATTTTATCGGTGGCGCAACGATCTCCACGTCTCGAAATCCACGCACGTCCAGAAGTGACCGCAAGACATGCCGTAAGAATCGATTGCTCGCCACTCCACCGGACACGACCAGCGTCTTCACGGCAGAGACCGAGTCGCCAGCGTCTTGCTTTTGCCGTAGGTTCTGCAGGGCATTGACGACCCGGCTGCCCAGGTGCTCGAACGCCATCCGCATGGTCTCGCGCGCCAACACCCTGCGCTCCGCATCGTCCATCGCGGCCCCTCGGTCCGTCACAATACGCTGTGCGATGCCGTTCAGGCCGGAGAAGTTGAACCTGTCCATCGACCGGGAGTTCGCCAGAGGGGCTTGCAGCTGCCAACCCCCGATCGGGTAGTCAAAGGGCGCAATCTCATCGGCTCGTCTGAGCGGCGGGGAGTAGTGGTAGTCTGCCTCGCCAGAGGGGAAGGTGAATGCCTCAAGAAGCCGCCCGTAGACAACGCTAGATCCGGACTCGGCAGCGAGGATGCTCTCGGGAAGGAGGGCGCGGCCACATTTGTCTACCAGGTCGCCAATGGCAATGTTGTCTGCCTCGGCGAGAATGGTGTGGTCGCACAGGGAGCGCGAGAACAGGAGGAGGGAGTGCCCGCCAGAAACGAGCAGGGAGAGGAACGGGAAGGAAGGCTCAGGGTCGCTATCCTGTGCTGAAGTGTCCGTGGCGGCCTCACTCCGTGACAGGGCCGTCACCATGCGTGGAGTTAGAGCGTGTGCCTGCATATGGTTCACTCCAAGCAACGGCACCTGCCAGGCCAGCGCGAGCCCCTTTGCCGTGTTCAGGCCCACAGAGAGGTTGGCCGTCATCCCTGGGCCGCGGGTCACAGTGACAAAGTCCGGCTTACACTTCGCCTTTACCTCCCCGGCTTCATTCTTGACATGGATCGTTTTGCTGCCAGTTTCTTGCTTCTTGTCTTCTGTCTGTTCGGGCAGGAACTTCAACGACTCCTGAACGAGTCCCGCCAGGCTTCGCGTGTGGGACACAACCGCCAGGGCGGGATGCACGCCACGGAATTCGCGATTGTCGCAGGTGACCTTGTTGTGGTGAAGCAGACGCGCGCGCGAGCCAGTTTTCTCCAAGATGGCGACGCAGCTGTCGTCACATGAGGATTCAATGGCCAGAGTGAGCAATTGGCGCTTTTGAAGAGCGGTGGCACCGTCGCGTACATGACGGCTTCGTTGAAACGCGGCCCTCGCCCCGGAGCCGGCCAAGGGCCTCGCAAAGCGGCATGAAATCCTCATCGCCCCTCAGGTGCCTTCATCTGTGCATGTTGGATTGAGGCGACATGGATGAATCCCTCTCGGTGTGGTTAAGATCTGGAGTGTGAGGGTCGAAATTTTCTGACCTGACGACGTTTGGCGGGGTTTCACTTATACGTCAATTGACTTACACGCAACCAACACATCCATTTTAGAGACAAGCTGTAGCACCGCTTCTGAGAATAATGTGCTGCCATCTATTGGTAACCCGGTTATACACTTGTTCAATGAGACTCGGTAATCTATCCCATTTCTCAACCTACGGAAGTCAGAGGTTTGGGGCAAGGCTGTTATCAAAAGCGATTTAATTAAGTTCAGTTATGCATATAAGCTTGCAACACAAGCACAGCATCCCAATGCTACATTACCATGCTGATGCCATTTTCTTACCTAAAATGCGTCCTAGTTATGCAAGTAGTAAAACAAAGGCTCAATCTTCTCTTAGCTGATTCCCAGAGTCTTTCCATTCTCATTCAGGAAGTTAACCCAGCTACACCGACAACCTCCAGTTCCTCCATCAATACCGCCCAAGCTCAAGTCTGCCGAGAAACCAGGATTGATCCGTGGTGAATCGAAACCGACATCGTTGGAAATCAACTTTGTGTTCGTCCGGTTGATGTGCTGACGGTCGTCCACGCCGTAGTAGAACGACGCCTTCTTGCTGTAATCGCCACCATGTGTATCGACGCTGACGGTCACGGCATACGGCATCGTGCCCGGCCGCGTGCTGTTGTCCGGCGCGCCCTGTAGTAGGTTTGTGCCGTTGCCCATGCGCGTCCAGATCTGGACATGGAATCGCGTCTGCGTCCAGGTGATCAAGAAGTTGGCCTCCGTCTCAAGACATCCGCCGTCCTTGTCTGCCGGGACATTGCCCTGATCGGCGGTATTTTCGTTCAGCGGCGTCACAGACTTGACGTAGAGCGTCTTGTTGTAGTAACTGTAGAAGCCGTAGTGCTCCGTCGGCAGTCCTCGGTCGAACAATCGCAGAGGTTGTTGGAAGGGGTAGGCAAGGAGCTTTGCGGCAGCGCCTGTTCCATCAGGGTTGAGGTCTGGTGGTGGCAGGGAACCTGTCAAATTCACGTCGCGAGCATTGAGGGTATTCTCACTACCACGACGAGCCAGAGCCTCAGGCAGCATGTTTGGGCCAGCTGTCTGGTTCAGAGAATCAAAGAAGCTGATGAAGAATGGAGTTGGCTCGCCAGCCTTGCGGTCAGAGACGATACCATCGGTCGTGTTTCCGAGGAACCACATCTCTTGGAAGGAAGGTGGCAGCGGGTTGGGTGCAAATCCTTCATCGAAAGTTTGAACGTCTCGAGCAGCCAGAGAACCGTCTGTGCCATTGCCTTTATTTGCATTGGCTGTCTCGTTGGCCCTCTCGGCCCCAGTCTCGAGAGTTTCTTGCCCGTTGCTTGTGGGATGCGGTGGCACAGCGTCCTTGACATTCCACAACTGCTTCGTGCTGTTGTCATATTGAATCTGCATGATGAATTTCGGCTGGTTGGCCTTGTAAGGCTCGTTTGCAGCTTGCTGTTCCTTGGGTAGCGAGCATGTCCACAAGGTCAGGGGTTGAGTACATCCTGTAACTGTAACCGGGTTCTCTGGCCCAACGACAGTGGACATGCCAGTGGGCATTGGAGGAAAGTCAGTCAAATTCAGCCATCTCGTGTCCACTGGAGGACTGCTGTGATGTTTATGGGCCAAAGTAACAGCAAGGACGACAATTAGGATTATGGCACCAATGACACCACCGCAGATGGCGAGGCATATCCGCCTCTTTTTTCTTCCTTCGCGACCAGGTCTACCATAGCAGCCATTCTCCGGTATACAGGCGCGACCCTTCCAGAAGCCACCAATCTTCCTAGCGATATAGTCTTCTTTCTCGTGCCGCCTTCGCCGCCGTTCGGTCTTGGCTGCAGGAGACCGTCCAATAACCTCAGCAAAATGCTCACCAGTGACAAATGCCCCAGCCGGTCTATCGGGCAGAGGCGTGGCTCGCGAGGCCGGTGTCAGAGGTACGTCCGTCATGCTGATTGCGCCTTGGGATGTCATCGTCCCCGCCAGTCCTGGTGTTACCGGGCCGGGAGAGGGAGGGAATTGATTCGCTAAAGGGTGTCCTGGAGGGAAGACAGCACGGTATCTAACCACATGCTGCTTCGATGGTGGGGAGTATGGCGGAGGCTCTTCTGTAGGGATTGCTTCTTCCTCAGCCAGAATTTGCGTCTTGTCGATATGGCTCTGTTGCTGACTATCTGGAACTTGAGGCGAGGATCGTGACGAAGATGCATTTGTGGGTGTTGGCTCTCGGATAATAGGAACAGACAGCGGAGCGGGCACATGTGCGCGACGCGACGATGATGCTTCTCCGGTCTCTGTTGAATTCAACGGATTTCGGGGTTTCTTCTCATCTTTTCCAGCCCACCATTCATCCGCAGCTGGGCTGTCATCCTTGGCGCTTCGTGGATGTGCACTGAATGGGCTTCCACGTTCACTGAAAGGTGTTCTAACGTGATCCCACCACCCAGAGCGTGACTTGGTTGTCTCGGGAGATATTCTTGATACAGCAGACTTTGGGGATTTGCGGCTGTATATCGGACTCCCGTCCTCTTCAAAAAGAGTGACTGGGGTAAAGGAGTCATCATCGTCCACTTCCTTGGCAGGCTGGGCGACATGTTCCTTGAAGTATGAAGGAACAGCCGGGACAGGGGGAGCTGATTGATGATCACCAAGGGGGCTATTTTGGGAATACATACTGGATGCCGCTCGCGAAAACCGTGAAGGTGAAAAGCTGTCCTCTGTGTCGGGAGACCAGACTGACTTGAACTGCTGCGGTGATGATGAGGATGGAATTGGTGGTATCTGCGGGGCTGTACCTGTGGTGGTTCGGAAGTCAACTGGACTTCCCAGGACAGCTGTCTGTGGGCTGATGACTTTGTTCACAAGGTCGTCAGAAGGCAGAGAGATACCAATGACGATGGGCCTGTCATTTGGTGACAGATCCTGTTGGAGAGACTTCTGAGATGCTTTCTTCTTGTGTCCTGTCTTGGACGGTCGTTTCTTTAGCCACGCCCAGCTGCCCACTGTCGCTGATGTGGGATCGCCCTCCAGTGCTCTCAAAGCAGCTGCATCCACGAATCTTCCTGTCCTCTCGTCTTTTGGCCCCGCCGACTTCAGTTGCTGGGCGATATGCTGGTTCCGCTGAAACTTCGTCATGTCTGTGACTAGCTTGATACCTGCTTTTGCATTCTGTGCCTTCTGCCTCTTTCTGGACTTCAATCTCCCGATCCTCTGAGCAGATTGCCTTATTTGTGATATGTGTGTTTCGGACCGCCTGGACGCCTTGTCCTTTGATTTTCTCGGCGACGCTGACCCCCGTGCCATGAGTGGTTGTTCCATCGGAGTGACTGTTGTATCCATTTCGTCGTCGTCCCAGTCTTCCCAGTCTTCGCGGTCCTCCTTCTGGGCTACATGGTCGAACGGCGTGTCAAAAGGGTCATGTTGGAGCGATCTTAAATCCTCCATATCGGTTTACTCCTGATAATTAATCGCGGAAATAATTGCGGTGCATAGGGAGGGGAAGTAGAGTTTGGAAATCAGGAAAGACAGAAGAGTCTCGAAATCCTCGATTTGTCAAAGTTGTCGAGGGTTGCAAGGTATTCGTGCAAGGCGGTTGAGAGTTCCAACTCGAATAGCTGAACTAAGAGGCAACATTCATTGTACTCTAAATGAGCAGGACAGAAGAAGAACAATGAGAGTTATTGAAAACAATAGAAGCCCATTCACCGCCTCAGGTCCGTGAATAGCCATCAAACAATGAGCAACAATATGAATGGGAAAATCGAGAATAATGACTGTAGATCGTCGAACGACTGGAAACTCAGCCGACGATGAGAGCCAAGCACTACTTGGCCATCGAGCTATACCCACAAGTAAATCGACTCATCAGACTGCCGCGCAAGACGAGATATGACTGGCGCCCTTGGCTGAGCGGCGTGCCACGATGAATCTCGGATGTTTGCTAAATAAAGGCTGGTCGCGAATGACCAGCGTCAAAAGCAGTCATTCAAGGTCTCTGCGCTGGGTTCGTTGCAGGGAGTGTTTTGGAAGTTAAGCGCTGCAGATGAAAGTGAGAGAAGGATTGGTTGTGGGCGGCCCGCCCCAAGCCCGTAGTTGGCCTTTGGTGCGCTGTAGTCGCGCGGCCTTCATTCAAGCGACCAGCCAGGCTCCAATTGAGTCTTGGCGATGCCCTCGCTTGTGGGACAAAGGCCGCCACTCTCTGCGTCTCAGAAATTGCGTTTTACGTTGGAGGGCGCTGGTTGTCTTTGTCTGCCCATGTATACCGGCCACTGGTGGAACGATCAAGCGGTCCATCATGAGCGCCCTTCAGCGGCGTGCCGTCCAGTGCCTGAACATTCGAGTGTGGAGGTTTTGATGGCGCTGACGAGTCTAATCAACCAGTGTGCAGACTCCGTGGACGTCGAATACGTGGATTCTCATCTACTTGTTAGACAAACATGCGTATGAGTTACCAACATTTTATGATTGTCATGAGGTGTAGGGCCTTGACGGCGTGCACAAGACATGGTCAAGATCATCGTCATTGGATCCAACAACTCGAAGCTGGCCGACGAGAAGGACCGAAGCATGAAAGCCTTGCTATTGTATTTTGGTTATATACTCTACATTCCATCGATAGCGAATGCATTGTAGTACGATCAACAGATGGTGGCCGACGCGGAGTCGACTGTTTCATCGATTGACTGCTGCGGGGGAAATGAACATGCTTCAGCAACTTGAATATATTATCACAATATGTGTCAACGGCAGAGAGCCGTCTACACTCAATAAAAGGCGGCATGAGAGAAACATTGAACGAGTCTCTTGCCCAATGTTGATGAAGAATGAAGACGCAATGCTGTACGCCAGCTTGTGGAGTGCAGGGCGGGAAGATCTCGTCATCTTGAGGATCGCCTTAGTGGGCTGCCAAGCTTCGGGCCAAGACACTGCCAAGATTCTCGCCCGACGTCACTTCACATCTCGACTTACATCCAAGTTGAGCCTCTATAGATTTCAATATTGATGTATGCAAGTTGCTGAAAATCACACTGAATTGGAAAGGATCAGTTGGTGGCATCAATTGAAATGCAATACAATCGAGGGCATGGCAATTCAATTGACAAAAATCGGTGTCAATTTCGCAAGACTACGCTGATTCAATACAATTGTTGATAGCTTCCATCCTCCACTCCAGGTTGAGTGGTGTGCCGTATCGTGGCAGTTTGGGATGGTGCACCTCGCAAAGAATTTATTTGCACACCGACATTCCAAGCGCTAGCTATCGGACAATCTCAATTGTCATTACCCGTCTAGGGTGTCTAGCAGCAAGCCAGCTCTTCACCGCAGCAGCAGCAGTTACACTGGAGCATTTCATTAGACTCTGGTCATTTAAGAGAGCGGGCAGTGCAAAGGGAGATCCTTCGGCAGTTGATCGCAATACAATGCGCCTGGATTTCGGTGTGAAGGGCCCGTATGCTATGACTACCAAGCATCATGACTCCAACATAGGAAATCGAAAGATGCTTACCTCCTCGACAAAGCCACCACGCATCGTCATTTCCGGCTGGGGCTCAGCAGACTGACTTGTGTTAGCAAAAGCTTGTGTTTTACCACCACATGCCCAATTCCGTCGACGGGAACAAGCTCGCAGGCGGACGGCACATTTGAGGGGTTGACAAGCACGTACAGGCTGCTGAGTGATGGTCTCGCCCTGAGCGGTGGCCTCCATGGGCATTTGCTGTTGAGGAGCTTCGACGGCAGGCATGTTGACTTTGGAGAGATCAGGTAGCTGGCACCTAGATTCAATAGTGTAGAAGCGGAGTATTGAGTGGGTGATTGAGTGAAAGACTGATTTTACTAGAGGTGAAACAGAGAAATGAGAAATAAAGGAACGTAGAGGAGCTGGAAGGGCGTAAGCTTCTTATGCTTCTTTCCTCAACGGCAAAACAGGGTAGTCTCCTGGTCAATCTGCAACTGGACGGGACCAAGGGGTTGGTGGCCAGGGCAGTGCAGCTCCATGTAGATACTATCATTCGCTTCCACATTGACCCCCTCCCCCGCTCGACCACGCATGCTGTGGCTGCTCTCCTGCCTTTCAGCTGCGGTGAACCCTGATCCACGGCTGCTTCATCGGCCAACTCCCTGGCGACACTGTCCATATAGTCATGGGGGTACGTTAGGCCAAGCACTGATTGGCTGAAACGTCCCGTTTACACCAGGACAACCTTGGATTGACTGTGTCCTGCAGGCACTTCTCACCACACCAGATGGCAAACCAGCCACAGGATCTTCTCCTAGATGCAGAATGACTGACTGCTTCTTTGCGGTCTCAAAACTGCTTGAATTGAGGCAGGATTCCCCTATCCCACGACACCATTGAGCGGGTTGAATAACGGCGAATTCTCGCTTTGCGGCAAGGATGACGAAGAGCGCTGACGAAGATCAAGGCGCGTCAACTCAACCGACGGCGGGTACATCCGACGTCACCAAAGCCGGTGTCAGCGTCTGGGCTTCACACCCACAGACAATGGGCCAATTCTGAAACCATAGCGATCAGATCAGCACGTGTGTCAAGCTTTTGGTTGCCTTAAGGCGGGCTGAAGACTGGGAAGACAAGCGATTGACCAGGAAAAGACTGCATGCCAACTTGCACTCTGTAGTACCCCACTAGGGCTGAGTGTAGAGAGACTGATGTAAGTCAGGTTACTTATTCCCGAGATGTGACAGGGTCCAAAATGTGAGGGCGTTGTCGGATCCGAGGACAAGTATATGGTTGATAAACTGGAAATCAGTGGCTTTGCAACCTGGAAGATGAGCATCATGACTAAGATGGAGTAGGTATGGACGGACGTCCAAATGACTTCATACCCGAAAAGCATCGAACATAGGTAGCACTAGAACCCGTTGCTCTACAGATAGTACCTAGGTACACATCACGTGAAGAAGGGCGTGATATAGCTGTATTCCTGCTGACGCCCATTGCTTAAGACCAAGACAGCTTCCCTAGCATAGAAGAACTTGCTTGTATTGCGATATGATAGACTAGATTGCCTGAAGAGGCGATTGATTGACAATTGTTGTAGAGGCCACCGGTGTACTGCGTAGCTCCCGCCCGGAGGACGACGGGCGTTTGTTCCGTGTTCCGTTTGACTGGTAGCGAGTCGTCTTTCACATTGACAAAGATCTCTTGGGACATGAATCAGGGCCGCTAAGACCACCACCAATTGATGGCGCTGTTTAACACGAACCAGCAACGTGGGCGACGGTTTGAGACGGGCGAACCCTGTCAAGCCACAGAGTCAGGCCGCCCGCAGGAGATGAGGAAAACACCATTGGTGTTATTCGCCAGTGGACGACGGTTTGAGAATGTGGATACAGAACTCAAAGAGGCGCTCATAGCGCTCACCGGACCGTGCGAAGCCCACATATCACAATCTTACCCCCATCTTATCGGTGGGTAGATTGCTGTGCCTTTGGCGGTGCCGAAAACGTACACTAGAATGTCGCAATTTGAGCCGAGACGGTGAGCAAATGAAATCAAATGAGATCAGATCCGCCCGGTGCAAATCACAGCTCCACTGACAAAAACAAAGAAAGGGAGAAGGGGCCCAAGGGGGGGGAGAGGTAGGTAACATTAGTCGGGTTCAAAACATCCCGTACATTGCGAGCGAGTCAGGACTTCAGCTCTGCAATTTCATGACAGCTGTCATGTGTACGCATTGCTACCTACCTACTTACCAATACGATTGTTAGTGGGTTGTTGTAGAGTGCGATGCGTTGAACTAGTAGAATGCGACCTCGTACAGGAATCACTCTTACCTGGTGAAGTGCAGGCTTATCGCACATGCATTCGAGTACGAGGTTTGTGTCGGTCCGGCCGTGTCAGGTCAGCCTGACAGCTTACATAGTAAACGGATTCGATGCGGATACGTGGGTTACCAAATACCCCGGGCTGGCGATGTGCTCGAGACCATCTAACCAGGCTTATTATTCCTTGCCTAGTAGGCAATTCGCTGTAATCGGTTTCGCACCTACCAAGTTATAAACGCCCTCGAGCCTCCCTCTTCAAGTTGGGGAGCCACCAGGGTGCGATTACTGAGGGTTTGCGAGGGAGGGCCAATCCAGACTCAATCAATCAAGGGGTCTCTGGTCAAGTCTTGGCCCATAACAAATTTCCCTAATACGCGCAAAACAACGCCCATTCCAACTTGGGCTGGGCTGGGCTGCACTGGACTGCTGCTGAAGTTCCTCCTGCCTCCTGCCTCACTCCTTGCAAACAGCACATCCCTAGGCAAACAGGTACCGTAGTCAGTCTGTTGCTTCACCTTGTGAGGTAGCGTTACAGCAATATTAGACGAAGGAGTGCCAGACCCTGAAACATTCCGAAAGGAAACACCAAAGCGTGGCGTCAGGTCTGCGATTTCGAGGCTCCACCTCCTTGGGCTTGCTATCCTCAGGGTTGTTGAGTGGTCTCCGTGCCGAGCGTGGTTCAGCAGCACCGCAGCAGGAGCCCGGTCGCTTGAGATTAGCGGCGTGGACCCCTGAAGATTTTCGTTAAGCTCCCTTTTGGGGTGGGGATCGGATACTCAGCGAACAGATCACCTGCATTCAGTGAGTGGGCAGCTTCCCCTTTGCAGCCCTTACTACCGTATGTAAAGATAAAGGACAAAAAAAGATTGGTGGTGGGTATCAAGTATGTACTGTAGCTGTCCTCATCCGTCCCAAAGTTAACTCAAGTCGACCACCGAGCGATACGAGCTCCGAATTGTCACTTTTCTGCCGCCCGCCGCGCGACCAGCCAGCGCCTCCAAAAACATTGGCACCTGGAAGTACCTCCCTCCTCTACACACCACCCACCACCTCCCGCCTATCTACCTACCCTACCTTTGACCCTACCGACCCTACCGTGCTACACGCCAATCACCATCCTACTGCATACTATACGGTAGTACACTGCAGCTTGTCATTGCAACCCTCGTTCGCAGCAAACGGACTGAGCATCTGCCGCCCCAGATTCGCCATTCACCGACCGACGAGATACCGGTAGATGTACACTCCAGGTTCCCTCACTGACTGAGCACCAACCTCTCCTCCTTTCCTTTTACTTTTGCCTTTGATCGACCTTTGCGGGAGCAGGTTTAGACGGGGAACACATTGTGCGACGAGACCTGTGGCTTTTTGTTTGTCTCTGTGTTTGGTGGCATTGGTGTCGAGAAAAAATAGGGGACATTGCCAAGACGACCACCTGTGCTTTTTTCTGCACTGCCGACTGCTTGGAGGCCAGTCACGGCAACACAAACCTCCGACCTGTCGCAATCGCAACCTATCCAAAAGGGGCCCCAGAGCGCCACCTCTTGAGAACCGCTGGTCGACCTGGCGTCTTCAAACCCATCCTCGACCTCATCCTCGACGACCTCGTACCGTGACAGACCAGCTCCGTCATATCACCGCAGGAGATCGTCTGCCGGCAATCTCACCATCTCATTGGGCGAGAGCGACTCTCATCGATACCTGGGGGTAAAGCCCCGATATCCCAGACCCTATCCCCCATTCCTGGTAAGTTCCGACGATCTTCTCTTCGCCATCGAGTCCTGAGGAGGCAGTCATTAACGGGGCCATTTGCCCTCATGCAGGCACTCCCAATACTCCAATGTCCTTGTCACGAAGTCCATCCCCAGTTCCCGGCGGCGGTTGGTCAAGTCCTGGCCTCAACATTAACAGCGGCCGATCAAGTCCTGCGAAAGGATACTCTGGTTCCAACGGTAATCCTATAGCTTGGGAATCGGCGCGACTAAAAAACATGGGGAGCGGTGGATATCCGTCGTTCTCGACGCAGCACCAAGGTTTCTTTACGCGACACATGCGACGCATATCGAGCAGTCTGCCGCGGTTCGCATCCAATTCTCACTATGCCGAGAAGGAAAAGCTCCAGCGTGGGCGGTGGTCTCTACAGAGCGTTCCTATCCTTGGAAGATTAAAGAACATTGCTGCGCGCATGGGCAGGAAGATGAAGATAAGGCTGCTGATCGGCTTTCTAATACTGTTCTGCATTTGGGTGTTTTACAATTCTCGTCAGTCCCCTTTCCTACGGCTGAAAAGAGGTTATGCTGACTTTTGATAGCCCTCGTATATCACTGGCGACGAACAGCGTGGCTCGGTGGGGGACAGAAGTACGTGATTATTTTGGCCGCCAATGTCGGTGGAGGCGTAATGGAATGGAAGGGCGCACGAGAGTGGGCTATCGAGAGAGACAGCGTTCGGAACAAGAAAAAGTACGTGGCTCGGTGGGGATACGAACTTGAGATCGTGGACATGAGCACCAAGAAGCGCTACGCTCACGAGTGGCGCGAGAGCTGGGAGAAAGTCGACTTCATCCGAATGTGTCTCCGGAAATATCCCAAGGCCGAATGGTAAGCCCTCATGAACTCCTTCCAGCTTTGTATTCATCGGCTCATGTTATTTAGGATCTGGTGGCTCGACCTCAACACATTCATCATGGAGCCGGGGTACTCGCTGCAAGACCATATTTTCAACAACCTCGAAAAACATGTTTACCGGGATATCAATGAGTATAATCCATTGAACATCACACACCCCTTCACCGAGCCTTATCTCGATGATGAAGCACGAAGCCCCGTTGGTGACGGTGACGTTAACTCAGTCAACCTCATTCTTCCACAAGACTGCTCGGGATTCAACCTGGGATCCTTCTTCATGCGCCGTAGTACTTGGACGGATCGACTACTTGATGTATGGTGGGATCCTGTTGCCTACGAGCAGAAGCACATGGACTGGGCACACAAAGAGCAGGATGCACTTGAGCAGCTTTACAAAGCCCAGCCTTGGATCCGAAGTCATACCGGATTTCTTCCCCAGCGGATGATCAACAGCTTTCCACCCGGAGCATGCTCCGATAATGGCAACGATACCCGCATACACTACGACCAGAAAGACCGCGACTTTTTGGTCAACATGGCTGGTTGTGAGTGGGGCCGAGACTGCTGGGGAGAAATGTACAACTACCGAGAGTTGAGCTATTACCTCAACCGGAGTTGGTGGGAGCGCTTCAAGGAAGACTTCCTGGCTCTCATCTGGTTCAAGATTACCGGCCAGAAGGTGAAGTTTTGAGAGACAACATATACCCTTCCGACCCAGTCCTGGTCCCTGTTCATATGGCATTGGACGCTTTGTACTATTTTCTGTCCTCACATAATTGGGGCGTTCGGCTTTTGCATTCACCGGCAGGCACGTTCCATTCTTCGAGGCTCTCGGCTGTCTGAGGCCTGAGCCGCTCATGGCTCTTCATTCGGACCAACCTTTTGTTGTTACTATACCGCGTTTGCATAATGGTCACGGAGCTATGGTGACGCTGGCATAAAGAACGGCGTCTGCCATTCATGGATTGACACGATCACGAAGTCGACGAGGGATTGGTGTTATCCGCAGGCTAGGATCAACTCCAGAAGAGCACATGCAGACAAAGATGGAGGTAGAGAGGAAAGGAGCGGGGGGGGTTTCGACCATTTTTCTTATTTCTCACCCTTATCTCTGAGGAGCCGTGTCATCGAGCTTCCGGGGCATTTCCCACGGATGTTGGAGTACGGAATGGAGAACCACTGTTAAACATATGCATCTTGTACGGAGGCGTTGAAATATTAGACCAGCGCACCTTTTTCCAAAGACATCCTGGTAGATATACAGCTCTATCACGATAGCATCATACAATATGGACGAACCTACGAGGTGATTTAGGCGCTGAACAAGACTTGTGTGTCCCTGCGACACAGCGTATAGATGGTGTGCTACAACAGGCTGTCTGCAGCTTGTAATCCGTGAAGTGGCCTGGTGACAGGACGTGGTGCCTCTCGGAAACCGGCAGCATCTGCAACGGTCATGTCTCGCAAGTCTGCGAGACGGGATGCACAAGCTCGGTTGCATGTCTGACAAGATTGGGCGAGTGTGTTCTTAGTTGTTCAAAGCTGCCTCGAGAGTTGTAAGTGTTTCAACGATATTTGAAAACCGAGACAGCACTGCCAACCTTTTGTGCTGCTGAGTTATAGAGATTATTTCTATCGTATTATGACCTAATACTTTGAGAAGGGTTTTGAGTGATGTTGAAGAGAGGTCCATTCTTGCAGCATCCACAACGACCTCCTCCTTTGCCCAGCAATCCACTAAAATATCTCGGTATGCACGTCAAAGAGTCCATGTGTCATAAACATCGATACGCCTTCCTTGACACCCAGGTAGCGATGTTGGAAGGGAAGTAACCTTATACAAGCCTTATCAGTTTCATGGTATTTCTAAGGAAAGCAGGAGCTATAGGCGCCGCACATTGATCAAAAGGAAAGTACGGGGAAGACTTAGGTACGGAATTGTGACTACTGGCCCCTTTATAGGAAGGAGTAGAGCAGAATAATGCCATCCACACATGGACCTTCCTCGATTTCGAAAATGGAAGCAAGCTTCTGCCTAATTCCTCTGCTCCTACAGGCACCTCTCTCAGGTCCATTATGCAAATACAAAGCAATCTTCAGTTTGATCTGCTTCACTTGTAGTAGGCTCCACGGCTTGACTTTCTACAATTCGGTCGTTGAGATTACTTTCAATCTCCTGCATCGCTCTTTGATCAGCCAGTGCGCGCACATATTGAGACATCCACAGCGTCATTGTCAAGATGGCCCGGGATGGACCAGGTTTCTTCCAAGGCGATGGGGACTGGGATCTGCTCAGCTACGTCCGAGGTATGGCGAACTTTGAAGGAATGACGGACGATGATGAGGCTAGAGCACAAAGATTGAAAGAGCTCAATGACGGCGAGTTTACCGACGTCTTCGATGAGCTGTACCAGGAATACAGGGAGTACAAAGCCAGCAAGTCCATGTGGAACGAAGATGGAGAGAGGGCGCTCGTTCTCTTCTGCATTGTGGCCATGGAGCTCGGGGTCATCTTCACCAAGAAGCAGCTCTATCTCTTGCGAAGTGTTGCTCGCGATCTGCCGACGGTGTTTGAGCAGATGTTGGTGGTAGCAGCAGCCGACGAGTACAAGAACAACGGAACGCCATGGGTCATGGAGAGCCATGTCGACTATCCCCACGTTCAAAGCTCTGGGAGACACTGGGACAGCGACTTTCTCGACCCATTCGTCTATCTAAGTGGGCCTGGGTAAGTCGTTTCCCAATCTCTAGCTGGTGAAGTATCAAGAAACTCGTACTCATAAAAAGAGCAGACACTCCGCCGACGAGCCTGATTACCCCTATGCGCACACCAAGACATGCCTCCGTTGTGGCAAACATGAGCCACAGACGACGTGCGAAAAATGCGGGATAGCTCGTTACTGTGATGAGCATTGCCAGAGGGCGGACCATAAGCTGCACAAGGGATCATGTTGCCGATAGAACAGTCGGCCAGCACCTTGAACTCTGGTCCAGAATTTGCGTTGGTCATGATACTGTTCCAGGTTCTTGATCACATTTATCACCTGGACGAGGCGGTTTACTTGGCACGATCCATAGCTAAATAATTATACTAGGATTGACAGTTGATCATGTATGCATCATGAAACACTTTCGACCGCTGGAGCATCTGATATTCCGGAGATCATATTGACTTTTAGTCCTTTCAAGGGTATGAGTACCTTTCTAGCATCTTGCTGGGCTTTCGAATGAGTTGCTTAGCATACTGTCACATTAGACAAGTAGTCAGGCCCCTAATTGTTTGCAGACCGTCAATTTCAAGACATTTATTTCTGTGTATTGCGCTTAGTGAAAGACCAAATTTGACTGGTTGTGTACCGCCGCGCTGCTGACTTTGGTGACATTGAGCAAGGGCATTATTTTGTAATCGGAGATAATTAGCGTAAAAAGAGTGAACCTAGAATTTCTGCTCGTTGTTATAGAACAACAATTTCTAGACATACGAAAAAGCCGACCTTGAGAGTATAGCTGTCCGTATCTAGATGAGGTTGTCAAAGACGGGAGGTAAGACTCCATCGAGTTTAGATGCTAGAGTGACTCAGTAGTTGGGTGTGTATTGCAAGCAAGGAGGGGAGCAGTGAAACCGTGGTTCAAAAGTGGGGCGGAATTCCAGCATTTCAATGGCGACATGGAACAACGGGCAGAGCTCTCTCGTGATAGGCATTTGGCAAATCTGACTCCAACCTGGCCTCGTCTTGTCCCTGTCCTACTTTCATTAAGCCATGACTCACGACTGAATGCACTCCTTTTTCAGTATCGTGAGGCTCTCTACTTCGTCCTTCAACCTTCTCCGAACCCAGTTTCCCCGCACATTGTCGACAACCTCGAGAGTCATGGCCTCGATCAAAGTCTACAACTCACTCAAGCCCGGCGCAGCGGTGCCCTTCGTGCCCAGGGAGGAGGGCAAGGTTGCCTGGTATGCCTGCGGACCGACTGTCTACGATCAGAGCCATCTGGGCCATGCTCGCAATTATGTCTCGACAGACATCATCCGGCGCATCTTGCTGCACTACTTTGGCTTCAAGGTCAACTTTGTCATGAACATTACAGACGTCGATGACAAGGTATGGTAGCTGGAACTTCAAGCGGTGGCTTGGTCTGACGTCTTCTAGATCATCATAAAAGCCCGAAGAAAGCGATTGTTTATTCTAGAGAAGGAGAAGACGTACACACCCGAGCAGAGTCACAAGCTTGGCACGGAAGCCTTCGTGGCCTACGCCAAGTCCAACCTTCCACTCCTAGTGCCAGAAGATGGTACAACCCTAGACGAAAACAACTATACTGGGCGAAGAGATGCCGCATACGGTCGAGTTCTGGCTGGCGGTACGCTCTCAGGGGAGGGCAAGCCTGGTGATGGAGAGGCAAAGCTGAAGATGCATCTCACAAATATGGATGCAGCGGCGCAGGGACTCAAGAGCGGGAACGTGCTTGACGGTGCAGAGGAAATTCTCCTACCTTATCTCGACTCTCTGTACAAGGAGACTATCGATACAAGCGACCAGACCATGTTTACCGACCTGACACAATTCATGGAGAAGGAGTTTACAGACGACATGGACGCCCTAAACGTTTTGCGACCAGATGTGGTGACACGTGTCACTGAGTACGTGCCTCAAATTGTCACATTCGTCGAGCAGATTGTGAATAAGGGTTTCGCGTACGAGGCAGAGGGCTCAGTTTACTTCGATATTGCGTCCTTTGAGAAAGCTGGCAACACCTATGCCCGACTGCGCCCCGAAAGTAGAAATGACAAGGCGCTGCAGGAGGAAGGTGAAGGTTCCCTATCGAAGGGAGCTGGCGGAAAGAGGCGACCTGGAGACTTCGCATTATGGAAGCAGTCGAAGCCAGGCGAGCCATACTGGCCGAGCCCCTGGGGTAACGGCAGACCAGGTTGGCATATTGAGTGCTCAGTAATGGCTTCCGACAAGCTCGGAGAGCAGATGGATATTCACTCGGGCGGTATTGATCTGGCATTCCCTCACCACGACAATGAGCTGGCTCAGAGCGAGGCATTCTTCTGCCAGCATGATAAAGGCGAGCACACTTGGGTCAAATACTTTTTGCACATGGGCCACTTGTCAATTGCTGGATCGAAGATGTCAAAATCTTTAAAGAACTTCCAGACCATCAAAGATGCACTGGCAACGACGTATTCGGCACGCAATATGCGTATCGTCTTTCTAATGGGCCGCTGGAACGAGGGTGTTGAGATTTCAGAAGAGATGCGAAGACAAGCCGATAGTTGGGAAGCTACTCTTGACGTAAGTGGAGAAACTTATAAAATACTGTTATGCGTCGCTAATGAAAATAGAATTTCTTCACGAATATCAAATCTAGACTGGCTGCGGCTGGAGTCACTAACGGACTCAAGGCTTTATCACTTACGGAAGATACACCTGCTGGAGATCTGACAGTGGAGCTACAACAAGCTAAGAAGGACCTGGAGACGGCTCTAAGTAATTCATTCGATACACCTGCCGTTATGCGCCTCATCCAACAACTTGTCAGAGATGCCAACATCTACATGGACAAATCCGATGCCGACCTTCAAGCAGTAGAGGTTGTTGCCCGGTGGGTGACGAAGATTGTTGGCATTTTGGGTTTAGATGCAGATGCCCAACCACCATACGACGGCCTAGGTTGGTCATCCGCGACTGCTATTGCCGACTCCCGCGTATATGCCGCAGTTCTGGCGAAGGTTCAGGAGGATGTTCTTGCACTTAACCTGTCCGAGCCTTCTATCAAGGCTCTGCTCGATCAGTCACCCCAGTCAGAAGTGGCAGAACTTGAGAAGAGCGGCGAGCGGGATCCCGAGAAGCTTGCGTTGCCATATGTGCGCGCCGTTTCTCGCATTCGCGACGAGCTCCGTCGCATCGTCTCGTCGCTAACTCCTGATGTGAAGAAACTTGTGCTTGCACTCAGCGACCGTATTCGTGACTACGACCTTGCGGATCTTGGAGTGCAGCTTGATGACCAGGCTGACAAGCCAAGTCTGATCAAATTCGTACCGGCAGCGAAACTCATCGCTGCCCGTGAGGAGAAGGCAGCCCTCGTAGCTGAGAAGGCGAGGCAAAAGGAGGAGGCGCGTAAGGCTAAGGAGAAGGCAGACCAGGAGAAGTGGGAGAAGGCTAAGCTGGCCCCACAGGACATGTTCAAGGAGGACAAGAAATACCAAGAATGGGATGCTGATGGGATCCCGACGAAGTTGGCGGATGGCAGCGATCTGCCCAAGAGCCAGCAGAAGAAGCTCAAGAAGGACTGGGATAGACAGAAGAAGCTACACCAGGAGTACCAGACCAAGTTCGGCACGGGAGCTTAGATGGCGAGCATCATATGATCAGAGTCTACGTCTCTCTAGCTAGCATGATCAGCAACAAAAAAGGATTAGCGATTTGGGTTGCTTTGATAGATCTTCTTCGGTGTGCTTCACGATCTTGTAGTGAGCTACTTTGGTAGTCCAATCCACATAACGGTCGGCAACGCGAGCCGGATCGACGTGAGAAGTCCAATAATAAGTTTCCGCACCATCTAGCAAAACGGGTAAAATGCACGCGATTTCCAGGGTCCTGCTTCACGAGGAGCAGCTATTAACCTTATTAGACAACAAGCGGGGTGCGGACGCTGTCATCCGATTTGTGCGAACACCATTGTTCCCTTGCGAGTAGGCAGCCCGCAATGTGCAGTGGCCTGGCGCTGTAACCGACCTGGAACTGCCGGACTCTTGTGTGTGTTTTCTTCGCTGGTAAAGCCAAACCCCATTCGAGGAATTCGTTGTTGTCTCCCCCTCCCTTGTCTGCTGTCTCGTAAACTCAGCTTGGCATCGGGGGGCAGGCGGGCAGGGAAGGTGGCGTCCACACTGGAATGTCCAGCGAATGCTACCTTGTGAGAGTCTTGGCGATACCCCAAGCACACTCAATTGAGAATGGCAGAGACGGAACGGAACGTGGCCAGATGGCTCGCCGGCCTTTCTCTCAGCCCTGGCTTTCCTTTCACTGGAAAGAGCGAGGCACAGCTGGTAGGTGATCTCTTCTTCTTCTTTTGTTATCATACTGCGTATACCGTAACGAATACGCTCGTTGCTTTTTGCACTGGTTGTTGGCTTGCGCCCTGCCGTCTGTTCCGCGCCCTTGGTAGGGAGCCCTTCGAACATCCCTGCGACTCTGTTGCGAAAGATGGTCATGATTTCGTGAAATCTTTGCGGTCTGGTACTCTAGGAGCCGATTTGGCAAGGTCCTCGAGGGCCAGTCTTGCACAATGGCTCTCTCGGTGCTGTACTTGCAGCAGAGGCGCACGAGGCTGATCTTCATTGCGATCCTCATCACCATTGCCATTACCTACTTTAGTTTTGAACGGGAGCTGCAATGGCAGGAGCGTCCGGTAGCGGTCCACGATGGCAATGTGTCTCCCCTCGACGTGGCTGGCGTCTCCGACATATATCAACCGCCGAATGAGAAAGAAAAGGAGTCTGCCGACGACTCTGGCACGCCTAGTGGGGAGAAATTGCCTTCCACCAGCCCGGCTGCTGCATCAGACGGCTCTTCTTCCTCGAGTGACGATTCCAATAGCGACGCTGATTATGACTATGAGCGACCGACATCTGCCAGCGAAGCCGGGTACCCTGTGCCCCAAAACGGCGGATCCGTTTTGCCTTCCCCTTCTCCGTCGATTGAGTGCATGAGTTTCGAGCAATACCAATACAAACGGCCAGAGCCATTCTCAAAGGGCTTTCGACAGTTCCCTTTCGTGCGACCACCGCTAGAATGCCGGACATTCACCGTTCCAGCCGTGGAGAATTATATCAAGAGGATGGAGAAGGTGATCAAGGATCCAGACTTGTATCGACTTTTCGAGAACAGCTACCCGAATACGCTGGACACGATGATAAAATGGCACGGGTTTGCTAACAGGACAGTGAATGAGACTTCAGGAGAATCAGTCGTGACGGACGAGGAGCTTACATATGTGATCACTGGTGATATTGACGCGATGTGGCTTCGCGATTCCGCCAGCCAAGTATACTCATACTTATCTTTCCTGGAGCCGTCGACAGAGTCTGACTCCCTCGCGAGTCTGTGGCGAGGGTTGATCAACGCGCACTCGCGGTATATCATTATATCCCCTTACTGCCACAGCTTCCAACCGCCACCGGAATCTGGGATCCCTCCCACACATAATGGAGCGTATTCGCAGAACAATCCGAATCCTCCTTATAATCCCGCATTGGTCTTTGACTGTAAGTGGGAACTGGACAGTCTCGCCAGCTTCCTTCAAGTGAGCGTTGGATACTACGTGAAGACCGGAGACCTGAAGTTCTTCAGCAAGTACAACTGGGTCGAAGCAGTGCAGGCGGCGGTAGAAGCTGCTGGCGCTATGCGTCTCGGAACGTACGACAAGGACGGAAAGGTGCTGCCGTCCGCTTGGACGTTCACGGGCTGGACGAACCGAGGCTCCGAAACTTTGACCAACGATGGATTGGGGAACCCAGTTCAGGAGAATGGCATGGTGAGGACAGCATTCCGGCCGTCTGATGACGCCACCATCTTCCAGCTGCTCACGCCGGCCAACATGATGTGGGCCAAGTATCTGGAGGAAGCCTCACTTATCATGGAGCAGCTGGACGACGACCGCGCGGCTAACTTAACGAAAGCGATGCGCTCATTTGCCTTTGGCATCCGCGAGGGCATCGATCGAGACGCTGTGGTGCACCACCGCGACTTCGGGGACATCTTTGCATACGAGTGTGACGGCTTCGGCGGCGTAAACCTGATGGACGACTCCAACGTGCCGAGTCTGTTGGCCATGCCGCTGTTCAACTACAGCGAGTCATCGTTCCCACTGCCAGAGAACGTCACGAAGCGCGACTATGCGCGCATCTACCAGAACACGCGACACTTTGTGCAGAGCGCCGCGAACCCCTATTTCGCCCGAGGACCCGTGATCTCCGCCGTCGGTGGCCCGCATCTCGGCCCAGGCAAGGCGTGGCCGATGGCTGCAATTGTGGCCGGGATGACTGCGCTGGAGGAGGACTACACGTTCCTGAGCGATGAGCAGGCGCGTGAGGAGGTGGCGGAGCAGCTGCTCATGGTATTAAACTCGACGAGTGGCACGGGAGTTGTCCATGAGAGCGTCAATAGCTGGAACGACCGAGACTTCTCACGATCATGGTTCGGGTGGGCCAACGGCCTCTTTGGAGAGCTCATACTCAAGATAGAGCAGCATGATAAGATTGGCGGGAGCGGGACGGGAGGACTGTTGGACAGAAGTTGGCAATGATGGATTGGTTGAAATCAATATTTATATATCAATCAATGAGTGCATGAAGTAAACTAACTTAGTGGTGTGAAGCTAAATCCCAACAAGTAGCGGCGGCCGCTAGAAGCTATTGATTCTTAGCCACACTAGTTGGTGTCCTACGTGATTGCCAAGCTACCTAAACCATTTTCACATTTATCAAGAGCCATCACAAAATGGGCGATTGAGAGAAGTTGTCATGAAGTAGATGCTGCCAAGTGGCAGTGAAGTGAATTGTTTGTACCTGCATCCCAAAGCGAGGCTGCCCAAAATAGCTGCTAGACAATAACATAAAAAGCAGCAGACAGTTTGTTGTATATACAAAGAAGCAGAGATTGGAGAAGAGCAGAAAATGATATAGATAAAGAGAAAAACCAATGCTCCCGAATCGTAGACAAACGCCGCTCATGCTATCCAGTCCCGAAAATGCCTTCCAAGACGCTTGCTTGCTTTCCACCGATTGACGCCCTTTTATACCCTTCCTATTGAGTTGTGTCAACTTCGCTCAAGGCTTTGGCCAGCAAAGCTCCGAATCTAAGCCCCGCACCACTGACTTCTCAAGCCCGTCTATGCGATGAAAGACCGCATCACGCGATCTCGCTTTGCAGGTAAACCAGCGTCCTGGTACACCTTGACGGAGTTGATCAGCCAGTAGGCCTCGACGAACGCGCGCGGGTTGTTGGCGACGTAGTCGTTGCAGGTCGCGGCCAGCGATGAGCAGGTAGCGTCCTGGCTCCACACCTGGCCGGCCCAGTCACCGCAAAAGTCGGTGTTGAACACAAGGTTGTGGTTCATGAAGTGCTCATCAATGTTGCACCCGCTGCCACCGACGAAGGTCGCCAGGGGCTGGCCGAAGGCTGAGGTGTCGACACCCGCGCCAGCAGTCGAGTTGCCCGAGAGGGCGGAGGCTTGAGCAGAGCCACGAGGGAAGAACCACACGGAGATACCTGTGCTGGTCCACTCGACAGCATAGACGCCACCGCCAATGCTATTGAGGCCCGCGCCGTAGTTGTTGGTATCGGAAGTTGACTGGCCGCAGCCAATGTTACCGTTCCCGGAGTTGCAGTTGCCGTCCGTGGTGGTGAGCTTAGTTGAGGCCAGCGACCCAGTGTTGCTGATGCTGCAGCCAGCTGAAGTGTGCAAGGTAATGGCGTTGGTGCTTTGGCTGTTGACGCCCTCGATGATATCGATCTCCCCGGAGGAGGGCCAGTTGGGACCGAACATCCACATGGCTGGCCATACACCACAGCCAACGGGCATGTGTGCGATGTCTGCGATGAAAAGCCCCTTGGTGTAGGCCTTCTTAGACGTTACTCGTACTGAGGGTCGGCCGGCTGATGGGTTGTTCGTCCGGTAGTCTACGCCGAGGTAGACACTGCTGCCAACGAAGCCCGCAAGACCGGCCGCATTTGCCTCGACGGCACTCTGATACTGGACGAACCCGTTCGTGGGGTCTGCACCATCATAGAAGTCGAACTCCTGGAAGAAGTTGCCGGCACTGTAGTCATCTTGAAGGGTGTAGGCGGCATTGGCAACACTCGCCGTGACGAGGAGAGTGCCTATCCTGAATATCGATGTTGAGAAGAGCATGGTGAATAGATGCAAAGCTCGAGAGCGAGAGTCTGAAAAGCTGGAGGGCCCGTTACAACCTCGAGTGTTTGATGAGTGAGAGTGAGACCAGCGAGAGCTGTGATTCGAAGGCTGTAGACGAGACCTGTGAATGGTATTGCAAGCAATGAGTTGTTTGACAAACAGGAAGTGGATTCGAAGAAGCTCGAAAGATGGAGCTCGTTGGAAATCGTTCTACCTTAAATGAGTGTAGGTGAGTGTTGACGGACACAAAGGACTGTTCGCAACCACAAAGCTATTCTTGTTCCGGACAATAAACAGCTGTTTGTAGCTTGACAATGGAGACAACGGCAGAATAGTACAAACCGCCCTATAGAACAATAGACTTGAAAGGCCGAGATCAGAACAATAGCGTCATAGCTGCTTTAGAGAGTGACGGCATGCGCAAAAAGGAGTGAAGTAATCGAAAGATAGCTGAAGCCGTCCTGAACACACACAAACCACGGGTCAAGTCGATCATGAGATCAGCCGGAAGCGGGAGTGATGCTCTTCTATATCTTGCAGCCACCACTTTAGCGGCGCGCGGCAGCCTCAGCGCGACTGCTCGCGGGGACAGACCACTGGGTCTGGGTCAGAGATGCTGAGACCTGTGAGACACTGTCTCTTTGATGGGGCTTGGCCGGGGGGTTGGGAAGCCAGAGCCAGCTCAGTACCTCCCAGACTGTCGGCTAGCCCTGCTCGGGCCGTTCTGGACCTGAGCATGAATTTGCACCGTTGATGACAGGACAGGACCGCATGGGACGACCCAGCCACTCACAAGCTCTGGCCTGTGGCGTTAAGGGATAGGCATGGCCGATCTCCCGCCGTCGTGAGGAATGCTGCGGCGCCCACGACGCGGCTGGAACAGGCTAGCACTAGTAAGCCATCGAGAACCTTAAGAAACAGCAGGCATGGCCCAAGCAGACTGCTCATGGTCAAGTGAAGATCGTCCGAATCGTGAAGCCAGATCGAGAGGCTTCAGCATCCAACTGGCCGACCTGGGCAGATGAAGGTAAGGTGATATGTGGGGAGAGAGATAGGGGAGCTGTTTGAGAGAGATGAGAGAGATGGGAGGATCTGCAGAGACGGCGTGCGCAACGTTAGCGGGAAGAGCCAGTCAGAGAGCGTTGATCGCCAGGAACAGCCGTCTGGTAAGGTGACGGAGACTGGACTAGGCAGGTGTCCCCGGCCACTGTAGTTTGTGGAGGTTTGCATTCTTGAGCGAGGCAGAGAAACGATTCGGCAAGGGGGCTTGACTGTGGAATGCGGGATTGGAGCCATGTTTGAAACGCCACCCCCCAGCGACCAATCACAGTGCGTAGAGCCACCCTACCATTCGGCACCCGGAACGCACTTAGACGTCCACTCTACGCCGACTTACACACGTCTTGGCGCCCGGCCCCGTCTTCTTGCGCGGCGTTCAAATTCCGCATTGTGGCCAAGGTAGCCCCCATCACGATCCGCAGCTTCGTATGCACGTCGTAGGGGGCGTGAGGATGGCGGGCGCATCGCGTCGCATTCACTTGAATAGGCCATTACCATGTATGATCTTTTCCTCAGCTTCGTTGGATCTGCTCGGCACTTCAGCTTTGCTGACGTCGGTGGTTCAACAGGGTGCACTCAAGACATCTGTTCAAGACCGATGCCAAAGATAGCATGCCTAAGCACAAGTCTGATCCATACGCGAATAGCTCGATGCGAGGTCTCAATTACCACGTTGTCTAGCCTGTCACCTAAATCAGCTAGGTCAGGTGGCATCGGTTTGTCAAGGGAGGGAGGAATACGACAAGTATATCTCCTCGCGCTATTCCACTCCCCGTGGAGCTTACGACCCTCGGAATTCTCGAACGCGCTCAATTGCTATGGCGCGCTGAAAGAATTTTCTTTGGCAAAGTTCTATGTACTCGATGCATTCCCTACGAGTAAGCGGTTATGGGTCGTTTGACCAACATGGAGGCCTCTGATTGATGGTTTCAAAGTCTCTAATGATTCGTTCTGCTTTGGATGCCACCAACGCGACCAGAATTTTCAGTCTCAGCCTTTTCACGCAAACAGAAACTCGGACAGCAAGGAGTATAACGCATTTCGTTTTGAGCTCTTACGAGTTTAGATCCAGAACGCCAAGCGAAAGATCCGGCTTGCTCTTCCGTGCAAGTCGGCTTACCTGAGTCAAATGGCTGAAATATTTTGGCTTGTATCTAACTCGTGGCACTGCCTCGCACTAACTGAAACCGCCAGTCTTAAACATTGACTCAACAACGCCTCTCTATACACCTCGGCCTAGTCTTGTTCCATGTTGATGTTTTCGGGATAATTCACTAGTCATGTTGAACACAACGTGGCTCACTTCACTGTGTCTATCATAATGTAGTTTGCTTGCGCAGAGCTCAAGTCCCAGACTCCTTTCTCATACATTTTGTTGTCAGCAGTGCAACGAGAATGGTTAAACAGCTATATTCTTTTGTATTGTCCAATGGTATTAATCTAATGCTCGTGTGTCTCGTTGAAATCAGTATGATATCCTGGGTATGCTTGTGTTCAAATCCATGTATGTACTCCCAAGAACGCCAAGCTGTACAGGGTATGCAAAATGTATGTATGTTTCGTGACAGCGTTTAACTGGACAGGTTCTCGCTGCTGCTCGACTGTTCGGCTTCCTCGTCTTCGTCCTCGGCCGATTTATCTGGTGACCATGCGGTGACATCCTCACAGCCCTTTGGAACGCGGCATTGGTCGCGCACGTTGCACGTCTTCCATAGCACCTCACGCAACTCCTTGAAGACCTGCTCTGGGGCATCCATAGCCCAGATTACATCCAGATGCTCAAAGTCTGGGATGACTTTCTGATGCACAACCTTGACGTGCGGCTCGCGACCCCTCTCGAAACGGCGCAGAAGTCTGCCACCGTCAACGAGGTCGTCCTTGCCACAGACCCACAGCGCGAAAGGGGGGGCCTGTTCATTGTACCATGCTGTAGAACCCTTGGGCTTGCGCCTATGGGCTTCAATGGCTGGTTCTGGCACCGGGCTCGCATCTCCCGTCTCTTCCATGTCGGCATCGGCCTTCTTGTCGTTTTGTTCCTTGCTGTCTGCCTCAATGTCTTCGCGCTCTTCAGCGCGCCACTCCTCTCTAGTAGCGAGAATGCATTTGTTTCTCGCGAAACATTCACGTCCTACAAGTTGGTCAGCATCATTCAGGTGCCGTTCGAATTCAAACGCTCTTACCTAACCACCAGCGCATTGATTCCGCACTGACGTAGACAGGGGCGAATTGGAACATCCGATCGTGCAGACCGCGATCCCATCTACTATCGCTCCAGTTGAAGAGGAACCAGAAGACCTTGTACCCCATCCAGCCGTAGAGACGAGGCGGCAGTAACTTGTGCATTGACATCATGAACGGAATAAAAGAATGGATTCCAAACATCATGCGAAACATGGCCGGAGTGATCACTCGCATGAACTTGAAGTACATCTTCCCAATAAGTGGACCAGCATAGGCGGCTGGCGCGAGCGCGCAGAACACGGTCAACTTCTCGCCAAGCTCTGGTCGCTGCTCCTTTGCAAGCGCGACAAGTGCCTGTGTCGTACCCTGAGAATGACATATCAGCCCTATCTTCTCAAAGCCGGTTTCGTAGAGGATTCGGGACGTCAGAGCTGGCAGATCGAAGACTCCCATTTGACGGATATTCCAGCACCACATTCTCGGATCAGAATACTCGAGTAACACGTGCTTCGGCTTGAAGCCGCACCTATTGTTTCCAAGCCACACATCGTAGCCAGATTTGCAGAGATAGAACGCGAGGGAATCCTCGTCATTCACACAGTATGCGCCTGAACTCTGAAGCAGACCGTGCATCAACAGGACTGGAAATTTTGGTTTCTGTTCGGGATTTGTAGGCACTGGCTTCCTTGCTCCAGTGAAGAGATCCGGGCCACGATCCGTTCTTTCCTTCTCATCGAGTTTCGTGTATTCTCTCGGGTCATAGACGTGCCAGAGATCTATTATAAAGCCATCTTCCGTCTGAACTTGAAATTCCTCCACATCTAGTCCAACCCTGCGAGCATAGTAGCCGACATCGCATTTGATCGGATCATGCCCGCCCTCAGTTGGGATATAACCCTCTTCATCCGAGGAGTTTCCTTCCTTGTCCTCTGGTGCGCGTTCCTGCGATCGCCGCCTTTTCCAAGTTCTCTCCAGCTCCTGCCTTGCATGTCGTCTGCGCATCTCCTCTTTGAAGAATGGCCGATACTTGTCTGGATTTCGGAGTGTCAGTCTCATCCACATTCTCTGGCAGACCAAAGGTATGCTTGTGAAGAGGGCCCCAAGAACAATCACGGCCAAAAAGGCCAGACTGAGAAAGAACGAAGACACCCGGAACAAGGTGCACTGCAAATCTCGCAGGAGAGACGGTGGTCCGTAGAGGGGTAGTGGTGGGAATAGCGGGTTGGTGTGAGAAGGGGGCATGGCCCGTCGAAGTGAGCCTTCACCCGACTTCTGTATTGACTTGCCATTGCGCACTGGCTGTATATTGACAATATTTGACTCGGCACTCGAGCTCGACTGCTCGTGGTTGACTTCCAGCGACTTTGTGGCTTTTCCATCGGACTGGACGTGTATAGTCGGCGGGTTATCTCCTTCTAATTCCTCCCTGAGTATGTTGAGCTTGTGCGCTTCTTGAAGTGGAACACCCGGGAGCCGATGCCCCTCAGCCGTTATGATAACGGGGTCGTGCGGTGTGACGAACATGGCTTCGGCCGCAACGTCTGCATGAGCCCCTTCATCGGATGTCTGGTGGGCCAATTTTTCTGATTGTTGCGCGAACTCGACAGCAGTCTGTGCTAGGGATATTGAATGCGCCGAGCGATTCGAAGCGGTTGAGCCGCGATCTGGCGATATCGTCTGCGTCCGCCCCTCATCGGGCCTCGGAGAGAGGTCATTTGCGATCATCTTTGCTACTCAAATTGGTGTAAGAAGGCAACATCAAGAAAGCAGATTACAGAAACAAGACAAACAAAAAGATATTGAAGAGAGAAGGAGGCGCTACCTAAACAAGAATGAGAGACAATGACATAGGACGGGGAAGAAACGCTCCTATTTCTGTCTAGACGCGAGTGCTAGCGTACCAGTCAACCGTCAGGTCTGGATGTCTTTGATAGCACCACCCATCGATTTGATAGCGCCGGACGTAACTTAAAGATCGCATACGCTGCTTCGGCGTGGCTGCGTGGACACATCCAGAGACGTGCGAGCCTAGAAAATCATGGAATTATCAACCACACCACCAATTGGAAGCACAGATCTTAGGCGGGAGGCTGATGGTGCGCCGGCAAGGCGATCAAGAAGCCTGGAATTGCGGCCTGCGATGCAGCAATGCATGGAAGCAATGACATCGCTGACCGCTGCTCTGGATGGGCGCAATCTCAATTCCTGCCTCCTCCCGCCTGCAAGAAACAGCCACTAATTGCCGCTGTCACTTGGCTGCGTCATACCTGCATTTAGTGGCTGTCTTTAGAGGTCTCCAGCGGCCTCATTGGCCGACACTGGCATTTTAGCATGTGAGATCCGCCAAGACCCTCCACCACTTCACACCAGAACGACTCTCCAGCGAGCATTCAGGCTCTGATCTCCGTCTAATGGCCGATGGTCTCTTTTTGATAGCCGCAAATCTCTATTCAGCCCCCTCGCCCCGCCAGCTGATGGCGGTGGATGCTGGCGTGGTATCGTTTGCCTTCAAGGGTGATGTTTGTTCATCCGTCTTAAGTTAGTCTTGCGGTAGTTCGAACAGCAAGTCGACCGAATCTATTCCATGCTGCTGATCGTTATCTGGGGTACGGGTATCTCTGGTCCCGAGCTGTCAGCTTGTGGAAGCCTGAAAAGGGCCGCTGTCAACGAATGAGAGACGTGTTGTTTGGCCATGTCGTGCCTTCAACTCCTTGGTCTGGCTTGTAAGGGCCTAGTAGAATCCGAAGAACATTATAGGAGCTTGAGCAGTCCATGAACTTGGAAAAGTGAAGTGTGTTGTCTTCTTCTTGCTGGGTAAAGCCTCCTGGATCCTAGAGTCATGTGCTTGGGCACGTGGGATAGATGTAACAGGGGTTACGGACGCGAGTCGGCTTCCTCTCAGCGCGCGCAGTGCTACCCGTGGACCGAGGTTCTCCTGCTCAGTATAGTCGTCTGGTGCTGGATAGTGGTGGGTAGAAGAGCTTCCTCACAAATTGATTCTTCTGTCCCAAACTGGCTTTACCTCAATGCCAGCGCCATCAACTGGACTCGTACATCTGTAAAGACTTTTGTCGCCATTGTTGTTGTTAGACACCCCCATCCGGCGCATTCGATACAATGAGCCAGAACCCCTAAAATTGCGGGGAGAGCTCTCATACCGCCCGACTACTTTCCTTGCTCAAGATCACGCTGCCGCTCCACGCAACACTGTGGCTGGTGAGCTGTTGTTGAGCTACTACCATGGCGTCGCTATCTTCATTTGACATAGCGCACAGGAAGCGCAAACGGAGGCGGAGACAGGACAAGCCTGCTATTGCTGCCAGACTCATCCTTGATGATCATGTGAAAGGCGATGTTGGCATCCTGTCAGAGGATCTCTTTGCGGACCTCTTCCCCCATTTGCAGGGTACATTATCTTCTTCTCCCTTCTTGACTACCACCTAGGTATACTGATGGATCTCACTGGTCTAGGCAACTCTCCCGAAGACGAATCGACTCCTCCTCCCGATATACTGCACGTCGCAATAGCTCCTTGGGCCCCAACCTCGTCTCCAGATTCGACAGCTTGGGCTGTAGTACCGGTGACCAAGTCGGCAGCTCTTGCCCACTCGACAGTTCAGTTTTCGCCATCGTCTTATGCTCTACAAGGGTTCGCTGCCCACCTGCAACAGGTTGCCCCGTCGAAACTGTCGAGTCATAGTCGCAGCGGCATTGAGATCCTCGTCCTTGATGTGCTTGCTGTCACTCTCGATACTGTCTTTGTCAATCTGGAGAGAGAACTCGCAAAGAGATTGGAAGATGGAGAAGGGACATTTTTCCGCGACCATCCAACTGTGAACTCCTCGCAACTCAAGGGTAAAGGGGCAGCAAGGCCATCAACACCAGAAGATCGTTTAATCGCAGCTGTCCGTGTTGCGCTTGGAACTCTGAAGGTAGTGCACACCGGGGATCTATTTCCTCTTCCTTTGGCTCCTCACCCGGTCACCCATGTGCCACCAAATCCAGGAAAGGTCACTCTCTGCGAACCAGTCGCACAAGGCATCCTCTCGCCGCATACGAAAATTGTTGTATCCCGTGGCCGTATACACTCGAAAATTTCGAGGGTTGCATCGTCGATACCGCCTGCGCAGAGGCTGAACGGAGTGGCGGAGGACGATGAAGATACTGCGAATGATCAATTCTATTCCGCGGCTGAGGATCGCTACAAGACAGAAACAGAAGCTGCGACGGAAGATACAGATTCAATCACCGAGACAGAAGAGTCAGAGCTGTCAGGTGTAGAGCAAGATGACCTTTCTGACGACTCAATGGACGACGTGTTCTCTCTGCAGGCGCCCACTCTTCCCACAACAGCCGCAAGTGGAGTGTCAACTATGCAGCCCGGCACCCCAATGACAATTGGCCGCGGACGGAAGACAAATGGCATTAGCACCCCCGCGTCTGTGTTTTCGAGCTTCACTGCGACAACAGCTAGGCCAGATCGCCCAAGAGGTCGACTGTTCAAGGCGCAGGGGCTGACTAGGCCCATACCGCAAGAGCTACTTCATCCAAAAGTGGCACCCGAAGACGATGAAGAGGCTCAAGTCTACGTAGATACAAGCAATCTGCCAAGAATCGGTTGTTTCTCAGGCGACTGGGTGCGTCTGGAAACAGCTGAAGAGCCTCCCGTGAACGGATTTGGCCACTTTGGACTGGGGAGTTTCGGCGACGTGGATCACGAGGAACCAAATTGGAGACCAGTACGTGTATTTGCGCTTCCTGAGGGGTATTCCCATCGACCAGTGACAAGAATACCGAGTTCGAAACACACTGGCCGGCGGCTATCTTTCTTCGAATCTCAGATTCAGAAACCATCAAGTCCAACGGCATACGTTTCTCCGATCCTCCTATCAAATCTAGAGAGCACGCCTTACCTCCGTCTCTCGCCTCTCAAGCGACCTCCATTGCTTGGAAAAGCGACACAAGCAAAAATCACTGGTGTCTCTCAGCCACCTTACGCACGAGAGGTGATCTTACAGCAGGTTCGAACTCCTGCAGCTGTGGAGAGAGATGTGCAAGGAGCAGTAATGGCTGGGCTAAAGACACATTTTGAAAAGAAGCTGCGAATTGTCAAGAACGGAGATCTCATTGCAGTTCCAATTGACGCTCAGCTAGGGAGAACTCTTCAAGAAGCCGGGTTAGATGGCCTTGCCGTCGATGATATTCTATCATTGACAGCATCTGGTAAAGCTTCAAGCGATCAAATTCGGAAATATGACGGCGTAGCTTGGTTCAAAGTCAGCCATATAGCCCAAATGAAGCCAGACAGACCTGAAGAAGATCAAGAAGAGGATATCTGGGGCTCTGTCGCTTGTGTCGAGATCTCCGTGACGCACCTTGAACAATCGGGCTCTCTCACAAGTCGCGTGCCGGGCGTCAAGGATAGCAACTGGCAATACTATATTGGCTTAAAGGACGCGCCTAAGCGTGCGTCTGACTCAACACCAGCGCCAGTCGTGGAGCCTGAACGAGGTGTCATCTCACCTTTGCGACGGCAATTACGGGAGCTCATGGCTGCTGCCACAAGTAAACGAGCCATTCACCTAAAGATGCCTCCTGTGGCGGTCCTGCTTACCTCGACTCAGCGGAACATTGGCAAAGCCACTGCTGCAACAGATGCCTGCCTAGACATTGGTCTACACACCTTTGTTCTCGATGCATATGATATCGTTAATGAAGCTGGGTCCGGTGGCAGCGACATGAAGACTGAGGGCTTTTTGAAAGTTCGAGCGGAACGTGCAATGAGTTGTGGTCCCGATTGTTGTGCTCTTCTGATTCGCCACATTGAGGCTTTGACGGCTGATAGAATGGTGTCATCGATGAAGGAGATTCTGGCAGAAGCAAGGGTCTTGATTGCTACAACGACTGAAGTGGACAAGGTGCCCGATGGGGTTAGGGGTCTTTTCACTCACGAGTTGGAGATGAGTGCTCCAGATGAGGGCGAGCGAGAGACCATTCTTCGAAGCATTGTCGATGATCGGGGAGTCTCCCTCGACCCCTCGATTGATCTAGGGAGCGTAGCTCTGAAGACTGCTGCGTTAGTGGCTGGTGACTTGGTAGATGTGGTCGAAAGAGCGGTTGTAGCGCAACGCTCGCGGCTCGAACAACTATCTGCGAAGGCAGCCAAGGAAGGCCAACTCGTATCAGTGCGCGATATACAGGTAGCTGGCGGACCAGCTGCTCGAAGTTTGACCTCTGTAGACTTCGATGTTGCCGTTGAAGCCGCGCGCAAGAATTTTGCTGATGCAATTGGCGCACCGAAGATCCCCAATGTCACATGGGACGATGTTGGCGGTCTCAATAATGTCAAGGATGCGGTGATGGAGACTATTCAACTACCTCTTGAGAGACCAGAGCTGTTTGCCAAGGGCATGAAGAAGCGGTCGGGTATTCTCTTCTATGGACCACCAGGAACCGGAAAGACGTTGCTCGCCAAGGCTATCGCGACTGAATACAGCCTCAACTTTTTCAGTGTCAAAGGTCCTGAGTTGCTCAACATGTATATCGGCGAGTCTGAAGCCAATGTTCGACGAGTATTCCAAAGGGCAAGAGATGCCAGACCGTGTGTCGTCTTCTTCGACGAACTGGATTCAGTTGCTCCGAAGAGAGGCAATCAGGGCGACAGTGGTGGTGTCATGGACAGAATCGTCTCTCAATTGCTCGCTGAGCTCGATGGCATGTCTGGAGGCGAGGATACTGCTGGAGGCGTGTTCGTCATCGGTGCCACGAATCGGCCTGACCTGCTGGATCCTGCTCTGTTGCGCCCAGGCCGTTTTGACAAGATGCTCTATCTCGGTGTTTCGGATACTCACGACAAGCAACTCACAATTATGGAGGCGTTGACAAGGAAGTAAGTAAACCAACAACTCTTTTCAACAAGATACTAATGATATTAGATTCACCTTGCATCCCTCCGTTTCGCTTCGTGCCGTTTCCGAGAAGCTGCCTTTCACTTATACAGGAGCAGACTTCTACGCATTATGCAGTGATGCAATGCTCAAAGCAGTGACGCGACAAGCTTCCTCGGTCGACGCAAAGATCAAGAACATGAATGCTAGTCGGGACCCGAAACATCAAATTACAACAGCCTACTTTTTCGACCACTACTCCACGCCGGAGGATATCGCCGTCATGGTCACCGAGCAGGACTTCTTGGATGCGCATAGAGAGTTAATTCCTAGTGTTAGCGCCGGTGAGCTGGCCCACTATGAGAAGGTCCGGGCCACCTTCGAGGGTGGAAGAGAGAGTCAGGCCAAACAGAACCCACCGCCCCTAGAGCGGCGTCCTGTATCTTCCCAATCAAGATCCAGCTTCAAGGGCAAAGGGAAGGCAATCATGGGCAAGGGCAAGGGCAAAGCTCTCGCTATAGACAGTGACAACGAGTATGATGACTATGGCCTTGGGCCAGAGGGCATAAACGGGAAAAGCAAGGGGAAGGGCAAAGCGGTGGCCTCATTTGAAGACGGCACAGCGAGTGATGACGAAGGCTTGTATGAATAGGTCACATATATGCACGGCGTGTGGTACAAAAAAGGCAGCTCGTCAAATCGAGGGTATATAACTTCACTTTCACCGAGATTATTCTCGTGATTGGCTCTCATGCCATCTCTCAAGCATTCAGTGTTCGCAAGTTTACACAGGCTAATCAACGCCGTCTTCCGCTTATAAAACCAACTCAATATGCAACTCATACTCGTAACGTAACGTCGTAGAGGCGGCCTCGTACTTAGGCTTTCTCTGCCTTCTCCGCCTTCTCCGACTTCTCGGCAGCTTCTTCGTCTTCCTCCTCGGCCTCTTCTTCCTTCTCGGGCTCCTCGAGAATGGTCTCTTCTTTCTCTACACACTCGATCTCTTCCGCGGACGCAGACTCTACTAAGGCGCCTGAAAATGTTGTGATGGGGGCGTCGACATCGGACGGCTTCCAAGTCGCACTAGTTGGAGACTGCAATGTCTGCAGGGGGTTATCCTCACCACCCGCCACCCCTTTCCAGGCTCCCGTGGTCGGTGACTGCAGGCCAGCTGCAGTGGATTCGACCGAGACTATCGTCGAGGGCACGCTCGTCGTCGAGACGTGCGACTCTGGCTTGCCAAGGTCCGCGGCAGTGACCGCCGCTGCCTCGTCTGAAGAGGCCGGAGGGACGGACTTGTCGGCCTCCTTCTCCTCTTCTTTCTTCTCGGGCTCCTCAGATGGCTTGGCATCCTTGCTCCCACCCTTGCCGTAGACCTTATCTCGCAGGCTCTGGAGGTGCACCTGTTTCGCCTTCGCGGCCGCCTCCTCCGCTATGCTACGGATGGGCAGCGTCACCTTAGAAACAGTCTCAACGGCCGCGCTGGCCACAGCCTTTGCCTGGTCGACGGTGGTCTGGGGCTTGTCTTCTGCAGTCGGCAAAGGAGGCGCGGGAGGTGCTGCTGGCGCCGCTGTTGGCGTAGGCGCCGGAGTAGGTTTCTTCTGGATCGGAGGCTGTGGAGGTGCCTGGCCGATGGGTGGTTGCGTGAACTCGTCGTGATAGATAGTGACATGCTGCTTCAACTCGCCATACTCATTCCAATCCTCGATCTCGACAAGATCCTATGTCGGTAGGTCTAATGTCAGCTAGCATGCTCCTGCCCCAAGCTCGTTTATGCCCCAATCAAAGCAGAACAGGCTTGGCGACCAACTATCTGCGCGACAAGCGAAGAAGAGCGAAGAAGAGCCACTTACTCCGAGCACGAGTCCCATCTGCACCAAGCCCGGGAGCTTACGCATCCGGCCGCCCTCGTCCTTACCCGCACGGCGTCCCCATAGCATGCGCGCCTTCTCATCCGTAGCAATGTCAATGGCTTTGAAGGGCACGCGGTTGGCGCGCAAAATGGTCTCCAGCCGCGAAGTCGCGGTAACAATGTGTGACGAGCCCGCCGTCAGCGATGTGTAGATATAAAGCGCGGGGTCGGTCGAGTACGATGCCGCCGCCTTACTACCGCTAGGCGAGTCGGAGGAAGCCATGGTCGGTCGACGGCAGCGTTGCAGGTAGTGGAAAGAATGCAGAAATGGCGGCTTCAGCTAGATACGGAGACGATATTCAAGAGACGTAGTAATGCTGTTCAGGCGAAGTGAGGTTCACGGTTAGGTTGATGAGACGTTGTAGGGGGACGGGCCCGAGACGCTTTAGGAGGGGTCAGGTGGGATGGGTGATACCGTACCTAGGTAGCGGTGCATGCAGGGATGAGCTGTCTGTCTGGTGTCAATGAGTAGGTGAGTGTCAGGCATAACTAAACCGACCCAGATCCAATCGTAGCTTAGGCCGCGAGTGCCAGTCTCCAATTACCTAGGTATGCTTAAGGCGGGATTCTCGTACGACGATTCACTTACACTTTGCTTGAGTTGATAGTTTATCATCGTAACCCATTCAAAAGAATACTCTACGTCACTAAATGCCTACAGTAGAGACTCCCCGGCGATTGATCTTCATCGTCAACAAAGTGCTCCGCAAGCCGAAACGCTCATGTTGCTTATCGATAGTACTTTAGACGGGGTGGGAAGGTGTCCGCTGTACATTCCTATTGATCCAGCATATGATCAACACTCCACACCAGCCAGATTGCATGTTGCTGATCTCCATCTCCAGTGATCTCGATCGGTTTGGTGCAGCTACCACCACGATCTGTCACAGGAGCTTAGATCTCTAGAGATTAGACTCTACAGATTGTCAGCCTAGCTGCGCCGAGTATGAATGGCATTTGTTGTCTCCGTCCATCTTGGCCGTCGCTTGATTAGCTTGGAATATGGACGCCTGGCTTTGCTTTGGAAATTGCTGTTCTCCCAACCCACAATCGCGTGTGGTGCTGTGAAAGCCATATCTCGAAGATGTGCGAATGGAAATCGGCTGAAGAAATGTTTGTAGAGCCTCTAATCGGCCTCTAGTTTACAATATGGCAGGGATTTCCTGCCTGCAACTAACATGCATAGTATTGAGAGACATTGCAGGGCGATGAAAGGAAGGCTAGTTCTCTCAAACGAAGCAGAAGCTCCAACGTAGCAGTGTCTCTGCTCGGCGTCGACCGAGCATCCAGATTGAACCAATTAGAAAGTCATACGCATATTATCAACACCCTGCAAACAACCGCAAAGTGAGCTCATATGTCATTGCCAGCAAAGACAAATAGTTCAGATTCATTGTAGTAGGCAGGAATTCAAAACCATCCGAAGGTCAGGGCTAACTGGCTTTCATGGCATCGCCGAAACGGTCTATTTCCTTTGATAATCGATTTGAAAATAGGCACAAGGTGTGATGAGATGAGCCAAGTCGATTTGAGTATTGCGCATAAATAACATGGCAGCCATAAATGGAGTTGCAATGATGGTGTGTCTACGAGACTTCAACATCCCTTCGCAATCTCGAAACCGAACATTGTACCTGAGCTTCCGCACAATGTGTTTATTTATTCCGGCGAAGCCTAAAAGGCGATCCAAGAGCAAGAAGGACGCCTCTTCCTCGACCCACAGCAATGATCCCCCTGCTACAAGACCTGCGGAATATGCGATATATCAATCACCCACGCTGACTGTGCCAGTACCAATGTCTTTTCGAAATCGACTACCGGAGTCCTACTGGGACGATGCGCAAATGAGCTATGCCTATGTTAACGACATGCTTTGGCAGTCAGTTTCTGGATTATCTCCACCATCTCGAAAACCAAAGGCTGTGGACATTCTGACCGAGAAGATCGAAACACACCAAGAGCTTACCAAGAATAACGGCGAAGTTCTTGAAAAAGGTCTCAGTGGGGTCTCGGAACTCCTGGACAAGATAGAAGGCAATCTCAAAGCAGCAATCAAGGTAACGGACGACAATGTGAAGCTGGTCCTAGATGCAGCAGTGAAAGGGACAGACGCGACTATACAAGCAGTCAAAACCTCGAGCCAAGAGGAGAAGGACAGACGAGCAGCAGAGCAGGTCTATCGACAGCAGAAACAACAGGAGGCTAAACTTGAGGAAGCTCAGGAGGAAGTGTTGCGATTAAAGGGGATGCTTGAGGACGGACAAGCTCGCAATGTACTGCTGGAACTTGACGAAATCAAGAAGCGATTGGAAGAATGCCGGCAAACATCATCATCTACTGCTCCAGAGCAGCCATTTGTGAAATTACTCAATCGACTGGAAGACTTGGTGGCTGAACTGCAACAGCAAGGCCTCAGGGCCAATCACTTCACGGACGAGGAACAACGCCGCTGGCAATCAGGCTGCCGACACCAAGTGGATTCGATCTCGAGAGACTCCTGCCATAGACAAGGTTGCGGTTTCTTGCCGTCCTACTATTATCATTATCATGGAGCCGATGAGTAGTCGGACTGGCATAGAGGAGCTCCACCATTCTTTGGTCACTACCCGTCTCGTCGCCAATGCCACTCGGCAAGATGACCGCACATCGGTTAGTTTAGTCAGAGAGAATCGGTGATGAGCCCTCGTCAATAGGAACGCAACCTTCGTGCATTGTGTCTGTAGTGTGTACAGAGTCGCTCGTCTACCATGGTACCAGGTACGCCCCGGCTAGATCGATATGGCTGCGATCCTTTTCATCTTGCGGCCTTGCCAAATTGGAGTGGGGTGAAATGGTGTCGTTATTTCACCAGCGTCGTCAGCTCCACGACTATTAGGGGGGTTCTCATTTCATAGTCCATTCAAAGAGAACGGACCTCAAGAGGGGTCAACATTTGATAGACTCAGCATGTGCGTGCATCATCTCGGAGGTCCTCTTGAATGGGAGATTCTGTTCTCGCTGTTGTGTCGCTTCAGTCTCCGATTTTCACTCGTGCGACGACGGAGCTGGAGGCTGGAAATTGAGTATTTGTGTAGCAATTTAGCTTGTGTTTCAATACCATGACGTACGGACCACCCAAGGGGTGCGACCGAAACTTCACCATCATGAGATCTGGGATCTAGGGCCAGGGCTACGATGAGCTGTGGCCAGGATCTGGCTACGTGAATCTGTAAAGACGCGACGAGCCAGCTCTCCTTAATCACGCTTGCTGCGAATATCGTGAGCCACAAAAAGCCTCCATCCTGGAATCCTTTCTTGTGTAAATGTACTAGGACCCTCCGCTTGCCCCGTGATAGTGAGCGTGCGCGCGCGACAGGGGCATAGAGTGGCTTTTGGCCCCTCCTTGCTTGCGTGCTAATCACCGGGCGGGATACCGTTGGGTTGCCGCGTGGAAGATTTCCACGTTCATTCTCTGTCGCTTGCCGGGGTTGCTGTTACTCAAGCGTCGTGAGCAGCGTGCCACCTCAGCAGCCATCCGGTTGAATATCGCCACCTCGGATCATCACCGCAGCCCGCAGTCAGACGGATGGCTGAGCGATATAAGAGATATAAAAGAAAAATTGAGCTTTTTGAGGTCTGGCCAGCACACAGGCACAGTTTGCCCAGAACAAACGTGGCACCGCACCCAAGGCCATGAACATGGGCGCGAAGAGGGAAGCGAGAGAAGGCACGAGGATGATTGGTCCCTGCCAAGTTCAGGCTGTCTGCCGACCCAGTCTTGTCAGGCCTGCCGCTTCTTTATTTGAGCAGGACGACAGGGATACTGCCAGCACCGGACAACCTGGGCTGCCCACTTCGGATGAAACAACTGGCTCGTTTGTTTTTAGCCCGTGTGCAGTTGCTCCTCTCCGTACCTGCGTGTCTGGCGCACTCCGACCAGTAGTAGCTCCCGTGTACCTGCGGGACCCACTCTTATCTGCAAGGTCCGGCGCGCCTGCCCTGGTCGGTTTGTTGCCAATGCTTGTCACTTCCTTGGGACTTCCCTGGGGGTCCTTCCCATCCCCCCGTCCATCCCCGTCCACCCCCCCGGTCGACGAAGATCGCCATTAGGAACCTGGCGTGCGTGGGCACTGAGCACTGAGCACTTGCCGTCCCACCGAAATTCCTTCCTTCCTCGATGAGCCACCACTACCACCAGCGCCCGTCTTAGAAAAGGAGGAGCCATCCGCTCCCGCGCATTCCCTCTCCTTCCACCTACACCACACCACAACACCACGTCCCGTACGGTCACTCCTTTTCGTTCGCGTCTGGTTCCACTCTTTCACCCATCGCAACATTCAACAACGACGACTTGCTTCGCGCAAACTTACACTCTTTTTTCATATCATCTCTCGCACGATATCCTTACGGACTAAACGAACTGTTTCTTCGGAACCGCTCTTCTTTGTTGGCCATCCATTCATTCGTCATCTCGAACAGGCTCTACGCTGGACCTCAAGCCGGAATCGATCTTCGACCCTTTGCGATACTCAACCGCCACGGTCGATTTTGAATAGCATCAATCGCTTGCATTAGCTACACATCAACCTTGCTTATCGAGCAATCGTCATTCAAGATGCAGATCACCAACATCCTCTTCAGTCTGCTGGCCGCGACTGCCACTCTGGTCGCCGCCCAGGACACTATCACCACCGGTACTACCACTTCCACGTTCACCCTGACCAGGACTGTTACCATCACCTCCTGCAACCCCAGCGTGACCTACTGCCCGGGACGGAACACCACCACCAGCACCAGCAGCTCCACATCTTCGTCCGCTTACTACCCCGTATCAAACTCGACGGTCAGTGCTGGCCCGACTGCTTACACCAACACCACTGTCTGGGTCTACCCTACAAGCACCCCCGTTCAGACCACCATTATCGAGGTCAGCCCGACCACCACATCAGCTCCTGCCGCCACTGTTACTGGCTCCGGTGCTGGCAGCCTCTTCGTTCACGGTGGTCTCCTTATGGGCGTCGTTGGCGCAGGTATTGCTCTCCTGGCATAAGCAGGGAGCATGACCAATAGCCTAACGGCATACATCAGCGCCGTTTGGCTCTTCAATTCTACCACAGCGATCAATCGTATTGTTTAATTCTTCAGGGGGCGAGTCGATTGGAGTATTTGCATGGCAAGTTTTGATACCACGGGGCATTTGGATTCAACGGCTACTGGCTGGCATATCCTTGTCTTGTCAACCTTTTTTTTTTTAGACGGGGAAGCGGTTTGAAGGATCTATAGCCGCGGAGTCAAAGGTTTCTTGTTGCATACTATTGACATATCGAACATACTCGACACGAAATGGAATGATCAAACAAGCTGCACTTGTTTTCGCGTGATCATAAACATGTTTGCCTACTGTGCCCATTGTGACCCGACCCTGGCCTTGTACGAGCTTGGTGCAAATTGTGGATCGAATATCTGACATCCTGTCTTGAATCGAACGCAGCATCTCCAGCTACTTGTCTATTGAGTCAACTTAGATACTTGGAGTGGAATACCGCTTGATAGGCTCAGGTCGAGACACGTCACGATCTGATAAGTACCATGATATACAACCTTGACGTAACCAGTAATTCTCCCAGATATAACTCATAGACTCTCACATGTTTTTACCTTCCATGAAGCATACGAACAATTGTCCCTGAAGCCTTTGGATCACGCGGGCTTAGAGGCATGATGCTCCCGCTATACACATCGTTGCTAATCACCTTGAGCCTCTCTTGCGCCGCGCGAACGTCACACCCGAGCTCTCCAGATTGTTGCGGTTCGGACTAACATCAGCCCCTTTAATGAGCCATTCCCATGTACGCCTATACTGAACTCGTTGAAGTAACAAGCACTTCATATCAAGAACCATTTTCCAATGGCAAACAAGACAAAGAACTACAAGCATTTTCAATGCTGTTCGCTTGATAATATATCAATCAGTATGGCAAGGATACTGGGATGGAAAACTTATGGGAAACTCATCGAACATACACCAGTCGTTGTTGGAAACAGTATAATGAGTGGGTCTAAACTCTAGCTCCCGCCGTGGCTTCACCACATATGGCCCATCCCTTCCAATCTCTATCATAAAAAGACGACATCGGTCTCTAGCTATATGCTTTCGCATTACATTTCCGGTCCTTCAGCCATGTCGAACACTCTTCATGCCGACTTTTTCTCTTCAAACTAATGAAATAAGGGACAATGCCAACCATTATGCAGACAGTAAGACGCTTGATAAGACAACGGAGTCGAAAATGATATGGGAGATAAAGCAGTCCTTGCTGTTCCTTCCCTTCCAGCTTCTGTCTCGCTCAAGATAATGTGGATATCTTCCGCAGCAACGAAATATGAGAGACGAGCAACTGAATAACCGCGACCTCCAGGGATTTCAAAACTGATACTATGTTCAAAGACCGCCACATTCAGAGCTGTGAAAGTGGAAGCCCCCCGCTCGGTATCTCAGGAATTGTTCGCTCAATATATGGTGCAGTGATGGCACCACAATTCTTTCGAGCGCTCTGAACCCCCGGCCCAAGGCTTCTCGGTGACGAACATCACACTGTGTTCAGGCCCAAGAGCTGGTTTCGGCCAAGCCTTCGATGTCATCGTGAGCACTATTGCTGCAGCTCAGGTTGCGGGCACGCCACAGCCACCGTCCTTGCACCTGTCGCAATAGGCTTGGCTAGGTGATACTTTTGCATCACACAGGCATCCGGCTGCCGTGTGGTGATTGCAAAACTTGAGTGATAGGGTGGCCGGCTGCATTTCGTGGATCTTGCGTGTACTTGTCCACCAAGCCAGTTGTTCTTCTCGTCCCAGTAATGGCACGCTTTCCTCATACGGCTGGCAATACAATGCTAAACTTGGACACCGAGTGGTCGCTTTCTTGTTGGGGACCCAACTGCAACGAGGCAGAGTAGTTGCCAGGATGTCTTTGGTCGGCAAAGCTTCGACAATCGAGACGATTAGAGACGAAGCTGAGGCGCAGAGCAGAGACAGCACAAGGGGCCTGTCAGACTTATAAAATATGAGCTGCAAAAAAGGCTGTCGAGCTTGCTACCCAGCCCAAGGCTCTCGCCCCCTGTCAAGGAGGGTCGAGCTTAGGCCCTTAGTTCTGCATACAACCTGTTTTATATCTCTACTGGAGTGGGTGGTGGTGTCGCGCAGGGCATTGGGTGCTAAATGACAGCCAGCCGCAACCGACCTTGACTCGCGATAAGTGCGCTGTTGGTCGCCTTACACAAGGCTTCTGTCATATCTCACATAGTCCAAGCTTTCGCTTGCCTGGCCTGCTGCCCTCAGCAATATGCGAGCATTCATGCGTGATTTCACGCAGAGAGCTCATTACGGTATGTGCCGGCAGATCAATTGGTCCAAACTAGCGATCCGTGCCGTGATTTCGTCTGTTGGCGGACGATCGATGGCTCGTTGTGACACCATCAATTTTCCGGGTTTCGTCCGTATCTCAAAGGCGGCCTGCGCTGAGATCCAGGGGTCCTTCTCGAAGCCTTCGAAGAATTCATGCTGGGGAGAAAGCATTGTCTAATCTCGCATCGCACGTCCCAAGCAGCTGGTGGAATGGCCATGTCATCCTCCCTGACCGGTATCACTCCTTGCAAAGACCCGCATTAAAATAGGTAACTCAAAGGCTGAGCCTTCTTTCTGTCCATATTGGTGATACTGATCACTTCTGCGCTTTTCTGAATTCGGACTTATTATGAATTGATCATAGTAATCAGTCGTCGCTGGGAATTCTGTTTACGGACCAACGGGTCGGGAAGTCTAGGCTCAGAAAGCCGCACATGTTTCAACATGCAGGGCGGTTGAGTTGATCTGCAGGATAGTTGAAAGTCTCGAGTCGTGAAGACTTTCGGGTTACGCGACATGAAATTGGGTGGAAAGGACCATGTCCAGAACCCCGCTCTCAACTGGATGTGGTTGCTTCTTTTACCTTGCGTTGTCCCTCGTTTACCACACCAACTTCTTCATTCATTGATCACATTTCTCTATCCGAACGTTGTGTTGCGTGATGGTCAGCGTTGTTGCCAAGCGACAGCGGTTCTTCTGGAAACAATGACTCAAGTTAGACAAGTGTCGAGCCGTCTAGATCCGACCCTCGCCACTGGAAAAAAAGGACTCGGAAGTTTTCTCTCGAGAGCGCGATAATGTGATATATCAACCGAACCCTTATCTCCAACGCCTCCTATGTACAGGTATCTGTTACCTCACCATCCTGTGGGGGGTTGTAGACGTCGAGGTGACAGTGGGGTGTCAAGAGCCGCGGATACCGCCCCTGAAAGCGAGTTCGGGTCACCAAGACATTCCGCCGGAGCGGACGAAGCTTTCCCGACGATGGGTATCAAGTCCCTGTATTATGGAAGTCAGAAATCGATGTCTCGGCTCCTCAACAGCTGACTCGAGGGCGTTCACGGATTTGTCACGAGCTGCTTGATTCAGGATGTAGTTTATGATGGAGTGATAGTTGTGCAGTGTTCACTCAATTGCTAGCTCATATGACAAGAGCTGAACTGATAACTCTCAGCTTGTTACACTTACCGTGGCTGACACTGCTGTACTAGTTTCGAATTCTTACTTACCTACCCAACGAAGGATCGTTGCAGGACGGAGGATTGCCTAGTTGCATGCAAATAGAGGCATGTAAAATGCTTTCACGACTCAAGAACTGTACTTTTAAGAACAATCGGTCAAGAACCTATTAGTTGATCCTCGCTGATTCAGTCTAAGGTGACACCGTTGGTCTTCTGCGGTTACAGCTACTTGCGAGCCAGACAGACCTTGAATCGCTTGGGATCTAGACCATTGTACAGAAGGTGCTGACTGCATCTCGTACATAGCTGAACATTACCGATACAAATAGTCGTCGCTACCCTATTCTGTCCCGTTTGCCTGCCGAAACTGCATTTGCACACTTGATTTAGTCATGACATCTAGACCTCTCCCCAGCCTCTCCTCCATAACTGAGCATGCGGGCATTGTTGCGCAGCAAGCCAACCATTCCGCTAGTCCAATGGCATCATATATCAATGCGATCGAGGCAAGTGTAGCAGCATAGTAGATACTCTATGCCATACTAGTAATTGCCAACGTCCACTGGTCAGTCTGGATCCATATCGTTCCTTGAATGTGCGAGGACATGCCGCCCCATCGTCATCTTTTACATTTGAAGGTATACAGAATAGCAAATACTTGTTGATATTCTCTCTGGTAATATTCTTGAGTAATTATCATTATCATCATGTAGCTCAAAGGCAGATCGTTATGTACAAATGTATTTAGGACAGCAATGATGTACGTAGGTCATTTCGAGTAGCCTAAAGCTCTCCCCTCGAAATCATTCTGGAAGTCTACCATTCCATTCATCCACTTCCAAGTCCATAAATAACCCTGTTGCAATACAAAGGAAGTGCTTGACCCAACATTGCTGTGAGAATGCGTTGGCATGATCTTAACATGAACTTAACTCCCCTAGCAAGTGCCCTTTAGTACTCTCCTGCATATCGGCGACTGCGTCGCTGAATATCAACAGCAAAACATGACTGAAGAGATCTCTGGTAATTTAAAGTAATGGAGTGACAATCTGGATTGATATCTCGATTCTTTTGACAAAGTCAGTAGACTGAGCCGGATTCAGTGAGCCGCGGAATCATTCTTTTCAGAAGGAGGGGGCAGCTGTTCCTCATCTACAGAGTAGATAACACCGCGAATTACTGCTCGCTGGCTCGTGTTGACATGCTTGCTGAGCAGGTAAAATGGAATAGGATCTACCTCCGGATAATCGAGCAGGTTGTCAGGTTGGCCGGCCAGACGGATTTTGTGTCTAATTATCTTCTCTCGCAACTCATGCAAAAAGCATGCTTTCTTCCACTGCTGTAGGGTGCTGCTTGAAGGCGGTAAGAATCTCGTCACCTTGCGCAGAACATCCATCCGTTGTCGATAATATGTGTCAACCGATGCCCATTTCTTTTGACCGTATACCTCAAGAGAGTCCAGAGAGTCCCCGATAGCCCTGACGTCGGATAAGCGGAGTAGGAATAGCATCTTCTCCTGGTCATTGGTAGCAGGTCGAGGTTTGACACGTTTCTTGAGCTCGGCGAACAGCTCCTTTAGATCGAGGTTGGCGTGAGGGCCACCGTGATCGAGAGAATGATAGTAGTAATCTCCAAGAAGTTGCCTCCATTGCTTCTCTGGAAGCTCCTTATTGTTCTGCACCTTGATGATACTCTGCAAGAACTCATCGTGAGTATCATTGGCCATTGCATCTAGAACTGCTGGTAGCGGCTGGATGTGATCCTCAATACGGCAATATATGGCGTATTGAAGTGCGAATCGGAGGAGTGCGATGTCATTGTGCCAGATTGGATGAGATAGTAGGATCGACAGACCAAGTGCGAGATCTTGGGTCATGTTGATGTTGATGCATTTCCCCGTGAGTGTTGTGAGGAATCGAAGAGGCCGAGCATCAACCTTGAGGCCGTAACGGAACAAGTCAAACGGCGTACGCCCGTAGAGCTGAATCATGCCCTTCCACAGCGTAAGTTCTGTGTGTCTACGACATCGATTTCAGTATATTTCCGACATAACAAAAGACTAGAATGACTTCGTTTGGGAATAATTGCCAAGAAACCCAAGTGTGGTTGTGACAAATGGACTTGCAAAAGTTGCTTACTGATTAACCGCCCAAGCTGCTAACGAACTTGCCCAGGAACCATGCTGATGTTGTAATGCAGCTTCATTATCCTCGTTCCAATAGTTATCTTTCACCCATGCGAGGTGAGGAAAGAAGGGTGAAGGCAATAGCTTTTCTGCGTCAACTTCGTCGAATCGCACTGGAATGTTGTCGAGTGTCAAGATCTCCTTCGTAGCTTCGACTGGAGCATTTTCATCTGGTCTGAAGTCATCGTCGCTATCGTCATCGTCATCGTCAATCGTGATTGGCGTCTCAGTTCTGCGGGAAACGTTCTCGCTGGAGTGAGACCTGAGATGGTCTGACGAACGATGCATCTTAGCAGGTCCTGGGACTTTCAGTGACGATTTGGTGAGGCGAGATGCCTTGGCACTCTTGACGAGACGGAATTGATAGTTCTCAGACTCAAGATAGTTTGATGGCAGGGACCGCTTCCGCTGAGGAGGGTTGTTTTTGGGTGATACCGGCTGGGCCTTGCGAACGCCGCTGGGGTGAATCTAAACTGATTTATCTAGCCCTTGAGTGATGTTATTTTGATCGTGGATGCTCTGTTTGGGAACGTCCTTGGGGATATGTCGCGAGTTTGCTGAGGTTTGCGATGCGTTGTTGTCCTGTGACGAGGGTATAGGGGCTGGATGTGCAGACTTGAATGGTTTATAGCTTGATTTGACGCCCGCGGCCCAAGCTTTGTAGACACGGCCGTTTGTCTTCTTCATTTGAGGTTGGTAGAGATCCGATTCTATGCACTGACCCGTGAAACCTGATTTCGATTTGATGGAGGTCGACAGGGGAGCTTGAGCTTGAGCTTGAGTACCTACGTTCCACCGGGAGTTGAAATCTTGCAAACGTCGTTTGCCAATCCAGGGCATTGTGTGGATGGCTCATGACATGGTAACCATAGCATTGGTATTGCATGGGTGTTTGTACGCAGATTCGGTGTGGATAGAAGTTGCTGAGTACGAAATTTTTGTTGGTGAGGAAGGTGCGACTTCTCTGCGGTGTGCTTGTCTACCAAACTCGCCCAATGTTTATCTCTTTTGTGGTCGAATGAGACTCTGGATAGTCTCCTTGACCAAACGAAATCCTGGTAAAGATGATCATTCTTAGACTTGACAGTATCTACCTAACTACCTGATTCTTCTCTGGCGATCGAGGCAAAGGTATTCATTCTCTGCCAATTCCCCTCTACCGCCTTTACAAAGCTCAGACAGGAGGTTTGCACAGATGATGGACAAAACGGGATCTTGCAGCAATGGCTCTTTGGCGTGCATCGAAAAGGCTCGCTGGAGTGCCGAAACAAATACCAAGAGAATCGACAAGCCCAATCCATCATACTAAGCACAACTACGATCTGAGCGTATCAGATTAAATACAACGATGGAAAGGACTTATAACAAGGATTTCATGATGATGGTGTCGATTGATAGAATATAATTCAATTGGTTCGGCCTGCATATGAACAACGAACACCCCGAGACTCGAGCATCTCGACCAACGCCGCAAAGCTATACCCTTCGTAAAATCCGTCCTGAGATCTTTCACCGGTCCCTGTCGTCATTGAGCTCGTGCATTCTTGGTTAACTCACTTTCGACGATTGACCTGATCAGCTGAACCATGAGCTCCTTGCCAGTTCTCACTGCACCATCTGACGCATCGGCAGGGACGTGCAGGAAAACAACTCTCTTGTGATCTTGTGCTTTCCAAAGATGGGCAAGACTCGAGAAGTATATGAAGTCACACAAATAATGACCAGCATCAGTCGAGAGGCGAAGGTCCGCACCGTCCTGGATGTCGCGTTAGTTTCTTCTCCACCCCTCTCCTCATCACCGGACATGACAATGCCCATGAAGCATGTGGACTTACAGGACTATATTTCTGCCACCTCTTCATGATGTCATCGGTATCTAGGTCGGTCTCAATCGTCGGCGGCGTGCCATACCATACCCAGTCTTTACCCTCTTCCTCTCTGCGCTTGTCGTCCCGCAGTAGCTCACCATCGACATCCTTCATGTTGTACCCGTCACGGTGTCCCTGCCGCTCAAGCGCATAGAACAGGCGGGGGCCAGCCATGCCGATGTGGACCACATAGTCAATCTTGCGACCCGCATAGCTGGGATCCCAGAGTGCCGGAACGAGCGAGCGCACGACTTGGTAATTGACTCGCACTGGTGCTGGATGCACGATGATCCGGACGGGTGGGAGGGGTATCGCCGAGGCGGCGGCACCCGGGACTTTGGCGCGCACCGGCGGCAGGTAATCGGGTAGCTGATGAGCGATTTCCCATGATGGATTCTGAGGATATTGCTCTTTGAAGGGCTGAGAAGGTGGTTAGTGTAGTCCATCCGGCGATGCGCCGCTTTAAGTACACTCGAGGCGCAAGAAGAATGATTCTGTGCTATGCGATATGGATCAGGTGCTAATATCGCAAGCCCATCCAGGTCTTCCATCCTCGAGTGGTGCCCAACGGCGGGGGACGATCATGACTTACACCGAAGCCGGTGACAAGCACCGTGATTTCGTCCTGCTCTACGTCCCTCGAACCCATTTTGGTCCGAAGAGTGCTGAAATGTAACAGAAAGAATGACGGCACTGAGCGGGAATTGGGTCGAGTATATGAAGGGAGAGAAACGAGCAAGTTCGCAGGTCCCTTTCATGAGTGAGTACCTATGTAGGAAGGTGGAGGAGGTCTTGCGTGCTACTTGGGTCTCAAGCGCGGAGGCCCGCCGCCGCCACGCGGGGAAGCAACAGCCTAAAGCAGTATCATCGCTACGCTGCTGCAGGCGAAGCGTCGGCAGTCAGTCGGCGGCGGGTGTATGATGCAGCAAGGAAGCAGCAAGGAAGCAGACACGGTAGCATTGAATGCTGCAGACGCTACATACCTCACCTTGCTCTATCTAGAGACAGACATTTGATCGCCGCCCTGCTTTCAAAGACGATCGCTCGACTCGATGTGCAAACATCATAGACTTGCGGACTCAGAGGCACGAGACACTAATGTCAGTGTAATCCCTAGGCCACTCGTGCCATCATCTAGACCGACCTAGCCGCCTGAAGGAAGGCGCCCAGGGCGGCGGGTAGCCATTGAGGACCCTGGCTGTTGGACCCTGCACTGGCCCCTGGATCCTGGCGCGGTCATGGCTCCGTCGGTGTTGGCTCTGTATCATCGACGTTGGATCTTCAGCCTCAACAACTCATTCCTCAATTGCTAAAACATTACGTTCCGTTCCGTGGTCCTGGGAAGTAAATGAAGTCGTCTCGAGGAGTTACATCGAAGGCAGATAAGGTAAGACACCAACAGCGCCATCCGCCATCCGTACGAGCCCAAGCTATATCCGCCAATGTTGTATCGATAACGGGGCCCAACATCCCGATGTTAGTGATCTGATTGCCTAATAATAGTGTCGACCTGTTTGCGTCGCAATTAATGAGTGATAGGCGAGTGTTACCCATGAGCACGACCCCTGTCTCTTCTGGAAACCTAGAAAACTTCCAGAACACATTGATCGACGGCCCAGCAACGTTTTAATTTGTCTCCCGGATCAGGTCTTGTTTGAAAGAGGAAGCTGCTTCTTGTGCCACCACGACCTGGATTTGTGACTGATCAATAATTTCTGAAGTGTCGCCGCCGACGGCGAGGTTCAATCAATTTGTAACAACCTGTTTCGGCTAGGCATCCCAAAGTCGGATAGAGAGCCCGCGCACCTCTCCTGTCCTGACAGTAGTTTGATGGAGGGAGTCTGATTTTCAAGATTGAATTTGATATCACTGCAACACTAGTCCTTTTACAAGGTGAATGAAGTATAAGTGGCGCGAAGTAGAATGTCTCATAACATGTAACTTGTCACCATCTCTGTATGGCAAATCTAAATATGTACCAAAAGCCCAAAGCAAGAAGGTGATGCTTCGATATATATTAAAATATGGTCGGACACATCCGACTCATGGACTCAATAACAGCCATACCCCGAGCTGTATCAGTGAGCTGCGTTGCTATACGATAGTATATAATAGGAAGGAGTTCTGGTTGGCACGCGTGACCATAAGCGTCCTGCAAACCAGCAGGGGTGAAGTTATGCAGCTGTCAAAACCAGCGGCACCTATGTATGTCACAACTTCCGACTCTCATGATGCATGAGCAGCGTGGAATGTCCGCTTGCTTCTCCAAGCGATAGTCTAAAAGTCATTCTGGATCAGAGGGACTTTGCTTCCTTGTTGACAAGTCACCGAAGGATGGCAACGTGACATTCGAGAAGAACGGACAGCCCCATATCGTCCAAGCTTCATGATCTGTATCTTGCTGCGGTATACACAATCAAGCAGTAGGTTGCGTCTCAAACTCGATGGAATAACTTTGTTCTCGGTCTCTACTTAGAAACCATAGTGTTCAAAATACCTCCGTATGTTATGGAAGACTTAAGGCTTCTAAAACGACAATGCATCGAATTGTTTTCTTATCTCAATATTTTGTCACTGTCTCCTGTCTTCGTTACTAGTGTTGAGGGTAGGGTGCTATGACCTTGTGAATGAGCTCAACCTTTTATTGTATTTCAGAGAAAGAACAAAAAAACCTTATTACAACTTCTGTTTCCTCACGGTGAATCCGATACTGTGACCACTATATTCAATGCGCCCTTCGAGTTATATGGTTGACCTTGACTAGAACTACGGTTTCGGACTAAGCTCTGGACTAAAGGATTGCTGATATCCGACAGCGGCTTACTAGAAACCATGCATTAGGTACCTAGCACTGACGTTCATACTCCAAACTAGTCAGCTGTGAATTTCGGTCGACCGAGAAGTGTTTTAGCTCAATTTGAATGATGATCGTGGCTTCGCCTGTCACGCTAATTGGGGACGGTGATAACACCAAGGTACACAATTACCCATGACAACCAACAGAGTACGTGCAGTAAGTCTTGCACGGCCTTGTTGATTGGGAATGACCATTTTATCCATTTCTGAATTTCACCTAGGTATCGACCTAGCTCTGCGGTGTCATACAGTTGCCCAAGTTATCAGGAAAATTCTCTTCCAAGGGACTAGTTGCGTATGGATGAAACATCTCTTGAAGTTGAAAGCAATGCCTGGGAAAAGCCGCCTGGCACAGCTTGATGTACTATGAAGCTACCAGATGGTCTACTGTTGTCTCATTAGTATGGTTCTATTTTGGGCCAGCGGTGTGAGATTTTCAAGGCTGAATCAAAATGCTAACCATTTCAATTTTGAATGACATGAGTAAAGGTGTCTGTCATAGGTCGCCTCGCTTTGAGTCCGAAAGATGGCCGACTTGACGACCAACTTTGTCGAACTTTCGAAGGCATAGCCCCCAGGAGGTAGAACCTGGCGAATCTGGGGAAGCTTCAATGGTCGCATCCTTCAGCCGCAACGCCACGCAGGATCACAGCCCTACCTACACCGAAATCAGACTCCCGTGCTTTCCGTACTCGAGCATCGTACAATACTATTATCAGCCTTTAAGACATTCCGTGAGAGTTAAACAGCTTGCGTGATGCCAGGTCCTTCGTCTACATGGGCCTGATGGCTTGAGGCGTGGTCATGCCATCTGATCCGTCCACGCTGATTGTGTTGTCAGCCCAACACTGCCACGGATTTCTTGGATGCATCTGGATTCGGATCAGAGATCCTCGATGAGATCTACCAAACATTTAGAGAATAGTTTCGCAAGCCAGTCTATATATTGAAATAAGAACCCTGGACTGTTCGCTTCAATATGATAAGCATTATCATACCCAGCTCTCAAATCCAGATATTATCGTTATAGATCCATATTCATTGCATTGCCACTTACACACACATACCTTTGTTTGAAATATATGACAACAGACATGGGCCGTTTCTCTGCACTTACCATTATCGCTGGACTGTTGGGTGTAACGTCTGCTGCACCAACCAAGGTCGACCTCGCACCAAGATGTGGGACTACCTACTATCCAACAATCCTGCAGCAACTCGTCGAGTCTGACCCGGACACTGTCTACCCCAACAATGATAACTTCCATGTCCAAAGAAAAGTTGTCAACGGCGCCCTTAGTGACCGAGTCTACCAGTTCGTGGGCTTCGAAGGCATCCCAGCAGGTTCGTATGGGTGCCAACTTGCTATCACATTCCCGCAGTCATACCCCGTCACCACTGAGCCCGCAGACTATAACGTCCAGATGAACGTCACCACGGCGCTCAACGGCTTGTCTAGCGAGGTCACATACCCAAATGCCTTCACCTGGAACAACTGGCCGGCTCTAGGCACAGGGCTCTTTGGCACAGTTACTGCGGCTGCTGGCTCCACGGCCGTCATCAACTCCGAGGCATGTCCACCAGGCGGCGGTAACTTGGCTTTCTTATTCGAGGTGTCTCGGTGGGTGGAGATAACTTCGAGTGTTGATTTTACCCAGAGCAACAGTCCGCTGGCAGGTGTTTACCTGACAGCGAACTGCTAAAACGGTCTTGTGGGTAATTTCAGGCGTGTAGTTTGAACAGCATGCATATTCGGTTCAGATTCAGTATGGCCCATACGTCAAAGTTGAACTTGGCCAGGGTGTTCAAGGTGTACTGGAGCTTCGATTATTGGGTTCATGTTTCCCTCAGGAGTGATTGGGATATCGGCACTGAGGTCCGTAGGTCTGAGTATTGATGTTAATCAAGTTCATGCCTAAGTACAAAACTTAGGACTATCCATCGTGTAAAGGAAAAAGATAAAGAAAAGGAAAAAGCCAGGCCTTGGTTCTCGACGAAAGACACGCTGCTTGCCAATATGAAGTTGACTGCTGATGTCGAAAACGCTCAAAAGCTCACCCCCTTTCTGCAAGACCAGCTTTGGTAATAAAGGTAGGGAATGGCCCTCAATGATTCAAAGGTCGAGAAACGCAAGTCACGCCGGCTCAAAGTTCCTCATTGCTGATTTGAGATGGCTGATCATAGCAAGATCAAACAATTGTAGTGATATGTAGCTACAGCCCTTGTTTTGCTGTAGAACGGTGCTCTGATCCTGTCAAGTTACTGACAATAACAGAGGCTGGTGTAGAGCTGTATTCTAACAGATCAATATCCACAAACATAATGTCAGAGAATCAATAAACGACGAGGAATTCAACGGATGGCATCGAGAAGATATCTTGAGTATAGGGGAAGAAACGTACTCCATCTTGCTTCTCCCAAGATGTTTATAGGCTTCGGCCGCCCTTGATGCCTTCGACAAACCATATCGCTTGTGTGCGATTGATGCCTGCCAAGAGACAAGGTCTATTATCTATTGCATCCTGGCTCGACCCTTGTTCTTGCATATGAGATCGGCCTAAAGTAGGTGCAGAAAGCCATCAGGCGCTATAACGAAGGAAGTCAATCCTCAAGCCCGAGGAACAGTATTGCAGGTAACACAATAAACGCGGCTTGTGATACACGTATCAGCCCATTATAAGCGACGCATATATTTCATCGATTCAATATGAACACAAGGGTATGATGCTGATCTTTGGATGGCTCAGCTTGCCTAGACTTATCTAAAGTCCTCATCCATTCGTCAACAAGTAAACGTTGATGTGCATGTTAGATCCTGAGGCTCTCATGCAGAAAGCAAGTGCAGTTTAGTGACAGAAAAAGTTAGTGGTTGCTGGTGCATCTCGAACAGATCCCTACCTGTGTAACTCTATCGGCTTGGCACATCGCGGCACATGTCAAATGCAAGGATGATAATCGTAGGTTTCTGTGATATATGATCCAGCTTGGCTGAATGTGGGATTGGAAGCTCGAACCACAACGAGCCACCCCTCTCACCAGCATTAGCGCCCGAAAGCCATGGTGTGACGTATTGTTGGGAATTTGAGAGGCTCTAGAGAGCATCCTACAGTTGAGATGCAGAGGGCGTGCGTTGCGTTGCTGTGAGGACTACACCGGTGTGCCTGTGAAGAAAGAGGTCGCCATCCCTCATGCGCAGCCTCACCGTCTCCGCACTGGCAGATCTGATTCACCTTCACGATAGTGATCCCAATCGGCCTCGCCGGTCAAAAGCATCCATTTTAGTCCTTGGACCGTCGACAGTGGTCTAGAACTGATCGTCGCTGTGCATGTCAGGAGCCTCGTGGCTGTTGTCCGTCGCTTCGTGTTAGGCCACACAGCCAACATGTGGGTGGCATCCACCACCGAGTGGTCAGACTCGAACGAGTTAGACAAAACATCGAAGACACTCGACAGTAGGCCTATACTTGACATGGTCAGCCTCCAATGGCGATGAGACAAGTCATCGTATTGTCAACTCAAAGCATGTGAATGATCTCAGCGGCCAGACTAAGCGGCACTAATGGCGTTTGATGCAAGCCATGCAATAGCGAACATGGAAACAAACAATGGGTGCAGTCTCATTCATTTGATTTGTACTAGCTCTTTGTACATCACCGAGTTTGGGTTTTGGAAAAACCTACTTGCAAAACTGTAGCTGTAAGACTGCCCGGTCAAGTATGCTGGATATTGAATGCATGCACGAGCAAGCCACAACGATATCACCCGCACCTCAGTGGATGCAAATCGAGTAACATCAAATTGGCTGTGACAACGCCATGCATGATAAGAGATGCCTTGCGTTCCCGTTCGAAATGAGCATGCAAGGTGTCAAGGCTGGTGTCTCACTGCATAGTCTGAGACTTTTCTCTCTCTAACGACGATGCCAGTCTACATGGCATGTCTCTCAAAGCGGGTGAGCGTCTCGACGCCGACAAAAAACGCCATGCCGCTCCACGCGTACCTATATGTAGCATTATTCGAACGATCGGAAGATCGACCGTTCTCCGATGGCTTAACGAGGGCAAGTGCCACGAAGAGAAGTTTAAAAAAGCAAGAGGTCGGTTAACGAATGATATTCTCGTGGAGCCGATGACGAGATTGCAGCGCCAGTGTACAAAAAACGACGCTGCGCAGCCGCCATTGTCACAGGCTCTCCAACAAGCGGGGAAAGCTGATACGTGTGGAGGAGTATCAAGGAGACCAGGGAGGCTTCTACTGTAGGTCTCGTCCCCTCCGTCAAGATGATTGAAGAACCCCACCTAAAGCTGAAGATCGTCCAGTCAGTGCGACTGGGCCAGACTTCGGGAGCACGGCAGGGAGGTTTGAAACCCCTTGCCGGTGCGGAAGTCCAGACCAAGCCTACTACGCTTAAGCCTTTCGTAAAGTCGTCTGGAGCACAAAAGCTTGGTCTAGCCTGGGTCGCCTGCGACGGCATTTGAGATCTGATCGTCGCCTACGATCGCATCCGCTGAAGACAGTGCTTCCCCTTACCAGGCTGCCTGGCTACACCCAAGCTCCTGGGAGTATCTTGAAGTGCCAAGAGTCATTGACATGGTAAAGTCACATGCGTCTCCATTCGCATCAGGGATGCTCCTTGTGTCTCGTCTACACCACTTGCATGGCAGGTCCAATTTCTTCTTGTATATTGTCTGCACCAGATTCGAGAGGGCCGCCTCGTTGATTTTAGAACTCAGGCCAATGAGCAAAAGCGGCTCTTTGAACGGGATCCGATAGTCAGGCATTCATCTGCCCTCATTGGACACGACGAACACGATGCCGCTTTCTAACCACCACCTCAATGCTAGTGGTGTACACCCATCATCTCGTCGGCAGGGCCATTCTGTGATGCCCGTTTTCCTGTGCCTCAGGCGGGGTCCTTTGCCCTAACTGTGGGACGCGAGGCATCAACGACTTCAATAGCACCTTGCTCGAGGCTTGCGGAAACGCGCCAGCAGTCTCAGATATCATGCTTTGCCAAGCCGTATTCGGCTCAAGCCCCGTGTTGCAGCTACCTTCTAACTACGTATATGTGTAGGTGGTAATCTGGGCTGGGGTGGCCGGTGAATGCCTGGGCTTTGATACTCGAATGCCGAAGTCCAGCCTTTTGTGCTCGTGAGGGGCCAGGAATTCTCGTGTATGTCGTTATGACGTCGAAAAACTGTCATGTTGATTTTGAGTCTCAAGGGCAACACTCGCCCCAATTTGACGCAGTGAATAAGGTCTAGTAAGGGGGCACAGCTTGATAAGCGGTGCCTTCTTTGGTAGGTTCGATGGCATATGCCTATTCTTTTCCTGGGCTTGGTCTTTGAAATAAATTTGATCGGGAGGCTGCTCTACCCGCCGAAGGAACCACCTCCGAGCCAACCCCACTGCTACTTGAAGCTATCTGCTTCGCTTCTGTTGTTGTCAGGACAGGCACTCCTTTCTGAGCACCACGTCCTAGCGCAATACCATGTCAAGGCAGCATTTGACTTTAATTGCATGCTCCAATTGCAGGAAGAAAAGAACCAAGGTGTGTAATGTCCTTTTGCAACGTCCGCTTTCTTTTAGGTTCGCGAGTGTTCTATCTTGAGCGTTGTTCTTGGCGAGACTCCTACTCCCCCTATCAAGCCTCTGCAGGATTCGTCTGCTATGATCTGCCTGTCCAACTTCATTGTATGATGGCATCTAATGCTGAGCCAGTGCGATGGAAAATCTCCATGCGAACGGTGTAAGTCCCGAGAGGAGGAATGCGCCTACGAGAGTAGGATGTGGAGGACGAAAGGCCAGTTACGAGCCGAAGTAGAGAACTTGCATACTCAACAGCAACACATGCGAGCCATACTGCAGGCTGTCATGTCTCATGACCATTGCCGCCAGGTCTTGAGGAGATTACGCCAGGGCGAGTCCGCTGCCAGCATTGCCAAGACACTTCCACGGTCTATCATTGACGAGGCTTCTTACGGAAGTCGGAGTCCATCTGCCATGTCACCGGGAGCTTCGGAGACATCCGACATCCTTGATGAATGTATGATGGTTGAATCACCAGAGAACCTCAGACATGGCGATATGCCACCGGAAAAATTGAAGACAGGAGCAGCAGATGATTATTGCTGGAAACAGTTATCCGGAGCCAACATGGACGCAGACGATGACACTGATGCGTCCCTTACCTCATTGGCCAGCCCAGACTATGCAAACACAGTCTACTCTCCCAACAGCCACAGTGCCACAACTCCTGCAACAGATGTCGAAAGCTCTCAGCGAGTATCGGCAGCATCACGTAGTGGGGCTATATTTGCTAGTGTTAGCGAGTGGACTTCCGTCACACAAGATGTCTCTTTGATCAGGGAGCTAATAAAGCTGTACTTCACGTGGGAACATCCCATATTTTCGTTGGTCTGCAAAGATCCTTTCATAAAAGACTTCGAGGATGAAAAACGGCGATACTGCTCATCGGCGCTTGTGAATGCCATGATATCGTTGGCATGTCGGTTCTTGGACTTCTCAAACGCACGGTTGGACTGGCCACAACTTTCAGATCGCTTTTTCCATGAAGCTAAGCAACATCTAGCCGATTCAAAAGAGGTCACATTACCAAACGTCCAGGCCCTAGGACTCTTGTCACTACGAGAGACAGTCTGGGGACGGCAGGATAAAAGCATGCGCTTCGCCGAGGACTGCGCAAAGATGGCTCTGGCCATGAACACCGGTAGCGACGGTAGTGATCTTGCTGACGACGCGGAGTATCGTATCGTAAGAGGAACCACTATATGTGGCGCCTTCTCCCTATGCCGGTGAGTTCATGGGTTGTGGTGAGACATTGCATCTCATCCTAATGTCGCTAGTCTCCTGTCAATGACCAGCGCAATCTCATTAACCTCGTCGACGAAAAGACATGACGGCTTAGTACCCGTTAGGTATGATTCTTGTGCCGTCAATTTTCGAGAGTTGTCAGTTGCGGAAGGTCAGTCTCTACGAGACGACAAGACACTTGGATGTTTGCTGATTATCATAGGTCTGAAAGCCGAATTTAGTAATCAGATTGCTCACTGCGAACCTATTAGCAGGTCGATATTCGAGCTAACGGAACTCACGTACACATGTCTTTCTGAGATCTACGAGGACAAGCAGCCAATGACCGGTCATGATTTGCTCGGAGTATATACCAAGTATCTGAAGTGGTATGAGTCTGCTTTCGGAGCCCTTCACGAAGGTGGTGCCTGTACTCCATCAATAATCTTCTTGCAGTAAGCTCATAAGCACTCATGACTCTCGGGCCAACTGACCAGAGTCCAGCATATATTTTCAATATGGCCTGGTTTTGCTGTTTGGCCCATTTGGCCATCTCAACATCATTGGGCCTGAATTCGCACCCCGTGCCGTCTGCACTGAAGCCGTGAGGGCCATCTCCTCCCTCACGCAGATCTATTCTCGACTATTCACTCTCCGCAAGACCCCGTGCTTCCTACCTCACTTCATTTTTTCGGCAACGATCGCACAGATCCTACCTAGCGTGCCGAATGAAGAGCAGCAAGGAGGCGACCGTATTGGCAGGCCGACTTCTTCGTCAGCAGCAGAAATGTCACAAGGAGAATTAAACTCGGCGCTGACTATGGGCATCACTCAACTGGCTGAAATGAGTGAATGCTCTCCATCAGCCACTCACAGCCTACGCGAGCTCACCAACTTACGCGCTGCATCCTTGGTATGAGTTAACGTAGCGCCATTGGCTTCAACGTACATATGTTGAGGTATCTAGAGCGGTTTTGATCACTGGATCACCGGATGGTATCGGACTGGCAAAGGCCCCTCCCTCTCTCGCTCTTTGTCTGATCTTTTGGAGTTATCGGAGTTCCATGGAGGCTCCCACTGGAAAAGGCCACAATAGTTCCAGCTGAAGGGCCTGGAGGTGTTTAAGTTGGATACGAAAGGTGTTTTTTCGGTCAAAATATAAAGTCATGGATCTGATCAATGAGTTGTATTGAGCGGTTCATTTCCCACCAGGCTATCCTCCATTGTAATAATAGCAAGGGCAGCATACGTCGGAAAACCGGTAGGGCACTGGATAGATTCGACCCTCTCGTGAAATCTTGCCGTTTAATCCAGGCTACCGATGGCACTTATGGCGTCACTGGCCGTTCCTGGGCTCGTCGCCAGGCGCAAGTGAGATTGATCTGCTTACACACTACCATGCTGTTCTGTGAAGCTAGGGTCTGGTCTTGAAACCCTCATTCCGGCCTCAATCTGGCAGGTCATGGTGAAGGACGCGGCTCGTTGCGCTGCACCTTATCGGCCTAGCAAGCCACGATAGTTGACAAAGTGTTGGTAAGCTTGGCTCAACGTAACGTCAACTAAGGTAGTTTCGAGTAAGCTCTTCGGATTGTAAGCTTAACAGCTCTTCACTCTCTGTGGGACAGACAAGCCCTTTGAGTGGGGTTTGGTGTGTGATCAGGGGCTCTTTGCAGGCATATTCTGAAGCAGCGAGGGGTTCGAGGCTCCCTGGCACGGGCCACAAAACACCCCCTTGACCGGCCCGGGCTCACGACGCTATATTGAATTCTTCAGCAACCTGCAACACTCGCGACAGGGCCCCGCCCTACCGACGAAACGAAACGGATTGGCGAGATGAGCCCAGGGGCCGGTTTGATATCCGAGGATCACTGGGATGGCCCCCGTATTGGCGCGACCACACGGGATGAACTGCACCCTCGAAATTGGGTTCTCATGCGTGGGATAAGATAGCTAAGCTGATGGCTGGGGCCGATGGGCACGGCGTGGAGCCTGCGAGCTGTCATTACTTATGGCAGCTATCCCCTTACCCACAAGGTGGTGTGAGGTGTGAGGGATGGTTATTCGTTTCTATGCTGTCGAGTCGTCCGATTGAGTCGGGACAATCAGTTCATTTCTTTTACAATTTTCAGGAGTGCGATTAATTACTATGGCAAGATATTCTGGAAGCAAAGCGGCGACGGGCTCGTATGTCATCCTACTAATTTATTGACACTGTCGTTGCTAATCTTGGCTCTCTTACGCAGGTTGCTTGGTGTCGAAATAGTCCGCGTGTTAGTTGGACCGGATCAGCGAGAATTCGCTATCCACAAGAAACTGCTCTGTTCATCAAGTCCTTTCTTCCGAAATAGCCTCGATGCCGTCCCGGCCGCTCTAGCAGCCACCCCGAGACTACCGTCCGCGAATCGGAGCGGAGATGTTGCTCCCACCGCTGTCCTGTGGCTATCGGGAGAGTCTCCCAACATGTTTGAATTATTCGTGCTCTGGCTATATCAACGCCGAGCTTTCGCAGCCCTCATCGATGAGACCATCAATGCCCTGACACGAGAATCGCCGCCCTCTGCGCGGGTCGAGGCCAGCCAGATGGCGTTGCACTGGAACTTGGTGCGCCTTCACCTCTTCGCCGCGTCCATCGACCTGCCAGCCCTGCAAGATGTAGCTATGGATGTCCTCCAAGATCTCTATCTACGCTGCGATTGGGACGTGTCTGCACGGTTCGTGCGCTACCTCTACGACCGGGACGCAGAGCATGCCTTCCGCCTCCGGAAATGGGCTGTCGCAATGATGGCATGGACTCTGGCTGCTAACGGCCACGATGAAGAAGATGGTATCCCACAGTCCTTCCAACAGCTCTTCGATAGCTACCCGGACCTTTGCGACGATTATGCTGCTCATCTCAGCAAAATGGCTGGTAGCCGTGCAAACGTCGCCATCAAGAATCCTCAATTACGGCTGCATGCCAACAAGCTGAGAAGCGAGGAGCGTCATTTCGGGTTCCGACAGTGCAGCTTTCATAGTCACCGCAGTGCGGTGGGTGAAGGTAGATGTCCTCATCTAAACTTAGCGGCGGCACCACCGTTGCCAGAGAGAAGGAGGATCGAGAGAAGCGATAGTGATAGCAGTGACACGATCGAGATTGCGGTGGCTGCCAGGGCGGATCTGCGAGGCAAGGTCGTCCCGAGACTGCGATCTGTTTCCGATTCTGAGACCATGATATGAAATACATGATATGAAATACAGTTTAACGGCCGATGTTAGTGATAAGTGCTTAGAGATTGAAGTTGGCTCTTGACGGCCTTGTTTCCAATGCCACATGTGGGTTTCTTATGTATATAGTTGCAATGGTTATGAGTTATGATACCCAAGAATCAAGAGAATGGTATTTCTAAACATCTCCGTCCGTCTAGAGAAATCTCGCGAATTCGTATCGTACACCATACCCCAATAGCTGAACCTTTCGAATTCAGCAATCGTGGTTCATGAAGAAACCCGTGAAAAGGTCAACATTTTCCGGATCAATCGTATCTGCGAATCCGACATCTACATCAGCTTGTATTGCTCCAACCATTTCAAAAAGATACGCATCCGCCTTGTTGCAAGGCTCACTGTTCACCACGTGTGTGCCCTCAGAAGGAATATCGTTCCAAAAGTCCCTTGCTCTTTGTCAAGAGCATTACACAATGGGGTCCAATCATCGCGACGCTTCAGCCTGGAAAGCTTGACCTTAAAGCTGTTGATCAGACGGCGGTCGTATTTGCAGAACCGCTCCAGAACCTACTGGCATGTGATAGCTGAGTTTGACAGCCGTTGTGGCCTTTCGGCGCCTCGAATGTCACCAGTGCCACTATCGCTTGGGAGAGAGTCGCTGATAATGATATTAACACTGAAACTTGGATTCTTCAGATTGAATTAACAGGCCATTCCGACCCTGACTTATATGTCTCTCATAAATATCGAAATCATAACCTGATGTTCACTGGTAAGCTGTTCCATAAGGTCTAAGTAAGACTAGCAGAGAGCCCAAGAGGCTAAACCACTTATGTTGGCCTTGAGCAAAGGGAAACAGCAGTAGTAGTACAAAGAGGTGAAAGGACATAATGATTCAGAGCCTTCTAACTCAACACTTCCCCTGACTCGAACGATCCTGTCCGTCAACTCGGAAATCACAGCTCCCCCGGTTCGTCATGCTCAAAATACGACATCAGAAAAGTTTCAATAATTAAACATCAAGGTAATAGGGTTGCCATCAGTCCCTGAGTTTATGAAACATGGGAATTATTCAATTGTTCCTTTCTCTAACGCCTTCAGCTAACAAGTCCATGCCGTCAGTCCTAATACTGGCAGCCTTGCCGATAGTTTGCTCTAGTAAAATCTATACTTTCTGGTTTCTGGGCCAGCCAGCTCGGCCGTATTGATTTGCCCATTTGACTGGAACGCCTAGGTGCTGTGCAATACGGAGCACGAACTCGGGCTCCCTGAGGAATTGACGAGCAATAATCACTACGTCAGCCTGCGCTCTTTGTCCTTGCTCATCATCAACTTCGACAGTGCCTTGACCCTTCTCCGGGTCTTCTCCCTTGGTGCATAGGCAATCCACTTGTGTAATGTCGCGCGCCATCTCGGCCGTTGTAATCATGCCAACTGCGCCGATGAGCAGCTCCTTGCCTGCTTTCTTCAAACCGTCCCGAATCTCGCCCGCGAGGTTGACTTGGTAGTATGGATGTATCTGGATCTTCTGCTCGCTGTTGTTGCCGCCGGATGACACATCCAAGAGATCGATACCGAGCTCGGGGAGGAGGTGTGACAGCTTCACACTCTGCTCCAAATCCCACGACTCCTGGCCGGACCACTCCATCCACTCAGTCGCAGAAATTCGGAGGAAGACGGGGAAAGTGTCTGGAACAGCACTCCGAACGGCCTTGATCACCTCTATAAGTAGACGAATGCGGTTCTCGAAGGAGCCGCCGTACTCGTCTGTTCGTTTCTATGGTGATTGTCAGTGTTCTGAACGTAGGGCGTTGTTCTGGGAAAGGGTGCCGATACTCACATTCGAGATAGGAGACATGAACTGGCTGATGAGGTACCCGTGGGCACCATGAATTTCAATGACATCGAACCCAGCAGTGACAGCCCTCTTAGCAGCATCCACAAAAGCCTGCAGCAGCTCATTGATCTGCGCCTTGGTCATCTCCTTCGGGTGCGGGTAAAACTCATTGAACGGAATCGCCGACGGCCCCCAGACATTGTCTGGCCAGCCGCCCTGCTCCGGCCCAGCGAGATCCGGCTTACCGCGCGCCGCATGCCACGGGGCAAGCGTGCTGGCCTTCCGGCCAGCGTGGCCTAACTGGATGCCCGCTTTCTGGCCCTGGCTATGGACGAAGTCGGTGATGCGCTTGAGCGGGGCAATCTGGCTGTCCTGCCACAAGCCCGAGTCTTCAGGTGAAATACGTCCATTGGGGGTCACGGAGGTGGCCTCGACGATGGTGAGGCCAACACCGCGCATGGCAAAAGAGCCGAGATGCACCAGGTGGAAGTCAGTCAAATGACCGTCATCGGCGGAGTACATGCACATTGGCGATACCACGAATCGATTGCGCAACTCGACGCCTCGAATCTTCAGGGGCTTGAACACCGTCGGCACAGAATTGGGGTCATTCTCGAGCTCTAGGGGTGTTCCAGCAGGCGGTTCCTGCGCCGGGGTGTAGAATGGGACGCCAGGAGCTGGTTTGCTAGCGGTGGCTTTTTGAATCGTCATGATGCAAAAGTTGACACGGCTGTTTTACAAAGTGATTATCCTTGAAGATCAATCTCAAAAACGCCGAGAATCGCTAACCGCCAGTTTGTGGCCAGTCGTGGTGTAAGTGATCGGATTAGCGAGTTGCTTTGCCTCAGATCAAGGAGGGATTGGCGATAGAGTGCTGACAGCAGGGTTGTCTAGTGCGTATCTCAGGGGATTCTAGAAGTCTAGCACCTTGGTCTAGTGAGAGAAGAAAGTGAAGCTGAGGTGATGAGTGCCAGAAAATTTCATGGATGGGCCAAAACACCCTTTTTATAAAGAATCTCGAATTGAGGCTTGCCGAAGATGTCGCATTGCAAGTCTCCGTTGAATAAGGTACAGTGGCTAGGGAGGGCCAACGATATTCCCCGACATAAGTGCGCGATGACGAACATGCGAGTGGTAAGGTTTGCTGACTGATTAACAATCAAAACGCCCTAATTCCCGGAGCTGTCAGACACTACCCGGAACCTGCAGCAACACTATCTCATGCCGCCTCCCATCATCGGAGCTTACATAAACTCGCAGGAGACACCAACCGACTGTTTCCGATGATCTACTCCTCCGTCAGGGTAATAAACGTTAATTGTTGAAGGGTGAGGATACTCAATGTCAAGAGTTACAATACTCATCAAACTCTCAAATATTCTGTTTATTACCATAGGTCTATCAACTTCTACACAGGTAGTAAACCCTTGTTGAGGAGGTAGTAGCATCCTTGCCGAACTAACATTTATTACCCTGGCGGAGGAGTATAATGGTCATAGGTAATCAACAAGTGTTTTGTTTCCACATAAATCAACCAAGTCGAAGCCGTCTCTGTCCCACAAGCTTCAGCTCGCCCCTTCTCCCTTTCTTACCAGGTATCGTCGGCGAGATGATCAATGTCACAGGGCCACGGCGCGAATTTCACCTAGATTCGCCGAGATAGGCTATCCGTGCAACATAGTTCGATAGTGCTTGGTAATTGGAGCAATCCAGAAGGGTCAGCTTGTGCATTGCAGGGCGTTCACGGCATGGGAAACAAACAGAGTCGCATGCTGTTTGCCTTACTAAGAGCCGAGGGTTGCTTCGGACTTGGCTGACGAAAGGCGGCACGATTGAAGAGACCAGATGCCTTAAAAGGGGTCAAACACGCCTTTTCTGCCTATGAAGTTGTGTTGTTAGCGGAGCACTGCGAATTGGAACTGCAAGAGGCTGGCGCCGGCGAGTCGGCGAGCTCGCCGGTGCATCTTCAATCACCTCAGCATCATCGGAGTACCTCATTCGGGATTTCGCCTACGCTTGCGCGAAGACTACCAGAAAATTTTATTCGATCTTATCATTGCTTGACTATTATTTCTAAGCGTATTCTGACCAAAACTTGGATGCTCGCCAAACAGCTAAGCACGATACTCTGCATGTTACCCTCTATTAGCGATATAGTCGGCCCGCCTTCAATCGCTCCGCGCTCTCATGTTTGAGACCGAGGGCAATCTTTCCGACATCCGCATTAGCTTTGACGTCCTGCATCATGACTTTAACGCCGCCGAGTTGTCGAGCCCGCTCTCCACCGGACATGGCTGAGTTGGTCTTCGGTAGATGAAGATATCGACTATTCCGCGCGACCGTGCTGACATAGCCCAATACATCCGGCGCAACCGTCATTGATTCCACGGCGACACTGATCGTGCCAGCGAACAAGAGAGCGGCTGTACAAGTCACGAAGACGGCAACCCAGGGAGCGCTGATTGTGTAGATGAGGTCTTCCGAGTATTGTCGCACAGCATTCACCTTGGTGTAGTGGGAAGCCAAGCCTAGTTCGTTGATTGTGGGTATGTCTGGTATGCTCAAGCACAAGGTGCAATAGCCGAGACTGACCCATGTGTTGAACAAATATCCAAAGCGAGTTGCGAAATCAGTAGGCCAGGTGTCTTCACTAAGGTTCATCGAAGAATTATACCAGGCGGTTTGTAAACCATCCTGCTTGCCCGTATCAGAGATATACATCTCGGCTTCATTCTGTCAGCGTGTTTACTCTGCAAGGCTAGGTGAACTCAGACTTACTTGGTGTTGATGGGACATTCAAGCTATCGGGACTGCCAGTGTATGTCCATTCGAAGGAGAAATCCTTCAATTCCGTACCTTTGAACCTTGTTGTATTCGCTTGTGTGATCTCAGATACATTGACACGACTGCAAGTCGCGGTGCCGAAGTCAACGTCCCGGACACATGAGACCTGGGTGTCAACATAAACCTGGGTGAGGCTACACTCGATGTAGGAGTACTCCGCGTCAGCAGCGATATCAAGGCCAGATGTATCATTTTTGGTGCGGTTCAGCTCCGGCGCCTTATTCAAAGATGCGAATGCAACGCCATCAAAGCTCGCTAGGCTTGCATCAGAGTAAGTGAAGGCTAATGCCAAAGTTTCTGCATTGCTGTATTCGAAGAATGGCTCCGTGGAGTTATCGAGCTCGGCCTTGGTCCTGATAGACCAATCATCGCAAGTGAAAGCGAAGAAAGAAGTCGTCATGGTGAAGTTGAGGCTTTCGGATGGAGGATTATCTCGTTCCCTCGCAGTGGTATCATTGGGATATCCGACCTTAATCAGTGGGAGTGCGACTGGTACGCCGTATCCCGCTACTAGATCTGGATAGTCTGGGGTTGACGTGAAGGGAAAGGTGACAAGAGGTCGTTCATACCGATCATAATCCAATGAGGCTGTAACAGGATCTGGAGAAAGGTTGCCAATATAGTCAGTCGCGATGATCTGTTCATAGTCCGCGACCTGATTGGAATCTAAGGTGGTGGATAGTCCCCAAATTTCATTATCGCCGTTCATGTTGAGGTAGTAGACTTCCACGTTATCCTGCTGAATGTCTCTCTTGATAGAGTACGCCCGCTGCAATGCTTGTGACCCAACGGGAGATAGACACCAGATTGCGAAGAGAAACAAGCTTAGGAGATCGAGGCGACGAAGAAGGAAGGGCTGCTTCATGGCACTGCCAAACGAGTTGCTGCCCACCAATTGCTCGAGTTCCATGAGCTTGATGCCGCGTTCGACTTTATATGTAGCCCAAGACTTGAAGCACTGGGCAGTGACGGCCGCGAAGACGATAGGCCAGGCCGAGATGGCCACTTTGATAGCATTCTCCATTTTGGACCAATCTCCGTACGCAGACTTCCCTTTCATGCCGATGATAAACCCAGCAAGAACTGCACTCACTGATTAGCGTTAAGAAAAAGCAGATAATCCGAAGGCAACATACTTAGGAATAGAGCAGGAAGAATAATGCTGAGACTGGCCATGAAATAAAAGGAGAAATTCGCCCAGTGACGATGCAGAGATCGCTCGGCTTCTTTCTCCGCAGCCTTTTGCTCAATGATATTTAGCTCTTTAGCTGTGACCTTGAAAGTCACCTTTTCAGATGCGTTGGCTCCATCCTTCGCGGTCGTGCTATAAGCTGGAGGAGCTCGCGTAGGAGGAGCCCCAGCTGCCGTAGCTGCCATTGCGTTCGCGATACCACCTGCAGCAGCGCCTCCATCGAAGGAGAAGTGGCTTTGGGAGTGATCATCGTCATTATGACTGTGCCCCTTCTCTAGAGCGTCATTGTCTGCAATTGAATGGTTGTCATGTCCCCCGTGATCCGTTCCATGTATATCATCGTCACCGTCATCGTCGGATAAGTCGTCGTCTGAGACAATTTCATCGCCGTCGTGGAAGTCGCCAATGTGTATGGACGGCAATGCACCAGCAACTACGGTTCCAAGACCCCGGGCGAGGGAGGTCTTGAAACGGTGCATTTTACGAGCCCGCTGATATTGCCTCTGGTCTGCAAGTGCTTCGCCAAGGTTCCCAGAATCGCCCGAGGGAGCCATGGGAGATGATGTGGTTTCATCAGGCGTATCGAGACTTCGAGAACTCGACTCCTCAGCTGACAATGCCTTGGCTGGGACATCTTTGGTTACATGAGGCGTAGTCTTGCCAGATGCGTCTCCGTTATCGGTGTTGATAGCTCGTTTGACCTTGACCAGTGTACCATCTGGCTTGCGAACAGTAACAATTTTGAAATTGTTGACCTGCGAATCCGCTGATACTGTAGATCCAAGGTTAACGCCGGCGGCCGTTGCCTCTTCAGGGGTAAGCTTTCGCTTGACAGTTGCAATGCTTCCGTCAGCCTTTCTAACTTTGACAAATTTGTATCCTGGAGGTGGTTGTGAACCGGGAGCCGGTAGTGACTTCTTCACCTCTGTTGTAGCTTGAGATGCTGTCGAATCCTTAGATGTTGCAGCCTCGGGGATAGGGGTTAGCTCATCAGGGAGGGACGCCATTGTTGCTAATCAGGAACTCAACAAGATAGCGTCTGAAAGAACTGCTAGGAGAACCCAAGAGCCAAGTGCCAATGATTCAACCGAGGAATTGGGTACCGCTGCTCTTATCATCTTTGGGACTGAAGGTGGCAATTGCATATCTGGTACGCTAGGGTAGCTTGAGGGCCTCGAAAACGAGAGCTTTCCCAGACTACATCGCCACGACAGTCCATCTACTCTGCAGTGTATATGCCGATAGGGCATTAAGCTCCTGACAAGAGTCTAGCACTGCGCCGTAAGTATTCCGGGGCGTGTCTAGACCAGCCAGGGGGACCGAAGCGAAGCGAAGCTAACGACATGTATTCGCTCTCGGGCTAGGCCGATGGATAACGGGGCTCCAATACGGAGCTGAACGTGGCTGGCCGGCAATTACGGGCCATTCTTTACGCACGAAACCCTCCGTGAATGCATCGCCAAATGGGATGATCTCGGTAATGATTTCTAAATGACAGAGGCACTATCTTCTCGTAGGCACACGCTGCTTGCCACATACCAACCTCGAAGATCTGATAGTCAGATTGCCATGGGATCAGCGGTCTTGATCAACAATCCGTTAGTGAGGATTTGACGGCAGAGCGTGGAAGCATCAACACTTACCGAAGGCCCTGCCCCTTCGCCCATTCTCCCATGCCTCCACATGGTATTCTGGGCATTGCCATGCTCGTCCCCTCCCCATAGATGATACCATTGTCGGCAATGCAGAGAAACTGAGCCAGAGCATAGACTCGCAATTGTGACCAAGAATCTAGACTTTGCAGATCTTTTCTGTGACCCAAGATGTCGTCTCATGCAGACATGGAGCTATCGAGAGGCTAGTGTTCCGGGACGTGGCCTGCCGAATCAGCATCGACGCTGAGGTAAACTATTTCCCAAAACGGAAAGTCCAGGACGCCACGTTTTGGAACAGCCGGCCTCACATCCTCAGCTCAACATCAAAATGGCATAGGCCACTGGCCCAAGCGCCGAGCCTAGAAACCCCCCTACTACATAGTAAGGAGTCGGGCCATCGAAGCAGTCCAATCCCGGGGTGGACGTGAGGCCTACATATCGTGACTCGGGTGCCTCTCCCGTTCTTGAGTGGATGAGTGTTGAACCTACGCTACTGCTAGTCTTTGTTCACTAGCATAGCGTACCGAAGTTGAGGGTGTTCCCGGCGTCAAGCTACGGAGTCTAGCTTGTCTTGAACAAGCATCCAGAGTTACAGGCTATAAGCCTTGCAAGCTGAAGAACATGGAGAGGAGATACCTAAGTCGTCTCGACCGCCCCTCGTTTGCTAGCCGATATTGAACCACGGTTCAAGGTAGAGACCGACAACTTCAAAATGTGGCCAACGTTCTACCAGAAAATGCATTAATCTGGAATTGGCCATCCCCGATTGTTCGGTGATGGAGCGATTTCGCACGCTCCGAAAGGTAGGGTCAAGCGAAGCGCTCAAGGAGCTTCCAGATAATGCATTTTCGACCAGTCCAGACTCGATGATATCGAAGAGCTAGATGCCTCCGCGCGGTGGTCTGGCTATCCTCTGAGCCGGCTAGCTCAGTCATCTTCCTTCAGGTAGTCTAAAGTTGATGGCATGAGATTGCCACTGAGATCTTTCCAGTGAGAGACTCGTTATAACTATAGTTCCCTCTTGGCTCGGTTGATTCTCACCTGGATTACATGCCTGGCTCTCATCTTCCTTTTTTCTACTTCAGGCTCTGTACATCTTGACGAGAGAAATGGCGACCATCGTATCTACCGTACCTGAGGGGCCTGCACTCTCTCTCCTTGATAAGAAGGAGGATACTGCTGTGACTGTCACTGAAATCAAGGACAGTTCCACACCCTCCACAGCCCCTGAGTACCGAATTGTTACTGTGCGCAAGCCTGATGGCAGCTTAGCGAAAGTGAGAAGGCCAGTGCAAAAGGCACCAGCTCCATCACCCGGCCCAAAGGATGAGAGCAAACCCGTTGACAACTCGCCGCCTGCCGCCACAGCCCAAGTGTCTATTCCGACGGAGACGAGTCGATCAATCGTTGCTCCGGCTTTCCAGCCGCAACCCACTACTCCAGCAGTCGTCCAACTGCACATCATCTCAAATGCCCCGTCAGCATCCGCCGCAACACCCGTCCAACAGGCTGCCCCGGCACAAGCCCCGGCACAAGCCCCGGCACAAGCCCCGGCACAAGCTCCTGCTGCCCCTCCAGCAAATGCCCCTTCGGCTCCGAGCCAGGCAAAAGATGCTCCAGCTCCAACCCCAGCCGCAGCTGCTAGCCCGAGTCCTGCAACGGTTGGTGTCGGCGTCGTGGCTGGCCTCACAGCCCTGAGCGCAACTATCGACTCGATGACGAAGGGAGTTGGACAGATCCACACAAGCACGAGCGCCTTTGCTACGGCCACCGGCATGGTCCCGGCCAGCACCACCCCAGCCGCTGTGGTCAGCCATCCTCTCGCAACGGCTTCCCAGACAGTGACTGCCACGCCCGGCGCCGGCGTGGGCTTCGTGACTAATCCGGCCCAGTCAGCCACAGCCAGTGTCTCGCAAGCGAGTTTCGCACCGGCTACGGCATCTGCAGCAGGAGCCACCTCGGCCGCAGCGATTCAAGGGGTCTCTCAGAGCAGTGGAGGGCACCAGCAGGACACGGCGGACGCTGATCATGCCGATGACCACGGTCAACAAGGAAATGACCATGACGATGCCCATGAGGGCTCGGGAGACCATGATCATGATAAGGACATTGGTGAGTTTGAAGATGGAGATGAGGAAGTGGAAGGCGAGGACGATGACGAGCATGACCAGGAGCATGACAATGAGAATGAAGCAATTATGCATACCGAGGAGACGGAGGACTTCCAGGAGGGAGATGAGGAGATTGAGGATGATGATGGAGCTAATGTTGATGACGATGTAGAGGAGTTTCAAGAAGGAGATGAAGAGTTTGGGGAAGACGATGGAAATGACAAGGACGATGATGTTGAGGATTTTCAAGATGGCGATGAAGAAGTCGACGATGGACCTGATGGGGTTGAGGATGACAATGACTTGGCTGAAGATGATTTAGATGACGATCTGGACGATGACTACGACGACAATGATGCTTGACTTAGACTCGCATCATTAAATCGTATAATTATATGTTGATACTGAACTTCAGGATGTCTTGTGCCTTTGCCGAAGTATTTAGTGTACATGATTTATATTAATCGGGTATTGAAAATGCAAAGACTCGAAGAAACAAGATGATGAACGCCTACTCGAACATGCCACATGCTATTAATCGCTGATTCGTGTACAACAGAGAAACACTGCCAAGACTGCCTCATGCCAAAAGTTCTAGACGGCTGACTCAAGGATAATCGCTGAAGCCAGCTGTCTTGCCATCTCGATTGACCAGATAGCGAAATCTTTCCGGATGGTCTAGTAGGAATTGGGGCATGTCTTGATTGTTATCGATTCGATCATAATATTGGCCTGAACGATCCCATAAATCCTTCCCATTCCGCACCCTATCGGCGATTCGGTTGCGGTCTCTATATGCTGGCTGGTTGTAGCTGGTATGGGAGAAGGAAGCCATCTTGTTCAGTAGTTGGTCCATGGTCTTGAAACAGGAGGAGCAATGCCACCCAGAATTCCAGAGCTGGCCTTTTTCAAGCCAGATCAGTGGCTTGATCCCGCCATCATTGTTCCTCAGGTTGGTGGGAAGAATTGTCTTGGAACCCTGATAGAAGGTCGCTTCTGGGTGGGCCCACTCCTGGCCACGATGGAGGAACTGGAAGCTGTAATAGTAGAAGCGACTTCTAAGTGTCAGTCGTCGGGGAAAATCGCATGTTCGCAGGACAGTGAGTGTTTCTGGGCGAGAAATTTCGTCAACATCCGCGACAACGATAACGTCTCCGTAATTGGGCTTCTTCTCGCCCTGGAGCGTAGGGAAGACCTGTTCAAACATGGCGTTTCGTTGCAAGTCCTCGGCGTCCCATGTTCGCGGTGGGTTCCAGTCTTTTGGGTACTGAAGCTCATGGTAGATGAGCTTCTTCCAATATGGCTCAAACTTATCCCAGTTGTCCTTGATGACCAAAGGTTTGGGATGGTTGGTGAAGGTTTTGCTAGCCTCCACGACCACAAAGTAGTCAACATAGTCGTATGTGGTGTTTAAGCGAATCTCCATCCAGTCCAACTCATCGTTAACCATGAACAGGTCATACACTTTTCGCTTGGTGCCTGGTGATTTAGGCTTGAAGGGCTGCCATCCATGCCGTCTGCAGAAACCATAGCTCAGAGAAGAGTGAGATTCTGGGCTCAAGTCTGAGCTGAGGCCTGCTAAAGCCGACACGACATGGGGTGGCGCGGATGCTGGATCGATGCGATGCGATGCAGTGTCCAGATGCCAGTATCCCACGAGGAGGACAGAGATGACCACAAACAGAAGCAGGATTCGCCTCCGTTGGAGAAATCTAGGAACCAGCGACATGTCTATGACGACTTCGGCATGACTTGAAAAGACCTCTGAGGCTGCGGCCTGTTTAGACCGGAATCCTTGATGGGTCGTGACGGGAAGGGATGTTGAGAGGTACGATGAGGCGGCTGGAATTTGATATTGAAACGAAGGATTCAGATTGGGACACGCTCATTAAATGAAACACGCTGGAGTTCGCGTCAGCCCCTGGAAGGCTGCAGCCCCCTTTAGCGCTGCCGGTTTCCCTAGGCAGCGTCATAACCGCCTCCAGGGTTAACCTTAGAGGTTAAGGTTATTGCCTATCACGCTAAATTTTGCGACAGTACTGTATAGTTATTGCGTTACAGGGCAAAATTGCCCCTGAAGGATGCGGCAGTCCACTGTAGCCTGGCTTGGCGGCAGAATCTGGAGAAGCTAGGTCGTCGCTGCGCTGAGTCTCGTCGCCTCAGCCCCCAACCTAGAATCAACGTCTATTGGTAGAGCAATTATTTTCCACTACTCCTCCGCCAGGGTAATAAATGTTAGTTCGGCAAGGATGCTACTACCTCCTCAACAAGGGTTTACTACCTATGTAGAAGTTGATAGACTGATGGTAATAAACAGAATATTCGAGAGCTTGATGAGTATTGTAACTCTTGACATTGAGTATCCTCACCCTTCAATAATTAACGTTTATTACCCTGGCGGAGGAGTACTAAAGTACCTAGTGTTGAATTGGCAAGAATAGTAGGGAGTTGAACAACAGGAAGATATTCAGTATCAATTGCAACACGTCAGTATGGCTGGGAACTTCGCAATGTCGCTCTTTCTCTTGGGAGGAATTGACTAGATATCTGCAAATCCAACACAAGAGAAATTTTCATTCTTAATTTAGAAGTTGGATGATACAGTCAGCAACTCGACCACCGACCCAATACATCGTCTAAGTTCCGCGAAGAAGAAACGGGCTCTGAATGAACAGCAACTTGCAACCCCGCCAAAGTGGCTTGATTCCCGTCGGGCGGTCTGCAGCATACCCACGTGGAGACGCCCCAATTCAAGCAGTGGCCTTCCTGATTCACTCACCATCACAAGCTCGCTAAGCTCTTTTCAACTCTGAATTCTCTTCTGGACTCAAGCGCAACTGCGCACCACGCACTCGCCTCCCTTGTATGGATGCATGAGCTGTGTTAGTAATCCAATGCGTCCGTATCCTGCTTGTCGCCTCTCAATCAGGATCCAAAACGACGAATGGCGGGAGAAGCCGACGACGCGAACTAATACACCCTTTTCCCGCCGTGAATAATGTGGTTATTGCGACAACTCCGGAGACCGGCACTGGCTCAAATGCCCCGCCGCCATCTCGATGCTCTCTTTAGTCACCGGTCCGGCGCCGCAATCCTTATCAAAAGGCACATGTTCCACTACTCCTCATCTGCCCTCAAGCTGTCTTGTCCGCCCCTAGACTATACCGAGCAGGTTCCATCCCCAAGTGAAGATAACATGCCTCCCGTCAAGGATGCCTGGGTTGGCCATAAGGGTGCCGCTGGCTGGGACCTCAGGAGTGAGTTCTTTGCCCTTATCGCCTTATCATGACCGACCGCCGTGATCGATGTGCTGAGACCTAGTAGGCGACACAATGACAACTCCAACAGCATCAATGCTGGCCGCTATTCAGTCAACCACCTTGTTGGATGATGTGTATGAGGAAGATCTGACGACTAATGATCTTGAGGCTCACTGCGCCGCTTTGGCTGGCAAAGAAGCCGGTCTCTTCGTCCTCTCCGGGACCATGGGCAACCAAGTTGCTCTCAGATCGCTGTTAAAGCAACCACCATATAGTGTCCTATGTGACCATCGATCACATATCAACAAATACGAAGCTGGCGGGTATGTATGCCTCTCATCTAGTGTTGAGTCCCATGGGCTAACCACGTCCCAGTGTCGCATCCTTATCAGGCGCTATGCTCAAGACCGTTGTACCAAAGAACGGCATCCATCTGACATTGGAGGATGTCCAGGAGAACGCCGCCCTGGATGATGATGTGCATACTTGCCCGACAAGGGTGATCAGTCTTGAAAATACTCTCAATGGCATGATCATGCCGCTCGCCGAGGTCAGACGTATTTCAAACTGGGCCAGGGAGAATGGTGTGAAGATGCACTGCGATGGAGCTAGGCTTTGGGAGGTCGTCGCATCGGGAGCTGGCAGCTTGACGGATTTCGCCGATTGTTTCGATACCCTCAGCCTATGCTTTTCTAAGGGCCTCGGAGCCCCCATTGGAAGCATCGTTGTTGGACCGAAGGACATCATCAAGCACTCCCGATGGGTGCGGAAGTCTATTGGTGGTGGGCTTCGTCAATCTGGTGTCGTCACGGCTGCCGCTCGCATTGCTGTGGATGAAACGTTTGGCAAGGGCCCCAATGGGGAGGGAGGTCTGTTGAAGAAGTCTCACGAGCTGGCCAAGAAGATCGAGAAGATCTGGACGGATCTGGGCGGTGAGCTCGTCCACCCTGTTCACACCAACATGGTATGGGTCAACCTTAAAGCTGCAGGAAGCAGCCCAGCGAGGATACAAGAGTTAGGCAAGCAACAAGGACTGCGGCTCGGGGGCGACCGCATGGTCATACACTACCAGATTTACCAGAACGCAGAAAATGTTGTCCCGCGACTGGAAGCCATTTTCAAACAAATATTCGCGGAGAAGGGCAAATATGCCTCGAAAGGCAGCAGTGGGCCTGACTCAATGTATAGAGTCCAGGCGAGACTATGAGTTTTTGGAAATATTAGAGGAGAGCCAAGAGCGCTGGAGTGGCTCGAGAGAAGAAGAGCTGTCGTTGTCTGACATGCTTCTAATATGTGAGGCTATGTGAGATAAATCTCCGTCGGACATTAAGCGTGGGCAGTAAGCATGATCCTTCAATTCACTTCTGGTATTTGCTTGCTTTGGGATAATCTGACACACGTGCTCGCTTACTGGCCTTGATACACCAATGTCATATCATCTATCGTATAAAGTTTCTACGAGACTATTCACTACTATTTCTCAATAATTTACCGCCCTACTGTCTGGAACAATGCAATTGTGCACAACCCAGGGGTGTTATAGTGCAGCGGCTCGATGGTTGGTGTCAGGATAAGCGAGGCGAGTACTCTCTAGAGTACCCAGTCGGTGACACCGACCAAGCGAGCACTCGAAAAGGATATTCCCCAGCTGCTGCATGTATCGGGAAGCTGCGGGCTTTAGGTGGCATCGCAGCATCATCATCGACAGGGCCAAGCCAATAAGCCTCTCGCCGCTGACATACATGACAGAACGTCTCGTGTGGGTGCTGTCAAGCTTATCCAGGCCACGAGACACACCTGGCAGGCACGAACTCCAAGCTGTAACCTCTGGAGTGCTTACACTTAGGTATCTAGACTAGCTCGACCGTTGGATTGAAGCCATACCTACAAGTGAAGGAAAACCCAGCGACTTTCTCCCCAATTACCCCGCCTGTTACGTCACCTGCAATCGACGCTGTTCAGTGGAGCATGGCGCAAGGCGGACATGTTTGGCGACGAATCGGCCTAATTTTACAGGGGGTCACGGTCTCATTGCGGCACTCTAAAATGCGGGGGAGCAAGCCACGCTGCACGCCCAGTGTCGCCCAGCTTGAATCGTAGACCGTTAGCTTACAGCGGAAAGCTTCCACCCAAGGCAAGATTCTGGGCGGGAACGGTCAGCCACAACCCGATCGACTTGGAGATTCTCAGACAATGGAACCTAGCAAACAGGCCGAGGGAAGTAGCTCCGAGTTGTCCGGATTGTCGTGTAGTCAGACGAACATTGGGCCAATGGAGCTTCTTCCTCGCTCACTAGGTTCTCTTACTTGACGAGCTAGTCTACGAGTTGGAGAAGCTCCCGGAGAACTGGTCACACAGTCAGGATTATTACCACTACAATGGCGACCTGTCCGGGGACGGCAAGGCTCACTGACGATCACCGCTCCAACCGGGAACCCCGCCATCATGACCCGGTGTGATTTTTCCCAGGAATTGGCAGGTGCAGCAAGCAGGCAGCTCGGTAGGTGCAGATGCGGGTCATCTTGCAAGCTCGCTCCCGTCTTGTCATGTCATTCATGGCCGGCTCCAGAGCTCGGCTGCTGCTGCTGCTCCTCGTATAAATGATGTGGCTCCTCGCTGCCATCGCGATCGCTTCCCTCCTAGTTGCTTTTGTTCCACTGCTCCGAGCTCCCTGTCTATTGTCGCGAGTGCGATTGACCGCGAACCAAAGCTCAGAATGGCGTCAATTCGCAAGATTGTGGCAGCAATTGCTGTCTCAACCTCCGTTGTCCATGGCCTCTTCATCAATGGCTCCGTCATAGCTCCCTGTGACTCGCCATTGTACTGCCAAGGCGATGTTCTCAAGGGCATTGAGCTCGCCCATCCTTTCTCCGACTCCAAGACCTTTGTGGACATGTAAGTCGAGGAACACGCGGCAATCCGTGCTTCCCAGGTCTGCATAATGGCCAATTGCTGACGGCTGTAATGCCAGGCCTACACGCCGTCCTCTAGAGGAGGTCCTCGCCGCGTATGAGAAGCTTACTAAGCCGGTTACCAACAGCACGGAGCTGCAAGACTTTCTGTCTACATATTTCCTCCCGGCGGGCGGAGAGCTCGATGAGGTTCCGGTGGACCAATTGGAGACTGATCCAGTCTTTATTGACAAGCTGAACGACACCGTCATCAAGGAATTCGTTGAGAAGGTCATTGGTATCTGGCCCGATCTTACGAGGAAATTCTCCGGTTCAGGAAACTGCGCCGATTGCGCAAACAGCTTCATTGCTGTCAATCGCACATTTGTTGTGTAAGTAAAGACAAGAGTTGCCCACAAACCCTTACAAACAGGCCTCTACCCGACTTTAGAGTCGAAGTTTTGGTTACATTGGCGCGAGTGGTTACTGCCGCATTTGTCTTGCGACCCTTCTAATTTTCCAACACATCACCTTGTAATGGCCTACACCAGTTGACAGCTTGCTGACCTCTATGTTAAGTGCCGGAGGCCGATTTAGAGAATGGTATTATTGGGACAGTTTCTGGATCCTCGAGGGTCTGCTACGAACCGGAGGCTCTTTCATCGAGATTACGAAGAACATGATTGAGAACTTCCTGGACGTCGTTGAGCAAATCGGATTCATTCCCAATGGTGGCCGAGTCTACTACCTCAATCGATCCCAGCCTCCCCTACTTTCGCAAATGGTCCGAAACTACATTGAGCATACCAATGATACCAGCATTTTGGAACGCGCAGTGCCACTGTTGATCAAAGAGCATGACTTCTGGGTTAAGAATAGAAGCATAGAGGTCACAGCCCAGAACGGGAAGACTTATACATTGAATAAGTAAGCTTTTTTAATGACCAGCGCTGATTCTATGTATGAGCTGACAATCACATGTAGATACGGGGTTCAGAATAATCAGCCACGGCCCGAGTCGTTCAGAGAAGACTATATCACCGCGAACAACCACTCTTACTATGCGACATCCGGTATTATTTACCCCGAAGTCAAGGCCCTCAATGAGACCGAGAAAGAAGCTATATATAAAGAGCTTGCAACGGGTGCCGAGTCTGGCTGGGATTATGGAACTCGCTTCCTTGCCCGGCCTAATGATGCCGCCAAGGATGTTTACTTCCCCCTGAGATCCTTAAACGTCTCTGGCATGGTGACAGTAGACCTCAACTCCATCCTATATTGGAACGAAAAGACGATTTCCAACTTTCTCAACCAAAGCGGAAACAGCACGGCTGCGGACGAATGGGCATCGAAAGCGGAAGACAGGAGTGAGGCCATGTACCAAGTCATGTGGAATGCAACACTCTGGAGCTACTTCGATTACAACCTGACCTCCAATTCTCAGTATATTTATATTCCAGCAGACGACGATGCCAAAGGTATTGATGATTCCACAGCTCCAGAAGATGAGCAGGTGTTGTTCGATGTCGCACAGCTCTATCCATTCTGGACTGGCGCTGCCCCTGACCAGCTCAAGAACAACCCTCTGGCCGTCAAACTGGCATATTCTCGTGTCGCCAAGTATCTAGATGTCAAAAAGGGTGCTATTCCAGCAACAAATTTCAATACCGGTCAGCAATGGGACCAGCCGAACGTCTGGCCGCCTTTGATGCACGTCTTAATGAACGGTCTACTAAACACGCCAGCGACATTTGGAGAGGATGATCCCGCGTATGTTGATGTCCAAGATCTCGCGTTGCGCCTTGGACAGCGTTATCTGGATTCAACCTTCTGCACATGGTACGCTACTGGCGGTTCAACATCCGATACGCCTCAGCTACAGGGCGCAACTCCTGGTTCTAATGGAACAATGTTTGAGAAGTACGGAGACAATGCTACGAATGTAGCTGGTGGCGGCGGCGAGTATGAGGTGGTTGAAGGCTTCGGATGGACGAACGGCGTGCTGCTATGGACAGCAGATACGTTTGGCGATAAGTTGACGAGGCCTAATTGTGGCAATATCACTGCAGCGCATGTGGACCCAGGCACAAAGAGGAGTCTGGATAGGCGAGCCGTTGAGCTTCATCCATTCGATGCGATGTTCACGAAGAGGTTCGGGTCGCGAGCGATTATATGAAAGTGTTATCAAAAGTCAAAAAAGAAAAGATCAGGTTGTAGGAATATATCTGCTCGCTGAAATGCCAGCGCCACAGTCTAATTTAGCTAATGAGTTAATGACAATACCGCTTCATGGAATCATTTCTTCGTGTATCACTCTAGTAACAGAATCAGCATGACCATGGAAATACCTTGCTGATTACAACTTATCTGGTCGTCTTCTCGACATCCTGAAGACCAGGGCACTCCTCCCTCAGCATACCAAACATCCTGATATCAAACGCCTCTCCGTTCTTGAAGCCAGCTTTCCGCCGAGCGCCCTCGTATTTATAGCCAGCCTTCTCAAGTACCCTCGCACTCGCATTATTGTCTCCAAATACCCCAGCCTCGAGCCTCAGCAGCTCAGGGATGTTCTCAAAGGACCAGCGAGTGAACGCCACGACCGCCTCCGTCGTGAGGCCACCGCCCCAGTGGTCGACGCCTATCCAGTAGCCGATCTCCATCGTGCGCGACTCCACGTCCCCAAGCGGCTTCAACCCGATGCCGCCTGCATAAGTGCCGTCCGACGCATGGCAGATGGCGAAGTTGCGCAGGGGCAGGCGCGCCGTAGCGATTTTGATCCAGCCCTCAGCGTCGGCCAGTGTGTATGGATTGGGGAAGAGGTTGCGCATATACTTGGCTATGAGAGGGTGGTCTGCGGCCTTGTGTATATCCGCGGCGTCTGACACCGTGTAGGGACGGAGTATGACCTTTGTGCCGCGGTAGATTGGATCTGTGGTGATGGCGGCTACGGCAGTCGTCTGCTCTGTTGCGCTGTCTTCCATGGTGGATGTCATTGTATGCTCTTCAAGGTCCACTCCCTGTGCGTTATGTATGTGTAACTTGTCGTGATGCTTGGCGAAAGGCAACGTGTGAAATTTATATAGTCAATTGCTTAGATTGAATTGTGAGTCACCATACCAACAATTTGATGGCTCTTGTTTGGAAACGATGGATTGTGCTACTGCAGATCGACCTTCCTATTGAAGCTATGACACAGGCGGCGAGCATGTCGATGATAGAGCATTGTCAGATCCGGATGAATACAATGCCTTTCACTTTGCTTCCCCGAATGATCGGACAAACTGGGCATTATTGGAAGACACAGAGTGTGAGCTTGAGCAGCAGGTGACTCAGAGCATCACACATCTTATCTTTCTAGTATATGAAGTTTCAAAATCGTAGATATAGGTGGGTTTTATTAGGACAAAGTTCTTTGAGCTAACGTAGGCATGTTGAGCCCAGGCTACCTACACCTCTGCCGGGGTAATATTAGTTAATTCTGAGTGGAATCGAGACTTTTCAGACACAAGAGTTGCGACTTTTGTCAAGACCAGCGGGG